CCTGGGGTGTCCCCTAGGCTCCCCATTGCCCTGGCCACTGGTGCTCCTTTCTGTGAATCTTCTGATTCACTGGAAAGACTCGGAGATCTCGGGTCGTCGTCATCACTCATCTTTTCTTCTGCCTCCTCCCCCTCGCTCTCTGTTTCCTCCCTTGCCCTTGCCTCTGCTCCTGAACCCCTGACAGGTCTGATCTTCTTGCAGTCCATGGGGCTCTCAAGAGTCTCCTCCAGCACCATAATTCAAAAGCATCAATTCTTTGGCGATCAGCCTTCTTTATGGTCCAGCTTCACTTCCATACATCACTAATAGTTGTACTAGTGGTGGAATTATACTGGACCACCAACATAGCATTCTGCGTCATCACCTGTTCTGCAATGCTTCCCTCAGTGTGATTCAGTCATTGCCATCCGGAGAGGGACTTTTGCACTATAGAGCAACAGATGTGGGACCAAAAAACCCCAAGCAAACCCAACCTAACCCCACCTAGAGCACTTGTGGTGTGAAAAGTTACAGGGTTTCAACCAGAAGTTGTAGAACATGCCCTGTAGGAAACAAAGCAATAGCTGCTGAGTGTTGAGATAGCTCAATTGGTGGAACGTGAGACCCTTAATCTCAGGTTTGTGGGTGCAAGTCCCATGTTGGGTGAAAGATTCCCCTGCATTGCAGGGGGTTGGACTAGATGACCCTCAAGGTCCCTCCCAACATGGTGGTTCTATGATCCTATGTCCACCCCCAAAACCTTTGCATAAACAAATAGTACCGGAAGCAGGATTGCGTATAACTGCTCTGATGCCATCATGAGCACGAATCATCATAATTTTTTAAAATATATTTGTTAAATTGTCCAGAGGGACGTTCCCTCTATTTGACAGAAGGGACGGGACTTCTGCCACCAGAATCCAAAGATGCAGGTGGTGGTGGGGTGGGGAAAGAGATTTCCTTCCTAAGTAGGTCACCACAGCACTCTGACTCATATCAATAACTCTGGGCTGTCATCCCTCACTCCTGTCTCAATTTCCCAACTCAGATCATTTTCTTCCTTTTTAATTCTTTCACCTTGGTCGATTTTCTTCTAGCCTTCTTCTGCCTGGCTTTCCAACACCTGGCCCAGAATGCAAATCGTGTACTACCTGGCAACCCATTTCTTGTTATCACCCTGCTGTGTGGCCTGCCATTTTTAATGTGCTTCTCCACCCCCACCCCCCAATCCCTTTACCCCCCGCTTTTTTGCAAGTATGCAATTGCCATAAGATTAGATAGCGATCACTGTCTTGTTAGTGATGGCCCCCGTTGTCGCCATTATCAGTCAGCCATACCAGAAGCAGTGGTGGCTGCTGCCCCATTGGGACTCGAGGGGCAGAAGGCAGGGACCCCCAAGAGCAGGGGGATCCAGAGCCAATGGTGGGGAGAGCCGACGAATGCTGATTTTCACCCCATCCTCCCTGCTGAGATGTACAAGGGCAACATGGAGAGTGAGGAGGGGAAGGAAGGGGACAGCACCACCCCCTGGACTGGTTATAAGCAGGCAGGCAGGCAGGCAAGAGGTGGCAGTGCCCCACTTGTCCAAATGGACTGACCGGAAGCAAAGCAGCTTTGACAAAGATGCAACTGACACAGGCAGAATCTCTCCCATATTTATTGTCAGAGGTTGGATCTGTACCGCAATTGGGTAGGTGACTGCAAAAACAAGAGAGAGGGGAAAAACCAAACCAAACAAAAAAACAAAAATCAGGGAGCTGAGAATTAGGATAGCATGGGGTGGTGGTGGTAGTGATTACAGCTTGGTGTGCAGAGGGAAATGGGCTCAGCCCAATTTGGCACAAACACTCATATATTACAAATACATACAACGGGTTGGTGCATCAGCATGGCTGGGCGCTACAATGTGGAGGTGGAGTGGGGTGGAGAAGGGGCTGAGCACACCTGGGCAAGAAGCAGCAGCGGGATTGCTGCAGCAGCTGTATGACAGGGATAAATTCAGCCGGTGCAGCCTTTCTCATCATGAACAACTATGGACGCTTCCAGACTGCCTCTGTTTTCACGAGGGATTCAATCACATACTGGCAAATGCATGTTGTGTTGGGATACTGCCAGGGAAACACAGAGTCCATCATGGCCCCCAAGCCGGCTGTCGGACGTCCATCGATCTCCCGTAGGCACGCAGTATCAGCAATTAGCGACATGAGCTCCAGAAATAGGTGGAACGGAAATATCCTAACATGTTGTGCGGTTACGTTTGATTGGGAGGTCTTGCACACTGAACTCACTTCTCCAAAAGACCGGACTTTTTGCAGTAAGGAAAGTGACGGGGGAAATGCAATAGAAAATATGGAGGGATAATACTTGCTCTAAGCTCCCTGCAAACAAATCAAGACGAATGCCCATTAAACAGGTCATGTGGAAACGCCCTAAAAGTCGTGGTAGCTTTAAGACAAAACAAATCTATTTTGATTATGAGCTTTTTCATGGCCTTGATAAAGGTGCTGGACTTTGAGGTGCTACCAGACTCTTTGCTGGTTTTTGTCTTGTGTTTTTTTTGCCTGCCACAGACTAGCACCCCTCTAGAATTTATCATCGTGGTGGTTTCCATTGTGACACCTCCAGGCTACATCTTTTGAATTTTTGCTTGTCAGGCAGATGTTAAAGCTACAGTAATAAAACTGCCAACTCTATTAAGGTGTGTGTGTGTCTCTCTCTGTGTGAGTGATGTGCTGTTCCCTAAGAGTTTTCTCCATGTTTGTTTGTGAAGGGGGAGCAGGACAGCTGGTGATCTGCTTGTTCAAGACAACACCCACACACTCCATCACTCCATTTCCCTGACACTCCCGTTCCCCTCTCTCCTATTAATTTGGGGAGGTTCCTTTTCCCTCTCCAGTGAGAGAAAGTTTCAGGAGTTCTGTCCTCCAATTCCAGCTGGAGTGGCCTCAGTCACACAGCCTACCAAAAAGCCACTGGTAAGAGCCAAAAAATTGATGGCAGACATCTTTCTCCAGGGGAAGGAATGCGTGGGGAAGGCAGCAGAGTGTATAAGGTACATTTATAATGGCAGGGGCAAGAAATGCTACCCGGGATATTAAAAGGCAACTGCTACATGATCAAGATCACATAAGTGCAACCGAAATTGTGGGAAGGGACATGATTTGTGGCAGGTGGATTGGAGAATAAAGTACAAAAGAGAATAGGCCACACAAAGTACAGGAAATGTGACGGTCTTTTTCTGCTTTCTCTTGCAGCGTTGGGGAAGGATTAGAACCTGAGAAACAGGATGCCATTAGTAGACCTTAACCAGGTAAGATCAAGCTGAGAATTGGGATATATGATGGGTGGAAAGAGTGGGCAAACAGCACTTGCCCCCGAGGATTAAAAGCACCCCACAGAAGGTTTAGAGTCCAGCAGTGCTGGGAGGGTTTGGGGGAAGAGACCTAGTGGAGCTGTACTGGGGATAGTAATGAAAGCTGGGATGGAGCCGGTCCCAGTTGCTCTGATGGCTGGGAATGGGGCGGCCCAGCCTATCTGGTACGAGGAAGTGAATGCCCTCCTTGCCTGAGGTTTGAACGCTAATACTGAAACTATTGGACGAGGTGATCTTGGAGGAGAGGAGGTTAGCCTTTGCACCATGTGGAGGAAACGTGGAAGTCTGCATGTGCTGGGATGGGTATGTGTGTGCATGGAGCCCTTGTCCCCTGCTGCTAGCAGCACCTCCGTCCTACCGATGTTAGACCAAGCCAACCTGATTTCACAGCTTTCCCATTAATGGTATGAAGATGGCTGCCTAAGGTACACAGCCAAATTGCAAGCAGGCAGGTACGGGGCCAGCAGTTGGCCGAAGGACCCACACCAGCCCAGCCACACCACCATGCACCGCTTGCCCCAATGGCCCCCCAGGTGCATTTTAAGGGGGTGGGGGATAGGAGTGCTTTCGAATGAGAGACAAGCTTGGCTCCCATCTGGAGTGGCCGCATGCCATTTGACCTAGAATGCAATGCCCCATCCCAAAGACCTGTGGCATTCATTGACTTCACAGATCTGCAGTCGGCCACCACACATGGGAGCCAGGATTAGCCCCCGCCCCCAAGCCCCGCTGCAGCAGAGTCACGTCTAGGGCCCTGGTGGAAGGTGGCAAGTGAGGCCGCCGACAAAGCGGAGAAAAGCTTGCGGCAGCCACTGCCACCAGCCATCAGGGGTCTTTATTGACTTCTTGCACTGGGAGCCTCCTGACTATGCGAAGGGCTGAGTCTCCAATACTGCCAACTTTCCCCGCTACCCCCAAACAGCTGACCTTGGTGCCCGGTGTTATTGCTAGAGGAAGAGGGTACAAGAAAATCAAATTACAGTCTCAAAAAGCGTGGCCTTCTCCAGGGGGGCTGCAGTGAGACTGTCTGGCGGTGGCAGCAGTTTTGTCTCCGCTTCGGGTGTCATGTATTCCAGGTGGTGGTGGCCCCAGACGGGGGTGGTCAGCAATTGCCAGCGCTGGGGGAGAAGCAAGGCAGGCGAGTCAAGGAGCAACTCAAGGCACAAGCACGTCCGTTTGTTCACTATTTGTTTATTTGCATAGAGCATTTTTTTCATCTCGCTTAAAAACTAGCGCAGTCGGGGTCCTTACATCCGTTAGCCATCAGTACAACAGAGGGACTTTAAAGGAAAAGCCTAAAATGTTGCCCTAGCGCAGAGCCGTAGCTAGGTGATCTTGTGTCCCTGGCAGAACCGTCCAGCTTGCGCCCCCCCAGCCACAGACAAATTAGTTCTTCTTTCTGCCTCTCCTCCAACCCGCCTCCCTCCACCCATTCAATTCATCCTTTATTTAAAACCACTTATTATGAGACAATAATCAATATTTATATTTATGGACATATTTTAAGCCAATTTTGTGCGCGCGTCCCATCCCCTGCCAGGGGCCCACCTCGCCACTCCCTAGCTATGGCCCTGCCCTAGCGTACATTAAAACCAGCAGCCAAGGCCAAATGAATGGTACACCAAAGGCAACCAACCAACATCAATCTGGTGGCATGTGAAGACCTTTTTTTTTTTTTTTAAACCAATCTGTCCAGGCATTTTTAGCATGGAGGACAAACTGGTTTTAACAATAGTTTTTGGCTTTGCCGCTCTACTGAGTTTTATTGCACCTGTCATGATTTCGTCCTGCGCTTTTTAACGTTTTCGTGTAATTTTTTATACTTAGCATTTGTTGCACCCTGTCCTCAGTGGCTGAAGGATGGCCTAGAAATCTCTTCAACGCGCAAATCAATCAACACACAGCCCTTCTGAGGACTCAAAGGTAAAGGTACCCCTGACTGTTAGGTCCAGTCGCGGATGACTCGGGTTGTGGCGCTCATCTCGCTCTATAGGCCGAGGGAGCCGGCGTTTGTTTGCAGACAGCTTCTGGGTCATGTGGCCAGCATGACTAAGCCGCTTCTGGCGAACCAGAGCAGCGCACGGAAACGCCGTTTACCTTCCCACCAGAGTGGTACCTATTTATCTACTTGCACTTTGACGTGCTTTCGAACTGCTAGGTGGGCAGGGACAGGGACCGAACAACAGGAGCTCACCCTGTTGCGGGGATTCGAACCACTGACCTTCTGATCGGCAAGTCCTAGGCTCTGTGGTTTAGACCACAGCACCATCTGCGTTGGACTCAAAGGCCTCTGTAAATGGGAAGGTGTGTACACCTTTCCTAAAAAGTGGCAGAGAGTGAGCCAAGCAGGCATCCGTAGGGAGAGGGTTCCAAACACGGGGAGCCACAAAATTAAAAAGCCTGTTACAGAGGCCTCCTTCCCACCAGCGGGATGGGCCCCAGATTCAGTCTGCTTGGGAGTGTGAACAGCTTTGCAGGTGGTGTGAGAGTGTTGAGAGAAGTGGAAGTTCCTCCTGCTTCAATGGCAGAAAAGCCTCCCTCAGATCTTACGCTGTGTGAAGTGGAGAATGGCACTGAAGCCGAGGCATGGAAAACCCCACATCCTTGAGAACCTTGGAACAGGATCTCTAATAAGCACAGAAGCCCATTTGGCACCTGCCTCCCCAAATCTATGCTTGCATCTTCCCTGCGCTTTTAAAGCCTTAGCACCACCCTAAGCTGTTTGGCCAGAAAGAGGGAAGTATAAATAACAGCTGCTTTAGCAACCGCAGAACCTGCTTCTGAGCTTTTATTTGGGTGACTGGAGATTACATCATACGGATGCTAGGCAGCTCCAAAAAGCCATTCTCCTCCCCAAGTCTAGCAGCATGGCTGGCTAGCAGCCTGCAATTCAGCGCAGCAGTCATGGCTGTGCCTGATAGCTGGCTGCACAGTATGCAGAGGAGGCTTGCATGTCTCATTTGTAAAACAAGAGGGCCGGCCCCTCTCACAGCCACCTTCATCAGCAGAGGCATCCAGCTTGGAGTCAAGTCTGCTGTGCAAATTCCTTAGAGCATCTCTAAGGCCACACTGCCTGGGACGCGGGTGGCGCTGTGGGTTAAACCACAGAGCCTAAGACTTGCCGAACAGAAGGTCGACAGTTTGAATCCCCGCGACGGGGTGAGCTCCCGTTGCTCCTGCCAACCTAGCAGTTCGAAAGCATGTCAAAGTGCAAGTAGATAAATAGGTACCACTCTGGCGGGAAGGTAAACGGCGTTTCTGTGCGCTGCTCTGGTTCGCCAGAAGCGGCTTAGTCATGCTGGCCACATGACCTGGAAGCTGTATGCTGGCTCCCTCAGCCAATAAAGCGAGATGAGCGCCGCAACCCCAGAGTCGGCCACGACTGGACCTAATGGTCAGGGGTCCCTTTACCTTTACCTTAAGGTCACACTGAATGATTGCAAGCTGCAACAAGGGAAAGATAACTATGCTGGAATAAGCACCCACACCGTACACTTAAAGCACTCCTAAACTGCATTACTTCCCCCCAAAGAATCCTGGGAACCGTAGTTTATCACAGATCAACAGCAGCTGGCACCCTTAAACTACAGTTCTCATGATTCTTTGTGGGGAAAGCCATGACTGTCACGGTGCTGTAAATGTACAGCGTGTGGATGTGAGGACACCACTGCAGCCTCATAGCAACACCTAGACGGGTCTACAGCAAAACTGCAACATCGCCAGGAAAACCAAATGGGACACTTGGCAGCTCAGCTTGCCAGCAGAGCAAGGTGCTTGGCAACTCCATCCTAACGGGCTGGGACTGGCCAGAGACGAGAGACTGATTACTCACCTGTTGGAAGGAGCCCTTGCTTCGCAGAAGCTTGTAAGCGACCGTGCAGGGGATGCAGAGCATGGAGGAAAGGGCCAGAGCCCAGCCAATAGCCTCACCCCACCATGGGTAGATGTAGGTCTTGTTGTAAGTCAGTGGTTGGTAGTTCACCACATGGAACAGGAAGATGCCCTAGTGGTGAAGGAGGGGGGAGATACCAGAGATGATAATTGGTTTTTTTAGCCTTGGGTAGGGGGAATAGAGGTGGCAGCCAAAACCCAGCCCTAGTTCTCTTGTGCTCAACAAAACATCTTCTCAAAACATGCTGCCATCTGCCTTATTGCAGGGCAGATTCGAGGGTAAACCATACGTGGAACGAGTCTGCCCCTGCGGCTTGATGGAGGTAGAAACTGTCTCTCAGGTCTTGTTATGCTGCCGTTTCTATGGGGATATACGCTCGGTATTTATCACTCCTGTTATACAAAAATCTCCAAATGGGTCCGAACTTCAGTGTCTAAAACTCCTGGTAGAGGACAAGGATCTAGAGATCACGCTAAGGGTGGCCAAATTCTGTGCGACTGCCATAAAACTTAGGGAACAAGTTGTACTACCAAAATGATTAAGGTTTTAAATGACAATTTTAGTTTATATTTTAGTAATCAAGATTTAATATATATTTTTAACTGCCGCTATATCTGAATTGTCTCTGTTATACCCAGTTGCAATTCAGTGTATTTCTGTTGTGTTTTATGATTTTCCTGATATTGTAAGTGAGCTGGAACTGGTCTGTGACCGTAAAAATAAAATTCATTCATTCACACCTCAAATATCAATGCACCTGGCTACAAGACTGAGGAGATCTCTTAGGAGATCTGTCAAAGATGCTTTAGTTGAGATTCCTGCATTGCTAAATGACCCCTGTATGATTCTAACTACGGAGAATGGGATAACCCTGCAGTCCTGCCCTGAAACAGGTTAGACAAATCCAGCGTGAAGAAGAAGCGCCATCACATTTGAGTAAAGTCGGACAGGTATTTTGCACAGTGCAGAGGAGAGACAATAATTACCAGTGTTCCTTAGCGTGTGCTGTACTATTTAAATGTAGGCAAACTACAAGTTTCTTTCAGCTGGGAATGAGGTAATCTAAAAACACCATCAGCACCATGCATACACCAGTACAGGGCCGCTCAAATATAGTCACAGCAGTCAAATATTCTGGCAACGAGTCAAAACAAATGTGTGAAAAGCCAGGCTGAGTTAGCCCATGTTTGCAAGGGGGTCCTTCTCTAATAATAATAATAATAATAATAATAATTTATTTATACCCCGCCCATCTGGCTGGGTTTCCCCAGCCACCCTGGGCAGCTTCCAACATAACGCTAAAATACAATAACCTACTAAACATTAAAAGCTTCCCTAAACAGGGCTGCCTTCAGATGTCTTCTAAAAGTCTGGAAGTTGCTTTTCTCTTTGACATCTGGTGGGAGGGCGTTCCACAGGGAGGGCGCCGCTACTGAGAAGGCCCTCTGCCTGGTTCCCTGTAACTTGGCTTCTCGCAGCGAGGGAACCGCCAGAAGGCCCTCGGCACTGGACCTCAGTGTCTGGGCAGAACGATGGGGGTGGAAACGCTCCTTCGGGTATACTGGACCTTCTGCCCAAACTGCTTTCAACTCACCACACACACCACTGGGGTGATGAGAGACCAGCACCACTTCATGTAGGGCAGCGGCCGGTAGCCAATCATACGGGCAACATCGTCCATGAAGCGGTCAGCTCCTGCGCGGAAGAGCGAATCAGTTTTGGGCCTCGAGCCAGGCCGTCCCCTCCCGCACCAACACCTGAAAAGGGCCCCATTCACAGCGCCCAGATCTCCGGCAGCCTTGGGTGGGGGGGAGCCAAAGCAAGAGTCAAGCAGAGGACTGTGCAGGGAGGGAAAGTGTTTGCTTTTCCTGAAATCTCCTTGCCCCTGTGTCTCCCTTGCCACTTACCATAGACCCAGGCAATCACCACACACTCCCAGAAGGCCTGCCACAGAAGGGTGATCCCGCTGGCCGAATAATTGTCAAACAGCTGAAAGACGTACATGCCGCCCTAGGGTCACATGGCACAGGAAAAGAACCGATTACCGAATACGCGCATTATCCGTGTTGCTTATTATTATTCCAAGTAGAGAAACGCCAGCCATGATGAGGAGTGGGGCTATGGAGACAGGGCCACGGGGACTTGTGTAGACAGTGTATCACACAGAGACACATCACACATAGAGAGAGACACTGGCCCCTCTCTGCAAACAGCATGTCCCAAGCACAGCCAAATGGGCAAGCCTTGAGCTTCCAGCTCCGGTCATTCAGGATGGGACTTGCCAAGGAACTGAAATGGTCTTAACCATTAATGGCTGGAACCTGGTTCACGGATACTTCTTTCGACAAGTTGATCCTAAGGATTGTGAGGGGACATGGGGAAGGTAACAACGCGGTAGTTACCCCATGTCAGTGGAATTTCCCTCCCCTGGAACAGTAATTCTCAAACATGGGTCACCCATTGCTGTTGGACTACAACTCCCATCATCCCTAGCTAGCAGAACCAGTGGTCAGGGATGATGGGAGTCGTAGTCTAACAACAATGGGAGACCCATATTTGAGAAACACTGTGGCCTGAAGGTTGGCTGGAGTCCTAGCCGGAGCATCTCTTGCATGCAGCGTGATGGCTTTTCTCTTTGGAAAGCCATGGGTGCTGGTGGCGTGGAAAGGCATTTTTAACTTGACTGCACCTTCCGAGTAATTCTTATTACCCAGGAGTTTGGACTGTGCCCAGGAGCTTCTGGTGGCCTACCCAGAAAACGAGCTCTGCCCTAGCCAGCCTCCCCTCCCAGGCAAGCCTATGTAGCACTCGCGTTTCGTCTAGAAAGGGTTTCTCCCACACATCGGCCTCACCTGAGTCACCATGGAGAGGTCAATGATACAGCAGACAAGGCAGCAAATCGCAGCGGTGATCTCTCTGCGCGGTGAGCCTGCTGCTGGCTGCGGAAACAGGTCTAGGATGCCAGTGATGAAACCCTCCACTCCCACAAACTGGCAGGATGAAATAACATATGAGAGAGAGGTAAACTTGGCACGAGGTGCTGGTCTATGCTCTGCTTAACATAGAGGTGTGGAACCTCAGGACTGAGGTCAAGATGTGGCCCTCCAGGCCTCTCAACCTGGCCCCCGGGACACTCTCTGGCCCTGCTTTGCACTCTGCACACACCCTGTGCCCCCTCAGCAGTGCAAACACATGAGCTCCGTTTGCATTCAGGTGAACTAGCAAATGCCGGTTCAGTCTCTTGGGTTCCTCTTTACTTGCCCTGTGGACACAGCATTATGCTCCCATTTCCATCATGCCATTGTAACCTTCTTCCTATCATCCTTGCTTCGGATGGCATGCCCTCCCTCCCTCCTTTCCTTCCCCCTCCCTCCCAGCTGCTGACTTCGTAAACACCTCCTCCTCCCATGCTTCCAACAGCAGCACCTTCCTGTCTGCGGCTGGGTTAGCAAACCGTAGCACAAACGCCGCCCACTGATTTCTGCAAGTAAAAGAAGCCGCTTTCCCTCTATGCCAGCCTTTCTCAACCTTTGGACTACAACTCCCATCACCCCTAGCTAGCAAGGTCAGAGCTCAGGGATGATGGGAGTTGTAGTCCAACAACATCTGGGGGCCCACAGGTTGAGAACCGCTGCTCTATGCCATTTCTACATCTGTGCCTCCCGCCGCAACGTGCTCTGCTCAATAAAAACACGCTCCCCATGAGTGGCTTACCTGGCTGTCCAGCCCCAGGACCAGAAGCATGAAGAAAAAAAGTGTCGCCCAGAGAGGGGAGAGTGGCATGAGTGTCACAGCTTTGGGGTAGGCAATGAAGGCCAGGCCTGGACCTGCAAGAGACAATGTGAGTTAAGAGGGGTGCCAGCTGCAGCGATAGCCACCAGCTTGGGGATTGAACGGATTCAGGGAGGACGAGGCTACCCATGTCTACTAGCCGCACCTGTGGCTCCGTTCTACCTCCACTGCCACAGGCATTACGCCTCTGAATACCTGTTACTGGGAAGCACAGGTGAGCAGGGTGATGCTGTGCTCATGTCCAGCTTGCAGGCTTCTCATAGGACGCTGCATGAAGGTGGGCCATTGGCCAGATGGAACAGGCTCTTCTTACATTCTCCCAAAATTCTAAGAAGTTACCTAAGCTTAGCATGCGAGAACACACCATTGGCCCGGCCGGTCCTGTTCTTCCCATTCTGATTGGCTGCAGTTCTCCGTGGTCTAGTCAAAGTTCTGCGCTGCTGCTTGAGGTTCTTTTAAATGGAGATGCCATTGAGCCTTGAGGGACACAGGGGAGCTGCCTTCTTCTAAATCAGACCAAAGCTCCATCTAGTTCAGTGCTGTCTACGCTGGCTGGCAGAGGCTCTCCAGGGCTTCAGGCAAGAGCTATTTCCTGGTGCTACCTGGAGGTACCAGGTAGGCTTTGTGCTCTGCCTCCCAGCTATTTTGCACCCATGCGCCGCACCTTTTCATAGGGAAAGGGGGAAATGGGCTGATGAGGTGGGAATCGGAGGAAATCCCCACAGCTGGCGCTCACCTGACTCTGCCACCTGCGAGATGTCCACGCCCTGCTCCGATGCCATGAAGCCCAGGACGGAAAACACCACAAAGCCAGCAAAGAAGCTGGTTGAGCTGTTGATCACAGCCAAGACGTAGGCGTCCCTGTAGGGAGGACCAGGCAAGTCAATAGCCACAAGCCCACCCTCCACTCGGACCCAGTGGGTGCCCAGTGCCCTCTCAGGTCACCTCCCTTACAAGAGGTTACAATGCTTGTACCACGTTACAGCTGCCCAGGACACCAGCCTGCCTGGAAATCACCCTTCCTTCCCTCTAATAAACCCAGTTGCCCCCTGCGAAGACACTCTGCACATGTTCCAATGTACTCTTGTCACAGGTTCTAGGACTGAATCTCACCACTAAGTATAGGTTGAGGGGTTCAAATTAAACCAGAGTTGGCTAGCATTAGATGGTAAAGGGTTCTTTTTTGGGGGGGAACCCAGAATGGGTAAGATTTTGCATCGCAGATGGCAGCAAGCAGCTGCATTAAACAGTGCACAATATAGGCACTATCCAATCTTCTGCTGGAAGGAAACTCCCTCCTGCAGCTCAGCTGTACTGTGCTAATCTCTTGCTGCTGTCACCATGAAGTTAGAATAATAGAATTGTAGAGCTCTAAGGGACCCCTGAGGGTCATCTAGTCCAACCCCCTGCATAAGGGGCATCTTAGGGCAGTGGTGGTGCATCAAAGGCTTCAAGGTATGTGGGGTAGAAGCTTTTGCCGCACTCCACTCCCATATTAACTCCCCAACTCCACACACTCCCTCGAATGTTGCATTCGAGACAAATTTTGTCTCCATTTAAATTATTAATTTCCTTATTTCATCCAGATTTCCGAATTTGTATGAGTGCAGAAGATGTCATAGAGCAGGATTTGGCAACCTGTTTGATCTTGAGGGACACATGCAAACAGCGGCTCGATGGTTTGTTTCCTGCCCTTTCCTGCTTCCTGGCAGCTGACGTTGCCAGGGTTTAGAGTGTGTGTGTGTGTGTGTGTGTGTGTGTGTGTGTGTGTGCAGCTTTCACCTGCATCAGCAGCAAATTCATTGGGGGGAACCATGGAGGTAACTAGCAGACCACACATGACATGAAAAACCATATTGCCCTCTGGCGCCTGGTACTACGATCTGCAAAATGGAACATGACCAGTTTTATCGTGGCCTGATGATTATCAGCTGGTGGTAACGCAGAGGGAGGGAGGCTTTTTCACTCGTGGCATCAGGGCTGCATAATGCCCTCTCTGCTGCAATGTGAGGGGCCCCATCAGTGTTGGCATTCCGCCGGCTCCTGAAGGCACACCTGTTCAGGCAAGCTCTCCCCTGAGCTGAACTAGTGATTTTAATGGAATCGTTTTTTGAGTATTTTCACTATGTATTAATTAAAGTTGTAAGCTGCTTAGAAGACATTTTGGCACATTAAGTAGTATATAAATTAATAATCCTGATGACAAGGGTGAGGGTGGCGTCTAGCCCATGAGTTCTCACAACATAGAGAAAACAGAGAAGTTTCATGGAAGGAAATATGCATATCTGTGCATACTCTGCACTTAAAGAACAAACAAACAGCAACCCAGACTTCTATGATAAATGCGACCTAAAATCTGCACCAAGAAAAGCTGAATTCTGTGACCAACTTAAATGGTCAAATCAAGCACATTTGCAGACATTTTCATCTTGCATGATTCATTCATCTTCTGCAAGTCATAAAAATGATACTGTACACACTGTGAGAACACATGCGTGCGCGCGCACACACACACACACACACACACACACACATTTCAGCCCTGTATTTGTCGCCTTAGCTGTAAACCTGCTTTTAAAGAGGAGGGAGAGAGGGAATGGAGATGGTCAGGCTTCTGAATTCTCTGTACTGCACCAAATTCTGTACTTGTGCAGAATAGCAAAACACAGAAAAGGGGAAGCAATAAATGTGTTGGAAGATGACATGCGGGTTGCGGAATGGGGTGTGGTTGGGGACAGGAGAGAGATGAGGACCTAGTGGGTGCGGGGTATAGATGCCACTATTTGAAGAAGTCCTAGTAGCATTTTCAAGGCTTTTCTTCAAGACCACAAGGGCTAGAAACAAACTCTTGTTTAAATAAAATCAGTGTCTCCATCAGGATTCAGACAAAGCCAGCAGATTCCACACTTGGGGGCTGAAAGCCATGCAGATCTCTTTTTAAAAGACTACCCGTATGCGGTGTGGGGCCTCACCTGTAGCAGTTGTTGTGGAAGCGGTTGTAGCTGCCAAGTGCGGTCAGGGCTCCCAGCCCGATAGCATATGAGAAGAAGATCTGGGTACCAGCATCAATCCATACCTGGGGTGAGGGGAACAGCCGTGGTATAAACCCCACCGAGTGGGGGGCAGAACTCCTGTTTTCATGACCAGGCCTGGCCTGGCCAGAGGGCAAAGGCGCAGTTAGATGCAAAGGCCTGCCCCCCTGCACACAGATATTGGCTATGGCCTCTGTTTTCCCAGCTGCTTCCCTGTTTGAAACCTTCCACGTCCCCTCTCTCGGTGAATGTGCCATCCCAGTTCTTACCTGAGCGACAGCAAGCTTGGTCCAGTCCGGTTTCAGGTAGTAGATGATGCCATCTAGCGCACCGGGCAACGTCACGCCATGCAAGAGCAGCAAGATGAGAACCACGTAGGGGAAGAGTGCAGTGAAATAGACCACCTGCCAAGCAAGGATGATAATAATAATAATAATAATAATAATAATAATAATAATAATAATTTATTATTTATACCCCGCCCATCTGGCTGAGTTTCCCCAGCCACTCTGGTCGGCTCCCAAACGAATGTTAAAAACAGTACAGCATTAAATATTAAAAACTTCCCTGAACAGGGCTGCCTTCAGATGTCTTTTAAAGATAGGATAGCTGCTTATTTCCTTCAAATCTGAAGGGAGGGTGTTCCACAGGGTGGGCGCCACTACCAAGAAGGTCCTCTGTCTGGTTCTCTGTAACCTCACTTCTCGCAATGAGGGAACTGCCAGAAAGCTGTCAGTGCTGGATCTCAGTGTCCGGCTGAACGATGGGGGTGGAGACGCTCCTTCAGGTATACAGGACCGAGGCCGTTTAGGGCTTTAAAGGTCAGCACCAACACTTTGAATTGTGCTCAGAAACGTACTTGGAGCCAATGCAGATCTCTCAGGACCGGCGTTATGTGGTCCCGGCGGCCACTCCCAGTCATCAGTCTAGCTGCCACATTCTGGATTAATTGCAGTTTCCGGGTTACCTTCAAAGGTAGCCCCACGTAGAGTGCATTGCAGTAGTCCAAGCAGGAGATAACTAGAGCATGCACCACTCTGGCGAGGCAGTCCGCGGGCAGGTAGGGTCTCAGCCTGCGTACCAGGTGGAGCTGGTAGACAGCCGCCCTGGACACAGAGTTAACCTGTGCCTCCATGGACAGCTGTGAGTCCAAAATGACTCCCAGGCTGTGCACCTGGTCCTTCAGGGGCACAGTTACCCCATTCAGGACCAGGGTATCCCCCACACCCGCCCGCCCCCTGTCTCCCAAAAACAGTACTTCTGTCTTGTCAAGATTCAGCCCGAATCTGTTAGCCGCCATCCATCCTCCAATATTATTATTAGGGCATCGCCAGCACCACACTGGTGGGCTGTTGCACATGGGTGCTGAGTGGCTGCAGTCAGATTGGTGGGTTGCAAGGTGTGGATGCCTGGTCTGTAGGAGGAAGGGATGGGGCTCATGTTAAAAAATGTGTGTTTTTTACTGGGAAATGATATATAATGAAATGAAAAGGATGTTTAAAATAATGTTTGTAAAAAAACACACCCCAGAAGCCTTTCTTCTGCGAATTATAGGAATAGAACTACCTAAATTGTATAGAAATTTATTAATATGTGCGACTACAGCAGCAAGAATGTTACTTGCCCAAAAATGGAAAGAAGAAGTCCCAGCAAAGGAAGAATGGATACAAAAACTTATGGGATATGCAGAAAAGGCAAAACTTACCGGAAGAAGTAAGAAATCAAGAGAACAAACTATTTTTTTTATAAAAGAATGGAAATGGTTTATTGAATATTTACAGATAAATTGTAAACAGATGAAAACACCGACAGGATTATTGTATTAACCTGCAGCTATGTGAGAGTACCGTATTTTTCATCCCATAGGACGCTCTGTCCCATAGGATGCACCTAGTTTTTTGGGGGGGAAATAAAGGAATTTCCCCCCCTTTATTTCCCCCCCAAAACCAGGTCGGGGAACAGCGGTATGGCGGCGCTCTACCTCCCCGTTGTCCCCCAAGCTTGTGGGGCTGGCGCTGGGGAGAAGCGTGCTTCTCCCCAGCGCCAGCCTCCAAAGCAGGTCGAGGAACAGCGGGATGGCGGCACTGCGCCTCCCCGCTGTCCCCCGAGCTTGTGGGGCTGGCCAATGTCTGCCCGGCGCGCTGGGTGCTCTGCTTCAGGGCGCCTGGCGCGCTGGACGGCAGGCTGCTATCCCCACACTGTGGATGTCTGCCCGGTGCGAGGGGCGCTCTGCTTCAGGGCACCCCACGCCCCGGGCGGCAGGCTGCTATCCGCAGCGTGGGGAGCCCTGCGGGAACTCCCGCGGGCTCCCCAGGCTTGCGGATAGCTTCCTGAAGCCTGGAGAGCTAGAGGGGTCGGTGCGCACCGACCCCTCTCGCTCTCCAAGCTTTAGCAAAAGCCTGTATTCACCCCATAGGACGCACACAGATTTCCCCTTCATTTTTGGAGGGGGGAAAAAGCGTCCTATAGGGCGAAAAATACGGTATATAAATAAAGAAGATAACTAAATGAGCAAGTTAAATTTATTACCTTCTGCATATCCAAATTAACTTAAGGAACCGCAGAAAGAAGGGGAAGGAAGTCAAGTTTTAAAATGTCAAAATGAATGTAAAATCAGTGAAATGTATATATTTGAAAAGTATAAGTACTTTACTTATTTTTTAAAATGTGTCTTTTTGGCTCAGAGACACACTAGGAAATTATTTGTTGGGCACCACAAAGATGCGCATTTCACAGAAGAAACACTTGTGATGTTCAGAACGCCCATCCCAAAAGGCAACACACACACACACACACACACACACACCACCCAAAGGAGAAATTAAGGCAACTCTGGGGTCACCTGATACAAGAGCACTGGCCAAATAACCTCTCACTCCCATCCACATAAAGAATTAACGCCAGATGTGATAGGACGCCAGTTGCATTTGCTTGTATTTAACGGTGTTTATGGTATTTTCTTACCACAGCTTACGCAACGTTTTTTCCATTCACCACAGCAATTGTATAATGACAGTTACTAGCTGACGTCGTGTGTGGCTGGGTGGGGGTTGGCCTTCCAGCAAACACCAACGGTGCAACCACCGTCAGAAAATTATTACAGGTCCAAGTGCAACATCGGAAGGAGGAAGTGACAGCATGTTCTCAGATTCTATCTTCGCTGGGAGGTTTTTTCCCTTACAGTTTCTGAACTACAAATAACAAATTTCAGCATTAAGATGCCGATGGATCCGTCATTAGTGACCATATTGCGCTCCCTGTGTGCTGTTATTGCCAATATACACTTGTTATCAGTGGAGCAGTTATGTAATTTTAGGCTTATTATGGGTTAGGGAGAGAAAGGGTGCTATTTAAGAGGTGGGGGAACCCTTTTCAGCTTGAGGTCCACATGGCCTCATGGGGAACCTTTAGGGGGCCACATGCCAGTGGTGGGTGGAGCCAGAGGGAATAGTGGGCAGGGCAACAGCTGCATACATGCCAGGCTACATGGCAGCCCCGCAAAAGTCAGATACACCCATCTCTCCATCCATCAAACAAGAGGCGTTTTCGTCATATTATTAATATGGAGGAATGGTAGTTGAAATTACTGGAGACAAAGTTGATAGGTTTTGGTTAGAGAAAAGCTATTGCTCAAATTCATAAATAGTTAGAGAAGCACTTTTGGACATTTTTGTGTAAAAGGAAAATGGATTAGTCTGAGACATTTGGCTGGGAAAATTGGGAAGATACTGCCTAACAGAAAGTAGAATTGCTGGATGTCATTCTAGAGTGGATATTTTGAATAATTTCTTTTTTCCCAACAAAATTTTTTATTGGTTTTCCAAATTTATAGCAAACATAAAAGAAAAACATTACAATATAAAAAAGACAAACAAACAAACAAACATTTATCCTAGCTATTATAATCTCACTTTTGATTTCATTGTTAGATGACTTCCTCAAATCCCCCTAGCTGAATTTCCATGTAACTCATTGTAGCAGTTTTCCAATACTATTTTCAAATAAAATTAACTTAGTCAATTAACACCTTTCTTTCTTTTCATTTTCACTTCTATCCATAGTGTTATGCAATTTAACATATTTACGGTAACTCCTAAGCCAATTTGGTACTTACAAATAGTTCTACTTATGTTATCTTAGAATATTTAACTAAATACTCCTTAACTTTCTTCCATTCTTCTTGGTACTCCTCCTCTTTCTGTTCGCGGATTCTTCCGGTCAGGTCGGCCAGCTCCAAAAAGCATTTTGAATAATTTCTTTTATGTAACTGACAGATGGAAAATTGGAAGTCTTTCCCTCTTTTTTTTTTTGTTTTTGTTTTCCTTTGGTGTTTTATTTTCTCTTTCTCTTTCTCTGTTTTTGTTTTTATTTAGGTTATTTTCTTTTATCTTATTGTATAATGAAAAAACTGTAATGAAATCTTATTTTTTAAAAACCCCAAAGAGGCATTAGCACTATTCAAGGGCATAATCCAGGCAGCCAAAAGCACTCACAGAGGGCAGACTGGCGAGTCTTGATCGTCAGATTGAGATGCCTGGATGGGAACGTTCAGCCCCCCCAGGTGCCTGAGGCTCCCCACCTGAGGCTGCTTTAGGTGGTATTGTGTATTGTTTACTTCAAAATGTGTTATGGCAGCCCTGCTACATTTGGGGGCTGTCCTGATGAGCATAATCCTGAGCATCTGCCCTAAAGTCCTGCCCTGATGCCATAACCGACTTTTTCTATACTTCCTCAGAAGCTTCCCCCACAGTAACATGCACATACACTTTTAAAGGAAGACCCATTACCTTCCCAGTTGACTTGACCCCCTTCCAGATGCAGAAATAGACAATGACCCAAGTCGTGAGCAGGCAGAGGATCAGCTGCCAGCTGAGCTCTCCCGGTTCACCCAGATCCCCCGAAATCCGCAGCACCTTGTTCCTAAGAGGTGGGAGACGAAGTGGAGAGGGAAATTAGCAGGGGCCGTAGCTTGAGCATGAGGAAGACAAGAAGAAAAACCATTTGCCCCTGTCCTTATCTAGTGCTGACTCTACCATTTAGAAATATTCAAAATATTGAGTGAGTTATAAGTGATTTAATATGAAGCACCTCACTTCAGATGACAGATTTCTTGTCTGAACCATTCTTCCCCCTCTCTTTCCGGTCTCCCCTCATTCTTCCCCACCTGACCCTGTGAATTCAGGAACCTTTCCTGCAGGCCCCACACCGCACCGCCCCCCAAGAGACCGACATCCTGGTATCCCTTTAGGGAACTAGCACCCACTCACTCCCAGAACTCTATGATGGGCGAACGCTGGTCAGCCAGGTTGCTGCAGTTTCTGGCAGTGCTGCTGTTGTTGGTGGTGCCATTGTTGTCGCAGCCGCCCAGGCCAAAGAGCTCAGTGCACTGGGGGGTGTTCCAGGAGTGGCCGCAGGTGGCCCAGGGCAGGGTTTCCGTCAGCGAGTGCACCAGGTAGAAAAGGCCCCAGACGAGGATCATGATGTAGTAAGAGTTGCAGAAGAAGACAATGACCATAGAGGCCAAGCCCAGGCCTAGGGAGAAACGAGATGGTCAGAGGCTGGCTCAGGGGAAAGCGGAGGAGGCATGCGGTTCTTCCTGAGGGAAGGGCAGCATGTTCAATTCCCACCAAGGCCTGGCTTGGGCATGCAGTGAGAATGAAGTGGTAGAGTCCCAGCCTGGTAGAGCAGAATGTACCACTTTACCTTCCAGGTGAGAGATCATATCTTGAATGCTCCCTTACGTGAAAGGAAAGGGAAGACCTCCCTGCAAATAGAAAATAAGCACTGTTTTCCATCTCCTGGTTTTTTGGTTTTTTAAAAAAACAAGGAAGTGGGGTGGCCCCTCACTGACAGCCTGAGATCCATTGAAAGCTGCCTTGTCCCAAATTCAGATCATTGATCCATCTACCTCAGTACTGTCCACACTGACTGGCAGCAGCCCTCCAGAATTTCAGGCAGGTCACATCTCCAGGTATCATACTTAGATACGTCAGGGATTGAACCTGGCACCTTTTGGATGCCACTGAGCTACAGTCCGTTCTGGCACTTCCAACACCCCACAACCTCACTGTGCTGTATGCGCAGACTAGGCCTAAGCCCTGCCCAACTCCATCTCCTTTTTCCATGGCAACTTTCCATCTGAGCTGCATAGCTGATAGCGAAGGCAGCATAGACTCTACTGGGGAGCAGAGCGGGGAATCTGTGCCAGGGAAACCTCGATTCTGCATCATGGGAAGCTCACCTGTATAGCCTACATGTTGTTGCTGCTATTATTCATTGCCTGCCCTTCACACTAAGGTCCCAGGGTGTTACTACAATTAAAACACAACTTTTAAAAACAGTTTAAAGCAACTTTCTATCGCTCACAGAAATAAGGTGGGTCCCGAAAATAAATTATCTCTGCTGAAAGGTCTCTTTAAATTTGAAGGTTCCACAAGATGTGTATTTCTTGAAAGGCCAGAGCAAATAACGTGACCTAGTTTTACAGCTGTGAAGCAGTATAGAAGGTGCTGTTAAGTTGTGTTAATTAAGCTGTTGGGTATAGTATATAAAGAGCAACACCTAGCTCTCTCAGTACCCTGGTGGTTGAGTTGGTGAATGGGTCATGCTTATTGATATAATTAATGTAAAAGGAGTTTTTGTTTTTGTTATTAAAACCTAGCTAAAGTTATTTTGCGTTTCTTGAATATGTGTTCTCCCCAGCAAGCTTTCTGCAGTGCAACTCTTCTGCAAGTAGCCAACAATCTCATGTGTCAAAAGCCAGGACAAAGAGGTGTGTCTTCATATACAAACGAAGCATCCGTTTACCTTATCTGCACACTTTATTCTGCAAGGCAAGGGGAAGGCCAAGACTCTGTCAAAGCCCCAGCTCCTCATTCAGCCCCCAGTCCAAATTCTGAGCTATCACAAGAGACATGGCCCGCATGCTTTCAAGCTTCCCGGCACCACGTCCTGAAATAACCTTAAGGGCTTTAAAACTTGCTCTGAATTCTTCATCCAATACATTATTCAACGTGTCGGCAGAATCCTCCTGCGGTAGCCCCACGTTACCCTGACTGCTAATGTACGTAGAGGGCTGGATATGAGGCATTTCAGGCCATGCGTCAAAACGCATTTACCGATTGCACAGCCGTTGCTACCAGCCCTTTCGCCTCATCTGCCATGTCCATCTCCTGCCCCCTCCCAAAAAACCCGGTGTGCTAGTGTAGCCTTATCTATATGCCTGGGAAGCTGCCTTGCTTGCTGATGTAGGCCCAGCTCTGTAGGCCCAGTCTGGATAGTTAGCCTTGGTGAAGACTTGAGCTTTTCATCCCCAAAAAAGTTTTTGATTGAGTTTCCACTGAAATGAGGCTGCATTTTAATGTTCTAATCTTGTTTTTTAAGGTGTCTTTCAATCAATTGTTTTTATATTTGGTGTTAGCTGCCCTGAGCCCGGTCTTGGCTGGGGAGGGCGGGGTATAAATAAAATTGAATAATAATAATAATAACAATAATGCACAATGCAACGTTGGAGGGGTGGGGAATCGCAGGTGGCTAGTATTAAGAAGTGACAAAATCAGTGGTAGCGATTCTCCACTCACAGGCAGACTCAGTCCTGTGTCTACATGCGCAGGCCCCACCCCACGCTCTCCATTAACTCAAAGGGAGGAGTCCATCCTCCAAGCAGCTGCTTAGTAAAGGGCCTCAGGGAGCCCTCTCTGCTGCTGCTTTCCAGCGCTGTGCTAGTTCTTCTACAGCAAGGGCGGAGGTAGTCTGGTTGCACTCCGGCCCCAGCCGGCGACGGCCCATGTTCAAAGTTGGAGGGAAGTGCAGCGCAACATCATTTGGAGCGCCACTGATGTTTCCTCATCCTTGGCCTGTCGAAATGGTTGCCAGGCCTTCCAGGGAGGAGTTTCCACATTGAACCAACGAGCCCCCAGCCCCAGCCAGGCATCCACCATGGAATCCCCGTGCAAGGTTCCTTGGCAGACAAGCCGATGTGGGGTCTTCTTCCCTGAAGGGCAAGTCTTGTTTGAGCTGTTCAGCAAGGCTCAAATGACGCACAGGAAGGCTTGCTGAAATCCACACTTGACAGACTCCCTCTGCAAACTGTAACTGCCTCATTGTCTGAGGCCCAGCTTGTCTGAGGCCTGGCGTGGGAGTCTTGTTATAAACTCAAAAAAGCAGCTGGTCCCTGCTGGAGTCCCCCGGCCAGCTTAGCCCTCTAAGGCCTGGGGCAAGTGTTCCCCGTTGCCCCCCACACTCTGCACAGGCCTGGCTGAGGGGGTGGCAGCCACAAAAGGGGGCAGCCTCCCACCCAGCCCCTATATAATTCAAGCCATGCCCCAGGTTACATGAGAGCACATTCTTAGAGCCCTTGGCATTTTCCTAAATCTGAATGTTTTTGGGGGGTGGGGGTAGGTTGGTTAGGAAGGACATTATTTCAAGCAAACATGTCTCTTGTTACTGAAACCCTAATACGCCTCTATGTCACGCTGGGGACCCAAAGAGCGCAAATGGAAAAACCTCTGCTCTGGTAGGAGACTCTCTTGAGCTACCTAAGTCCAGTGTTGGGCCCCTGCAGAGGCCACACAACTTCAAAGGGCCTCACTGCTCCCCATGGGCTCTCTCCCTCTGCAGGCCTGTATGGATTGGGCCCAGAAGCAAGGAGGTAGGCACACTTCAGGTATCTCTTGGGCCTAGTGCACTCAAAAGCCTAAAGCCGGCCCTGAGAATATGCCTTTTCCCTGGCAGCAACACCTAAGTGGCTCCTAAGCATAGCCTGCTTATTATGTGGTTCACATTCCAAGCCTTTTTACCTTTGAAGAGTGGGGCGATGTTCCAGGCAGAGATCCCACCTTGCTTCATAAACTGCCCAAGGGCCACCTCCAGGAAGAAGACGGGGATCCCCCCGACAAAGACGATTAGTAGATACGGAATCAGGAACACACCTGTGCAGAAATCGGGAGTCAGCCCTGTTGCTGTAAGAAGCACTGCAGAGGGGTATGAGAGATGGGGCCTTTTTGGTGGTGACCCCTTAAAACTCTGGAAACCCCTCCCAGGAGAGTTCTGTCATCCTCACTCTCTTTTTGTGTGTGTTTGACACCCGCTTAGAGGACTATACTCCTAACCCCACTTATCTAGGAGTAAGCCTCCTTCCGAGTAGCCATGGTTAGTCTTCTGCTCTGTTTTGAATCTTTCGCTCTGTGCTGCTGTCATCTTAATTGCACATAAACTGTGCCATTCGCCCACCCCCACCCCCGCTTTTAAATCATCTCATTGTTAAGATATTTTTAGAGGGTTTATTTTTGGTGAGCTGGTTTGAGTATAAATTGTACAGAACAGTGAAGGCAAACAACCCAATTAAATGAATAAATTAAATAAAAAGTAGCTGGTCTGGCTCAGCAGTTTCATACGGATGCTAGGAGAAATGTGGACCCAAAGGAGTCAGATCCTGAGAGTTTTCCCCATTTTCATAGAATTACAGGGTTGGGAGGGACCCCAAGGGTCATCTAGTCCAACCCCTGTAGTGCAGGAATCATGGCTTTCTCTTCCTTGTTGTTCACCAACCTGCTATACAGGGTGGGGTGGGGATGTTGATCCCTAGCTCCTGCAATGGGTTCTTGTACATTTAGGAGCATCTATCTAACCTCTCTAGCCTAGCACTGTCAACACTAATTTGCAGCAGTTCTCCAGCATTCCAGACAAAAGGAAAATGTCCTACAAGGATACACAAAAGATTGAATCTGAGACCTTCTGCCGGCAAAGCAGATTCCCTGTCCTCAAGCTAGGTGAGGCTCAGTTTCATAGCACGAAGCCATCAAAAGCAGCATACAAGACACACAAACTCAGGTTCTGAAAACAAAGAAACTCTAAAAACAGTAAAACCTGCTTTACCCATTCTAAAAACAATGTCAAGAATTCTTAAAAATATGTATGTAATTTTTGTATATTGTTATTTCCCCACTGTATAACTTTACTTGTTGTTTTTTGCTTCTTCCCTGCCCTGGGATTGAAAATATTCAATGAAGAGCGTGTTACAAATACTTCAAATCAATCAACCCGCCAGAACAAAGTCTCAGTAAGGACAAGACATCATCTAACCACCTCCAGGTAAGCTGTCCGCAAGCAAAACCAGGATGAATGCTCAACAAACAGGTTGACAGGAGGAGTGCATGTGAGCTTCTAGCACTGAAAGAGACGTGGGTGGCGCTGTGGGTTAAACCACAGAGCCTAGGACTTGCCGATCAGAAGGTCGGCAGTTCAAATCCCCATGACGGGGTGAGCTCCCGTTGCTCGGTCCCTGCTCCTGCCAACCTAGCAGTTCGAAAGCACATCAAAGTGCAAGGGAAGGTAAACGGCGTTTCCATGTGCTGCTCTGGTTCGCCAGAAGCAGCTTAGTCATGCTGGCCACATGACCCGGAAGCTGAATGCCGGCTCCCTCGGCCAATAAAGCAAGATGAGCACCGCAACCCCAGAGTCGGCCACGACTGGACCTAATAGTCAGGGGTCCCTTTACTTTTACCTTCTAGCACTGAAGGCATTCCCTGGCATCCACTGCACGCAATCCTTTCTTGAGCATCTGCTTCTGTGTCCTAGAAACTGAATCCTATGGACACAAACCAGTGGACAAGGCCTGGGACCCAGTATTCATACTGCTCCGTTTTCAAGTGAATTCTCCATGGCTAACATCCACGGACCCAGTGGCCTTTAAAGGTGGTTTGTTTCACTCTGCTAGTTCTGTAGTCACATGGCCTCGATTTTATCTCCTCTATGTTATTTCCCCCATTGGCTATTTTCGATGCAGGTTATACATAAACCCAGTTTGAATTGCGTTGCTCACTACATGGATCGAATAAATCAGCGGGGGCACAGAATGATTCATCTGATGATTTCCATAGCAGTTTTGCATCTGTGGGTAGGGATGCCTGCTATACTTTCAGACACTGGTGGAGATGGAGCGTGTTCCCCCCCCTTCTTGTGTTACAAAACCCTTTGAAAGAAAAGCATCCCAGACTGTTCAGCTCGGCAGCACAGAATCCGCTTGCAAAATCAGATTCGCTCATCTGGTCTCATTGAACCGAGACTAATCTTCCCACCCGGCTAAGGTTTGAGAAGTCAGTGAGCCAATGAGTGTCCACAGCAGCTCCTTCGCTCTCCCCTCCTTCCCACCCTCTGGAACATCATGTGACGCTGCACACACACTTCCTCAGCTGGGTATGTGGGTTATGCTTTTCCCAGTGGCCGCGAGAGATGAGTACAGGGTGGAAGGAAAGCCATTAAGGTCCCACATGGAGGAATAAGAGCAGAAAGGAGCAGGAGCACCACAATTCAGAATCCAGGACTGAATCAGAAGGCTCAGCTAAGGAATCTGATTTCAGCACTGGGTCTAAGAGAAGCAGAGCAACAATACAGAACGATGCCTCTGAGCATGTGCAGAGTTATCCCAGTTTTCCATTTCCACATGGAATGAAAATAAGGTTCTCAGGAAAAAGAGGGATGTCAGGCTAGAGGAACCACTACTGCTCCCATCAGCTTTGACTACTGGCCATGCTGGTCAGGGCTGCTTGAGTCCTGTAACAACTGGGGAGGCAGTGGTTTCCCATCTCTGGGCCAGAGCCTGGCAGTCCTTGGAGAGTTAGAAGCAATTTGAAAGAAAGAGTTTTGCTCAAAAAGTATATGCATGTGTCTCACTTTTTTCTTCTCTGATAAAAGGATTCTGTAGAGTGGGGTTAAAAAAAAAAAGTTTCCAGATCTGACAGTGGGACAAAGTCAACTGAGTCACTTTCTTACCTCTTAAAAACGACTGTTTGTCTCCAGCCTTACTTACTTAACCAGGTTCCAATTAGAAATAATGCACGGTCAGGGATTAGGCACATTTCAGGGATGGTGCAAAATTTTGCAGCTGCAAAAGTTGACTGGGCAGGTGGGGCTGCAGCCGATGCTCGTCCTACTCAGAGTAGATCCACTGAAGTTAATAGATGTGACTAACTTCGGTTCATTAATTTCAACAGGTCTGCTCTGAACAGAACTTGGCTGGATATAGCCCCATGATTATTTACCAAGTGGTAGCTTAGCACACTGCTAACGGTGCATGGAACTAGTTAGGCTGTGAGCATATTCACAGGCAGAAGAGAGAATGTTGTCATGCTCCTCGCCGTCTCCCTCGGGAAGTTGTGGGCCCTCCTTACTATGCAGAGGTTGGATGGTCTTTTGTCATGGATGCTTTAGCTGAGATTCCTGCATTGCAGGGGGTTGGACTAGATGACCCTTGGGGTCCCTTCCAACTCTACAGTTCTATGATTCTATGCTGCTTCTGTGTCAAGTTCAAGCACATGGTAAAAATGCACATGGTGAAGTGAAAAAGGAATGGGAGTGCCTAAATGAATACCTTAAAAGCCAAGGTTCGAGGACAGAAATCTGGCTGTGTCTGGAATAACCTTGTGAAGTGAAAGAATAAGAAAGAGGGATTTATATCTAGATGCTAGGATAGAGATGATAAAGAAAACAGGAAGACACAATGAGAGGTAAAGGAGGTGCTGTGGGATTGATGGAAGTCAACGTTTGTTTTTCTTTTTAGTGTTTATATTATTAATTTGTAAGATTTGGATTTGTGGTTTTTTGTATGCTTGTTTTTGTGTTTTGTATATTGTTATTTTTTGTTGTTTGTGTGTGTGTGTGTGTGTGTGTGTGTTGTGTGGAGAATACTAAAAAAATTAATAATTAATAAAAAATAAAAATCCCATACACCACTTGCTACATGTATTTGTATACTTGCGGTTGTCTTCTACCACTTAGGGATGAAAAAAAATTCTCATCTGCATTGACCCAGGCTAACCAGAAGTGAACAGAAGAAGCTACCCATAAAATGCGACAGGACACAGAACAGGGAAGATGATGTTATGGCCATAGGAACAACAAAAAATGGGTTGGGTACTATAGGGCACCAGGATGGTTTTGCTCCTTGCAAGTCAATAGAAGCTACCTCTTCCCAGATCAGCTCCAAGTTCAAATTCTTTACTTCCTCCAAAAAAGAGTGTCCATTTTCAGAGAGGAGTCTTCTCGCGCTCAGTTTAGACACCCGCTCTCACCCACCAAACCTGGTCCACCCCCCCATCCCCCATGGCCACCTCCTCACCTCCTCCATTCTTGTAGCAGAGGTATGGGAAGCGCCAGACGTTGCCCAGCCCCACAGCAAAGCCAACACAGGACATGATGAAATCCATCTGCCGGGTCCAGGTCTCCCGCTCAGGAACGGGCAGCTTCCCGGGGCCCACGGGTACCACCAGAGGGTCAGTGATGGCTCTCCCTTCATGGCTGGACTCTGCTGTGCCACCAGTTGCCTCAGCACCCTCTGCCTCAGCCAGCTCTGAGCACCCACTGCCCTCTGTCGAGGCAAAGAACAAAGAATTAGTCAAATCAATCAATAGGTGTGGGGGATCAAGCCAGCTTTTGAACAATCTCAATCGATGGCTGAAAAGGAAAATTAACCTGAGCTTCCTCCTTTTGAGCGTGTCTCCTTAATTCCGGTCGCCTACTTTTTGCCACCCAACTTTCACATTTATCTCTGCCACCAGCAGGACTCGAAACTTAAAATTTCAGCAAGAAACAGAACCTGGAAGGTTCAGGAGCCATCTGAAAGAATGTACTCCTCCACTTTTTCTTTTCCAGAAATGTATTGTTTCATTTTTGGCATATAAATACCAGTAAAACAGTACGTAACGCATGACAAAGAAACAAAAAGACATGAGCATCGGTCAAATTTTAGTATCAAATAAAGTGACATTTTTGTGGCTTGTCCTTGTTTAGTAGTTCTTTCCTTCACAGGCTGTAAATTGCCTAGTTTTTATTCATTATACAAATGGACAGCAGCGCTTGCTTTTACCCTGGGAGAGATATTCAGGGAGGAAACCTAATGATCCACGGAAGCTCACCCTTTCCTGAGTGTCATTTGCAAGATCACTTACTATGGGTTAGTTATACCTTAGCAACCTTCAGCTGTACCCAGCGAGTTGCACATGGATAACACTGCCATCAGCCTGGAGCAAGGTCTGGAGTGCCACACAGCTCTCTGTCTTAAGGTCCTGTGCTGCTAAACATCTTTATAAACGGCTTGGGCGAAAGAGTAGCTTATCAAATCGGTATGGCACAAAGCGCGGAGGAGACGCTAATGCCACAAAAGTCAGAACCAAGTCTTAAAAAGACCTCAACAGGCTGGAACGCCGGGCCAAATCCAACAAGATGAAATGCAATAGAAATTCAATAGAAATAGGTACTAAGAATCAATAAGCAAAAATACAGGACTGGGGCTGGGTGAGGTTGGTGGGTTTGAGAAGAGAGACCTAGCTTTGTATCAAAGCAGCTGGAAAGGATTTACCGTATTTTTCGCTCTATAAGATGCACCAGACCACAAGACGCACCTAGTTTTTGGAGGAGGAAAACAAGAAAAAAAATATTCCAAATCCCAGAAGCCAGAACAGCAAGAGGGATCTCTGCGCAGCGAAATCAGTGATCCCTCTTGCTGTTCTGGCTTCTGGGATAGCTGCGCAGCCTGCATTCGCTCCATAAGACGCACGCACACATTTCCCCTTACATTTTAGGAGGGAAAAAGTGAGTCTTATAGAGCAAAAAAATAGGGTAAGCATCTTAGATTATTGTGAGCTAAGCATGAGCCGGCGGTGAGACACAACGGCGTAAAAAGCGAATGCATTCATAGGTTGCATTAACAGATCACAAGGAGCAATAGTTCTACTCTTAGTTTGCACTGGTCCGACTGTGCCTAAAATACAGTTCTGGTTGCCACATTGTAAGACAGACATTGATCAGTGGAAAGGGTGACCAAGAAAAACACAAGGGGTCCTGGAAACAAAGAAGAACGGCTGAAAAAAGTTGGGTAAGTTTATAACCTGGAGAAGAGAAGACTCCACAAGACATGATGGCCATCTTCGAATATCTAAAAGGCTGCCCCACAGAAGTTGGGAGGAATTTGCTCTCTGTCGCTCCAGAGGGCAGGACCAGAACCAACCAGTGTTAATTGCCAGGAAGCAGAATTCAGCTAAAAGAGTTAGGAGCAACGAACTGGCGAAAGCTGTTCAACAATGGAACAGTCCACCTTGGGAGGTGGGTGGGCTCTCCTCCGATGGAGGCAATGAAGCAGAGGCTGGACACCCACCTGTTAGGGACGCAGTGGCCGCATCCAGGTATTGCAGGTCCCGCGTGGAGCAGAGAGAGCTGAACTAGGCAGTCTCTGAGGTCTCATCTGAGTCTATAGCTTGTGACATTTTGGTGCCTCTAGCTGCTGCTTTAGAACATCTGGGTGCTGCAGCATCACTTGGGCAGCGCACCACCCTGCCCCTTGCCCTAATCCTTTTCATATAGAGTTACAGGTGATGTAAGCATTCTAATCAGTGTTAATAGTTGTCATAGTGGCCAACCAGAAACCTGTGGGAAACCTGCAAGCAGGACCAGAGCACAAGAGCTCCCACCTTCTCCTGCGGGTTCCAGCAGTGGGTAAAATGACTCCCCCTAATGCTATGGCTTTGCTCTGGAGCCTCTTGCTTCCCTGGCCTGGCCAGGGCAGGAGTGGCACTCGTTTCCCAGGTCGAAAATCAATGCCTCAGCCTGTGCCAAGGAGCTAGCTTGGCATCACTGCCTGCTCTTTGAGGCCCATCTCTGCTTTCTCGCTTCTTCGAGCGCCAAGTACTTCAGAAACACTTGGGCGGCTTAACGAAGGCAGGAATTTTCCAGGCCTACCTTTTATATAATGAGCAAAACCCTTTAAAAGGGGGGGGGAGGAAACACACACCAAAACCCACCCTCTTTCATTCTGGAGTCCTAGTTTCGACGTCACAATGCAGGGTGGTGAGTCACCCACTAGGCAGCGATGCTGAATCCACACATTCACACACATGCAGAGGGAGTCACAGGAACCCGCACATCAGGAATCACGCTCACAATGGGTTTGCACACATGCACAGACACACACTGAAGTGCATACTGGGCTGTTGCACATGGTGGTTTCCATTTCCCCCACCCTCAATGAGCTGTGGGATGGGTGGGATCCCTTTTCCCTTCCTTCTTTCTTTCTGAAGCCACTGAAATAAAGGCTGCGTACGCTCCATACACGCAAAGCACATTTAAAGCATACTATTTCACCCCAAATAATTGTGGGAACCGCAGTTTACCTCTTGGGCATATAATTCCCAGGGCCCACTGCAGTTCCCAGGATTTTGGGGGACTGCGCTTTGAATGTGTGGTGTGTACGCAGCCGAAGAGAGAGTTAGCCGGCTCCTCTCCCCTTCCTTCTAGCCAGCAAAGAAGTGCCATGCCAGAGACAAAGCTCATAGGAGAAACGTGGGGGTCTGCACTGGAAAGGGTGTTTTCCAGCACCGTCGTAACTCTCGCTGTCGCCAGCCCTGCTCAACGGGCAACCCAAATTCCTCAAAGAAAACAACCTTGCCCTGGGGAAAGCCCAGAAAATCTCCTTTTGTGTTGAGCAGCCTCTGCAAAACCAGGGTGGAGGGTGCGGATGACCCGTTTTCAACAGCAACAACAACAAAAAGCCCCCGGAAGAGACAAGAGTTGGTGAGCAGAGCAAAGCAGCAAACAACAGCCCAGACACAAAGCCCCTTTTCCTCGTTGTCTGGCTTCCCTCCCCCCACAGCCAACGTGCATCCAAGGCCCTGGCATGTGACGGAGCTAATCCTCCCCACTTGTGGGGCTGAGGCTGCCGGACACCCTTTGCCTACCCCCCCTCCCTCGCCTGGGTACAGATCAGCCACTTAGTTGGCACCACTCACGGGCATTCTCTTGGGCAATGCTACAAAGAGCACATGCTTTCTCAATAAAAAGGAATGAGGGCAGGGAGGAGGTGATTGGAGGTTGATGGTTGCACACAAAACAATCTTGTTTTCTCTCACACAAATGTACACACACACCTTCTGCTCCAGCTGAGTTTTTGCCTTATAAGGGGCTGATGCAGAGAAACCTCCAAGTTCTTCTTTTTGCCAGCTGCCCTCGTCTTGGAGAACCAGCCTACACGAACCTAAGAAGAATCCTGCTGGATCAGGGCCAGTGGCCCATCTAGTCCAGCACCCTGTTTTCCCAGGGGCCAACCAGACTCCCCTTATGGGGAACCCGCAAGCAGGATACCTGCTTCGGACATGTGGGCATTCAGTGCCAAACAGCAACTGTAGTGCACTGGTGATTAAAGGTGGGTCACAGGACAGCAGATCCACCACCACAGAAATATGTGGTATAAAGATAAATTTAACAATAAGAAATCGGTCTCCAAACGCACGTTTCGGTTAAAGGGGTCTGAAAAAGCTGGAGGCTGCTGCTGCTTTAGACTACACGCCCTGAGTCCATAGCCCATTGACTCCACATGAGTTCCCCTGGAATACTCACCCTCCCGGTTCTGTATTCAAAAGAATCCCTAACTCTGATTAAACCTCCTGCCGCCACTCCTGCCTTCCAAAGGAGAGGGGGAAATAATGGAGAAAGGGAGAGAGCCATAAAGTACATAAAGTGTGTGCCCCGGGCACAGCACGGAAAGCCGCAAAGCACAGGGCATCCTGGCAGAGAGAGGAGAGAGGCAATGAGCAGGAACACCTTGGCAGAGACAGGACGTACTTCTGGCACAAGGCGGGGAGAGATGCCGGCGGGGCAAAAGGCGGATACAGCCCAGCTGCTTGAACCCATCCATCTCAGGAGGCTCGGTGACGGCAGCATTTGAAAGCAGAGTCTATTGTACTAAGTCTCAGTCCGGAGTCGAGATGGGGCACTGCTCTGTTCACCTGGGTCGCCACTGATGGGTCGCCAGTGATGCTTCGCAGGTGGCACGCAGCCGGGCTGCTACTTACCTGAGCCCATCCACAGCGGGAAGCAGGGTAGGAGAAAACGAGGACTCCCTGAAACCCCACACCCCGGAATGCAACCCGGCCCTACTTCCGATGCCAAGCCGGCGCTTACCTGAGCAGGTCTCGGTGGGCACTGGAGCCATTGGCACACTGGGCTAGCGGGCAGGAGGCTGAGACGGGTGTCGGGTGTCGGGAAAGCTGGCTCCGGGTCTTGGGAGGGGATCTCGGCGCGGTCTCAGAAGCAATCCACAAAGCACTTGAAGGTGAGACGGAAGAACCTCATTGATGGGGATTTACACCAGGGAAACGGGCTGGGGCGGGCGAGGGTCTGGGCAGGGCCTGGAGCTCAGAACCAGGCGGCGCGGGCAGCGCTGAGACGACGCTCCATCGCTCAGCTCCGGCAGCGAGGCTTCTGGCTCTTCGCAGCAGAGGCGCAGCAGAGAAAGGCAGCAGACGCGGCGACTCCGGTTTGGCCCCCGCCCCGCTCGCGCCTCATTGGCCCGCCGCTGCTGGCATCAGGCCTGCCGCTTGCATGTCGGGAGATGGAGTCCGGGGTGGCGCTTGGGTACCATGGAAATGCTGGGAGATGATGGAGGCGAGCAGGTGCACCAGTGGGCAGGGTGGAGCCAGAGAGAGAGAGAGAGCAGGGCCGGGATTCTGCAAGCGCAGGAGCGAAAGGCGCGCAAAGCCCGGCGCAGAGGTTTGGTTCCGCTTTCTAGCCAGGGATCCGAGTTGCTAAGCAGGAAGCGAAAACAAGGCTCGCTCACTCAACCATTTGTTGCAACCCTTTCCTTGTGGGGGGCAGAATAGTTTGTGCAACTACACAGGCTCCTTCCGGGTAGATTTCTGCCTAAACTTTCTGGGGAAGTCTTTCCTCTCCTCCCACCCCACCCCGGCATTTTCGCAAGCATCATCTTAGCTTTGCGGGCAAGGGAGTTTGTTTACCTAAATCTACCTTCCTGTGGCTAAAATCCGCAGTTGCTTAAAATGAAGCGGCCGGTGTTAAGGTTTCAGGTGGCCGCGTAAGAGAAGCCCACAGGCCATCAGGAAGGCAGATAAACCTTGCCAAACAGCCGACGCTGCACAGTGAGGTATTTGGAAATAGGGTGAACGTGTAGATGAGAACATAGAATTCCAATTAATTTGTAATCCACTGGTAAAGGGCAACCCAGAAAGACTTATTTAAATATCCCCTGGGTCTGTAGATGTATATATTGAGGAAGCTGGGATAACTCTAATCAGTAGAGCAGGAGGCTGTTAATCTCAGGGTCCTGGGTTCAGATCCAGGTTGGGCAAAAGATTCCTGCATTGCAGGGGGTTGGACTAGATGACCCTCATGGACCCCTCCAAGTCTACAATTCTGTGATTCTTTCAAAATGGCAGAAAAGCAATCGATGGAGTGGGAAAGTATATATAAATGTTCTAATGGACAGAGAGTAGCAAAGCAAACTTAGTAAAATAATAAAGGGAATAGCATTACTAGGTATACCGTATTATTGATTGATTACATTTATAGCCTTTTCTTCAATAAGCTCAAGGCAGTGGCTCCCTTGCTCCTCATTTAAACCTCACAATAATGCTGTAAGGTTAGGCTGAGAGTCAGTGACCAGCCGAAGGCCACACAGTGAGTTTCATGTCCAAATGGGGATTTGAACCCTGGTCTCCCAGCTCCTAGTCCAACATTCTGACTGCTTTATCACACTGGCTTTCAAACAGAACACAATTAAGAAAATGTTCGATTGGTTTGATTTAGGAAAATATCTTAACAGGAATCTAAAGTATCTTTGTGGTGGAAGGAAGAGGAAAAGAGGTGGCTGGGGCTTCTCATCCTATAGTGCAATCTGTTTTCAACATGCAAATTTAAAAAGGAATTGAGCCTTATGGTGACCCTGTGGGGAAGAGATTTGTGCAGAAGTATTGCGGATTAATTTGGGGAAAAGAATGGGAATGATTAGGAAATGGCAACATTAAAACAACTGAATCAAGGTAATGATGTCTCTGCCTACCAAGAGTTAATTGAACGAAAGGGGTAATAGACTCCAAATATTTTCAGTTGAGAAATTTTGGGTCCAAAATAAATTGAGAAGGAATTATGTTAAGGAAGGAAAGTGGATTAGAAGTATTATTAACAAAGAGAAAATAGAAAAAATGATATAAGAGGTATAATATATCAACACAGTTGATCTGACAAGAATATAAAAACTTTGATGAAGGTGCGTACCACTTCCTCAGGCCTTGTGTCACACCCTCCATGGGTGTTTTTACATGGCTGGAATGTGTCCTTAAACTTTTATTATATCTCTTGCTTATCTGGAAGGGGTTTATGAGGTGTGTGTTCAGGAACTAGCTGACTGTACAAAGGTTACGATTGACACTCACTTCTTGGCCCACATTAGCCTCTGGTCATGCCCCTGATACAGTGGTACCTCGGGTTAAGTACTTAATTCGTTCCGGAGGTCCGTTCTTAACCTGAAACTGTTCTTAACCTGAAGCACCACTTTAGCTAATGGGGCCTCCTGCTGCTGCCGCGCCGCCGGAGCCCGATTTCTGTTCTCATCCTGAAGCAAAGTTCTTAACCTGAAGCACTATTTCTGGGTTAGCGGAGTCTATAACCTGAAGCGTATGTAACCTGAACGTATGTAATCCGAGGTACCACTGTATATTGGAAAATGCTTATTAAAGCCATAGCAAGTTGCTATATGGCTCCATTGAGGATAAAGTTAATGCCTCTAAAGCAGAATGCTGTGGATGTACATCTCATAAGGAAGATACGATACTGCCTGGATATCCAAAAAAAATTGGATAAAAATATTAAGATTACCAAAACAAGTTTTCATTTGGATTCAAAAGTTTTAAATGTACTACCCACTAGCCCAAGCTGTGTCTGCATTGTTTATAGCACCAGGCTGTGTCAAACTTCTTCCTGAGGTTGAGAAACTTGTGTTTCGTTAACGGGAAGCCGCGTTTCTCAAAAGATGGCTCCATGTTGTACAAAACACATGCGGCCTGGGGGTGGGGAAGGAAGGTGGTCTTCCTAAGAACACATAAGCTGGGGCAGGAAGAATTTGAAAGTGAGAATGAACCCTCCTCTGGAACGCCTCCTCTGGAAGGGTTAGGGTTAGAATATGGGCCTACCCTCCAAGCAAGGCCGGCTCTGCCATTGGGGAGAGTGAGGCAGCCGGTGCCACCTCAGGCAGCTATTTTCGCTGTGAGGCGAAGGCCGGAAGCTGTCGTTTATCGTTACTGCATTTATTATTTCTTTATTTATATACCACCCTCAATCCGAAGATCTCAGGGCGGTTTGCGAGATAAAAACACAGGATAAAAACGCAAAATAAATAGTTCAGACCAAAACAAAACAAACCCCTTCGCGCTGCCAAGGAGCAGGGGAAAGGCGTTTAGACCACCTCAGAGGACAATAATAGTTTATTTGCTGGGTGGGAGTGAGGTGCCATTTGCTGCTGTGCCTCAAGCAGCAAAAATGTCTTCAGGCAGCCCTGAAGATGACTCAGGAAACGGCGACGCAGAGCGTTTTGACCATTTGAAGCGGGGAAGAGCTATGTGCAGAAGGAAGATTATTATAGCTTCCTGCCCGTACGAGATAATGCCCATTCCTTCCCTCCTTTTCTCGCCAGCCCGGCTAACACTTCCTCCCACCCCACCCCCCCAAGCCGCCCATGAGAATCGGCACTGGGAGCACATTCCCATGGATGGCTTGCCCGGTTGCCATGGCGCCCGGTGAGCAAACAATTCCATGGCATGGCTAAGTCTCCCTATATAGCAGGCAGCAACGAGGCTCACAGGGCAAACACACATACAAGGGAGGCCCCTTTTCTCAAGCCGAGGAGTGAGGGTTAATGCCTTAGAAAAATAGGCTGAGGCACAGCCTCCGCCTGCTGCTCCCTTTTGTGATGCGAAAAGAGGCCAAGGATATTTCTGGGGCCTCCTCCCCAATAGGAAGCACATTGTATCTTCCCTGGGCTAGATAGGAAAGTGTGAGAATCAAAGGGAAGGCCGAAGGGCTTCCCACCATTGCGGTGACAGCGTCGTCCAGCAGTTTCCAAACCCTCCGGCTGCAGAGAACCTTTTTTTTAAAATGAAAAATGGGCTTCCCAGCAGAGGAACCTCCTCTTGCACAGACCATTCTGGGAAAAGTTCTGGTGCAGGCAATCCAGAATAAACTATTCACAGCGGTGACAAGTCCATTTGTCCAATTATATATAGAAGCAGATGGGGGGAGGTGGTTTTTAAAAGCAAAATGACTCCCATCCCCACATGGTTCACTTCCCTCATCAGTTCACCCCCCAAGGCGCTTTGCTCTTCTGATAGGCTCCCCTGAGGGGAAAAGGCACTTGTGGATTCAGGCTATGTGGGGGGAAGAAGGGATTTGATTCTCCTCAGCCATATGCCCCTTTCAGTGCCAAGTTTCCGATCTGACCATTTCATCTCGATTGGCCCTCAGCTCATACAAGGTGGTGGTTCAGGACTGCTGGGCCTCCTTCCTGCTCCATGTAAACTCCCCTCCAGTTCTCCATCTGAAGCATGATCAGCAATAGCAGACCACCTGTGTCCAGCAGTGGAAGCCTGTCAGCCATCTTTGAACGCCACTGGTCCATTCTTGTATTCCCAGTTCTTTTTACATTAACCTGGCAGTGGTTACTAACAGCTGGATCTCTGCTACTTTCCAGGTCCTGCCCACCCTTTTCTTGAATTGTTATGTGCTCCCGATATTAAATATGTTCTTCCTTTGGGCTACACAGCACCCCTTTCATTCACTCTGAAGCAAAGCCACTTCCGAATTTCTGTGGCTCACGTGCATTAGAATCAAGTGGGGTTCACTAGGAGGCAAGTTGGCAGGAGGGACATAATTTATGTGTAGGAAGTGAAAACATGTCAGGAAACCAATGGATTTTTATTCTGACAAATATTCAGAGCTCTACGGCAGGGGGTAGGGAACCTGCAGCCCCCGCCTGTTGCCGGGCTACAGCTACTATTGCATCTCTGGCCATTGGGGGGTCACGATCGCTGGATAGATGGGGGTTGAAATCCAACAGCGTCTGATAGGCCACCCTCCACTCTAGAAGCTTCTGTGTGTTGGCTGTTCTTTTTAAAAAAACACAATGCAACCGTGGCCATTGCTACTTACACTATCTCCCCTTTTGAACTGTTTTTTAGTCATCTTGTTTTTCAAGTGGAAATTCCTGCACGCAGTCTAGCATCCTTCCCATCCCACCTGTAAGGATAATGTGGTCTTTTCCCTACCAACAGCCTCTCGGTATGAGAGCTTATTCATTACCATATCAGAAGAAATGCTCATTTGCAGAATATTTTATCTGACATGGCAACTTCCGAGTTTCTCATACAGAAGGCTTTATCATCACGTGCAGACTTATCATTTCAATTAGAGACATGAGAAATCAGTCAGTTGTCTGTTATACTTAGCACTACGTATATCACTCTTGTGATGAATATATTTGGTTATAGTTATTTGTGTTACGTTAAGGACTCTGCGTTGTTTAATACTCCTTCTGCTAATCACAGGGAAAAAGAAAAGCTAAATTCCTGGTATCTGAACGTAAGGATGAACAAGGAGCATAACATACTTCTAGTAATTCCTGATCTACAGGCCCTTTCCTATACATTCAACAGTCATTTTATACAGAAGTTAAATCGTGCCACCATTCCTTTCTTTCCCAGCTCCCAGAAGGTATTCGCCAAGGAGACAGAAAGAATGAATGTTCTAATTCAGGTTGCAATTTTTATCTCTACAGTGTTGCCCAGGCTGAGAGCCCATGCCAGGGTGGCATGGCAGCAGACAGAATAGCACACAAGACACAGGAACAAGCGGCGTTGAGTAGAATTTAATGACTCGGGACCCAAGACAAACACCAACTTTATACAAAGACAGAGCAAGACTGAGGCCTCCCTGGGAATGGGCCCAGGACAGCCTCATTTGGTTACAGCAATTCCAAGCATGGATAAAAGGGAACAGGGAGCCAAACATTTAAATAGGAGATGCTACTGGCAGTGGTTCCTCACCCCAAGGGAAGTGTCACAAGGGGCCAAGAAATCCAAAACAACTCTGGGGCAGGCAGCCAAGTAGTAGGCCAAGCCGCAGTTCCATGCCTTCCACGTAGGAGGAGAAGGCATAGCAGCAGGTGCCTCCCAGCAGCCTTCTTTACCCAAACTGCCAGACTAAGCAATGCTGGTGAAAGGGGTGGGTGCGGAAATCAAGGAAACTGGGAGATGCATACTTCTGTCATGAAGGCCCATTTTGCAGCCATGGTGTCCTGAGCTTGGGATACCAAGAAGGAGCAGATGGGAAAGTGAAAGGGCAGGCAAAAAAAAGGGGGGGGGGGCTGTGGAATATTGTGAAGCAGGCACCCATGGTATGGCAAATCGGGAGAAGGCCCCTTAGGGGCAGACACCAATGACACCCACCCCCACCCGCCACCCCCAGTAGAACAGGCTGGGTATGCAAAACAAGGAGTGCAGGGCTCGCCACAGCTCCCCTGCCTCTGTGCAAGGCGACCAAACCAGAACCTTTGGGGCAGGAGATGCAGGAGGAACTGCCGCACCGGGGGCACTCAGTGGGTCTCCCCTGGCACAGGGCAGCCTCTAGTAGGGGGACACGAAGGGAAACCTTTCCAGCTTGCAGGGGAGGAGGAAGGGGGTGGAGCAGAAAGTGCTTGTGTGCTTGAGAAAAGGTCACAGCAGCTCCTCCTCCTTCCCACTGCAGGGGGGACGCCGGGGTGGGGTAGGGCGGGAAGCCACAAAACAAAGCCTTCTTATGTACACCCCACTCGCCACCCACCCCCAGTGCAGAACGACTTAGTCAACTTCCTCCATGTTGCTGTAGGATGGAGCGGGGTGCTCTGCGACCCCCTCTGGTGCCAGTGCGGGAGCAACTTCAGGGGCCAGGTTGGTTCCAAAGGGTGGCGAGCTAATTCCCTGCAAACAGAACAAAGCGTTAGAGAGCAGCCGCAAAGGGTACAAACGTCTCCCTGCCGTGGAAGAAGCTTCTTGTCTTGTTTCCAATATGAAATCTCTATATGCACAATGTTTGAAGGTCCGGAAACAGAGTTCGGGGAAAGAGTTCATATAAATATAAACCTTATTCATTGACTTTGTTCATGAGTTTTATATCCTGCTTGATTGCAAGAAAAACCTCGGAGCAGTTTACAAATGCAAAACGTTACAATTATGTTAAAAAAAATGGTTACCAAACAGCTGTTTAAAGCATTCAAAAATAATCAAAATATAAAATAAGGTAAAACCCAGTTTAAAAAGCATGTCGGATTTCCACATGTCTGGACAGGCTTGCCTAAACGGAAATGTTTTCAGCAGGCACCAGAAAGAGTACAGTGAAGTACTGGCTGATGTCAATAGGCAGAGAGTTCCCAAGTGTGGCTGCCGCCGCACTACAAGATTGATTTCTTACAAATGCGGGAACGAGTATTATGTGGCACCTGTTAACAGTGCCAGATCTGCAAATCAAAGCAGTCAAGTGGACACATATGAGGTAAGGCAATCTCACAAGTAACCTGGTGCCAAGCTGTTAAGCGCTTTATATACCAGATAATGGTTCGACCATGACAAGGGATTGCATCATTGCTCACCTCCTTGGTCCATCCCTCTTATCATCACTTGGAGCAAAGACTACATCAAGAGTGTGCCCTGCCTGGTGTGTTGGGCCAGTGACCATGTGAGAGAGAGCCATGGCTGTCAAGAGGTCATGAAGTCTTGAGCCAGCTCAGCAGCAGTCTATGCATGGATAGTGTAGTCACTCCAACACCTCAACCAGCCTGATCAGGGACACTACTGGGAATCGGGGGGGGGGCATTCTAGAGACCAGCAGCATCCCAATCTGTCTCTCTAGCCCAACACTGGGGACAAACCCCCTAAGCCTTTCCCAACACCAATAAGTTTTATGGCAAAGGAGATGGTGCCTTTAATCCCCAGTAAAACCACTGCCACCCTTGATGCCCCCAGTCTGGCCTGGTGCAGTACTATTAACCAGAGGGGCCCATCCAGCTCACTCACCCAAGTTTCAGTAATGCAAGCCAGATCAGTCCCTTCAGTGTGAGCAGTTACAGCTAGTCTCATCAGTATATTGTTCAATTAAGTGGCACAATTAAACATGGTGTCTGGTAGGCAGGCACCTAAATACGAACTGGTGTTATTGAACAGTCAAATCTTAGGAAATTTTAGGAAGAAATCAGTATTTCTGAGTGTAATACATACAAAGCCTTACTCATAATTCTCTCCTGCTCCAGGCTTGAAGAGTCAGCTATCCGCCTAGAGCCGGGTTTTGTACTTTACACAAAACTGCCCCACCACCCCAAGGATCGCGTGCCAAGGAAACCTACACTCTGTGACCCACATCATCATCATCATCATCATCATCATCATCAACATATAGTTTGCAAAAGGGCATGTAGCTTGTGTATCCTGCTTCTGCAAATAATGGGGAAGGGCAAAAAAGCTACCCTAACCAGTGACTTGAAATCCCACTGAGTTCCTCTTCTACAGATTTCACTAGACATTGCCCATGCACTTCTGGAACTCTTCTTTGAAGATATCCAGGCTAATAACTTGTTTCTTATTTTGCACAAACACTGAAACTCTCATACAGCAAAGTGAGCTTTGCACCAAACTACAGAACACACAGAGCTACAGAGTTATCACCACCAAAAGAATTTAGCCAGTACTATTTCGCTACAATTCAACGAGCGGCCCAACCAATTCCTTGGTTCCCCTTGTGAACCAGTAGCAACAGCAGCTAAAACTGGACAGGCTTGGGAGCCAGCGGGAAGATACATGTGTGGACGCGCAGAACCCCCGTTAAATTTAGAAAGCAGGTGCTGAAAGAAAGGAGCAGCTGGGGAAAGAAAGGAGCCCATCCATATCTCTTTAGAACAGCTTAGGTTTATTAAATACAATAAATAAATACACAGTGAAAGCTTTCCCACAGCACAATGCAATGCCTTTATCCACCCAGCTGGAAGAATGACTTCCTTAGGGTCGGGACGTCTTCACCAGAATTGCACATGGATCAGGCTGTGCTCTTTGGCACTGGTGCGGCTAGAGACTGCCCACTTCCTGGGGCACAGCAGGAGTACCAGCACAGACAACCTGAAAACTGGGCACTGGAGACAAGGCCATATCCCTTTCCCTCCCTGCAACGAAAGGGACGGGGGTGGGTGGGGGAGCCTCTCTGAAAAGTGCTGGGAAGAATGTGCAAGATGATGTTAGAGTTGCGTAATGTTTATGAGTGTAATATTAACAACAAACAATAAAGATACACAAACCAAGGAAGGGGTGTCGCGAAGAATAAGACCTAGGATCACAAGCTCTCTCTTACTTATCTGGCCACAGCCAAGAGCCTAAATCGGGGTACTCAGGATTGAACCTGTAGTCAAAGAGGCACCAGAGGGATCCTGCACTGCACTGGAAAAGCCACACAGCCCGCCGGGCCAGATTAAAAGAACACGAGGCCACTCTGACGCCAGAGCCACACTTCTGTTTCCTCGTGTGCACGCAGACATTGCCTAAGCGTTCAGAAACAGGTACGGGAGCTGTGAGGCAAGTCGAAGTAGTGTCTTCTCTTTAGCTGGGGCCCTGCGCTAAAGAACATTTAGCTGAACTGTGGTCTCACGTCTCGATAGAAAGATTTGTAAGATGCCATAAAACAAAACAAAAAAGATGATGATGCAGTTGGCTGAAAGCCAACACTATCCTGGTGAGGGAACCTAATCCATCAATATTCGGAAGAGTCAGCAATACATTCTCACTCCCTCAAACAATGAGGGAACAGATGCCCGGGGACTTCTTTTCCACCCTGCCTCCAATCACGGCGCTGATGCCCAACTGGGTAAGAGGTCATGACCTTCAACTATTAGGCACATTGGGCAGGGGGCAGCTGTAGACCCAATACAGAGGAACAATTGCAAGGCAGGGAATGGCCAAGACCAACAGATTCCCATCCAGTTAGAGAGACTAATGTTTGTAGCTCTGCAGCCTCTGCTGGAGTTCACAGGTGTGATTCACGCGGGCCAAAGTCTTACAAGGCCGCAGCGCTTTAAAGGGCCTTTTCCCAGTTGCCAATCCATGTGGGACACGGGCCAAGCAGGAGAGAGCAGGTCCTAGACTTGAGGGCTTCTTGATGGGGAGGCATTGGCACTAGGGCTTCTTCTTGCACCCACCCTGGCAGGGAGCATCCAAGGCCTTCGTCACAAAGGTGTAATTGGAGGAGAGCCAAGGCTGAGGCGAGTGAGCTACCCTCCTTCTGGGTGCCATTTCTGCTGCTGCTGCTGCTACTACCTCCAGCGGGTCTGATAGATGAGTGGGTAGAAAACATTCAGTAAGAGGGCCACAATGGCTGCCATGGTGCCCAGGACAAAGTATCGGACACGGCCTTCATCGGGACAGTCTGGGGCGAGGTGCCTTGTTCTTCGGCTGCAAGACCTCCAAGGGCTCCTCATCAGCCTCCTGGCAGCTTCCTCTTCAGCCTCCAGTTCCTGCCAGAGCAGAGAAGCCTGCGATGTGGAAACCTGCGTCAGCACTTGGTGAGAACACAGCGGCAAACCCCTCAGTCACCCACACGCTGCCCTGCCCCTGCCCGGAACAGCCTGCCTGCAAGCGCACCTTTCCCACGGCCGCGGCCCCACAGATTTTCTGCCCCCCCTCGCTATACAGCTCCAGCAGTTCAGATACGGGGGCCTCCCAGGGACAGAGTGAGCAGCACAAGCCACAGAAGGATGGAGGGCAAGCGAGCCCCAGCTTGTCAGAGTGAGGCATCCATGCTGGCTGGCTGGCTGGGGTCAGAGTTCTTCCCCCCCTGTCTGCAAGCGTCAGCACCAGCTCAATCCTTTCAAAAGACCCAGTCACCAAAGTCATCACAGCCCAGACTTCCTTGTATGCGCAAATGCACTGGATCATTCAGCCACACTGGGTGAGAACACGAGGATCATTCATAAACAGCCAATCGCAGTTGAGCTTTTGCTGGTGACAACATGAGGATCTGATGGCAGGCAGTCACATCCAAGCGCTTGCAGGTGGGAACATGAGGATCTTTCGGAAGGATGACAGCTAATCAACAGCTCAGCTTTGGCAAGTGGAAAAACCATGAGGAACATTCAGAGATGGCAGCCAATCATAATCACTCTTGTTTCTTTTTCTTTTTTTTTAAAAAACCACAACAATAACGACACAGTTGCACAGGAGTTAGTTGCAGAGTAACCAGTCACAGACCAGCTCTTCCACGTACAGAAAGATCATTCAGACCAGTCATCCAATCACTGTGATTTCCTAGATAGAGGTTTAAAGGCGGGCAGAATCTGTCTTATCTTCCCCACTCCATCCCTTGGGATCTGGGCACAGGGGGTTCCTGCTGCTTCCAGGCCTCCCATATTCTAAAGCTGGTTGGGGAGGGTGATGTTTTATAGCTGGTTTGAGGCGCCAGTTTCGCTGCACGGGTCAGCTGCCAGAGTCCACAGGCACAAAGGGAATCTTGGCTTAAGGCACACAGGCCCCTCTGGCAGCTTCTCTGAATGGATCTGTCTGCATCCTCTCCTCCCAAGTAGGCCATGTGGTTCCAATCGGTCTTGGCTTGCTGGGCAGGTGGCCAGGGGCAAAACACACCGCCCAGCTCCAGCAAGAAAGGGCAAGAACAATGCGGCCTGCCCCGCAGCACAGCTTCGGAGCTTAACCCCTGCCCAGGAAGCTGTCCTGGGCAAGATGCCACCACACCACATGGCAGAACCCCAGGAGATGCCAGTGCCCCCAACCCAGGTGGCTGGCATTGCCTCAGAAAGCACAGTGCTGGCCTTCCATCTCCCCAGTCCCTACCATGTTAATGGCTGGGAACAGAGTGGAGGGGAAAGAGAAAGGAGAGGCTCTCAAGCCAACAGCAGCGCCGAGTGCACAGCAGTCCACAGTGCTGGAATCAGGCCCCTTAAAGTATGACACCTTGGCCGCTCAGGAACCATGGAATTGCTGTTTCTCTGGCACCATTCCCTCATCAGCTTATTTTGCACGGAACTTGCTACTGTCACCCACAACTCTGAAGCCGGCACCCTCCATATTGAGGGGACCTTTCTCCTCCAGCCAATTCCCCACCCACCTGCAGGCGCGTTCGACTCAGGGCAGCCTTCCTGTTCTTAAGAAGGGCCTCTCTGTTTCTATCAAGACCTTCCCCTGACAGCCTTGAATGCTTGTCATTTTTCCAGGACACAACTGTTGGAAGGAGGCCCACAGCCCAGCCAGAGCTGTGAGGGGGAGCCAGGAGTCCCTAGGCTCCTCTATCAGCAGTAGCGAGGCCCGTTAGCAGGCCAAGGCAACACTTCGAGGCGGGGAAGACAGGCAGCTCCCCCCCCCAAAAGCCCTCACCTGATTGGCTGCTGCCTCGGCAGATGGGGCCATGTCGGCCCGAGGGTCTGAGGGATGCGGTGGCCCCCGTGGGGGTCTCTCCACTGGAGAGTTTCGTCGGCGGTAGAAGAGCACGTAGGCGTATCGCGTCACCACCTGGCTTTCATCCACTGTGGTGACGGTGCTGTCATCGAAGAGCCGCCATCCTGTGAAAGGGGACAAGGAAGGGATAAGCACACCAAGCTCTGTGACCCACTGGTGAGGCAACACTGCCTGATCCTCACCTGTCCTTCACTCTTGCAGGAAGACAAGCGCAGTCTCCAGGTCTCCCATGCATCAGGAAAGAGCTACCCAGTGCACTCACCCAAATTTAGCCCACAGCCTACCAATGCGGTAGGCTCCTACAGCCTTGCCTTGCTGTCCAATGTGCATTCATGGGTGCCGCTTCCCTGGCAGAGGTTAGCAGACTTGGGGGGATTTGCAAAGATGCCAGGATACCCCAGAATTAACTGAGAGCGATGAAGCTGGCAAGTGGGACCCTGTCACTACGTGAACCTATGAAATTTTTCCCCACCTACATGGACACTCTCTAATACTACTGTCATATTCACAAGTCCTAAATCGACTATTTATTCTTCGGTGTATTTAATTGTCGAGGGGAGCATGTATTGGGGATTCATCAGATTCCCTTCCACCAAATCCCACTGTCAGCAAATTCCCAAGCAATGGGATAAACAAACTGACTGGAAGTTAGGAAGGAGAAGGGAGTGAGGGCATGGCAGCCCTATTCCCATGAATGGCAAGGTCGTTGGCCCACAATGCTTACATGTCTACAAGCCATGAGTGCCAGAACGGTATCTCATTTCTTGAAGTAAAAAGTAACCAGCTACCAACCCGACTGGTCAAGACTGCTCACATGCAGAACAGAGAAGAAGAAAAAGATTCTGCTTAGAAAACACTTCTATACGATGTTACTCAAAATAAAACAAACAATACAGTCGTACCTTGGATCCCAAACGCCTTGCAAGTTGAATGTTTTGGCTCCTGAATGCCGCAAACCCAGAAGTGAGTGTTTTCGTTTGTGAACGTTCTTTGGAACCCGAACGTGCGACACGGCTTCTGATTGGCTGGAGGACCTTCCTGCAGCCAACTGGAAGTTGTGTCTTGGTTTCCCAGTGTTTCGGAAGTCAAACGGGCTTCCGGAACGGATTCCGTTTGACTTCCAAGGTACCACTGTATATCCTTAAAACACTCAAATTAGACCTGCTTCCCAGAGTCTTCCAAAATCCTACCATGTGAGGACCTGGCTCTAAATTCAATCTTGAAAGGCTGAGGAAGCAATAACAAAGTATTCAGAACAATCTCCCTGGAACTTACTAGTACAGAGGGGTCCAGCTCTTTTTGACTGTGCATGTGCACCACTGCATCAAGACCTCTCCCATCATAAAGGAGGAAGGGCAGTGATTTTTCTTTGCAAATGAGTGGCGGAGGCCAAGCTGTGCTGAGGAGAAAGCCTTTTCTTGCCCTAAATCCTACTTAAAATGTGAAGCCTTCTCCTCCCTTGCACCTGAAACATTCAGCACTGACTATGGAGGAAGACCCTGCTACTTCCTCATTGATGCCTTATCAAAGCAGCAATGAGTGCCCTAGCCAAGATCTTTCTCCTTGTGTAGGTCTCTGAGAAGATTCTACGTCAACGGCTGGAACTTGGCTAGACAATCGATGGCTACCAGACCACACGAAGCCCGCCCCGGCAACTCACCCACATCACTGCGTTGGCTGTTCTTGTCACTGGGCAGCCGCGCATAGGCTGTGTAGTGTCCGCCAATCATGCCCCCGTAGTGGTTGATAACTGCATACAGGTCATACATGGGCAGCTGCTGCTCATCCTTCTGGCCAATGCAGAACTTGCTCAGGTCCAGACTCCTGGGGACAGAGATAGGAATAAGGTACACAGCTGTCTTCACTTGTCCTAGCTATATGTGTTTCAAGCCAGGCAATAGAAGAAGTCTGCAGATTGCTTTGAGAAGTGGGCTGAGTTCCCTATCCCAACAAACTAAGGACTGGGGAGCGAGGTGTTCCTAGCTTGCTCTGCTCAAAACGGGCAGATTTCAGAAGAGCAGCCACTGGACTTGGTTGCAGCATGGATCAAGTTTACTTAGCAGTAGCTTGAGCCTGCTTTCATCAGACACATGGTGGATACACATGCACCACAACTGAGGACCTAAGGATGCACGTTTGACCACCACATGCATCCGATGAAGCAGGCTCTCACCTGTGAAAGAGGAATGTGCTGTGGCCTCAACATGAAGGCACCACCAGCCTATGCTTCCTGCCCCTCCCAAAAGATTTAGCCCAACTTCAGTTCCGCCCTCCCTTCCAAACAACGGGGTGGCCAATTAGGCTGCCTCCTTGCCACATGGGACGTAAATGCAGAGAAAAGAGTTGACAAGCATAGCCTGAGCATAGAGTGCTAAACACCCTTGGTGCTAAGACAGGGCCCGGCACTGCAGCCAGGCCTGGAGTGGAGGGAGATGCTTTCCTTGGACTTTCCTGTGTGAAGTCCAAGTGGGAGCAAAGGAACACAAAGCGCAGCAGCATCTCCTCACCGCACTGGGAAATCCACCATGTCGTTGATCTTGTCTCTCCAAATAAAGCTGCGGAAGGAGAAGCGCTTGAGCTGTATGATGAGGACGTTGGGCAGGCGCCACAGCATGAGCTGCTTGGATGCCTCACGGTGCTGCTTACATTTCGGGCAGTACCTGCGCGGGGAAAAGGGGGGGGGTCTGTTAGCTTCCTTTGCTGCCAGTTCTGCTCTTTACCAACCCGTTTTGCCGCACTACGGAAGACCAAGGCATCCTGTTTGTGTTTCTGAGATCAAAGGGTTTAGAAACAGGCTTTGATCACAGCTGCAGTATGCAGCGTTCAGCTGATGGGAGAATGTGAGCTCTTTAATTGGAAGAAGGGGGCTTCCACTTGACGTGGTTTCAGAGAAGAACGTGACTGTATGTGGGACATGCCTGAGGAGCCCAGGAATTCAACAGAACTCTCAGTCCTCTTCAGGCTCTCCACAAACTCCCAACAGTCCCTACTGTGTAGCACTTGACGGCCATCTGTCTTGGATGCTTTAGCTGAGATTCCTGCATTGCAGAGGGCTGGATCAGATGGCCCTTGGCCGTCTCCTCCCAATTCCATGAATCTATGATCCTATTATCACTTCAGTGTTTGGAAGCAGTAACCATTTCCCAGCCTACAAAAGCTAGACATCTGAACCCAAAAGCTAGCTGCACAGTGTATACGTTTATGCATACACTTTGGGAGTTGTCCCTGCCCACAGAGAACCCTTTCTTACCAGGCCTCCTCTGGGGCCAACACCTCTGGCTTGGTGAAGAGGTTGAGGCACTGCTCCAGGGTGAAGTGTCCTGCCCTGGCTGCCTCACTCGCAGAGCCAGGATCCTCTACGCACTCCAGCTCCTTGGACTCTACCAGAACAAACTCCTTCATCCTCTCGTTGTTCTTCCAAACCAGGGCCAGAGAACAATCATCTGTCAGGTCAAGAGGGACATCTCCTGCAAGGATATGGAAGTTTACAGATGGTGCTACCCATCTAAACACACCAGGCCAAAAACAAACAGCCAAGAAACAAGAACCATAGCAGGGGTAGCCAATGTAGTGGGGCCTCCAGCAGTTGTGGACTGAAACCATAACCAGCTCCAGCCCAGCAAGGTCAATAGCCTAGAATTAGGGGAGCTGTACACCATAACTTCTAGAGGCTGGTCATATTGGCCACCACCAAACTAGGGGCAGTCCACCTTTCTCCTGTTTAAGAACATAGAAAGGGTGTGTGGAGCCAGAAACATGAGAGAAGAGGGAGGCAATTCCTTATCAAAGCTAGTTTCAATTCTTTGTGAGCAGGAAGATTTGCAAGCTTGTTCATAGCTCACCATGATCCTGCAAAGCAAGTTGCTACTAAGCCCAAATTTCACATGGATGGAACTGGGGTCAGGCCAAGGAGATTACTCCACTCTAAAGTCACCCAAGCGGAGCTTGCAGCCAAACATTCCACTAGATCACATGCTGGCCCTCCAAGTAACGGATGGGAAAGCCACCAAGGCCGCTTAAAATGAAAGACTGGGTGTAGGAGTGTGGGGACAGATACCCAAGACAAAGCAGAAAAGGAACAACTGCAGGCCCCATTGTCTGTTTCTGCAACTGTGTAGCATAGGTCAACGTCAGCTATGCTGGAGGAGGAAAAGCCAGGAATTCCAGCTCCAAGGACTGTACTTTCCTCCCCAGAACTTGTGCTCGTTTGGCACTCCTTCGGGTGGGTTGCTTGTATCCCACACAAATGTGGTAGTGGGAATCTTAAATCAGCATCCTGAGAATTGGGACCGACAAGGGCCGCTGAATTCTAAGAGAAGTCATCTATGGGACACGACACCCAACTAAGATTTCCAACAGCCAGGTTCTTGGTGCCTTCCATAGCTTCTTATCCCTTCCCCATAGCTACCAGAAAGATGTGGAATAATAAATACAGGTCTGTATGATTCACACAGATAGCAGACTTCAACCTTTTGTGCAGAGTGTGCATAATTTTAGCCCAGGAGAGACAACCCCAGCTAGAGCTGATCAGCAGCATACATGCATTCCTTTAGGGACTCAACAGCACCTTGCATTGGGTAAACAGATTAGATCTATCACCACAGAAGATCTCCCTAAGCAAGGATGGGGCCCTCTCAAAACGCCAAGCCAAATGTTCCAAGATGGCACTGCTTTCAGAACCCTGAGATTTTAACCCTCACCTTTGTCCTCCAGCTTCTGCTCTTTGTTAGCGGCATCAATTTTGTTGATGTAGAACTGGGTAGCGTGGGAACTCAGCCCCTCAGCCGGATGCTGGTAACCTGGGATGGCAGCTGTAGGCAAGCAAGGGAGGGATGGTGAGTGGCAGCAGCTCAGCCGGCAGCCCCTTCTTTCCTCTGCTCAGCCACCCTATCCCCCTTTCCACAGCTGGGACAGCATTTCATCTACAAAGCCATGGAGATGGCTGGGGTCTTCAGGGACCGCACAAAAGACAGGAAACGGCCCTGCTTCAGAATATTCATATTTGCTTCTTGTCATCTGTGTTATGTTCTGCTGCTTAGAAGCCACAGCATGAGGCATGTGGAATAAATTGTTTTCCTAATCCCACTTTTGGCTTTTGGGGAATAACGGGGACAAAAACATTTAATAAAGTTGCTTGAATTTATTATTTTGATTCTCCTTCTTCTTCTTATTTGGCTTCTGGTATCTGGGAGCACAGGCTGTTGGGAAATTTGCCTGCTGCCTACAGAGCTCCTTGTGCAACAAGCAGACCTAAGGAACGCTGGCGTAACAGCCGTACCGAAAAGTGGTGAGAAACCCCTTGGGAATGCAGACGCCCCAAGTAGCAGCCCGTGTAGGGTGGAGGGCTTTAAATAAGGCCCATTCAGATTTGCCTACCTTCCGGCTTGGGGAGTCTCTCAAAGGGCCCCTCCCTTTCCACAAAGCTGTCAGCCCGTGTGTCCAGGGAGGCCTCGGAGAAGCCCGAATCCAAGCTCAGCCCCGAGCCTCTTCCTGCGGGGACCTTGCTTCTCACAGCGCTGGCGTCCCCCAGTTCCGGCTGCAGCTCAGGGGCCGAGAGAGACGGCTGGGGTTCCTGCGGCAGGTGTGGGGCCCTGGCCCCGTCTCCCGACTCCATGGCGGTGGAGGCCTCATCGGCGGCAGAAGCGGCGGCGGCGGCAGACGCGACTGTGGCGCTGCTGCTGCTCCGGGCCAGCGCCTCTGGCTTCTCAGGAGGCTGGTGCTGCAAGCCTTGCTCTGGCGACATCCTGCCCACCTGGAATGGCGGCTGGAACACGCTGACCGAGTACCTGAGCAGGGAGAGGAAAAGCCGTCCGCTAAGAGGTCACAGCCCTCTGAAGAGGGAATGTGCTGCTGGCACTGAGGAAGGAAATGGAAGCTTCCTTGCTGCCTCGGCCAAAGCCTACAAAACGAGCCAAGCAGCGGCGGCTGGCCAAGCGCCCAAGAGCGCTGCCAATACTCCGGCTACCTTACCTCGCGTAACCTTCCAGAAGCTGGGCCAGCCGTGCATAGGTGAGGCGTGACTCCGGCACGCTGATGAGGAAGGGGAAGCCAATGTTCTCAGGGAGGCACAAAGCTTTGTGGTCGGGCCAGTGTGTTTTCTGGCACACTCTGAAACACACACAAAAACAGTCTCATGCAGAGGGCCGCAGGGGCTCGACGCAGCCACTCCGCCCAGCTTGGGAGCAAGAGACGGCTCTCGGCTATGGAGAGGGTGAAAAAAAGAAGGGGCGGCTTACACGTTGCAATAGCCGACACGGTAGCACCGAGTGCAGCGCTTCAGCTTCTCCTCTTCTGACTGCTGCTTCTTCTGACAGGCGGCACATTTGGTGATGGGAACGCTGGGCACCTGAGGACGCTTAGGGGAGAGAAATTGCCTGCTTAGGGTGATTGGGAAGCGGTGGGCACCTGTACTGGGAAGGTGGCAGGACAGAATGTGTAGGTTTCACCTTGAAAGCCTAAGAGCTTTCTTTCCATCTCCTTCTCGTACACCTGTATGGAGGGTGTAATGGAAGCTCCTGGCACTTACCTGTTGGACCTGCAGCTCCACCACACGCTCCTTGGCCAGGTCTGGAGAAAGCACTTCAAAGCACAGCAGGAGGTCCGTGGGGGAGACCGTGTCCAACGAGTGCGAAGGCAAGAACATGCGGTGGAAGCGGTTCTTGATTACCTAACCAAAGGAAAAAAGGGAGGTAAAGTCCTGCCCAAAAGATGCCCTTTCCTCCCTCTAGTCTCACACATAAGGGCAAACTTCAGGTTCAGGTACAATGTACTTCTGACCACCAGGTGCTTGGGTTGGGGTGTGGGGTAGAGAGCTAACCAGGGGAAAAGCAATTTGCTCTGCTTCTGAGCTTCCTGGGGCATGTGGACTGTCCAAGATGGAACGATAAGCTTGGCCTGGATCCAATAAATAAATCAAATACTGAACAAGCAGGGTATGCAACAAATGCTGCAACAAAATGTTGTGGCGAATGGTGCACCTGTTCTGGATTTCCAGCTGGCCAATCAGGCCCCATTCCAGGATACTCAGTTTTCTCATCTTCCTCCAGTTTCCTTTTTTCCTCCAACAGCTGAACAGCTTTGCCATGCCCACCGGGAATGCCAAATCCTCAGAGCAGTTCTGAGCGCACACCCTAAAGTCTTGTCCTCCCCATTTCAGTAAAAATCCTCCAACTCTGCTGATACCATGTGCATGTTTCTACACACACACACACACACACACACACACACACGGTGCTATTCTGGGTACAAAGATTCACCTGGAAAATGTTCATTATTACTATATAGGTTTGTGCTCGTGGCAGTAAAGCCTCATTAGAACAGCACTGTGTCAGGATGAGGACCGAGTGGGGTGGGGAGACAGACAGAGCTGCAAAAAAGGAAGGTGGTGGGGGAGGAACCAGATCCTTTTATGTGTGAACGGAATAGGAGGGACTCTCTGGGTTGAGTCTTTAGAGTCCTAGCTTAGCCTGGAACAATAACACAGTTAGATTTGGGGAGTAGGGAGAATTGAGAACTTGCTGGTAGGAGGAAGAAGAGGAGGAAAAGTGAGATGAATTTGCAGCACTTTTCTAAGAAGCGGGAGGTATTTGCAACTAGGTTCATGCAACAGTAGATACATATGCTGCAAGGATCCAGTTTAGTTTAATTCCCTAACTGTAAGCATATGGGAGAAATGGGGCATGGATAGACCATCATTGTCTCCATATGCACCCTCCATATGCTCATGACAATTCCCGCCCCACCCCTTGCTCCATCCAACAAACAGGATTTTGGTCCAGGTCTTTTCCTTGGTAGACACTCCAGAGTTTATTCCTGGTGGGGCCTAGTACAGATTAAGTCTTGAGTGCAGCGCCATTTGCTCTGTGGTCAGCCTTTTTTATTTTTAAGCAAGAAATATGTGTGCATGTACAGTCCCAGTGTAATGCATGCCACAACTACTGAGGTGTGTGTGAGTGCGCGCGCGTACACACACACAATACATCATGCACAGCCTAGTGAGAGGTAGGGTTCTGTGTTGATGGCACTCAAATGAAATTCTGGAGGTTGCAGGTAAGGGATCCCAATGAAGTGGCCAGACGCAAGAGCAAAGGCAAGAAGAGGAGCCAAATTTTGCATATTGATTGGAAATTTTCTGCCAAAAACCTTGGCTGCCAGGTCACTAGGCCTCCTGTATACATAATGGCTCTCTGGTACCTGGGCAGCCACAGCCAGGGGAGATCAGCCAAGCCTTGTGTTGTGAAAAGGGCACGGCACCCACAGAAAGAAAAAGCTGCAGAGGTGATCTGAATGCCAAGACGCTTCCATGCAGTGAACAAGCCTCACTGCTGCTAAGAATCCTTAGAACCACAACTTCAGCAGCATTCAGACACAAGAAATCAGCCAGACCATGCCTCACCTCAGCCAGGCGCAGGTTATCAGGAGTTACTCGCACGCTATGGGACACAGAGTCTAGCACCTCCATGGCAGTGGAATTCTCCTTGCTGATGCTCACCAGGAACTGTTGGAAGAGAGCATGTGCTGGGGTGGGTATATTAGGGTGTGTAACCCTGCCAGTCTTCCCTCCCACTCCCTGGTCTCATTAACATTTACTCCTTCGACAATGTAATTCCTGAACTGCACCAGGCTTACCTCACTGGATTAGCCAACCAATCAAAGCTGTACCCATGGTGCACCTACTTTCACATGCTGTCTACTGCAATTTAGACATATTTTGAGTTGAAGCACGTGGAACCTGCCCCCGACACATATTGCTTTGCCTCTCAAAGCAGATGTTATTTCCGCTCGTATGTCCCACTGAGTTTCAGAAATCTCTAAAGCTCAAGGCCGCTCGTGACATAGACACTATTCTGAAGGCGTTTAGAGCACAAGATAAAGGGATTCTTCCTGGGCAGCTGGGATGCTGCTGCTCTTACCTTAACAGGTTTCTTGTGCGGTTCCTTGGCAAAGTAATAGACCGTCAGCACTTTCTGCTTTTGGGGTAGGGGGACTGGCAAATAGAGGAAGGGATCAAACGTGATGGACACCTGCAAACAATAGGATTTGACAGTCAATCAGCACCCCCTGGACATAATGTATAGTGCTGGAGGCACTGGCAAACCCCCGAGATACAGAAATGGTGAGTCTGGAGTCAGAGGGCAGCAACCAAAGGAAGGAGGCAGCCTGGTAAAGGTGTCAGTAGCAAAGGATCACCAAAGTCCTTGACGGCAGGACACAAGGACCGTGGAGTGGAGGATATGGTCCAAGCTAGTGAATAATCACTGTAAAATGAGTAAATACCACCTCCCGCCAAGCTAGTGGAGGAAAAGCAACTTTAGATGCAGGCCATGTTGCCCCGCAGCAGGCTCAGAGCTGCGAAGCAACCAGGAAACCCAACGAGTTGGCACACTACCTTTGAACACACAGGGCACACTAGCTTGGACTTGTACTGGCCCTGGAACAGGTCCACGATGAAGGAGTCGTTCCTCATCTTGTGCCGTTTCCAGGCCTCTTCAGCAACAATCTAGCAGTCAAAAACAAGTTAATAGCAGTGAGGGAACGAAAGCAGGGGTGAGCAAAGGTCCTTCAGGCTCAGCCTAGCCAAGGCCTCCCAACTTCCACTGGGCCATACATATATATTATATATGTATATATATAATTTGTATATATATATATGTATATATATATATATTTATATATGTATATATAAAGACTTGCCTCATCAGGTCGTCCATCTGAATCTACCGTTTCAGTGTAGGGCTTGCTGTGAATGCGGTTCAGGTCCTCATGGAGCCCATCCAGCAGAAAAGCCATGAATTCCTGGGCATCGTGTTGAGCATAGCCTGTAAACTGGCTGGCCTTGCTGGCCACAATTGCCTGCAGGAAGAAAGGAGCGTCATGAACAGCCAGACACCTGTACAGCACGATCAGAACGAACGTTCTGCCAGATCAGAGCAAATGGCCATCTAGTCCAGCATCCTGGGTCATATCCAGCTAAGCTCTGCTCAGAATAGACCCAGTAAAATTAATGAACCTAAGTCAGTCAGTCATGTCTATTGACTTCAATGGGTCTACTAGCATCGGATACAATCTCCTCTTCTCACAGTGGCCAACCAGGTGCCCAAAGGAAGCCCACAAGCAAAACCTGAGGACGGCGGCACTCTCCTCACTTGCAGTTCTCAGCAAATGGTGCTCCCCTTGTCCTCTTGGGACTGGAAAGAGGGGCAAGTGCCAAGTGAGAGGTGAATGGGCTCAAGAGCTATATGGAAAAACACTAACTACCCGGACAAGTAGCTTCAGAAGTGTGGACAGTCCGGATTGAGGTTTCCTAAAGCCCAGAGGCTTCCTGCTTGAGAATCTAAATGGTTGCTGGTGGCATCCAGCGATCCAAAATCATTTCTAGCCAGAAGGCACAAAAATGGTTTGTGCCTGCATAATTTATCATTATTAATCTCCCAAGTAATAAAATGCCCTTTATTCCAACACACAGGTATGTGTGTGTGTAGTTTTTATACACTCCAACCCATGAAGGATCCCCCCCTGCGGAGCGCTGGCCCACTCTGTAGCAGGGACAGCAGATAAATTTTGCTTTCACTGCTAACAGTGCTCCCCAGGACAGCACTTTGCTTGGAGCATACAGTAACTATAAATACACATGGAAGAAAGCAAGTGACAGTCTTGTTGTTGTTGTTGTTTAGTCGTGTCCGACTCTTCGTGACCCCATGGACCAGAGCACATCAGGCACTCCTATCTTCCACTGCGTCCCGTGGTCAAACTCATGCTAGTGACACTCTAGTGAAACTATTGGAAGGGGATTAAAGCTGTTCCCTGCCCCCTAATGACCCCCAGCGGCTCCCTGAGAATCAAGCTTGCTACAAACTGCACAGCCCAACCCTAAGCAACTTTTTGGTCACAAGCACTGGGAACCTGCCTCTGCACAGCAAAACTACATAGGCATGCGTGGACACACACAAACACATGGCCTCCAGCTGCCCACTTGGGCAGCTCATCCTCTCAGCCTATATATGCTTCTGCAGGGATACCTCACCTTCAGCTTGGAGGGCTGGAAGGCGTGGTGTGTGCCTTTCCAAAGCGCCCTCAGCAGCACTGCAAAGCCGATAGCCAGGCGCCCCCCAGTTCCCAGGGGATTGTTGTAGTTGATTTCGGACTCGAAGGAGTGATCTACAGGGGTGTAAGTGAGAGAGAGAGAAAAGGTGATGGAAGGTGAAGGCCAACCATGGCACGCACGGAGACAGGTCCAGCCCCAGTCCCACTTTGAGATACAGCTTACCATGAAAGAAGTCCCGCAACTCCCGGGTGTTGGAGAGAGACTGGATAACACTGTTCATGAAGCAGGTGTTGCCCAGGTTCACCAGCCCCGTGAAACCCGGCAGGCACACCTTCTTGTCCTCCTCCTCCTCCTCTTCCTCCACGCTTTCGCTGCTGACGGGGCTGTGAGTCATGGGTGGGACCATGCATGTTGGCTTGGGCTGGAGGGGAAGATGCTAACACAGTCAAGGAGGCAGCTTCCATTGGTTGCCAGGCTCTTTGTCTTGCCCAGAGTTTCCAGGCTCTGCATGCTGGATTTCTATGGTCACCACCCCACTTTCCCCCTCCTCTCTCAGGCACAGAAACCCAGGCCTTGCTCACTTTAAAAAAAATCATTTATTATTCGTACACAGAGCAATTCCCCAAAATGGCTAATCCATTCTAATTAGAAGATCGCATATATGCTCTTTGTTCACCAGCATGGACAGCAAGAATCACACCCGTACGTGGAGGGTTCAGCCTTATCAGTTGCATACCCCCAATTACCTGCTGCTGGAGGTACCGCCCTCTGTTGTTTTTCTGTAGAAACTACCCCAATGGACTTTACCTGCCCACTGTCAAAACACAACTGCTGAGATAAAATGCTGGACCCAGCGCAGCAATTCTTAAGTGCATATTCTGCATTACTTTTGATTCTCCTTTAACTAATGTCACCCAGTGCACTTCCCACATGCTAAAAGCAAACGCATTCTACGAATGCCGATCCTTATGTATCCAAAACAGCAACAACCATGCAAAGCATGAAGGCACCCTAAGATTTAGGGGAACCCTGAGATTTGCAGAAGCGCAGAAAGTGCTTTTAACTTGATGGCAACGTTCCTTCCACCCCTGCCCCAACTAATGACTGCTCACATGTGCATTCACATGTCCAAGGAAGTTATTAACAGCCTTAGTTCCAGCACTGCCTCCATCTTCAGATGTTTGACTTCTCCCATATCCCTCCTGGCTAGGAAGGGGAAGAGGTAGGTAGGTAGAGGGTGTGTTTCTGTGTGTGTGTGTGTGTGTGTGTGTGTGTGTGTGCGCGCGTGTGTGTAGTAGAGTGTCCTTTGCTGGTGACAAGCTCCCTGCCTCAACTTGATGCAAGGTCAGGAAATTTCCTCACACTCCCCCTGGTTCAGAGGCAGTGCAGGAAATGGTCCTTCCCTGAATGGCTCCCCTTATGCTGGAAAGGAGGTGGTCTGGAAGGTGCAGATTCATCTGGCTAACAGCCAGCCAGATCTCCACCTTCAGGCACCAAACAGAAAAAACAGCCATAGGGCTATTTCCATCCAAACAGCAGGAACACATTGTCCCACCCACAAGCAACATTTTGTTGCAACTCCTCACTCTTAACTCATTGGCTGTTGTAATAATCCGTACAAGGTTCAAACGCGTTGTAATCCAAGTAGCTCCTGCCTTCAGCCCACCACCTCCCCTGACAGCGTGTCTGCCTGAGCCCTAGAGACTGGGATTCGAAACTCCCAGCGCAGGCCAGGAGTTCTCACCGAGGGAACGAGTGGTTCTTGCTTCACTGGCACATGTTCCGTCACCGTCCGAGCGGCTACGCCATCCAGGCTGCTCTCCTCTGCTCGCGGCTTCTCCTTCTCTCCCACTCGTGCCTCCTCCTTAGTGGACAGCGGGTGCTGGTTACTTCCAGGTTGGCTTTTATCCAGGGGAGTAGGGCCTGTTGGCATGGCAACCTTCGCACCACCCACTGCACCTTAAAAAGGGGGAAAAGTGGGCTTGTGGTTAGCAGCACATGTGCACTGAGGGGTGAGCGGCGTGCTCTTCACTGCGCCAGCGCCAGGACGGTTGCTGTGCAGTGAGCCCTGCTGCCCTTCCTTGCTTAAAAAGAAACGGTGGGGAACCTGTTCTGGATTCCAAGCAGACATCACAACATCAATCCTCCATCTAGGGTCCTCTCCCCAAGTAATTGCTGATCTCAACATCCCCAGCCAACAACAGCATTCATCTCGTACCATTTCTATAACTCCCTTCATCAGAGGATCATAGAGGGTGGTTTACAATCACAAGGCAGTTCACAAGTAGTAATACTAGTAAGAATATCTGATGCTGAAGCCCCAGCATCCTTGTCAAACCTCAAGAATCCCAACAAGGCGAGCTCACAAAAGTCAAGGTGCAGACCTCGTGCGGCAGGAGCCTCGAGGCCCCCCCAGCGCTGGCTGTGCCGCTTCTTCAAGCAGATGTCGATGCGAGCGGGGGTGAAGTTGTACGTACACTGGTCTGGCTCTATGAGGTTCCTGCAAAACAAGGCAACCCAACCAAGGATCAGAGAACAGGAGGTGTAGACCTAACCTAAGGATGTCTGGGCATCACAGAAGAGCGTAACTCCCAAAGTACTGTGCTCATCCCATTACATAGGAAGGTGGGAAACCTTCTCCAAAAGGGACCCTACGCTAAAGGCTGCCCACCTTAGTACAATTTCTGGCAAATTGGGCTCAGCTGTGTCCATGTGGCACAGAAGGGAAAGAGGGGATGGGAGAGTGTACCCACTTCTCCAGCGCAGAAGTAAAAGCGGGAAGTAGCAATCCAGCTCGCACAAGTTCACATGCTTTAGACTGGGCTGTCCGGCGGTGTGTGATCAATACGAAGGTTGCTTCTTGTGCCACGGAACAGAAAAGTGGGCAGGATGCTTATTTAGATTATGACGCAGGGACAGCTAGGCTTTGTTATGTCCGATTGCTGGTATGTATTAGCAAAACAAAGCCATAGTAACCGACGACAAAGAACCCCTTTTTAAAAAATCTACAATATCATCGAAGAGATACCTGAGCACCTCTTCTGTCCAGTGTCCCAGGCCTGGGGCCCCAGTGTAAAGTAATATACATTGATTTAGTAATATACTACAGTGGTGCCCCGCAAGACGAATGCCTCGCACGACGAAAAACTCGCTAGACGAAAGGGTTTTTCGTTTTTTGAGCTGCTTCGCAAGACGATTTTCCCTATGGGCTTGCTTTGCAAGACAGAAACGTCTTGCAAGTTTGTTTCCTTTTTCTTAACACCGTTAATACAGTTGCGACTTGACTTCGAGGAGCAACTCATAGAACGCGGTGTGGTAGTCTTTTTTGAGGTTTTTAAAGACTTTGGTGATTTTTGAAGCTTTTCCAAAACTTTCCCGACACCGTGCTTCGCAAGACGAAAAAAATCGCAAGATGACAAAACTCGCGGAACGAATTAATTTCGTCTTGCGAGGCACCGCTGTAATTCATAGACCTTAATTCGGAAGGGAGAAGAGCTGTGTCAGATTGGTGCTGGATGTGCAGGTGGGGAGGAGCAACAGAAACACTGTCTATACCATTAGTGTAGAGAAGGAAAGTCTTATACCTGAGTTTCACTTGCCACCTGAATACTGTATGAGAGCCACAATCTGGATGCAGTCGCAGGAAGTTGACATCACTGCAGAAAGAGAAAGAAGCTCAGGCAAAAGAGACAGACAGGAGCCATCGCTTCCCCGCTGTCTATCCCAGCTTACTGGCAAAAGTCCAGTTCTGGGAAGGAAAAGCACTTGGCCTCTGAACCAGGAGTCACCATACCTCGTCTGGAACAACAGCGTGAAGTCCTGCTCCCGAAAGAGCACCCTGGACATCTCCTTGTGAATCTCCTTCACATAAACGTGCACCACCATAGAATCGTTCCCTTTCTCATACGAGTCATTCTTCACGAACGTCAGATTCACTGTGGGCTCTGGTTCTGGGAGGGGGGGGGAAGCAAAGGCAATGACAGTAATAGAGGTGCTCTGAATAGCGCCTCTGCACCATCCTCAGCAACAGCAAGCCAGAGAAATGTGACTGGGGAGCTAGAGAGCCCAGCATGTGACCTAAATTCTCAAATAGGGTTTTGTCTCTTGGGGTCAGGTAGGAGGAGCGGGAAATAGATCAACCAGACATTAGTCTGCAGAATGCACCGGAGGCAGCGTGCACTTGAAACGTTAAAATTCAGCGTCCAAAAATTAAATTACGCGACTTATATACCTTATGCAAATTTACATAAATTGTTTAGGTTCCTCCAATCACAAAGAGCAGCAAAGAGCTATGCAGAGCACAAGACCCACGTCTCCCTCGCCATTGCGAACAATTACACTGTTCCATTCCTCTATCAATTTCTGAGATTGGCTACACAATGCGCGGTGGACAGATCATTTACCAAGCTGGATTACAAGTCCATCTAGGCTGGTACTGTCCACTGTGACCAACAGTAAATCTCAGGCAGAGGCATTCCCAGCCATGGCCTTTCTTGCTGCCTGAACAATTTCAAGCCTAGGCTAACACCTTGTTTTAAAAATAAAAACAGAGCTTTTCAGGATGCTGAATTCTCCACCCAATTCTGATGTGGTACTTCTTGTGAACAGCTCAAAACATAGCCCTTGTCGAATGTTACTGACATTGCATATTTGTTATTGGGGGGGGGGGAATCAATGAAAATTACATATAATATATATATATATTATATACATATATATATAAACGTAGCCTTTGTCCACAACCAGTTCTTGCCTAATAATAACAACAACAATTTTATTATTGATACTCTGCCCATCTGGCTAGGTTTCCCCAGCCACTCTACAGAAGGTAGGTCCCGCTGCTACTTCATAGACCAATTCAAACTATTTCTTAAATGGGTGAGCGTGCAGGAACCCCATCCCCTCCCTCACCATTCGCAACAGCCTCAAGGGCATCGCTGTCCTCGGACCAGCCTCTTTTCTCAGTGTCCCTGGATGGCGGAGAGGAGGAGAGGCCTTCGCTGAAGGCAGAAGCGACTTCTGGCCCCTGTGGAGTCTCAGAGGAACTGGCTGGCTGTGGAGCCCTCTTCTCTGGGCAGGGCCGAAGCTGGCAGGGCAGTGAGTCTGCAGAGACTGTAGGCAGCTGCGTTTCCACGGGTACTGACACCCTCTCCATGTTGTCAGCCTGGCAATGTAGGGAGGAGAGAAGGCACAATCAGATGCAGCGATAGCCACTGCAAAACATGTAACCCGAGGCATGCCACAGCGACCTCTTCCTATAAAATTATGTGACGTATGACTAATAGAAAAGAACAAAGATTGCAGCTGTAGTCCATGGCGCCTCTATGGGTGAATATCACCAGTGTGCAACAGGTACCTGAGGGGTGGACTGCAATTCTTAAGGGAGGTGCCAAGGACACCTTTGCAACACGCTAAGGAACACGAGATACAGTTGAACTGGGAGACTCTTAATACCACCAAAAGCAGCGATGAGGCAAGTAGCATAGAAAAACTAAACAAATTCAAGGAAATGGACACTGCCTTTAGTGAAGACTGCCCTTCCTGGGGCATAGCCATACCTTAACTCTCATTTGAATCCCGTCAGGGGTATAAAATAGTACCGTATTGGCCCGAATATAAGACACACCCGCAAATAAACCACACTTTTAAAATTCAAGGCTTATATGTGGGTGTGTCCTGCCTCCTGGCTCTACCGCCCTGAACAAGGGACAGGCGGCACCCCGTTCTGAGCACACTGCATGCCTGCTTCCGACACTATTGCCTCCCGGCACTACCTCACCAAACCGGTGCCGGGGGAGGCTTTGGAGTGGCGGGCAGGCTGCATGCCGTTGCCCCACGCTCCCAGGCTGCTTCCTGGGGGGGGGGGAGAATCGTGCCCCTTTGCCAGCGGCCTTCCCCCTTCGTTTTGACAGCTTGGGGGAGGCTTGGGAGTCGTGGGCGGGCGGCATGCCGTTGTCCCACACTCCCAATGGCCCACCTGGGCAGCTGTTTCAGCAGCAATATCATAAGGTCACAAATATAAACTGCACTTTCAACTTTTTCGGATCGGAATTTGGAAAAAAAAGTGCAGCTTATATTCAGACCAATACGGTAATAATAGTAATAGCAATAATAATATCATGCTAGGAATGAATGCATTTATTCATTTTCTGCCCTTTTGCTTCATTAAACACCTGGAAACAGCTTTCTGCACAGTAGGATAAAGTTCAGTACTCGTAACCATTGCTGCACCACAGCTCTTGCACTACAGCAAGGGAATACTGCATCTTAATCTAGTTAATTGTAGCACTCAGAAAGGGTGAGAAAGAGAAAGCACCAGCTCAGTTTACCTACAGGCAAACTTGGTCATTTCAAGCCCCTTCAGCAACAGGACAAGTGAGCCTCTTGGGTGGGAAAGCTGTTAAAACTTGGAAGGCTCAAGTGAAATCCCTGTTCTCAAAAGTAAGGAGGATAGCAAGCCACAAAACAGGGGCCAAGTGTCACGAACTCCATGGAGACATCTTGGCAGGACTGGTCTGAGGGGGAGGAAGAATGGGAAGAGGGTTTGGAGCCTGACGCTGGAGAGGGGCCAAGCAGTCTTGAGAGTATTCAGCTGCATGGCAGGGAGAGGGGCCAAGTGGTTTGCTGGGAAGAAGCACCACCCCAATGCCATTGGATGGCCCATCTGATTCGGCCTCCACTCTGCCTTCAGCTAGGGCTTCCCTACTCCAGGGGCGTGTCTGAAACTAGGTCAGACAGTTGAGCAGGCCACGCAGACCTGTTTTCCAGGGACACAGCATTGGCCACACAAACAGTGCCCACAAAGGAAGAGCCAAGGGGACGTATGACATGTTGGCAAAACGCCTTAGCGTGTGCCGAGCCTTGTATCTTGGAGTTCTATGTTCTGCACTCCAGGCATGTGTACCTGCATCTATTGTTTAGACCACGCAGTGAATTTCAGAACAAGGCCTTTGGCAATAATCGAGGAAGAATTCCAGTAATGTGTCTACAAGTGGAAGCAAGGATGGCACACCTGCATTTCTGATAAGCATCCCAGAGTCTCCTCTCCACAGGGACAGACCACAGAGCCAAGTCTGCCCTTTCTTTGACTGACAGTCATTTGATGGGAGGAAGGGTGCAGCCTGTTCCCTTTGCCATAGGGCTCAACGACAAAAAAGCAGCAGCTCCCAGCCTTGAGCCATGCACACCCCTCTCGCCCCACTTCTCACCTTTAGGTCTGGTGGGGCATCGCCTTGGGCTCCCTTGTCATTTCTTAGGTTGCCGGCTTTCCCACTGAGTCCTGTGCTCCCCAAGCTGCAGCTGTTTCCTTCCTCCTCAGACAGGCTAGTTTTGACACCCACTGCCCTTTTGGCACTAGGGCCAGCTGGCAGTCCCGGACTGGCTGGGCTCTTGCCTCCTGCAGCCTCGTTCCTCCCAGAGCCTCGCTTTGGGTTGGAGGGCTCCCGTTTGCCCCTGGATGGCTCCGCTGTGCTGTCAGGCTGGGGCTCCTCAGGCACCTCCACCACAGAAGGGGATTTTTCCTTGCCATTCTCCTTACACGCAGGCCTCTTCGTCTGCTCCCTTGAGCCATCCTTGCAGCGTTTCTGGAAAAAAAATTTAAAGGCTAAAAATTACTATATTGAGTTAGGGAGAGGAACAGGCTCCTTTCGGACTGAGCTGAATGGATGCAGCCAGACATACACTTGATCTGCTTTTTGCATGCTGGATCAATTCCATTAATGGGGGGCTTGTAGTTGTTTGAGTTATTGGAAGCCTGCTGTGACATTTTTGAAAAGGCGATCTGAGGATAACATCACTCAGATTTGAACGGAACAGGACACCACAGAGCAAATCCTGAGGTGGTGTCCTGAGCGTTGCCTGGTCCAATTGTATCAGATCAATTTCAATTATTGCAGCCCAATGATGGGGGCAGGGTGCTTGTAAGGGTTTGAGTGATATGCTATTCTCTCCACCTACCCTGTAATGGCTTATAAAAGCTAGCCAGGGAGGAATGCATGGATGCGTCCGTTGCCCTTAAGGAGGAGGTATACCACTGCCACTTTAAGAGGAGCTCCCCAGTTCCTTAAGTATTGAACAGCTATTGCCCAGTTGAAAATATCCCCTTTGGGGGCCAGTTGCTCAAAAGGGGTGGGGAGATTTAACTGCAGGCATGCTTGGGAGAAATGGGTTACCTAGAGCCATTGCGATCTGGTTTCAGGCCTGGGATTGGGACTGAAACAGCATTAGTCACCCTGGTTGTTAGAAAAGTGCTGAGGGGGCGGGTGCAACTCTGTTAAGTTTTCTTTACCGCTTGGTCTCTTTTGACCATGGTATTCTTTAGGACTGACTCCAAGGGTTAGGAGCTGGAGGCACTGTGTTGCAGTGGTTCCACTTCTACCTACAGAGGCATGTCCAGGGGGTGGCAATGACCCCTGCTTGGTGCCACAGGAATGGACATGTGACTGTGGAACTCCCTGCCTCTGGATGTGCACCTAGCCCCAGCTTTGCAGGTATTAAGAAGACACACCAAGGCACAAGGTTTTGGCCACACTTTTGGAAACGTTTGATTACTGTTAAGGATTTTACCAGTTGTACTGTTTTAGTGATACATTATTTATGTATGTATCTTACTGTTGTATTATGAGGTAAGCCACCGAGAACCTTTGGTAAAGGGCAGGTAAAAGGTAAAGGTAAAGGGACCCCTGACCATTAGGTCCAGTCATGGCCGACTCTGGGGTTGCAGCACTCATCTCGCTTTATTGGCCGAGGGAGCCAGCGTACAGCTTCCGGTGAACCATAGTAGTGCATGGAAACACCGTTTACCTTCCTGCCAGAGCAGTACCTATTTATCTACTTGCACTTTGATGTGCTTTCAAACTGCTAGGTGGGCAGGAGCAGGGACCGAGTAGTAATAAATGTGTTTAGTAAGTAATAAAAATAATAATAAATGTGGCCCCTTTGCTTACAGGAAACAGATTTAGGCTGCCCATGGGTAACAGGTTGGGGACTGTTTGCCCAGAGTTACAGCAGCTGTTGCGGCTCCCCGCAGTGTATCACTGCTGAGCCAACCCTCAGGGGTCCCTTCCAACTCCAAGATTCTATGAAAGGTAGTCCGGCTCTCATTCTACCTATCCTTGCTGGTTTCAGAAAAGGCTGAGCTACGGAACAAAACCCCACCTGCACGTTCAGAATAAGGCTGAATCTTACCAAAAGTGAAGCCCAAGTGTGCAACGGGATCTTCTTTTGTAGCACCAGCTGTAGGATATTGCCCTTCTTGTACTGGACTTTGCTGCAGGAGCTCTCAATCTCCGCAAATAACTGGCAGCTCCACTCACGGCCATCTAAGGGGGGGGGTGGAGATACGGCACATACAACAGTCTTTCGGCTGCATTTCACTCCCCACTCCCCCCGCCAATAAGACAACAGAGAGGCAACAGCGAATAGTGCATTGAAGGCAGAAGGTCCTAGGTGCAACCTCTGACTTCTCTAGTGAATGCCCCTCAAGATATCAGGAATAGCCTCTGTCCAAAACCTTGGGAAGCCACTGCTGGTCATCACAAGATAGTATTGGGCTAGATCAGGCATAGGCAAACTCGGCCCTCCAGCTGTTTTGGGTCTGCAATTCCCTTCATCCCTGACCACTGAGGTTAGCTAGGGATGATGGGAGTTGTAGTCCCAAAACATCTGGAAGGCTGGAGTTTGCCTATGCCTGGGCTAGATGGTCTCATGTAGTGTAAGGCAACTTTATATGTTCACAATGTTTTTGCCAAGCCACACTGGATGAAAACAGAAGCACACCTGTGCTGACTTAACCAGGATAGTGCTGCGCTAGTCTCAAGAGAAAAGGGTTTTTTTGTGTGTGTGTTTGTTTGTTTTTTAAAAAAATATTTACAGTTCTACAACATTTTGCATTGGGGTGAATAATGTTTCACACAGTAATTTTTTAAGAAAGACTTATGTTGTACTTTTTTTTTTTGCAAGGAATTGAAAAAGCAGGGCTGGGACTCATGCTCAAGCCTGAAGAAGCGAGCTGAGAGCCATAGAGAATAGCAAATAACTATGCCAAGTGAAATCTATTCCCTGAGCTAGCATCTCTTGACCCAGACTTTTACTGCTCGCTGTGTGTTGAGCCTTTACAAAACACACACAACAAAAATACTTAACAACATGTTTTTAGGCCTGTTTCTGCACCTCTGGGACATAAGATTTAAAAAAAAGAAAACACAAGTCTCGCAGGATCCTATACAAACTGCTGGATCCAACAATAAATGCCACGTTTTGCTCTCCACTGCACAATCAGAACAACGTAAGTTTCCTGTTGAATCTTTATCTGCCACTCCTTTGGCCTCTGTGGGAAGAAGACTCGATTCCCCTTAATTTGCTATCACAGTTATTCCACTAAGAAGCCCTTAATCTTTGGGGCTAGGGGTTTAAAGACTGTGGCATTCAGTGCTGAAGCAGATGCTAAATGAAGCCCAAAGCGTTACAAAACAAAATCCCTAAACTGTTCCCATTGACACCACCCTGCAAAGAAGCAGTCCTTCTAGCCACATGCAGGGTTCCTTCCTCAGTTCCTTCATCAGGAACTGCCCTGCAGGAAGGATATATTATTCTAGGCACCAGTTACCTTTACTCATCATCAAGCTATGAACCAGATAATGTCCCCCAAGAGAAGGACCCAATGTCCCTTCCTGGAGGTGCTCAAATGGTTCTCCTGGCAGATTGCTTGCTTGTTAACCTCAAGATTCCTCAAATGCCCAATTTTCAGTCACTCTTTACTCATAAACAGAGGCTATGGTCTTCTGACTCCTGGTAGGGTTGAAGCCTCAAGTCCCTCCATGTATAGACTAAGGACAAGTAGGCTGCTATTCTTGTTCATTGGTTCTTCCCTTCCCAGTTTGGAGTTTTGCTTTAAAGAGGGCAACTGCTGCTACTGTTCACCAAGAGCAAAAGAAAAGGATCAAACAGAAAGAGAGACAGAGATGCCCAGCCAACTAAGAGCTACAGGAAAAAGAAATAATGTCTGCATCACACACCAGGTAACTTGACAACACAACTGGTGTCTGTGAAAGATGTATCCACTTCCTCTCCCTTCAGGACTCCGCCGCCCAAGTTCAGCTTTACAATGATTTCATGAGCATTCTGCTTCCAGTCCAGCAGCAGGTCTAGGAAACAAAAGGGTTAATGGAGATGTCAGTCTCTCACTTGCTGATCCAGAAGTGCAAAGTGCCAGAGTGACCTGTTAGCTCATGAATGTGAGAGTCCAGGACTTGAAGCAGAGTTAGTAACAGAGTGTAAGTTTGCAGCACTCCTATGGCATCATAACCAACGCAGAAATCGTTGCCACGCAGGATGGTAGGAAGACAGCTACCAAAACTCTTCTTAAACAGATCACATGAAAATGTGGAGGATATTCAACAGTGGCAACAAGCCATTGCAGCCAAAGGTACATTCTCAGTAGTGAAAAACAGTGTGTTACAGCATTGTATTAGGAGCTGGTGGAATACAGTAACTTAAGCATAAGCTGTGACTCCATTAAGCTGTTCACAGTTCACCTCAGCCATGAAGTGACCAGGTGGTCCTAGGTAAGCCATTATCTCTTAACCTCAGGTCTGTAGCACAGGAAAAGCAATACTGGCTAACACTGTGCAGGACACTTATGAGGGTTATGGAAAACATGTATGTGAATCACTATGAACACTCTAAAGTGCTATATATATTTCACATACGTGAGTATGAGATGCTGGAAATTAATGAGATGGATGCCCCATTCGTAATCTGCCCTGGCTGCAACCTACCCTATGGCAGCTGTCAGTTATTATTTATTTATACCAAACAAAAAGTTCTCAGGGTGGTTCACATAGGGAGAGGTGGCTTATAAATGAGTTTCAATAAAGTTGTCTCAGCAGGGATGGGCTTCCACACATAAGCCTTGAACTAAGGACCAGACTCCCTCCCCTTAGGCCTGATTATCCATGCTGGTTCTGGGTGTCTTGAGGAGCAACACCTTCCTTGGAGGAGAGTCTGTTCTCTTCCAAGAATCCTCACTTGGGGCATGTTGTGAGATGCAGGTGCCCTCTTCCCTTGCGAATGTCCATGGTGGTTCTCAGGATGACAGGGTGCTGAGCTGGCAGGCTCACTGGCGTGACCCTGTCTGGCAATTCTTGAGCTCTCCTGCACTCCCCACTCAAAAGCGGAGAGGAATATGGCCAAACACCCATCACTTCCATGGGAACAGAAAGACACCGACATGCTTGAGGCAGCTGATGCTCTCCTGTGACATAACTGCCATGCCCTCTGCTGGCGAAGGGCTGATCTTACCATCTGCTTCTCATGCCTCAAATGGGCCAGCGTCAAGGTCGTTCCCTCCTTTTGTTCTTTATGGCAGTCAAGGTCCCTCTACTTTTGTCACGCTACCTTGGCAGCTTGTTAGGCTGTTAGATTGACACAGCTTTGTTAAGATCGCTTGTTAAAGATGCAACCCTCAGGCCTGAAAAGGAGTGGGGCAGCCACACAGTGCAGACAGGAGCATCAAGGATAAATAAGGTGGCTCAGTACTTTTGCACCCTGAAGTCATGCACCCCTGCGACTTACCCTCCTCCGACTCCCTCTGCCAATTGGGCTCTACCAGCGCCAGGCCAGGGAAAGGCTCTAGTGATCAAAGAAACATAGAAGAGGTGTGTTGCTTTGCCATGAGCAGCTGCTCACTGCACCTGCACAATGTACCTCTCTGCTGCTCCTCACTTTGGAATAGGTCCTCCACAAGTTAAAGTTTACTTCTTGTTTTTTAATCACCACAGTCCTGCTGCCTGGATAAGGAACTTGCACACAACCAAGAGGAAGGCAACGGCAGCAACACGCAGAGGAAGGTAACAAGCCAAATAAGGCTTATGAAATTGTCAATTGTTGTGGTTGCCTGGCCTGCAGCAACAGGTGCCATGTTGCCTCTTTGTCAATGCATGCAGGAAAGAGGTCTGTTTAACATTTGCACAGGGATTTGCCAGGGTGGCATCCCCTGAAACCCTCCCCTTTGGCTCAGGTCAGGTCTTCACCTTCCCCACACCTGACGTATGCTGTGCTGTATGAAATCAGATGTAGCGCAGGTGGCTGTGGGTTAACTGAAGTGGACCTGCGTACCAAATGGGGAGGTTTGGCAGGCAGAATTAGACCTGTGGATCAGAGGTTCCGCACCCCAGCTCTCTACAGACAAATAGCAAGGCTTCCCTCACCAGCAATTGCTGCATTAGATTATTGAGAATCCCAGCTTTCACTTTCAAAAGGATATTCTGGGCTTCAAAACTGCAGGTATAAGCTTAAAGAAGTAAATGCATTTTCTACCAAAAAACAACAACCAGCAACAGACCACCCCCTTTGGAACTCCACGGATTGGCTGCACCCACTCTCCCACCAGAAACTTCATAAAGGCCCCCGTTCCTTCCCCACAAGTTCCTTTCCTTATATACTATATTAATAGTTTGCAAATTTAAAAAATGCCTTATTATGGTCTCGGCCTGACTCACTGTGGAGACTTCTTTCGAGACTAAACAATGTTGTTGGCCTAGATTCCATTGGCCTAATGATTTTATTCCAATTTCAGAATTTTATTCCAATGCTTCAGGTTGTGTGCAATTTTGGAAGGTAAATGTGAAGTGCAACACGCCCATGACGTTTGGCAAATGATAAATACATGGGGAATAGTCCTAATTTTTAACCCTATAGAACCAGGGGAGAGGCTGACTGGAGGTGGATCCTTCTGTCAAAGCATGAGCCTGTGACAAGGGGTACATATCTACAGAGGCAGAGTTTAGACACTTGGGACATGCCTCTGTGTGTGGAAATTTCCTGGCAATTTCAGCAATCCAGGAAAGTGGAAGTGGCGAAAACAGGGAAAGGTTCCCTATTTACTCCTGGCTGACAACCAAATCTGCATAGCTGGAGAAGGCTTGAAACATGAGAGGGAGGTTGCTAAGTAAGTGGGGAAGATAGATGAACGTGCTTGATATATTGCCATATTTAAAGAGACAGGCAATTCTTAGGCCTTTCTTCACAGCAAGTTGGCTATTGTGCCTTCCACCTTAAGTTCAGCCTTGATTCGCTGAATTAGGTGTGGTAGGATTCTGTGCAGAGAGGAAAGGTATTTGGAGGCCAGAAAAGTCTGAACTCAGCCACTAAAGACAAACCCTTGCAAGTTTTATCATAGGAAGCTTTATAAACTATGTCACTTTCTACAGAACTAATTTGCAGGTGGAGGTTAGAGTGGGAATAAGGGGCAAATATCACTGCAAAAAGCCACTGCTGGTGAAATAAATGTGCCAGCTTTCAAGCTCCTCAATTCTTCCGTTTGGTAATTTGCAATTGTATATTCTATCTTGTGAAAAAAATCTGTGTAAATTAAGAAGAAGAGGAGGAGTTTGGATTTGATCTCCCACTTTATCACTACCCGAAGGAGTCTCAAAGTGGCGAACATTCTCCTTTCCCTTCCTCCCCCACAACAAACACTCTGTGAGGTGAGTGGGGCTGAGAGACTTCAGAGAAGTGTGACTAGCCCAAGGTCACCCAGCAGCTGCATGTGGAGGAGCGGGGAAGCGAGCCCGGTTCCCCAGATTACGAGACTACTGCTCTTAACCACTACATCACACTGGCTCTTAAGAGTCTGCTCTGCACGCTTCAACACAAGTTGGCTCAATGAAGGATTTCATTGCACCAAATATATTTTTCACACTCATCCAAAACCAGCATTGGTACTATTATCTATATTCTAAAGACTTACTTTTTAATCACTTATCATGAAAAATGAACACTTTAGCTTGTTTCTTTATGGAAGAGAGAGCTACATATAAACAGTGATGCAAACTGAACTAATAATTTAAGATGGAAGTCACTAAACCAGCCTAAGCTGGCTGAACATCCAATTGCCGTAATAACCCAGTAAGAAGATTTACAGCAAGAGGAGTTGATGAATCATTGCTATGAGTTCTAATCTGCTCTTCCCCTAACTGAACTTATTATTAGAACAGTGGTGCTGTAAGGTAGCTTTTATCTAGACCAAAGAAAGGCAACTGTTGAGCCTCAAGACCTGTTCTTTCCACCACAGAAGGACAATAATTAGTAGCAGTAATAGGTTGGTGCGCTGCATGTTGCACCACGAGAGATAAGAGAATAATGTCAGACACAATCAACCACAATTAGTGGCAAGCTGCCTCTCCTTTAAGGGAGAGCCTCCTCAAAAACAGCACCTCCAAGTATCACCAGCAGTATTACTTGAAATGTAACTGTTGTACAATTATTCCCTAACTAAATTTACTGAAATTGTGTACATCATGGGTAGGCAAACTAAGGCCCGGGGGCCGGATTCAGCCAAATCGCCTTCTAAATCCGGCCCGCAGACAGTCTGGGAATCAGAATGTGTCCTTTAACTTAAAATGCATCTCTGGGTTATTTGTGGGGCCTGCCTGGTGTTTTTACATGAGTAGAATGTGTGCTTTTATTTAAAATGCATCTCTGGGTTGTTTGTGGGGCATAGGAATTCGTTCATCCCCCCCCCCAAATATAGTCCAGCCACCCACAAGGTCTGATGGACAGTGGACCGGCCCCCTGCTGAAGTTTGCTGACCCCTGGTGTACATGGTCACTGGAGACACCTGTCCATGATCACAAGGATAGGAACAAAGATGGAGCGGGGGGGGAGAGAGAGTCCTTTCTCTTGTAAATATTTGGAGAGAGTGGAGGAGATAGTGAACGGAAAGGTGTGTACTCGTTTTGCAAGCTGCCAGTGTCCAAGACTTCCACAATTTGCAAAACATTTGGGTATGCAAGAGAGCATTAAGCAAGAAAAACAGCCCTTAAGGCTGCAACTTTACATTGAGCTCAGGGCACAGAAGCAGGCAGCTGGTTTTGGAACAGAGCATGGCAAAGCCTGAGTCATATTATATCCTTCAAAAGAAACTGCCTTGAGCAACACTGTTAAGAGCTTGACTTTCTCTCTCTGCATTGGCTCCCTGCCCCTTTCTAGCTTAATTTATAGCAGCTGACCATAGCACAAGGCTCTTCATCGTTTCTTCTCCTTCGTCTCCCAGACATACGCATCTTTTACGCATCATCTTTAATCTTTGCTCCCTTCATCTACTGACACCACAAGTGGGCAACTAGAGATGTGGATTTCCCATAAAATTTTGAACTGGAAACCTCAGATTTGCATAAGGTGATTTTGCATCAGAAATTATTTTGATCCCCTAGAGAGTGATTCAATCTAGCATGTTTATTTGTATGTAGTAAACAAAATGTATCCATTTTTTGTCCCAATGAAAAAGTATTCAACCTAAATTAATTGGATGTGGAAATTGAAGCACTTAACATGCTTTACATGTATATTGTGTAGAAAACATAAGATTTTTAAATTGGAATATTTCTTTAAAAAATAAAGTCATTAGCAGGCATACTTCCCTTATGTTGTTTAAATTTAAGAAAAAACAAAGATACTGAAAACAGTTGACTCACAACACAGTCTAGCAACCCGAACAACTGAGCATGATATGCTGACTTGCAGTTTGCTAGGGATAATGTCCCAAAAAAACATAAAAGTACAATTTAAGAACTGTCAAGCTTGGCTAATATTGCCTTTGAAACTGGCACCCATACATTGTTGGTAATGAACTTATGAAATGGATACTTTCCCATAGAAAAAACAAGCAATGGACAATTTCTGCTTTCAAAAAAAAATCCACCTCACATTGCTGTGAGCAACTTGCAAGTTGCTTAGACACCTTAAAAGCTGGATTCACACTCATTTCAGCACACCAGTCAAATTTGGCAGGCTGCACAGAGCATGATTTGCAAGAGAAAGAAGAAGAGTTTGGATTTGATATCCCGCTTTATCACTACCCTAAGGAGTCTCAAAGCAGCTAACATTCTCCTTTCCCTTCCTCCCCCACAACAAACACTCTGAGGTGAGTGGGGCTGAGAGACTTCAGAGAAGTGTGACTAGCCCAAGGTCACCCAGCAAACCCGGTTCCCCAGATTACGAGTCTATCGCTCTTAACCACTACACCACACTGGCTCTCTAGAGAAAGGTGCACTGGGATGGCTGTCTAGGTGTGCCTTCTCCCTCATTGCAGCTGTGCTCCCTTCAGTCCACCAAACAGATTGTCAGCCCCTGTCAGCTGGGGTGTAAGGAGTGGCCCAACGGAATCACTGCCCACAACATGCCTGTCCCTCTCCCATCCCCAGCAGCTGATTGCTGTTGGTAAAAGCCAAAGAGCTTTTCCTAGACACAAGGAATGGGAGAACCACAATGGCATCACTGTGATCCTCTTGCTTGCCTCCTTTGGCGCTCTGTGTGCATCTGTGTGTGTGCATGTGAAAGTGTATGCCCCCTCATCCACTGCCCATCCCCAATGAATTATTATTACTATTATTATTTGTTTGTCTGTACCCCACCCATCTGACTGGATTGCCCCAAATGTAGCAGTTGGAAGCAAACGGTTTGCCTACTCCTGATTTACACCCGTGTGTCTTGTGCTGTGATCCTTTCTATTCCTGGAGCAATTTTCCCTTCTGCATTTGCCAAACCCACTGAGCCCACCTTTTAGAGCTCTCTTCCATTCCCACCTCTTCAGGAAGGTCTTTCTTGGACAATATCAACGCGCATACACCACACCTCCATGCCATCTGTTGGCTCTGCTTCCACATTTAGTGCAGCCTATCGTACTTGGGCTGTATATTCAAAAATCACACAACATGGAACACTTTGTCCTTCTCACTTATTTAAGCAACTCTTAAAATTATGCTTGTTACGAGTGGTTGAAGGGTGACTTAATTCCCTCAGTGTGAGTTGTAGATAGAGTGGGGATTCAAATTTATTACAACCATGGCCATGACATCCACAACACACCTTTAAAGCACATTCTTCCCCCAAGGAATCCTGGGAACTGTACTTACCCTGTACAGAGCTATAACAACTACAACTACTGCTAACTTCATTAAATTTGTATACCATCCACTACCCTTAATAAATAATAGTTCCCATGATTATTTGAGGAAAGCCATGTGTTTTAAATGTATGGTGTGGGTGTGAGTCTGGCAAATGGCAGACGGCAATTACTCCTGATTAACTGATGGAGAGTAAAGTTATGGTCTTGCGAGCATAATTTGACTGTAAACATTTTGCGCAGAGACAGTGTCACAGCCAGGTTCTGTGTAGCACTTTCTGGAAAGTTTCGCATACTTTCTGCACTGAACAAAAAGTATGTAACAGTGATATAGAGGAACTTTACAAGTATTTTTCCAGCCCTGAGTCCTTTTGAGCCTTAACTTAAGGTACTCCCTCCATTTGCTCTACAGTAATCAGCCTTATGCACATAGTTTTCAACCTTTCAATTGATCCAGCATACTTATACAAACATAGTATTTATACTGGATTTAAACATAGAGTAATAGGTACCTATAGCACAAAACCATACCTTTCTTTGAGTCACTGCCAACTGGTCTCTCGCCTTCCTTATTCTCCTGATTGGCTCGGTCCTTCTGCTTCTTCTTACTGGTTGCATCTTCCACGCCCCGTGCTGCTCTTCTCTGGCCAGGGATGCTGGCACTGTTGGACATTTTCAGCCGTTTGGATGAGACAAACGGCCCGCCGGGGTCGGTGACAGAGTCTGGGTCAGGGGTGCGACGTTTTCTTCCCGAGCCAGCTATCTTGGCGATTCTTTGTGGTCAATCTCTCTGGCAAGGAACAAATGCCTGGGGGGCACATGGAGGAACACAATGGGTAAGGGTGGTAGCAGAGGAACGGCAAATACCTGTGCTGTCAGAAGCCTTACTGAAGTGCTGTGTATATGTGTACACACACACACACAAACACACACACGTAAGACAGGGAAAGCCAGCACAAATGTCTTTGCTTTGAAAAATGAATACAGTACTACTGATCGGAATAGGAAGCACTGCCCATTCAAGGAAGTGCCATTCAAGGCACGATCTTATCTACATGCATTTTAAGATGAGGATTTTATTTTACATTGCATGACCACAGTCAAAATGTACAGGCAATATTTCTGTAAGACAAAAAGTCATCCTGTTGAGGATCTAGTTCTATCAGAACAAATGGGTGGCTCAGTAGTCTGTCAAATCCAGAGTGCTGTTATCTGATCCCTTTCCATTACTGGGTGCAATAGAAACAGCTGAGCACAAGACTGTTGATTTCCATGCGGGTTGTTGCTGCTTCAGAAACTATTATGATTCTCTGAGTGGACGTAAAAGCCAGTAAAATTTCCTTTAAGTTACGGAGTTCCTGGGGCTTTCCAAAATCTACCAACACCCCTCCATTTGCTTGTCCATTTGAGTGCCTTGCATCCAAGAGGCCAGTTACAACTTAAATATTCATCACATCGTTACAGCAATACAGTAAAAGCAGCTCTCTGAAGAGGTAATCAGAGACACCCCTGCTTGTTACTGCCAGCCAGGGTGAGCAATACAGGCTCCCCGCTGCATTCCAGGCAGCTACAGGCCAATTCCCTTTCCCTGCTAGCCTGCGTGCCACTATCAGGTTAGCCAGCTCAGAGACCTAAGCTGTCAGATACCAGTTTCACTCTCCACCACCTGCCAAGAACAAACAGGAAAAGCTTAGGCCAGGGGTCAGCAAACTTTTTCAGCAGGGGGCCGGTCCACTGTCCCTCAGACCTTGTGGGGGGCCGGACTATATTTTGAAAAAAAATAAAAATGAACGAATTCCTATGCCTCACAAATAACCCAGAGATGCAATTTAAATAAAAAGACACATTCTACTCATGTAAAAACAAGCCGATTCCCGGACCGTCCGTGGGTCAGATTTAGAAGGCCATTGGGCCAGATCCGGCACCCAGGCCTTCGTTTGCCTACCCCTGGCTTAGGCTGTCAGAAGGAAGCCAAAATTGAATGCTTTACTTTTTCAGATTCATCACCTGTCAATTCAGTTATAAAGAGCCTTAACATGGTCTTCCCCACTTATTGCCTCCTGGGCACAGTACAGTGAAAGTGAAGCCTAGGAACTCTTACTTGGAAATACCACCTAGGTTCAAGAAGTTAAATTTCAAGGATAACTGCCTGCACAAAGGCCAGATTATGTATGTACCTCAAGAGAAGCATGACCTGAGCATCAAATATGATACAGACCAGACAGGACTTTCCTTGCAAGAAGCACACAAATTCCCACCCAGGAAACAACATTTTTGAAGATGCAACCAGGCAATTACTTCAAATACGCTGGAGCACAAAGGGACAACAAATAGTCCACAAGTGGCAGCCTTTATACGCAACACCAGGTCCCCTGGATCTCCAATGAGCTCACCGAGCCACTACTTTGCTCTTCCGTCACCAGTATAATCGTGCTATATTTTGTTGCTCCTGGTAAGCTTAGTACTCCCCACCATTCACGGGCCTCAGCAAATTGGATTACACTCTGAATGTGAAGTATTACTAGGAAACATAGCAGTCAGGACTGAGGTACGCAGTAACAGTGACAGTCCCAAGTGGCAGACCTTAGAGATGGGTAGGAACATGGACACCTCCAGATTTAGGGGGCCCTGGGCAAAGTGGTCCTCTGGTGGCACTCCTCCTCCATGAATGGGTCTGATTGATCTACAACTGAGTTGCTGGATCTAGAGACCATTTTGATTTCCTATAACATCCCCAATTCTGGTCAGTGTGAGAAATTAAAATAGTCTCTAGACCCAGCTGCCCAAATAAGCCAGTCTCTGTGTGTGGTTTTTTTTAAAGGAGGGTCCAGGGCACACATCAATGTATGCCTAGCAAATGGCCCAAGACACCAGGTGAATACTGGCACACAACTTAGATGGAAAACTACTACTCCAAAACTTTTCTACCAATTACAAAAGACCCCGCCATACTCAAAAGAGTTTGCTTTTCCATGTGTTTTCTGCCAGACAGTATACTACTGCCCATGATTAACCTTATATAAACTTTATATAAAAATATAGGCTCATAGCCTTTCAGAAATGCTTGAGAATTTCAAAGCGCTCTTCCTCACTAAGAATTCTAAACTATCAACTCTAAGCCCAATTAAATCCTACCAATAGCCAAGTATGAACAAGACGGAACACTCCATGAGCCAGAGCTCCCTTCCCATTAAGCTTAAAGACACCCAAACCACTCCCAGCCAGGAGTCCATGACTCAGGTGTAAGCCTGAGATAAAATAATAGCCTCTAAGGCAATAGCTATGATGAAGAAGAATAGAAGTGTGAAAAGCTCTCCAAGTCTGAGCAACAAAGGGCACTACATGCCAAACTGCGATGCCTTCCTGAAAACACACTGCACAGGGCTGCATCACTACAAAAGGAACCAAGAACTAGCACCTGGCTCTTAAATGTGAATGCTGATCTGTTCTGAGTGTAAGGAACAGCAACTGCTTTGAAATGGGTGGAGGGGGAAGAAGGCCTGGAGTTTCATCCAGGATTTATCTCTTCTACTGGGAAAGCCAGTCATCAACAGGCACAGTACATTCTAACCTGTAGAAGCTACACCCATGGGATCCAGTTGTTACAAAGTCAGTGCAGCTGGATCCTGGTTTCCACCCCACAGAGGACATAGCCTTTAGACCAGTGGTTCCCAAACTCTTTGCCCACCCAAAGAGACTATTTAAAAATTGCTGAGATTCCTGGCAGACCACTGTTAAAAGTCCAAATTGTCAGCCATCACTACATCTTGTGGTGGCAAGTTCCAGTGAATAATTCTTCCTTCTCAGAAACGTCCAGCTTCTGGAATACACTAGAACATAACCAATAAACTCCCATTTCATCTTCAAAAAAACTCTTCCACACCCATTTCCCTCTCCACATAAAATCATGTTTACATAATATGAAAATCTTTTGCAGTTAAGCCTGCCACAAAGCAGGACTGCCCCATAGATCCAGACCACAGTGCCTAGACTGTGAACAAAGCTCAGCTACTGAGTCTTTCAAAAGCAAATTTTATTAGGAACAAACAGCACTATTCACATGCACACACAAACCAGAAACAAATTTGGAAAGCAGCAAAGAAGGAACTGCAGAAGAACAAGCCTTCTTAACTGAGCCATCCCCAAAGCAGCAGAACAAAATTTAGAGCCTTCATAAATGTATCCCATGCTGCCTAAAAACAAGGATAGTCATATATGTTGATTTTGTATTTTTTCCATTCCTAATGTTTCCAACCTTAAATTCACTTATCCACATTACCATATCCATTTGCAAATTTATTTTTAAAAATCTTCATGAAAATTCATCAGCATTTTGGTTCAAATTTCTCATGTTTGTTTGCAATTTTGCTCAGATCAGTGGCAGATAAAACATTTTTATAGCCCACGGAAGAAAGGATTTCTCAAGGCCCATGTTGACCCATAGAAGGCTAGATTCAGGTAGGTAGCCATGTTGGTCTGACACAGAAGGCTAGATCGCTTTACAGTTTTGTTGTATTTTTATTCTAGTCTTCAGCTAAAAAGGCTCTCAGAGTACTTTACAAATATCAATGAGAAGGCGGCTCCTGCTCTCAGGCTCACAATCTAGTAGATGTAAAGTCTTTTAAGCACCCAGAAAATACATTGTTACCTGTTAATTGCTAACTTTGGCACCAATAAACCTTGTATTTATGATGGTACCCCCCCAAAAAACCCCTGAAAGGGCTAATGTACTCCTAAAATAACTATCTTTTTTGAGCCCCTAAGCTCACCAGCTGAGGTTGAGGTCTCATCTAAGTTGTTGTGGCACAGTTGGTTGCTATAACATTGCCTCTGGGCATCTGGTTGGCTGTGAGAGCTGTTCATCTCATGACATCAGCAACAAAGCAGCTACGCTATTTTCACTGCACTGACCTAACCAAGCCACTTTCTTTCCCACACTTTCGGACCTCTCCTTACTTCTCGCCAGTTGGCACGAACCACATGCCGCAATAATCTCCACCGCCTGCTTCTAGGAGCCTTTATTTGGAAAGAAGAGCAAAGGCAACCCCTCGGGTTTTGTAGCGCGCAACACTCCCCCCCCCCCCGCAGCTTCTTTCACAGTCGGCCCATGGCCTAGAAAGCCATATCCTCCAGCCCCACAATACAATACACCCCTTATTCCCACGTGTCTGGAAAAGTCTCCTGGGTGGGTGGGGGTGCAACTTGCGCACTTGGGGACCCTGCCTAACCCAGGTGCCTCCGCTCACCTGCTTCTTGGCACCTGACAGCTTCCTACACGACAGGAAACAGGGGCTGCCACAAGCTCCTCAGCCTCTGAGGTTACACACACACACAGCACCTGCAACAGCATGCAACGCTGCAGCCCGGCCCAAAACCACGGGCCCTTTTTGCAGCCACTTCTTCGGTCCCTGTTGCAGGGGAAAGACCATGAGGGTCAAAAGCGGGCCCACCTGCACAGTGACAGCTCCTGGATCCCACCCCTCCCAGCCGAAAAGGGTCACACCTGAAGAGGGCCAAGGTGTGTGTGGGGGGGGACTCTCCCCGCGACCAAGAGACGCGACACGACCCAGTCCCTCAACACACTTATAAACCCCCCTCACACAAATACACGGATACACCCCCTCCCTCCTCAGTGACTCCCCCCCTCCGCACCTCGACGGAGGCCCCTCCCCCTCCCTCAGGGCTCACCACTCCGCCGCCCCCGCGCACCCTCCCGCTGACGGGCCCCGCCCTTGCGCACCTTCGCCCGCCGCCGCCGCCGCCGCCGCCGCGGCTTCGCCTCCTCCGCCCCAACAGTCACTCGCCGGCACCCCTCCCCCACCCCGCACGCCGGCACGCGCGCGCGCGCGCACACACGAAGGGCCGCGGCAGCGACTCTTCCCCCACCCCCGCGGTTTGTTTTTGTTTCGAGCCGAAGTTCCGAGCTGCGTGGGGGTGGGGGTTGGGAAAGGGGGAGAACTCAGGAGGAGCCAGGCCCGAGCTCTACGTGACGTACTTCCGGAAAGCCGGCGTCGCTCGGGGCCACGTGACGAGGCGGAGGAGGCGGCGCGCGGGGCACGACGAGGCTGCTCGGGTGAAGAGGGAGGGAGGGAGGCGTGGGGAGAGAGAGAGAGTGAGCCGATAAATAAATAAATAAGTGGGCGGCGTCACGTGGCGAGGGGAAAACGTTCTCTCCGCGCACGCGCGCTCTGGTGGAGTGGTGCCGGGGGGGGGGCGGCGCGGAGGAATCTGCCCCGGTTCGCGTGGCGTCACAGGACGAGCCCATGGCAACCGGGCTATAAGTAGACCGGGTAGCAACGGCGGGGCCGTCAGGCGCTGCTGGGCGAGCTCCGGGCTGGCTATTCCGGGGGTGAAGCGTGGGCATATGCGACAAACTCCGTTGTTTCCGAAGCTGCAGTCGTGTTTCACGTCAAATTTCATACTTCCACCCCTTGCTTTCTGATTTCAGCGCTTTGTAAGGGTTTTGTTTTTCTTCCTGCCTTAAGACGACTTTTCCTCAGTTGGCTTCGTAAACAGCAAGGCTGACATAAAAGCAAGACTTCGCTGCACACCCCGCCCCCCATTGTTTTGGTCGGTTTTTTTCGCCCGCAGGAACACACCTGGAACCGATTTTTTTGCATCTTGCCAGTGTTGATATTTGGGGCCATAACCCTCCCCCCTTTTTTTGTCTTAATGACTGGGAGAAAAACATTTACAGGTTTGCTAGTATGTCCCCAAACGGTGCAAAAAGAAAAGAAAGAAAGAAAAGAAAAGGAAAAAAAATTGCTTGTGAATAAAACAGATCCCAAGGTTTTGCCCCATCTACTGACTGGGTTAGGGTTAGGTTCCCTTTGCTGCACTATGTATTGAAAGACCGTTTGCATATTTTGCCTGCTAACAGACACTGAATAATCTCTCTAGTGCTTCTCAACACCCCTCTGCTTTGTCTATTAGGACTAATATGGTTCCTTGCAGATACAAGCATCCCAATTTTATTCTATGCACAGAGGACACTGGAAATGCATGTGTATTTACAATAATATATTTTCAGATAATGCCTGTGTGTGCTTTCATCATGAGCAAAATTTATTTATGTGAGTGACAACATTACTTACAAACAGCATTAACAAATGCAATCCGTGCAAAAATATTCTCAAGAGACTTGCAGATCATATTTTGATGTTATCGGCGAAAGCTTAATTTCTAACAAAATAAGGCTAGGTAGGGAAAAAATGGATGAAAATGTAGCATCTGTATGGTATGACAATGTTTAATATTAAGAGGATCATATTATTGTAAGTCTCGGAGCTATCAAACAAGGAGAAAAAGCTATTTACCGTAAATACAGGCAACTGTTTTAACACTGAATCAGACCACCAACTACATTGTCTACAGTGACTCTCCAGGAGTATTCAGACAGGAGTTTTCCCCAACCTTACTTGGAGACAGGGTGGCCGGATGCAAGAGAGGACAGAGCCCCTCCCCCCCCGAAAGCATTTCAGTGGATGTAGTTTGCATGATAAACTACACCTGCTGAAATTCCCTCTGCATTAAAGGTGCAGGAGCTTTGCCCTCTTCTGGATTTGGCTACACTACCTGCTCACTGGAAGGACAGATTGTGAAGCTGAGGCTCCAATACTTTGGCCACCTCATGAGAAGAGAAGACTCCCTGGAAAAGACCCTGATGTTGGGAAAGATTGAGGGCACAAGGAGAAGGGGACGACAGAGGACGAGATGGTTGGATAGTGTTCTCGAAGCTACCAGCATGAGTTTGACCAGTGGAAGACAGGAGTGCCTGGCGTGCTCTGGTCCATGGCGTCACGAAGAGTCGGACACGACTAAATGACTAAACAACAACACCACTACCTGAGTATAGAGCTAGGGCCTCCTTACCTGCCTACCATGTACTTTACCTCTGTTCCTGGATGACAAGGTTTTACATGTTAACAGTGATAAGCAGCTTTATTTCCACTTGAGGATAAAGCCTTAGCCTCTCTTGCCTCTAGCAAATGCCAGTTCCCACTCCTTCCCTTGATAAAAGGCAGGATGTGTTGTGCATGGGAGGCTAATATGGAGGGCTGGTTAGCAGTGAAGGGGCGGGGTGTGAGCCCCATTATAAGACAGCGCTGAACTTGGGTGTCATGTGGACTCAACTTACAAGGGGTCAGGGAAGCTTTGTATCTGGAAAGTAGTTTGTTGTCTGAATTCATCCTCATCGCACTATCTGTTGCACCCAATTACTAAGCAATACAGTAGTTGCATATTGATAGGAAGCTGTAGTACTCACTTTAGATAATTATTATTTCCCCTATATTTCAGCCTGTTCCTATTTGCTGGAAATAAAAACAAACTTCCGCTGAGGTAACAAACATAGCCTGTAAGCCTATTGAGCATATGTACCATTTTAGACTGTACTAGCTTTTTGCATATTTTTCTCTGTACAGTGGTACCTCAGGTTAAGAACTTAATTCGTTCGGGAGGTCCGTTCTTAACCTGAAACTGTTCTTAACCTGAGGTACCACTTTAGCTAATAGGGCCTCCCACCACCCCCCTGCCGCCACTGTGCAATTTCTGTTCTCATCCTGAAGAAAGTTCTTAACCCGAGGTACTATTTCTGGGTTAGCAGAGTCTGTAACCTGAAGCGTCTGTAACCTGAGGTGCCACTGTACTGGTAACTTGCAACTTGCACACATTTAACCTGCACACATTCAGCTTTATGCACTTGGCAGCGGCGGCTGCCGCTGCTACTACTACTACTACTACTACTGCTGCTGCTAGGTGGTGAAGGGGATGGGTGTCCATGAAAATAGACTGGCAATTCCACCTGCAATTGAACCTAGTGTGTTTTGACTATATATGGATTTGGCTTTATGCATTATCCCTGGAATGTAACCCGGGGATAAGTTGAGAGTCACCTGTAGTTGTCACTAATAATATTGTTTTCCTATGTAGTTTGCATCATGTTAAAATTATTATAGATATTCATGGATTTGCACCTCATCTACCTTGTGTGAAGTTAAATGGGTACATACATCTTCATGTAGCCACATACAGTATTGCTGAAAGGCCAGTTTGTCGGTGGTGGTCAGAAACATTACCGAAAGAGAGAGATGGCCAATTATGATGTAGTACCTCACAGCAGGTAAGAGGAAGGAAATGTTGGTATATAATACACAGCAGATGGACTAAAGTTTTGGGCTTCATAAATGGTTTTTTATCTAAGCAATATTTGAAAAAACAAGTTCCCCCTCACATACACACATTTTGCACTGTCAGTTCTACCCCCACTGCCCCATTTTGCTTCCACCAATTATTTCATTATATGTGGAATTCTTCCAGGCATTGTGAACGTTCTTGGTTCCAAACAAGGCATAGTCTCTAGTACATTTTAAATTGGCTGGGTGCAAAAACTGATTCTAGGTCTGTGTGCTCACTGCATCCTGTTAGAAAAAAGGAAGAAAGTTTAGGAAAATGTTCAGACGTCTTGTCTAAGGATAATTGTGTTACTGGCTACCTAAATAAACTTGAGAAAAATTAGTACTCAGTAAAATGAAAACCACTTTCTGTACACATTTTCCTGTTTACCTAATAACTTGCATGAAAAAAGCTCTACTTTTATAAATCACCATGATGGTGGGATCAACAGATTAGCCGGTGGTGGTTATAGACAGAACTAGTCCATGTTTAGCAATCTTGCAACTGCTCCTATCACAACAGTCTCTACATTCTTAAGACAGTGGCAAAATAGCTAGGATGCTGACACCTAGATCGGTACCATAGCAACCACGGTGCTGCCATGGCAACCAAATAGATGCCAGTCACTGACAGTCCTGGTATTATGTGCCATTGGCACTATGGCAACGGGATTGAAATGAGCTGGTACTGTACTATTAGCACCAATGCCCTGTCAACTATGAAGAAACCTGAGAAGTGACACTGAGACCGAAACACTGCCAAAAATGCCATGGGAGACTTGGAAACTGTTTTACCTCGAATATTAGAGGCCCAGGGATAGTCAACATGGTATTGAACTACATCACCCATCATCATCCCTGACCATCAGCCATGCTGACTGGGGCTAATTACTACCCTCATAAGCACTATTTTATTATTAACCGGTGATAACCTTGCCCCACACCACAGCAACACTACTGACAGCCTGCCAATGCATACTAGTTATATATCCTATCTGTGACTGACAGCATTCCTATTCTTTTCAAATTGTTAAATTGTGTTGCTTTGAGCAAGGCACAATGTTGCCACCAAATTGGTTCACATCCGAATGGATCCAGTGCCTACAAAGGGAAAGAGGAATTGACAGCCACATTCTCTGTGGCTGCTCTGCTGCTTTTTCTGTTGGGCTAGACAACTGATGTTCTGTGGCTCCTAATCTGTATGGGTGTTCAATATTTTTTTTCTTCTGTACCGTGTCATCTGACCTGACTGTTAAGTCAGCAGCTCAAAAGATTCCTCGTTTCTCCTTAGCATGAGAGATGAAGAGCTGTGATGAACAACAACTTCAAATTTAAATACCTGAGCACCAGAACTGTTGCGTAAGAAGAGTTTGGATTTGATATCCCAATTTATCACTACCCTAAGGAGTCTCAAAGCAGCTAACATTCTCCTTTCCCGACAAGAAAATTGGCTTCCAGGTGGAAAAATCAAAATTGGAAACAGAACTGTTAGAACCCAAAACCAAGATTTTGTCAAGGATGTATAACTTGCTGTTGAACTGGAATACTCAGGATGAAATGGTGAAATCTGCTATGATTAAATGGGCACAAGATGTTGGACATAACATAATGATGGCTGACTGGGAACAGTTATGGACCACAGGTATGAAGTTTACGGCATGTAATGCCTTAAGAGAGAATATTATGAAAATGATATACAGGTGGTACATGATACCAGTCAAGCTTGCAAAAATCTATCATTTGCCCGATAATAAATGCTGGAAATGTAAAGAAACTGAAGGTACATTATTTCACCTTTGGTGGACGTGCCCAAGGATTAAGGCTTTCTGGGAGATGATCTATAATGAAATGAAAAAGGTATTTAAATATACCTTTCTGAAGAAACCAGAGGCCTTTCTCCTGGGCATGGTTGGCCAATTGGTGCCAAAGAAGGATAGAACTTTCTTTATATATGCTACAACAGCAGCAAGAATACTTATTGTAAAGTACTGGAAGACACAAGATTTACCCACCCTGGAAGAATGGCAGATGAAGGTGATGGACTACATGGAACTGGCGGAAATGACTGGCAGAATCCGAGACCAGGGAGAAGAGTCGGTGGAAGAAGATTGGAAGAAATTTAAAGACTATTTACAGAAATACTGCAAAATTAATGAATGTTAGTATGATGTCAGAATGAAGTTAAGTGGTTTTAGCAGCAATGTTTCAAAGGAGTATGTAAAAATGGATTGTTAACAGGTGAGAATCTAAAGTTATAATATATTAAGTTAAAGGATTAAGATAAAAACAAAGAGGGAAAGGATTTGCTGAATTAACTAATTGAACTGGAATACAAAAAGGGGAGGTGTGAGGAGGTCAGGGAAACAAGTAAACGAAAGACAAGACATGGAAAGATTTGTTTTTAAGTGTTTTTATTTTTCTGTATTTTGTACTTTTTCTTTTCTTTCTTTTTTCTTTTTCTTATTTTTGTAATCTTTTCTAAAACTTTAATAAATATCATTTAAAAAAAATTCTCCTTTCCCTTCCTCCCCCACAACAAACACTATTTGAGGTGAGAGGGACTGAGAGACTTCAAAGTGTGACTAGCCCAAGGTCACCCAGCAGCTGCATGTGGAGGAGCGGAGACACGAACCCGGTTCCCCAGATTACAAGACTACCGCTCTTAACCACTACACCACACTGGCTCCACATACTATGCCTTTGTACATCCGGTAGCATAGGGATAAGCAGCTGAATTAGGGCCTATAACACCAGCATGGGATGGTAATGGTTGGCAATGTCTTGTAGCACCACTTCCTTTTTCCAAAGGAGGCGTTGTTGCTCTTTGCAAACCCCCAATGTACACATGAAGCTCCTGTTTAGGCAGGCTTCTCTATGCCCTTCAATGTGAGGGTCAATGAAATGAACACATGGAATGGCTCCATCTATTATGAAATTACAGCTGAAGTATTATGAACACCATCACTCAAAACACCATTTGGGCCGGCCACATATCCCAAGGGTGTTGTAGTAGTGGATTTTGTGCATCGGCAGGGTATTGAACTGGGTCAAAGTTTGTTTTTCTTTTTAATGTTTATATTATTAACTTGTAAGATATGGATTTTTTTGTTTTGTTTTTTGAATGTTGAGTTTTGTGTGTTGTGTATTGTTATTTTTTGATATTTTTCGTGTTGTTGTGCGGAAAATACTAATAAAATTTATTATTTTTTTAAAAAAGAACTGGGTTACCTTTGAGGTTCCCTCCACCTCTATGATTCTGTGGGGTTGGTTTTTTTTTTTTTGGTAGACAGCATTTTTAGTGAGTGTTGCTGATAACTGCAGCAAAGTTCTAGTGTGTATGTGTGACTTTCACATGCGAATGAACTACAGCCCATAGTCAATGCTGCGAGTTAGGAGTCCAAAAAGCATCTACGAGCCACCCATTCCTCACCCATTCTAATGGCTCAAATGTCATGGATTAACACATCATCACCAGCATAATTTTATTATTTATACTCTGCCCATCTGGCTGTTTCCCCAGCCACTCTGGGCAGCTTACATTGCAAACGACAAGGCGGAAGAGGTAACTGAGGGGAGATTCATCTTTGGTAACAAAGACATTTCAGCCACCACAGAGCAAATCTATTTTAACACAAAATTGCAGTACAGGACAGACCTGCCCTATTAGCCTTGCACAAGATTATTCTAGTAGGGCAGCACTGGTGTTGGCCTACTGTGTGCTGTCACAGGTACACATACTCATAGAGAAATCCTAAATTCAATGCAGTTGCATTCGCTGCCCCCAACCTCTGGATTGTGGACTACAATTCCCATCATTCCTGGCCTTCGGCAATGTTGGCAGGGAATGCCAGGAAGTCCAAGACGTCCGGAGGACCCTGGAAAAAAAAAGTGTTACACTGCTCCATTATTCTCCTCAGATACCTCCAACCTAGAAAAAGATTGCCTCATTTGTATGGTGAAGCTCTAAAAACTGTCAATATGGTTTTTAAAAAAATTGTTAAAAACAATTTATATATATATATGAGGGGTTTATTATGGTTGTTTTTCACCTAGACTGGAGATAATTACAGAATGTAACACTAAAAACTTTTATGTTTGTGCTAAATCATTGCATGAGCTGGACAAAAGAATTAGAGGGTGTCTTTTGTGGGGTGGGGGTGACACTGTTGTTATAAGAATTTTAACATATATTTATATATGTGTGTGTGTGTGTGTGTGTGTGTGTGTATGTATATATATATGTGTGTGTGTGTGTGTGTGTGTATATATATATATATATATATATATATATATACACACACACTATATATATATAGTATAAACCACATGTCTGAAACTCCACAGAAAAAAGTCCTGAAACCATTTTGTCTCTCCCAAATGACTTCACATATTTCTCTGCAAGGTCAAAGGAAATGGGGAACCTCCCCATTGTCTCTTTGCTCACAAATCCTGTCTCAAGGGCACATTTAAGATATGAATAGGGTGAGCTTGTGATCTGGATTCAGGAACTGAGTAGTTGTCAAACAAAAGGGTGGCCAGGATAACCAGGTAATCCAATAAAGTAACCTGGCAGACAAGATAAAAACAACGCACTCAGATTTCTGTTGTAGTCCGCCCCTTCTCTGATGTACATAGGATGTACTGGGGTGGTGGTCTTGGGCTACACCCCTTCTGTGATGTATGTATGATGTATGGAGGGGCAGTCTTGGGCTCCAGGGTTAGTTCAAAAGTCTATATAAGGGCTTGCACACCTTTGTCCTGGGTCCTCTTCCTGCCTCCTGCGTGTGGGGGGAGCCCTGTTGCAACAGTTTTAATAAAGATCAGGCTTACTAGCTGCTTTGCTTCTCAATATTCTCTGGTTTGCCTCTGTTATTTTCTTCTACTGATAGAGAACCTAAAAAAGGACTCTATATGTGCTCTTGGGTACCCCATAAGGGAAAAGGAGAAGGTTTTTTTTCCTTTCTTATAACATTGTAAACATTATGAAAAGTAGTATTTTCAGTGCAATGTGTGAACAATGCATTGAAGTGATACCAAAGGCACCCCCTGGTCTATGAGCTCTTTTGCACAATGAGCATGAGATACTGCAACTTTTCCTTTTAAACCAGTGCAATGAACACCACTCATGTTTAGAGAAAGGGGGAGGATCCATGGTCATGGAAACATAAACATGAGTGTATACAGTTGCCTCACTATTACCCCATACCCTTGTTTCCAGGATGCAAGCATTCCCATCTCCATCAATGGTTGTGATGGTTACAATCTGGGTGGCTTAGAGTTGTTGGACTACAACTCCCATCATCCTTAGCTAGCTACAGCAATGGTCAAGGATGATTGGAATTGTAGTCCAACAACAGCTGGGGGCCCAGGTTTGAGGAACACTGCTATATACCAATAGCTTGGGGACAAACAATGGTAGTGGGCTTCACGCCTTTCTTGTGGGCTTCCAAGAAACTAGTGCAATTCAGGAAGCCTCTGAGATTCTTATGGTTTCTGTTGCCGTCTTGATGCTTTTTCTGTCTCTGTGCTCCACCTGTTTTCTACTTGTCTGACCCCACGTCTACCTGTGTTCATTCAGTAGCCACATCAAACATCATTGATGACCACATCTGGGAATCCAAGGCCTAGAGCAGGGATGAGGAACCTGTTGAATTCCAGCTCCAATCAGCTGAGACCATATAACACCGGTCCTGAAAGACCTACATTGGCTTCCAGTACATTTCCAAGCACAAAGTGTTGGTGCTGAACTTTAAAGCCCTAAATGGCCTCGGCCTAGTATAACTGAAGGAGCGTCTCCACCCCCATCATTCAGCCCGGACACGGAGGTCCAGCGCCAGGGGCCTTCTGGAGGTTCCCACACTGCGAGAAGTGAAGTTACAGGGAACCAGGCAGAGGGCCTTCTCAGTAGTGGCGCCCACCCTGTGGAACGCCCTCCCATCAGATGTCAAGGAAATAAATCTAACTTTTAAAAGGTAAAGGTAAAGGGACCCCTGACCATTAGGTCCAGTCGTTACTGACTCTGGGGTTGCGGCGCTCATCTCGCTTTATTGGCCAAGGGAGCCGGCGTACAGCTTCTGGGTCATGTGGCCAGCATGACTAAGCCGCTTCTGGCGAACCAGAGCAGCGCACGGAAACGCCGTTTACCTTCCTGCCGGAGTGGTGCCTATTTATTTAGTTGCACTTTGACATGCTTTCGAACTGCTAGATTGGCAGGAGCAGGGACCAAGCAACGGGAGCTCACCCCATTGCGGGGATTCGAACCATCGACCTTCTGATTGGCAAGTCCTAGGCTCTGTGGTTTAACCCACAGCGCCACCCGCGTCCCGTAATCTAACTTTTAGAAGACATCTTAAGGCAGCCCTGTTTAGGGAAGTTTTTAATGGCTGATGTTTTATTGTATTTTTGATATTTTGTTGGAAGCCGCCCAAAGTGGCTGGGGAAAACCAGCCAGATGGGCGGAGTATAAATAGGATGATGGGAACTGTAGTCTGATAATGACTGGAGGGCCCCAGGTTCCCCATCCCTGCTATATATATTTCACGTCATGCAAAATCAGTTTCACCAGGGCCCAGCTCCAGTTCAAAACAGAAGTGTAGACACACTTTGGGGTGAATTATGAAAGGCAAGCCAGGATTTGAGCAGAGGAAGGAATAAGACAACACAGCACAGAGAGCAATAGCCTTTGGGCCTTTATTCACACACAGGTGTAAGCCACCTTGGTTGGGGCAGATCACACACAGGCACGGCAATGCAGCAACCCTTCCCCTGTTCTGTTATTGCTCTGAGCAAGAGACCAGCAGAAAACCAGAACGGGAAAATTCCGCTATGGCATCTTAAGTGCTTCCTTACGTGCCAGATGTTGCAGGGAAGGGATTTTCCTAAGGAAGCCTTGATGTATGCAGTGCTGTGCTTCCACGAAGGCTGGGGTGAGAGTCAAGCAATGGTGGCAAGGGAGAGCCACAGGAAGCGGTGCTCCGGGCACTAAGCTAGATCTAGGCAGGGGTAGCCAAGACTTATTCAAACACATGACTGGCAGCAGTGAATAGGACTTACAAAATGGGAGTGGGTAAGGGAGAAGAGAGAGAGAGAGAAGCACGGCGCATCACTGGCAGGTGTTGTAGATTTGGATCTGCTGATTGATGTCTCCCAAGATGACCCTCATCTTGGCCTCAAGCCCGTCCAGTTGGGCCGCTTTCTCCTGCAGGAGCCTCTCGTTTTCTTCATACGTTTCTTCCAGCGCTGAATAGGGACAGGGAGGAGGAGAATTGCAGCAACAAAACGGAGGAAAGTTAAGGGAAAGATGGGCTGCTAAAACCGTCCCCTCCCTGAAACCTGCCTCTGAAGGGACAGTTCCACGTTGGTGTCTCTGTCGCAGTTCCAGACAAGGAGGTCACAGTCAGCCTCTCCTTGTATGCTCTCTCCCCCCCCCCCAACAGCAAATCCACTCCAGATCCCCAGAACAGATTTGGGACGGGAGGGTAGAGAAAGTTCTGTGGCGCAAGTGGAAGCCCTTTGTTATGTACTGAGTGAATAGGATCCAAAATGCATAAGTCTGATTGGTCCTAGAACATTAGGATTCAGAATGCAGCAGTCTGATTGGTCCTAGAACAAGAGGATCCAGAATGCAGCAGTCTGATTGGTCCACAGGAGCCACCCAATCCAGCTCCAGGTGCCACTACCAAGAAGGCCCTCTGTCTAGTTCCCTGTAACCTTACTTCTCGCAATGAGGGAACCGCCAGAAGGCCCTTGGCACTGGATCTCAGTGCTGAACGATGGGGGTGGAGATGCTCCTTCAGGTATACTGGGCCGAGGCCGTTTAGGGCTTTAAAGGTCAGCACCAACACTTTGAATTGTGCTCAGAAACGTACTGGGAGCCAATGCAGATCTCTCAGGACCGGTGTTATGTGGTTCAGGCGGCCACTCCCAGTCACCAGTCTAGCTGCCACATCCAGGGCTTGCTGGGTTCTGCCTGTTCGCAGGTTTTCTACCCAAGCGTGTCCTGTGTCACAAATGGGGATCTTTGGGGGATTTATCAGCTTTCTAAACGGAAATGGCTCTTTACAGTTCTATCCTCCATAACGCAACAAGAGAGATGGAAATGGAAACGCGTGGGCAGCCTGATGAAATTCCACTTGTATTGTGGATTTCTCTGTATATTAGGCAGGCAGCTTCAGTGTTTAGTTTTTAGATTTCAGTTTAGAACATTTTTATTCACATAAACTTGCCCTGCCACGTGACTCGGTTTTATGTTATTCCGAGCTTTGTCTTTTTAGGTTTTTAATTTTGATTTTATGCACACTGCTTTGAGAAGATCAGCCCCCTTCTTGGTTTAGCACCATGGAAATTTATGCATACATAAAATAAGTAAATAAGCAAACTGAAGACACCAAAAGGCAGGGCTGGGCAGGGCTTCCCACAATCAAAGAGCAGTTTCGGCATCTCGTGTAGCTCCCTGTCCTTCTCCTGCCTACTCTCTCTCCCTGGTTCCATCACCTCAATCTATTTGTGTGTGATGGTGATGGAGAGAATCTTTCGAAACCTAGATTTTGGCATGTTATGTTAACATGATTAACATGACAGCAAAAAATGGGAATTTATTTAAAGACAACTATGAAAAATGCTGGGCTGAAGTGAAAAAAAGATTTAGAAATTTGGACAAATTTGAAGCTTTCACTGCTGGGCTGTATTGCTGCGGTAAAAATGAATGTATTGCCTAGAATGTTGTTTTTGTTTCAAACATTGCAAATTGTGGACAAAATGGACTGTTTCAAGAGGTGGCAGAGAGATATTTCTAAATTTGTCTGGCAGGGCAAGAAGCCTAGAATAAAATTTAAAATATTAACAGATGCAAAGGAAAGAGGTGGATTTGCCCTGCCAGACTTTAAACTTTACTATGAATCAGCAGCTTTTTGCTGGTTGAAAGAATGGTTGCTTCTTGAAAACACTGACATTTTGGATTTAGAAGGTTTTAACAATGTATTTGGATGGCATGCATATCTGTGGTACGATAAGGTCAAAGCACATAAAGCATTTAAAAATCACATTGTCAGGAAAGCATTGTTTAATGTTTGGATAAGATACAAGGACTTATTGGAAAATAAAACTCCAAGGTGGCTGTCACCGATGGAAGCAAAAGCTCTGAAAAAGCTCAATATGGAGGCCAAATGGCCGAAATATTGGGAAATTTTGGAACAAGACGGAGATGGACTGAAATTGCAGAGTTTTGAGAAATTAAAAAACAATGTGCGAGACTGGCTTCATTATTATCAGATAATGGAGGCATATAATCTGGATAAGAAAATTGGTTTCCAGGTGGAAAAATCAAAATTACAGAACTATTAGAACCCAAAACTAAGATTTTGTCAAAGATGTATAACTTGCTGTTGAAATGGAATACTCAGGATGAAACGGTGAAATCTGCTATGATTAAATGGGCACAAGATGTTGGACATAACATAATGATGGCTGACTGGGAACAGTTATGGACCACAGGTATGAAGTTTATGGCATGTAATGCCTTAAGAGAGAATATTATGAAAATGATATACAGGTGGTACATGACACCAGTCAAGCTTAGCAAAAATCAATCAATTGCCCGAAAAAAAATGATGGAAATGTAAAGAAACTGAAGGTACATTCTTTCACCTTTGGTGGACGTGCCCAAGGATTAAGGCTTTCTGGGAAATGATATATAATGAACTGAAAAGGTATTTAAATATACCTTCTTGAAGAAACCAGAGGCCTTTCTCCTAGGCATAGTCGGTCAATTGGTGCCAAAGAAGGATAGAACCTTTTTTATGTATGCCACAACAGCAGCAAGAATACTCATTGCAAAGTATTGGAAGACACAAGATTTACCCACTCTGGAAGAATGGCAGATGAAGCTGATGGACTATATGGAACTGGCAGAAATGACTGGCAGAATCTGAGACCAGGGAGAAGAGTCGGTGGAAGAAGATTGGAAGAAGTTCAAAGACTATCTACAGAAATATTGTAAAATTAATGAATGTTAGAACGATGTTGGATAGAAATGAAGTGGTTTCTAGCTGTAATGCTTTAAGGGAATATGAAAAATGGGTTGTTAAGAGGTAAAAATCTAACGTTACTATTTTAAGACCAAAGATTAGGATAAATAAAGAGGGTAAGGATTTGCTGAACCAACAAATTGAACTGGAATACAAAAAAGGGAGGTATGAGGAGGTCCGGGAAACAAGCTAAGGAAAAATAAGCAATGGAAAATTTGAGTGTTTTTAATCATTTTTATTTTTATTTTGTTTTTCTTTTTCATTTTTTATTGTAATATTTTTTAAAAATCCTAATAAATATTTTATAAAAAAAACAAAAAACCAAACCTAGATTTTGGAAGCGGCGTACAAACCAAATGAAACTAGTTCATGTGGCCTTGGCCCAGTATACCTGAAGAAGCGTCTCCACCCCCATCATTCAGCCCGGACACTGAGGTCCAGCTCCAAGGGCCTTCTGGCGGTTCCCTCACTGCAAGAAGTGAGGTTACAGGGAACCAGACAGAGGGCCTTTTCAGTAGTGGCGCCTGTCCTGTGCAATGCCACCTCATCAGATGACAGGAAATAAACAACTGTCTGACTTTCAGAAAACATCTGAAGGCAGCCCTGTTTAGGGAAGCTTTTAATCTTTGATGTTTTGTCAGTATTATTATTATTAATATTATTGTTATTATTATTATTATTATTATTCTGTTGGGAGCCGCCCAAAGTGGCTGCAGAAACCCAACCAGATGGGCAGGGTGGTAATAATAATACAGTGGTACCTCAGGTTAAGTACTTAATTTGTTCCAGAGGTCCATACTTAACCTGAAACTGTTCTTAACCTGAAGCACCACTTTAGCTAATGGGGCCTCCTGCTGCTGCCGCGCCGCCGGAGCACGATTTCTGTTCTCATCCTGAAGCAAAGTTCTTAACTACATTTTAATATTTTAATGTTTCAATATTTTAATGTTGCATTTTTTAATTTTGTTTTTAAGTTGTAATCATTTAACTTGTTCTTATTATTGCTTGTAAGCCGCTCTGAGCCCGGCCTTGGCTGGGAAGGGCGGGGTATAAATAAAAATTATTATTATTATTAACCTGAAGCACTATTTGTGGGTTAGCGGAGTCTGTAACCTGAAGCGTATGCAACCTGAAGCGTATGTAACCTGAGGTACAACTGTAATAATAATAATAGTAATAATAATAATAATAATTTGCAGAATTTACTGTCTAGAAGGCACAGAATTGTGTGAAATCCAGTTTATGGGGGGGCCCCCCAGAAATGTCACACACCACCCCAGAGAATATATTCCCCCCCTTCTCCCGGGCACTTACCGCTCAGCCGCTGCAACTTGTCATGCGCATCGCGCAGCAGGCCCTTGGCCTCGTCCCGTAGGCGCTCTGCTTTCTGCCGGGCCCGGACCACGTGCTGGGCCTTGCGTTCCACTAGGTCCTTCATGGTGCGGTACTGGTCACCCAGCGTCCCATCCAGCAACTGAGATGCAGCGGGAAATAAGGGGCAAGCGGTGAGCAGGAACTGCAGGCCTCGGTGCAGCGGCGTTATGCTTCCCACCATCTCTGGAGCGTCGCAAGGAAGATGGCAGGAAGAAAAGGCAGGAAATGGGCCTCCTCTGGAAGGACTTTAGTGCAGGGGTGGGGGGAACCTGTGTGGCCCTCCAGATGTTGTCAGGCTACAACCCCCACCACCCCTGACCGCTGGCCATGCTCACTGGGGCTAATAGGGTATTGGAGTTCAAACAATATCTGGACAGGCTGATCCCTGACTTAGTGGATTACTTTTGTTCATGCCAATCATCTTGCTGAGCCCAATTTTCATTCATTCGTTCAACAGCAACATCAATGTGTATAGTACTTTTCAGGGTGCAAGGGGACAAGTCCCTGCCTTGAGGAACTAAGAATTCTAAAATCTTGTAAAGGAGGCCAGGAAGGAATGCCATCATAGATGAGAGCGGCCAGTGATGGTGGAGTTGTTGCTTTTCACTGCCTCCTGAGGGTGGTGCCCTCAGCTCCTGTTTGTGGCGTCTGGTTGACCACTGTAAGAAACAGCGGGTACAGCCTTGGGAGGCAATCAATGTTGCACTAAGGTGATCGTTCCATCAGGGCAAGCATTTCAGCTTGTCAGGTGGAAAGATCCGCTGCCCACTGCCCCACATGCTGTTCCAGGGGTTCTCTGAGGACCCAGGCCCCCAAGCCAATTAGAGGGGTGGGGTGAGGAGCTAGAACCTTGTTGCACAAGCCTTCCACTGATGGGACAGGTGAATTGAATCCCACTGTTTATTATTTCTTCCTTTTTTTAAAAAAATAAATATTTTAATTGATATATTAAAAATCAAAATAAACAAACTGCCAATATACCAAAAGATAGAAGTGACGGGAGAGACACCAGCAAAATCTCCTCTGATGCTTTTCTGACAGGTAAGGATTATTTTCCACCTGTTTTGCGTAACATGCCTGCAGTTTCAAAAAGTAGGTGGACGTCCCTCTTAAGGCACAGCTGCCTCTTGGCCACGGTGGTTGGCAGAGCATTTGGGTGAAGGAGCATTTCACCCTCTGAGTAATTTAGCAGGAATCACAAACACCCAGAGAAACTGACAGCCAGTCACCATCTCTCAGCCTTAGCTTTCCTCCTAACAACCCTGTTAGGTGAAGCGGGGAGAAGATATTCTGGGGGTGAGGCTGGGCTCGTTGGAGGAAACACATTTCAATTGTGTGCTGCAGCTCAGTATTATAGCAAAGGGAGTTTGTTGGAGCGCTTGGTAGTTTCTAATAAGACATTATTATTATTATAAGACCTATAAGACATCAGAAGGTCGGTGGTTCGAATCCCCGTGACGGGGTGAGCTCCCATTGCCCAGTCCCTGCTCCTACCAACCTAGCAGTTCAAAAGCACGTCAAAGTGCAAGTAGATCAATAGGTACCACTCTGGCGGGAAGGTAAACGGCGTTTCCGTGCACTGCTCTGGTTCGCCAGAAGCGGCTTAGTCATGCTGGCCACATGACCCGGAAGCTGTACGCCGGCTCCCTCGGCCAATAAAGCGAGATGAGTGCCACAACCCCAGAGTCGGCCACGACTGGACCTAATGGTCAGGGTCCCTTTACCTTTTTAAGACATTAGGATGAAACTAGCAAGACTGAATTCCTGGAGCCAAACAAATGAAAAAGCAAATGGAGTGGGCAGCAGCGTCACCAAAATTACAAGACGAAGAGGATACATGAAGTACCAGCTACAGAATATTAAGCATTTCCAAGTACCAATTTGCACAAGGAATACTTGCTTTGCATTATTCACTGCAAGCTGCCTGGCGCTTGTATGACGAAACATGGTAGAAAACCTTCCAAAATAAAATGAAACTCGAATTTACACTGCTGTGTGGGCAGCCACCCATTCGCACCCTGTGTGTACACAATGCAGCTTCCTTCACCTGTCCTCTCAGTCCTAACCCAAGAGACAGATGCTTATCCATCTTTGCCAGACTCCTGGGCCTTCTCAAGCCCAGCCTCATGTACCTGTTCGGCTTCGCCAGCTCGGTCCCTGGCAGCGCTGGCTGTCTCCTCAGCTCGCGTGGCGGCCAGGCTGTTGTTGGCCCGTTTCATCTTGAGCGCATCCACCTGCTTGTCGAGGTGACCCACGCGCTCCATGGCTTCAGCCAGCTGACCTTCAGCGCTTGCAGTCTGCTGCTGGATCTGAAGGGAGGCAATATGGGAAGCTGGAGAAGGTCTGCTGCATCTCACCGTTGTGGGAGGGTCTCCCCCAGCCTACACAAGAGCGCTGACCTCACTGAGGAGATGTTACGACTCAGGGGATTTAGAGGGCATCATGGACCAGCCTCTGATGCCCCCTGAACCAGCCATCTGGTGCCCCTCCACAAGCCAGTGTGGTGTAGTGGTTAAGAGCGGTAGACTCGTAATCTGGGGAACCGGGTTCGCGTCTCCGCTCCTCCACATGCAGCTGCTGGGTGACCTTGGGCCAGTCACACTTCTCTGAAGTCTCTCAGCCTCACTCACCTCACAGAGTGTTTGTTGTGGGAGAGGAAGGGAAAGGAGATTGTTAGCCGCTTTGAGATTCCTTAGGGTAGTGATAAAGCGGGATATCAAATCCAAACTCTTCTTCTCTTCTACTGCCAGATGTGCCCTCAGTGCCAACGCCACAATGGCATTACCATTTTGAGGCACGGAGGGCTCCAGCTCAGAGGCCATAACAGCACCGTGGCCTCTACTGTATCAATGGAATCCATAACTCATTAAATTGACACCACCCCTTTAAAAGTAAAGGCTCCACTCCTCAGGGGTGGGGCTAACTGCTCCAAGGATGCTGTAGGCCTAATTAAGGCTGAGGGTTCGCCCACATCTCCATTTGCGCCACTGCTTCCCCCCAGGGAAACTCAATTGTTAGCACTGGATTGGAACAAACAACTGGGTTGTGTTTTTTTTACGGATTGCTGTTTGTTCAGATTTAGCACTAAAGAGCAGGTTTTCCTGGGGGCGAGAAGTGGGCCAAGTGGAAAAAGCACTCGGACCCATGCTTTCTAGACAAGTGGAATTGCAGACAAGCACTCAGCCTTGTTGCTTCTTGGAGCTATCCAGGGTGCTACTCACCTTGCTTCTTTGGACTTGGTTTTTCAAAAAGCTTTCAGCAAAGTACCTCACCAAAGACTCCCGACTAAGCGTGGCAGTCAAGGAATAAGAGAAGAGGTCCTCTTTTGGATCAGGAATTGGTTAAGTTGCAGGAAGCAAAGAGTAAGAATGAAAGGGCAGTTCTTCGAATGGAGAGATTTAGGAAGTAGGTCACTATTGGGACCTGTGCTTTTCAACTTGGCTCATATAAACGATCCAGAATGAGGGGGGAGCGGTGAGATGGCAGCGTCTGATACTAAATTGTCCAGGGTCTGGCTGGGTATAAGGGCAGCTAATTATGTTCCAAGGGACATGGATGGCGCTGTGGTCTAAACCACAGAGCCTAGGGCTTGCCGAACAGAAGGTCGGCGATTCGAATCCCCGCGACGGGGTGAGCTCCTGTTGCTCAGTCCCTGCTCCTGCCAACCTAGCAGCTCGAAAGCACGTCAAAGTGCAAGTAGACAAATAGGTACCACTCCGGTGGGAAGGTAAACGGCGTTTCCGTGAGCTGCTCTGGTTTTGCTGGTTTTTAGTCATGACCCGGAAAAACTGTCTGCAGACAAACACTGGCTCCCTTGGCCTGTAAAGTGAGATGAGCACTGCAACCCCAGAGTCGTCCACGACTGGACTTAACTGTCAGGGGTCCTTTACCTTTACCTAATTATGTTCCAAGTCCTTCTCAATGTTTGATTCTGGTACACTTTCAGGGGAGGGCTGCACACAGCAACGGGGCTTACCCTATTCACAACATTCTCGGTGTTGTAGATGTCGCTGGCTGCGTTGCGGATGGCTTTCTCGGCGGCTCTTTGAGCCCGTTTGGCGTCGTCCAGAGCCTTCTTCACTGCTTCGGCTGCAGTCTTTACGCTCTCTGCTCGAGCGCTGCAAACGGGAAGAACGTGCGGCAAGTGTGAGCCCAGAGCTATGTGCACTAGCATCCCCACTGCTGCGATGGCCAGGATGACAAATCCATGGGAGTAATAGAACAGTCATTCGCCAGGTGTGATCTCTGTGTACAGGTGTAGTTTACCTCCCTCCCCTCCTCCGAGATCTGTGCCAAGCCCTCTCTCTGGATGAAAGAGAGCCCTGAAAACGAATCTGGTTGCTTTAGCTTCTCCCTGAACGTTTTTGTGCTGACCATTTGTGTTCCCCACTGTTCGGTTTTTATTTTTGAAATAATTTTTTAGTTGATTTTACAAGTGTAGAGTTATAACATTGCCAAATACATATCCATATTTAGAGATTTCTCTGTATCTCTAGACTTCCCACCTTCCCCTCCATGGATCCTATTATCAACCTTCTCAAATGTATATTATTTCATCATCCAAGTTTTATGTCTCTCCATTTTGTCCATAGTAATTTCTATATCACATTATTACAATCCTGCTAATGTTTTCATCTGCTTACAGTGGTCTCTCAAGTAAATTGTAAATTTTCCCCGTTCTTTATTAAAGTTTTGGTCTTTTTGGTTCCTGAGCTTTCTGGTCAGTTTTGCCATTTTGACCTGCTGTTCGGTTTTTAGCTCTGCATAGTTAATTTGTTTTGTACAGTGGTACCTCAGGTTAAGAACATAATTCGTTCTGGAGGTCTGTTCTTAACCTGAAACTGTTCTTAACCTGAAGCACCACTTTAACTAATGGGGCCTCTTGCTGCTGCTGCACGATTTATGTTCTCATCCTGAAGCAAAGTTCTTAACCCGAGGTACTATTTCTGGGTTAGCAGAGTCTGTAACCTGAAACGTCTGTAACCTGAAGCATATGTAACCCAAGGTACCACTGTACTACGCTGCTTTTGAAAGGCTAATTGTACAGCTGCCTCCATGTTTCTCCACATCAGTGAGAAGTTGGCCCTCCTTGCATCTAAACCACTCCTGTATTTGAGCCTAGATGGCAAACTAGCCCAAACAGTGACCACCCCACCCTTGTACTCTGTTCAGCTCCTGTAACACAGCCACATGAAAGGGCCTCTCATCACCATGTTTCTAGCAGTATCTGATATGCACAGTGCTTCACAATTCTCCTCATTTAACTTCACAATACACCTAACAAAGGAGGTTATTTTCTCTCAGCCTAAGACCCAATGGTGAGCTTCATGGAGGAGGGGGGATTTGAACCCACGTTCAAACCTAATAATAAGCCCACCATCAGTTCAGGTTTTAACAGCAGCTGTGGAGACTCCTGACAGGGTGCTGGTCCCGCGCAGCAAACTCCTACGCTCCCCCAACTTCCTTTCCCTTTGCTGAGTAACTAGTTGCTGCTCATGGAGGGAGGAGGACCAAGGGGAGCACAGTTCTGTCCCCATGGCCTCTCCTCTGGGTCCGACAGGAGCAGCCTCCATCACACGTCCTCTCCGGCCCTCGCACACTCACTTGGCGCGGCGTGCGTCTTGCAGCAGCTGTCCCGCCACACGCACATCTCCCGCCGTTTGGTCCAAGATGGCGTCCACATTGGCCAGGCTGCTGACGCGCTCCTTGATCTCCTCAGCGAGGTGGTGGATCTGTGCGGGGGACGCTGGGATGGAGAGTTCCAGCACGCGGGAGGCCACCAGAGCAATGCTGTCAGGGTCGGCTCCGTCAACTGTGTGAGGGATGGGTCAGTCAGCGCTACAGACGGGTAGAACGGCAAGCCCCTGCTTCTCGCAAGACCCACTGCAAATGTCCCCTCTGCCCTGCTTTCTTTCATCCCTGTCTGAATACCCCCCACTGCACACACACACACACACACACACACACACACACACACACTGCTGGAACCATAAAGGGATAAATATGTCCACCTGCCTTGCCCCACGGCCCTGCCTGGAACTTGCATAAGGAGGTGTGCAGCGGCATTCTTAACTTTTTTGTATGGAATTTTGCCTTTCCCTTTTTGGCAGGAACATGAACGTAACTGGCTTTCGTTTTATTATTTTCAACATTAAGATTGCTTTCTGAATTTTTTTGGGCACTTGTTTGTTTATTCTTTGCGAGAGCTCCTTGTGAGGAGGGGTCGGCTGTCCAGCTACTTTAGGAATTGTTGATCTGTGAGGGTGAATAATGGGGTCTCCTTGCAGCTCTCAGGAGCCTTAACAAACTATAGCTCCCAGAAATCTTTTTTTGGGGGGGGGGGGGAGAGCCGTTTAAAAGTGGCATTTTACGGCATGTGATGTACCGTATGTTACATGAGCTGTCTTTTTGAGAAAGACATCGAACAAAATAAAATAAGGGACTGGCGTAGGCGGCAGCCCGATATCCTGCACTTACGATTCAGGAACCCCTTGATTTGCTGGATGAGGTCCCGCAGTTCCTTGTTGGAGCGCTCCAGCCGGGCTTTGGTGGCATTGGCGTTGTCCAGCGCGGCCTGTGCCCTCTGCTTCGCCTCACCTGCCCTTGCCTTTGCCTCGGCCACCTGCAAAGGACACACCAGGTCCCCTGGTCAGCCAGCAGGGGGAAGCAGAGGCCTAGGGAATGCAGGGAGCATTGCATCCCATGAACAGAGCCAGAGATAACTCTTGTTTACTGCCTTGAGAACCACGTCCAGGCCTTCGCGCTTTTCGTCTTTCCGATGAAACGAAATGTGTACAAACGTAAAGGCTCTCATGGGTTACCTTGCCTATAACACTGAGCTCTGCGGCTCCCCTCTGATGGCTTACCTGACGCAGCAGGACATCCACGTCAGCCACAGCGCGGCGCAGCTCCCCTTCGGCATGGCGGGCTCGATCCAGCGCGTTGTCGGCCGTGGCCACGGCCCCGTTGCAGTTGAGGCCCCCGCAGTGGCGCCGGCCGTCTTCGTCACGGCAACCAGCCCCTCCGCAGGGGCTGCTGGAGCAGGGGGCGTCCCCTGGAGCACCGCACACCTAGAGGAGAGAGCTGTGATGGCCTGGGATTCGGACTCGGAGGCTGAACCTGAGGAATCCCAGCCTGCACAGGATTCCCCGCCTCCAGAACCAGCTGAGCCGGGGCTGGGGCTTCAGCCTGAAGGCTACTCACCTGTGCTGGATCCTCAAGTGAGGGCACCAGCTGAGTCTGCTCTGGCTCCTGAGGGGATGGAGGACCCATTGCCTGCAGGTGCTCCACTCTCAGCCCCGTCAGGGGAAGAGGAGGTTGCCTCTGGGTCCGGTAACCCTCCAGCCTCTCCTGAGCTGCAGAGGCTCAGGGCAGAGAGGCGGAGGGAAGTAAGTTCCCTCAGGAGGAGTGCTTGCCTCCAGGCCAGGAGAGGCGAGTCACCTGTGGACCGGGGCCGCCCTATGCCGCGGGGCAGATAAAAGCCAGCCAGCCCCAGGTCTAAATTGCGGGAGCAACATTGTTGGTAGCCTGTTCCTGCCTGAACCCTGTCTTGCTCTTCTGCCGGAGCTCCTGACCTCACCCGACTCCCTGCCTTGGACCCCGTTTCAGCTTTGACGGACAGCCTCCATACCGCACCCTCGCCCTCAGACTGGACTCGGACCTCGCCACATGGTTAACCCTCGGGACCAGCACAAGAGCGTTGGAGGAAGCATGAAGAAACTTGCCAGCAGTATATCACATGAAATAAGTTTTTTTAAAAAAAAAAACAACAGGATTGGCACGGGAGAGTCTGGCCCAATGGGTGCAGCAGCTCTTCTTCAGTAGGTCTTGCCCCTATGGAGCAGTTGCGGAGATGAAGGGCCCTGCCTCTCCACAGCTGCCTAAGTCCTCCAGGGTTTCCCCTAAGCAATCTGAGGCTGCGCTTGTGTGACTATGTGATGCTGATTTCTCCTCCGCCCTCTTCATGCCTCTCCTGGTACTGGGAGACCAGGAAGGGAGGGGAGCTTGTCACAGCAGGAAGGCCTCTTCACCAGCCAGACTCCTCTCTGCCTCTTGGCCTCCCTCATCCCACAGTCCTGCTCCCTCTTCTACCTCTGATTCTGGACTTCTTTCTGCCACAGACTCCCTCCACTCGCTGAACCCTGTTACCTCTTCAGCTTCTGACAACCTCCTCCCAGTCTTCTCCCTCTGACCACTCATTGTCATCTCACCACCAGTCCCTGAGTCTTCTTCCCTTGGGGGGTTCCCCAGCCGGTTCCCCCCTCACCATTCCTCTGCGTCCAACCAGTCCCTGACACCCGCCTGCTGTCAAATGTTTCCTTCCTCGCTCCGGCCATTTTTGCCTCTGGCTCTGCCCAACCACTGGCGTGTGGCCTTCAGGCGCTTGTTCAGAACAGAATGTGGCCCTCGAGAGGCGGGAAAAGGTTCCTCGCCTTTGCTCCGTGCGGTTCACAGAGAAGATGTGCACATTGAAGTACCACAGAATAACATTTCGCAGTAAAATACCAACAGAACATTAAGCAGAAACTTAGCAGCGCGGTCTGAAAAGTTCTTGAGCTCACCTTTCCCCTCAACCAAGACCTGACTGGCTACCTCAGGGATGCGGGGAGACTGTGACCCACCGTGTCATTAGTCCCCCTGGCCGGAGTCGATGAGAGCTGGAAGTCTGGCAGTATTTGGAAGGCCTCTGGTTCCCCATCTCTGGCTCTCACACGCTTTGCTTTGTGGTGTTTCCCAGCTTCCCCACCCACCTTCTCATTGATCCGATGCAGGCTCAGCCCTCGAACGCGTGTCGACAGGTCGGTCAGGGCTCGCCGGTTGGCTGCATTCTGCCGATTGAAAGCGTCTCTCCGGGCTGCCATCAGGTGCTCCGTGCGTCGCCGGGATGCGGCCGATTGGCCGACAGGGCTGGAGAAACCCACCGTGGAAGCGTTGGCCCGGTGTTCCGCTTCCCGCGATTGGACAAAGGACTGGCGGACGCTGTCATAGGCTCCTGCCGGGGGAAGTGGGGGCGGGATTAAAGAACAGGACTATGAGGCCCTTGCTGGGCATCTCTTCTGCCAGACCAGGCTTCCTCAACCTCGGCCCTCCAGATGTTTTTTGGCCTACAACTCCCATGATCCCTTGCTAGCAGGACCGGTGGTCAGGGATGATGGGAATTGCAGTCTCAAAACATCTAGAGGGCCGAAGTTGAGGAAGCCTGTGCTAGACCTATGGGAAACCCCCATAATAATAATAATATATATGTCGTCCATCTGACTGGGTTGCCCAGCCACTCTGGGCGGCTCCCAGTGAAATATAAAAAAACAGCATGAAACATTAAAAACTTCCCTATACATGCCTAGCCTCCACTCTGGCTCATGAGCAGAGGCTGCAAGTCAAAAGGGTGTGGGGCCAGGGGGAGAACTGCAATTCTACGTTTGACGAAAGGGCTGGGTAAAAATGGGGGGTGGGGGGAGTATGTTTCTTACGTCACTTTGGACACGCACTTACCCAGCACATTGGCATTCTTGAGCGCCTCCAGCTGGCGCGCAAGGTCTGCCAGGCTGAGGTTCAGGGCCCGGGCGCCGCGTTCCAGCGTGCCTAGAGCATGGTTGGCGTTGAAGTTCCTGTCCTGGGTGGCCGTCAGCAACCCTTCCAGGCTGGTCAGCGTTTCTGTGACATCGGCAATCTCCTGCCTGGTGTGAGGACGTAAGTGAGAAGCGGGAGGGAGAAGACGAAGAAGAGAAGAAGAGTTTGGATTTGATATCCTGCTTTATCACTACCCTAAGGAGTCTCAAAGCGGCTAACATTCTCCTTTCCCTTCCTCCCCCACAACAAACACTCTGTGAGGTGAGTGGGGCTGAGAGACTTCACAGAAGTGTGACTGGCCCAAGGTCACCCAGCAGCTGCATGTGGAGGAGCGGGGAGGCGAACCCGGTTCACCAGATTATGAGTCCACCGCTCTTAACCACTACACCACACTGGCTCTCAGTGGAGAAAGAGGTGCACTGCCACCCAGGACTAAACCACCCACTGCTCCTCTTCAGAGAAATAAAATTAATAACCTTTTCTAAAAAACAACAACCCTGAAGCCTTTCTCTTAGGAATTCTAGGTGCTGAAATCCCAAGGGAGCAGAAAAACTATTTATGTATGCAGCCACAGCTGCACGGATGTTATTGGCCCACAGATAGAAAGAAGATAAAGCCCATACCAGAGAAGAATGGCAGATTAAGTTGATGGATTATGCCGAAATGGCTAAAGACCCAGAAGAATCAGAAATCAGGAAGACCAAAAGTTTAATAAGGAATGGGGGAAATTTATAACCTATCTTAAAAACCACTGTATAAACAGTTAAAATCGTTAGTAGGATTGGAATAGCACTTGTAGTTTAATGGTGAGTTTTGGAAACAATGGAGATGTAAAAGATGTGGGCTATTATAAAAGATGCAGGAGGAAATGATTAACAACAGGACCCACAAAGGTGAGGAGGGAAGTCCTAGAGATTCTTTGGGAATCTTGTGTCTATGTTGTACGTTCGATATGTGAAGGTAAAGTTTTAATCTGAGAAACTTGCAAATACAGTGGTACCTCGGGTTAAGTACTTAATTCGTTCCGGAGGTCCGTTCTTAACCTGAAACTGTTCTTAACCTGAAGCACCACTTTAGCTAATGGGGCCTCCTGCTGCCGCTGCCCAATTTCTGTTCTCATTCTGAGGTAAAGTTCTTAACCCGAGGTACTATTTCTGGGTTAGCGGAGTTTGTAACCTGAAGCGTATGTAACCCGAGGTACCACTGTAAAAAAATGTAAGAAGAGAGAGAGGGAGAGGGAGAAGCCCTGCTCCCAAAACAAACTATGGTACCTGGGATTCTTTGGGAGAAGACAAACAAAAGACAAAAATTGAATGCAGCAGATCAGTTCCTACCCAGCCTACCCACTGCTCCTAGGCTCCAGCCAGGTCCATTTCCTCTGCACATGTACAGGTACCAAGGCCACCTGTCACTCACCGCAGCGAATCCATATTCTGCAAGAGGTGGGTGATTGCACTGGCGGTGGCGTTGCGGGCATTGACGATGGCCTGGACCGCACTCAGCTTGTCCTGGAGTCGGCGAAAGGTGCCCTCAAATGCCCCGGTGAGGCCCGTCTGCTGAAGCTGCTGGGCGCGCTGCGCCAGGCTGCGGGTGCGTGCGGCCAAATCCTGCACAATGCGGTCCCAGTCCCCAAAGCACTGGTGGCACGGCTGGCAGGCGGGGAACTCGCCGGCAAAACCTCGGGAGCACTGGTCGCAGCGCACACCCGAGACCCCCGGGAGGCAGGAGCAGTGCCCAGTGATGCGGTGGCATTGCGGCTTCTCGATCCCACGAGGGTCACAGTCGCAGGCTGTACGCAACATGAGAAGAAGAGTTTGGATTTCATATCCCACTTTATCACTACCTGAAGGAGTCTCAAAGTGGCTAACATTCTCCTTTCCCTTCCTCCCCCACAACAAACACTCTGTGAAGTGGGTGGGGCTAAGAGCCTTCAAAGAAGTGTGACTAGCCCAAGGTCACCCAGCAGCTGCATGTGGAGGAGCGGGGAAGCGAACCCGGTTCCCCAGATTACGAGACTACCGCTCTTAACCACTACACCACACTGGCTCTCCAAAAACGCCGTAAAGGAGAGAGAGAGTTATTCCTTCGCATGTGGTGTCTTCCAAGCGCTTCATCCCACATAAAGGGCTCCCCCACCTCCAAGGAAACCACCCAACTCTTTGTAGACCACATTTTCTTTTTTAAAAAAATAAATCATTTTTTTAAAAAATTCCAATAAAAAACATCCAATTTTTCTGGCCCATGTAGGACCAGTCTGGAAAGTTAACCTTGGTGAAGACTTGACGTTTTCATCCCCCAAAAAGTATTTGATTTGAGTTTCCATTGAAATGAGGCTGTATTTTAATATTTTAATGTTGTATTTTAATCTTGTTTTTAAGTTGTGTTTCGGTCAATTTGTTTTTGTATCAGGTGTTAGCCCCCTGAGTCCAGTCTTGGCTGGGGAGGGCGGGGTATTAATAATAATAATAATAATAATAATAATAATAATAATTAATATCCAATCATAATACTTCAATTAAAAAAAAAAAAAAAAAAAAGATCAAATTATAGCCCAAATTGTATTTATTAATTTCTTGGGGCTCCCCGCGGTCTGGATCTCTGGAGCATATCTCCACAACTTAGTCCTGCTTCTCCTTGTTGTTTCCATATTTTCCACATCTGGATATTAACGCTTGGTAATATAGACCACATTTTCAAGCTGCATGGGCTACCGCCGGGGATCGTCTCTGACAAAGGTACCCAGTTCACAGCCCAGTTCATGCAGGTGCTGGCAGTGGAACTGTGCATTTCGTCCACCCGCCATCCTGCGATGAATGCCGAGTTGGAGAAAACTGACATGACTTTACAGCAATATTTGTGCCGTTATGTCAGCTACCAGCACAGCAACTGGGTATCCCTCCTTCCTCTAGCAGAGTTCTCCTACGACAATGTGCTCTGTGTCTCCAACCAACAACCCCTTTCTTTGCCAACTAGGGATACACCCTCACACCTTTCCAGAAATCATGGCCGAAGAAACAAATCTCTTAATAGTCTGAACCCAGGGTCTCCAAATCGCTCTTTGTAAAAAACACATTCCCCTAGCTCTGCCTATTTAAATGCCATTCCTATTATTTCACCATGTGTGCTAGTAGAGTGTGATCTAGTATTAAATCGCCCACTCCAAATGGCTTCATAACAGAATCAAGAAGCTGAGTTGATCTCAAACGTCGTTGCTTGAAATATTAGGTAAAGGTAAAGGGGACCCCTGACCGTTAGGTCCAGTTGTGGCCGACTCTGGGGTTGTGGTGCTCATCTCACTTTACTGGCCAAGGGAGCCAGCGTACAGCTTCCGGGTCATGTGGCCAGCATGACTAAGCCGCTTCTGGCAAACCAGAGCAGCACACGGAAATGCCGTTTACCTTCCCGCCGGAGAGGTACCTATTTATCTAGTTGTACTTTGTCTTGGTTTCAAACTGCTAGGTTGGCAGGAAGTAGGACCGAACAACTGGAGCTCACCCCGTCGTTGGGATTTGAACCGCCGACCTTCTGATCTGCAAGTCCTAGGCTCTGTGGTTTAACCCACAGCGCCACCCTCGCACTTTCAAGCATATTGGTATGAGATTGGATACCCAGCCTTTTAGTGAGTCGTGTCGTTCAGAGAGTGGACTAGGCAGAAAAACGTCAATTTGGGCAGGAAGTGAGAGTCAGATGAAGTGCTGGATGTTTAGCTGGCGAGTTTGCTGAAACTGGGATGCAAATGTCAGCCTTTGAGAAACTAATGCTGGATTAATAGGTTGTGCTGCCTGCTTCAGGAGCCAGTTTGCTTCCAGTACATGATCAAATAAATATTACAAAAGGCACAGGAAGTCTCCAGTGCATTGTAATTTACCAGGAGACTCTCAATGAAGTAGGAAGATTCCCCTTTCTTAAACAACGGCTTGGACTCAAGAGTTCCTTCTGTGCAAGCAGAAGGAACCTAATTCTGGAGCATCTCTTGACCCTTAGGAAGTGTCGTTTTGGGGGGGAGAGGTGAAAGGGGCTGAAATGTGAAATAGGGGTAAACCCCTCTGAGTAAACATAATTTAATTCATAGTTCTCGGAATCCAAACCATCACCTTCATGGGCATTGTCAGGGAACTGACATCGGAGCGAGAGGCGAAGGGGAGGCTCCTAGATGATGCTGGCGAAGGACCCAGCAGCAGGGGGAGAAACAGCTCAGTAGAGGGGGAAACAAATCAGCGCAACACCAGGGATAAAGGGGGGCAGATGGGGGAATCGGAGAAAGGGCTCCAGGACTCTTCACTGGACCTCAGTGAGGAGGGCACAGGTCCTCCACTACCCACGCCCTCCCTGCGCAGAAGACTCCCGCGCAGTGAGAGGAGGAGGAGACTGGGTGTCAAACAACTTTTATGTTGGAAGAGGTTCAAGAAACGCCCACTGACGGATTCTGCCAGCGACTGAGGCAGCCACGATGAGAAAGGGCTGTGCAGTCAGAAAGGTTTAACAAGGCAAATTAGCCTAGAGAGGCACCAGTTTACGCACGAGTAACTCATACCCACTACAGGCATCAAGACCAGAAACTCGCTTAAATGAAATAAAAACATTTTCAGGATCCCTGCACAGCCCAGAGCAACGGCAGGGTTTCCGAATACGCAGCACTCACCTCTGCACTGCTGGCTGGGCTCCCCCCAATGGTTCTCCTGGCATTCCGAGCAGGTGCGGCCCCCGAAACCTGGCCGACATTGGCATTGCCCTGTAAACTACAAGGCAGGCACAGTTTGCATGACAACTTCAAGAACTCCCCAAAGCGAGCCCTTTGTACCCTGCCCCGTGGAAAAGTGAGACACGGAAGCCGTTGCCAGGGTACAAAAGCAAAGATCTGGATCCTCACCGGGCACCCTAACCACTGCCTCTCAGCCCCTAGCCCTAGCTGGGTCTAAGGAAGGACATATAAGTGCATATAAAAGGGGGGAGATCTTAATGACTGGTAATTTAGTAAACCCCAAGAGCCCAGTTTGAAGGATTAACACTCTAAAATGGAGTGGGGATTGGTATGCTTAATTCATGGGGACAATAAAGTTTTAAAACTGTTCAGTTGAAGATACTTGACAGAAGAGCAGAATCGTACAGCTGTAGCTTATACTGGATGTGTCAGTCAACAGATTATCCACTAGTTAGCTATGAGCTAGAATCTTCAGTATGGCTGTTATAGGAGCATTCATAGTTGAATGTGTGTTGGAAGGAAAATCTTTTACTGACATTGGTCCAAGTGTATGAAATGTCCACAATGTTAACCATCTTCTTTAGGAAGTGTGAACCAGTCATTTTTCTCATGTAGCTGTACTAGAGATTTATAGGATTGCTGTGCTCTTGCTAGGTTATATTGGTTCTTATTTGCTCCAAACTGTACTCTGGCTTTTCCTTTGACTAATGTGGCACTGATCTGCATGATGGCAGATTCTGTAGAATAGGCACTACTCCAACCCTGTTTAGTAAGCAGCTCCATGCATAATGCACCTCCACCGAGAACATACCCGCCAGTGTGCGCAGGAGGGACCACTCTCACAAACGGAGGATCAAAGGGAAAGTTATCCTTAAAAGAGAAGTTGAGCAAAATATATTCTACACCTTCTTTTTCTTTTAAGACTTGAAGATCACTATGCAATGGGCTGTCAGGATCAACCCTTAGAAGTTTGACATGCCAGTCATATAGGCTGTCATTTACAAGTTCCACTGAATAAATCCCTGACTTGTAACTCTGCGACCTATATATATCCCTGAGTTGTTTCATAAGTCGATCTGAAGCCTGGACAGACCCAGGGAATGCACCATTTAGATGGTCTTGCCTTTGACTCTTTCGGATTTTTTCTAGGATTGCCAGATTCTCTTTCTCAATGCCATCATCCTCTGTCTTCTTTCCATTGACAGGTTCTTCCTCCTTCATATCATAATGATCCAGATCAATATATTCACCCGTATCTTCCTCCTCCTCTTCTTCTGATGTAACCTCTTCCATTGTTCCATTCTGGCCAGTCGGCAATGGTTGATCTAACATTTCAACATCGGGATGCTGGGGAAGATTACCGTATTTTTTGCTCTACAATACTCACTTTTTCCCTCCTAAAAAGTAAGGGAAAATGTGTGTGCGTCTTATGGAGCGAATGCAGGCTGCGCAGCTATCCCAGAAGCCAGAACAGCAAGAGGGATTGCTGCTTTCACTGCGCAGCAATCCCTCTTGCTGTTCTGGCTTCTGAGATTCAGAATTATTTTTTTTCTTGTTTTCCTCCTCCAAAAACTAGGTGCGTCTTGTGGTCTGGTGCGTCTTATAGAGCAAAAAATACGGTATATAGTCTGCAGAGGTCGCATATCAATCGTTTCAATTGTTGGAGAAGCAGAGTATTGCTCTTTTTAATATCATCTAAATGTTCCAATACTGGAGTCAAGTTGGGGTCATCTGATTCCACAAACCATATTGGCGATGAAGAGGGATAAGACTCTGTGATGTTGCAGTCGGGAGCCTCCCAACGCCATTGCCGCCGCCGCTCACCATCCACTGCTTAGCATGCGTAAAGTCCCAGGTTCAACCTCTGGTATTTCCAGGAAGGGCTGGCAGCACCCCCTGTCTGAGGCCCTGCCATGCTGCTGCCAGTCAGTGTAGGCGCTACTGAGCTGGATGGACCAATGGGCTGGCTTAGGGTAAGGCAGCTTCCTGTGTTCCTATGCTCTCCACTCCCCTCCTTTCTAACACAGCTTTGCACCAGATCAGGGGTGTGATAAAGAGGCCCTCCAGACCTCTCTACCTCCCCAAGCCACTCCTGTTACTGGCCCTGATTTGCCCCCCCCTTTGTATCTTTGAACTGTAGCGTTGGAAGGGTCCCAAAGAGTCATCTGGCCCATCCCCTGCCTGGATTGAGGATGGAAGCAATGGGAGTGCAGAAATCAGCCTGCAAAGGTACACATTTACTTTCACGGTTTCAGCCACCTTTGTTTCTGCTGCTCCCTGGAGCTCAGAAGGTTCCCTAGAAGAAAATGCTTCCCCCCCACTCCTGCCCTAGAGGTTCCCAGCCTCGCCCGGCACACAGCTTCCCATCCTAACCTGATTGCAAGCTGAGCTCAGGGAGTACTGCGGGTGGCAGTCGCAGGGCTGGCAGCCTTGACCGCTGGCCAGGTTCCAGAAGTTGGAAGCGCATCGGTCGCAGTTCTGCCCCTGGACGTTGGGCAGGCACTGGCATTGCCCGCTGTACCGCTCGCACTGGCACTGGTCCTGTGACGGGCACTGGCTGCGAACCGTGCCCAGGAAGTTACAGGAACAGCCTGCAGGGAGGGAAGGCATAGAAACACTACACACAAAAGAAACACCGGTGCTTTCAAAATGGCAGGTCGAAGAAAAAGAAGCTCCGCTTGGAGGGCGGAGCAATGGATCGGGACGAACATTAAATATGCAGTCATGTAGATTTAAAAAGAAGCCATGCCTCATTTGGGCATTAGAAAGCTAGGCAGCTTTCACACTTCAGCAAGGTACTGCGGTGTCTGTGTGCGTGTGTGGAGGGGCGATATGGGGCACAAAGGGGCATTGCAGATAATCGGACTCCTAAATTGTTCCCCACAAGCATCCTTGTTCTGTGTGGAAGGCAAAGAAGCCTTCCTTCTTATCACTGCACCTTAGTGCCAGCAACATTACTAGTCACATTTATTGGCAATCCTGAGGAAACTGGATTTTTATGTTTTGTTTCTCCCCCCCTTTCCTATTTTTTTAAAAAGAAACAAGAAGCTCACATTCTTGGTCCTCTGAAATACGCCAGATACTGAATTAGAAAACCAGGTTCCTCACAGCTTTTTGAAGACAAGCTTTCCGCTTGGGTCTCAATATAAGTGGCCTTACTTACGGGAAGGGGACGTGGGTGCCTTAGGGGGTTTCATTCGCAGTTAACGATTTTGTTGAGATCCGAACTTGGGAATAACAAAATGATATGTGGTTAAGATTTAAGGTGCAGCTGGCCCCGGGACCATAAGCCCTGAGTGTTTGCGGTGATCTCCTTCCCCCATAAAATTAACAGGCCGGCTGTTGACAAAATAATTGGGAAGCCTGAGGCCTGATCCCCTTTCGTTTACTGAAGGGCCACCAAGAGGCAAGGTCAGGCAGGTAGCGATGGGAGCACCATGAACCAGATGGAAAACGCATCTCTCTCCCCAACAGGCACTCACGGCGACAGGTGCGTCGTGTGGCATCCCCATAATAGCCTCCCTGGCAGTGCTGGCACTGGTCGCCCTCGGTGTGGTAGAGGCAGCGGAGGCAGCGGCCTGTGCGCCGGTCACAAGATCCCGGATCTGCCACATCAATGTTGCTGTTGCACGCGCAGGGCTGGCACTGCCCCCTGGCCTGCCAAGGGTTGCCGTAGTAACCAGGAGCGCACTCGTCACAGCGCGGGCCTGTGTGAGGTAAAAGGCGCTGTGTGAGATAAAGGGCATCGTTTATGAGGTAAAAGGCGCTGTGTGAGGTAAAAGGAGCCCGGTCCCCAATCTCCACTGCAATACACACATAAACCGTGACCACAGGTCTATCAATGCACTCATGTTCCCAGAGAAGCGTGACTTGAGAAGGAGGTTACAATGTGGGCTTCTGTCTCTATTACACCCCTTCCTCATCTCCTCTCAAGCTCCCAATCCTAGGGCTGCAGGGCGCTAGAAAGTCGGACTTGCCTGTATAGCCTGGGAGGCAGCTACAAACTACTGTCCCAGAGCGGCCATCTTGGCGGCAAGAAGCAGCAAAATGGCGTCCAGAGCCAGGTGCCTCAGGGCAGGGGCAGGGCCGGCAGTGGCCCCCTGAGGCCAGCGATGGGTTCCCATAGAATCCGGACACACAACTGCAATTTGGGGGAACAAAAAGGGTTTGAGGAACATATTCGTTGCCATTGGTGTGGGGGTTCATCCCCAGGGCTGTTTGCAGATCGTGGTTTGGTCCTTTGGATGTTAGGCCTCGCCAGGAGGCCTTTCCCTCTGGACTTCATACACCTGGATGCACCCCCCACTTCAACCGGGGGCCATCCCAGGATGCTCACCTTTGGCATCGATCGCCTTCTGTGTGGCCCCGGCAATGCAAACAGCTGCCCGTCCGCGGGTCGCATTCCTCCGAGCGCCCGTTGCAGTGGCATGGGCGGCAGCTGGGGAAGCCCCAGTGGCCGGGCTGGCAGTGGTCACAGCGCGGCCCAAAGGCACCAGGCCGGCATGGGCACTGCCCGTTGAAGTTGTCGCAGAAACCGCTCAGAGAGCCTTCGCTGTTGCACTGGCACACTGCAAGGGGAGAGGGGGAGAAGTCACGCACACGCTCCCAGCCGCTGCTCCTCCTGACACACAAGGTAACGATCCGTGGACGCCTCCTGCCCTGCTCATCACATGCCGCCCCCCCATATATGCAACCCCCCTTCACCTGTGTCTGCTAAGGTGCTTCGCAGTCTGTGCCGAGAAGTTTCAACATCCAATTATGCAAATCACAGAAAGGAAACGTGCTTGCTTTGCATTAAAATTAATGCACTCGCACAATCTTTTCCTGAACCCGATCATTTCAGATTTTTGCAGCGTCCGTCAGCTAATGGCAGGACGAAGAGGTACATCAAAGGACAGAGAGAAAAATAAAGAGGGCATCTACAGAAATGCACAGCTGCTCCAGTTTTGTAAAAAAAAACAAAAAACGAACCCTGTAGTTTGAGTGCAAGTGCTACAATATCTATAATAGAGAAGCTGTCTTGAGGAAAGTAAAAAGCAGAGTGAGCTCGTTTGCACGTAACACTAAGACAAACCACGAATTCTGTGAAGGTGCAAACATGAGGTGAGGAGATTGAGTCCCTTTGCTTTTCCTCTGGTCCTGTTGCAGCTGGGTTGTTGTGAGATAAACTATGGTTTGGCTTAGCATGCTGACCAAACCCGGGTTCATAGTTTGTCTCATCCAGTCTCCTCTTGTTCCTCTGCCCTCCTAGTAGCTGTTGGCAGGGCAGGAGCACTTTACCTGACCTCCTGCCACCTGCATCACTGCAACTTACTGGGAGGGAGAGGTGAGGTGGTGGGGAGGTCAGCATGGTGCAAGTGCAGGATTGGTTCCATTGGTGCGTTTGCACTGCGCTGACCTCACCGCTGCCTTACCTGCCCCCTTCTGGGTGAGTCGTGGTGACTCAGGTGACAGGAGGTCAGGTAAGCACCCCTGCCTTGTCAGCTGCTACTGGGAGGGATTATTAGTGGGTGGAGGAGCAAGAGGGAGGCGGGGGCATATTATCATTTCCTCCCCCCATATTGCTCCTCCATTCCCAACTCTGTAAGCAGCCCCTCTTCTGTAGCCCAAGGAGGAGTTTCAAATGTGGGTTTGCACTTTGGTGCAACGGCAGGAGCAAGAGGAGACCAGACAGCTCTCTGTTCCCAGCGGTTCCGTCCTAGCAGACTGTTTACATCAGCACTGACTGACACGCAGGAGCCCAGCGAGGACCGGCCCCTGCTTTCGAAAGGAAAGACGAAAGGGTTTGGGGAGGAAAGGTCAGAACCTGAATTAGACTCACCTTTGCAGCCACCGGGCCCAAAGCCGTAGGTGCCGGGGGAGCAACGTTCACAGCGGCGGCCCACGACGTGAGGCTTGCACTGGCACTGCCCCCCATCCGGACGGCACTCGGAGCTCAGCGATCCCTGGGGGCTGCACAGGCAGGCTGGGGGCAAAGGGAGAGTGAGTAGGAGGCAGGAGAACAAAAGGAAAGAGGCGCCCTTCTGCTACAAGGCAGCAGGAGCCTCTCTTCCTCTGATATCTATAAAAGGGCCTGTGAGAGAGGTTGTAACAGCCGTAGCTCAGCGGCAGAGCCTCTGCTTTGCGTGCAGAAGGTTGCTGGTTCGATCCCTGGAATCTCCAGGCAGGGCTGAGAAGGTATCTTGCCCCAAACCCTAGAGAGCTGCTGCAAGGTAGTATAGGCCTACATGGCTCAGGTGGTAGAGTATAAGACTCTTGATTTCAAGGTCGTGAGTTCGAGCCCCATGCTAGGCAAAAGATTCCAGCGTTGCAGGCCGTTGGGCCAGTCATCTGGCTAAGCCAAAGGCAGCTGCCAACACACCCCCAGCTTGCCCACTCCAGTATAAGATGGCGAGAAGCATTATCTCTGTGGCAAGGGCAGCCCCGCCCATGCATGCAACCTAGCAAGGATGTGGAACAGCATTGCTCCCTCTTAGTGTGGGCCTTTTGGGTACCACCTCTCTCAGCTCACCCTGAACCCCCTGTAGCACTTGGGAACATTTCCATTGCTTGCTAGGGTGAGCGAAAGCCTCTACTGCAACCTGTGGACTATAGCTCCCATTACCCCAGGCCACTGGCCACACTGGCGGAGGCTGATGGGAGTTTGAGTCTGGAGGGCCATAGGTAAACCATTCCTGGTCTACCTGTGCAGTAAGGATGTATTGCATGGTGAGTTGGTGGTAAAAGGTAAAGGTAAAGGGACCCCTGACCATTAGGTTCAGACCATTAGGTTCAGTCGTAGCCGACTCTGGGGTTGCGGTGCTCATCTCGTTTTATTGGCCGAGGGAGCCAGCGTACAGCTTCCAGGTCATGTGGCCAGCATGACTAAGTCACTTCTGGCTAACCAGAGCAGCGCACGGAAACGCCGTTTACCTTCCCGCCGGAGTGGTACCTATTTATCTACTTGGACTTGGACATGCTTTCAAACTGTTAGGTTGGCAGGAGCAGGGACCGAGCTCACCCCGTCGCGGGGATTCGAACCGATGACCTTCTTATCGGCAAGTCCTAGGCTCTGTGGTTTAACCCACAGCGCCACCCGTGTCCCTGTGAGTTGGTGGTAGTTGCTTGTTTTTAACACTCACGTAGTGCCCCCTGGTGGATGATGGCCGACATGCTGGTGAGCAAGGTGACGCAAGGCTCCGGCGTCGGCGCCTTAACCACGGGCCGAGCCTGCTGGGCGCAGCGGTAGCGCTCAAAGGTCTCCTTGCGGGCGATGGAGGCGGCGTCCCCAGCGATGAACATCTCCAGGGAGGAATAGCGTGGCATCAGGACCAGCTGAGCAGGGAGGGGGGCAAGAGGGAGGCAGAGAGGAGGTGTTATTTGCAGCAGGCCACGGTTCCCCCTACAGAAGATGCAACCGGAGTCTCAGTACTTACAGAGTCCAGCAGCACCGCAGCCCCTTGCAAATGGTCACGTCCTCCGTAGCGGGTGAACTCTACCCGGATGGTGTAGCTGAGCCCTTGCTCCAGACAGACTGGCTGGGGCAGCACCACAAACCTACAGAACAAAGAAGAGTTTGGATTTGATATCCCGCTTTCTCACTACCCAAAGGAGTCTCAAAGCGGCTAACATTCTCCTTTCCCTTCCTCCCCCACAACAAACACTCTGTGAGGTGAGTGGGGCTGAGAGACTTCAGAGAAGTGTGACTAGCCCAAGGTCACCCAGCAGCTGCATGTGGAGGAGCGGAGACGCGAACCCAGTTCCCCAGATTACGAATTTGCTGCTCTTAACCACTACACCACACTGGCTCTCCAAAGAAAGGGCCTATTTACAGCAAAGGCGAGCAGAGGGCCCGGCATGTTTTTTTGCTGTGTGTGATGATCCTACGGCGTCTTCCTGAATGCCAAGGATGGGAAGGAACCGTCTGCCCCAGTGACTGGCTCGCTCCCCACTGACTGGCACATCTGGGCAGCCTGCTTTGTCCCCTGCAACGGATGGGAAGGCGCTGCTGACTTCAGCAGACCTCTGGAAGGGGCCTGTGTGAGAGGCAGGGAAAGGAAGTTCTCCCAGGGTGAGACCACTAGTTCCTGGTTGGTTTTTAAAATTGCTTTTATTAGAGATTTTCTTGGGTTTACAAAAGAACATACATACAGCGGTACCTCGATTCTCAAACGTTTCTGTTGACGAATGTTTCGGAACTTGGACGCCGAAAGCCCAGAAGTAAATGCTTCTGTTTTTGAACGTGCCCCGGAAGTCGAACGGCTTCTTCTGCGTGCTTCTCAATTTTCTCAATGAAATTTGAAGACCATCCTTTGCACCTTGGTTTCTGAATGTTTCGGAACTCGGACGGTCTTCCGGCATGGGTTGCGTTCGAGAACCGAGGTACCACTGTACATCGTCTCTCTTTTCAGATTATAAAGTCATTTCTACAGATCAGTTATATTCAACGCGATACATGATTGTTGTATACAGCATAAGGTTGAGGGGGGGGGGAGAGGAAAAGAGAGGTGGGGAGAGAGAAAGGGGGAGAGGGGAGAATTGTACGTTTTTCATCACTCACCGGGATGAGGGTGGCAAAGCCGTCGTCATGACATCGTCCGCAGGGATGGTGTTCCCACAGGGGCTGCTGGTGGGGATGGGCCCAGGCCGCACCACAGACGCTTTCACCTCTTCCCACTTTCCTGGAAGCTGAGGAAAAAGGAGGACTTACAGTGTGGCTGCATGAGATGCGGACGCAGGCCAAGGGTAAGATGGCACCCCCTCAGAAACGGCCTTTAAGGTGTTTTTTTGTTTTAGGGGGAACAGCCGTAGCTGAGTGCAAAAGGCCTCAGGTTCCACTCCGGGTATCTCCAGGCCGGGTGCGGAGAGAAGCCTGCCTTGAAATCCAGAACAGACCTGGAAGATTTGGGAACTCACGGGCAAAGGCAATACTGAATTCCGAATGATTTCAAAGTTTACATTTCTTCAAGCTGAAGCTCAGAACATTCTGAACTCTGAAAAGCTGAATTCTGGGATTAGACTTCTTAACTGGAATAAATATAGGGAGGTAGCCATGTTGGTCTGCCGTAGTCGAAACAAAAAAAAAAAATTTCCTTCCAGTAGCACCTTAGAGACCAACTAAGTTTGTTATTGGTATGAGCTTTCGTGTGCATGCACACTCAGTATCTGAAGAATTGTGCATGCACACGAAAGCTCATACCAATAACGAACTTAGTTGGTCTCTAAGGTGCCACTGGAAGGAATTTTATTATTTAATTGGAATATAGTATTTCTTGCTAAAGCTTCGTATGTCGCTGACCTATTGGGTGATATTCAGCTAAGCTTTACTCGGAACAGACCCATTGAAATGGATGGATATGACTAAGGCCTCATCCACACATCCTTTTGCCTGCCACTTTCCCCCAGGAAAACCCGCGGTTTAGCACTGAATCAGAACAAACGCTAATCGGATTCTCAGTAGATTTCCATTCGTTCTGATTTAGTGCTAAGGAGCAGGTTTTCCAGGGGAAAGAAGCGGGGCAGAGACAAAACTTTATTTATTCCCCCGAGAAACACTTGCTCTGAACTTCATTAGAGAGTTTGATATATATGTGAAGATCGGAAGCCCAAACTGCAAATCCCCCGTTTCTTTATGAATGGAGCAGAAGTATTGTAGGACAGTAGGCAAAAGCAGAGGCACCTGAGGCTCATAGCGCAGCAGAATGTCATACTCCATGGAGAAGGGCACATTGTTGACCTGGAACTCCACCACAGCGCCCTCTAGCACCCGGGCAAACCCCAGCCCTGTCCACGTAGCTGGGTGGCCCGTCAGGTGCACACGCTCCATTACTTCAGCTCCCTGTCAAGAGAAAGATCCGTAAGACTTTGTGCTTCTCTTAGTTAGTTAGTTAGTGGTTAGTTAGTTGTTGCTAACCTGGTGCTAATGCTCTTGGACTACAACTCCCATCAGCCCCAGCCATCCAGACGGGGTTGGACTAGGGTCCCCTTCCAACTCTACGAAACCCTGGAGAGCCGCCACCGGTCAGGTTAGACACTACTGTCGGTACTCAGCAGAGAACACTTTCCTACACCCCTGCATTTAAGCAACTGCAGGCCAAACGTCCTCACCTGGAGAAGCCGGGCCTCTTCCGCTTCATACGTATAATGGTCCAACGCAGTGTGGTAGTAGCCGGTCTGCACTTGGCTGCATTGCCTGCCCACCATGTGGCTCCGGCAGCGGCACTGCCCCGTCTCCATGGCACACCTGCAGCAAGGCAGCGCGGGAGGCTCAAACGGGGAAGGCGGTTCAAGCCCATGAGAGCACGCTCACCCGCCTTCTGCGGTCCAGGGATGGGCAAATCTGTCTATTCCAGTTTCTCATTTTTCTACACTTATGTCCCGCTCTCCACATTTCCAAATCGGTTTTTTTTCAAGTACTCGTGAAAATTCATTGATGATTTTCTCCCAACGTACAATTTTGGCCAATAGACACGTTTTTGCAAAGCAATTTCCCTTTCCCCGAATGTGTTTGTTAGGGATAATTCTGCCCCGGCATGTGCGTTTTTGCACACATTACTCGCTCGGAGAACTGCAGAGTTTGAAGAAACGCAAATTTTGAAAGGTGCCTGCGTTTCAGTCCGCTATTGTTTTGGAAAGTGCGAATTAACTAGGTCCGCCTCAAAATACAGCCCCAAATCATTTTTCTCTCTCCATCTCCTCCAGTACCAAGCTAAAAGGGCCCTGCATGGAAGGCGCTGGGAGGCTGCTTCCTTGCTGAATAAAGCTAAGCAAGTTCGGTTCTGGCCAATGGACTGCCTGGGAACCCCATTGCTTGCTGCCTTGAGTTCCCCAGCACAGGCGGGGGTAGAAATTCAATAAATAAATGAGCCAATAAAGAGGAGGGGAGGGCTCTGTCTCTTTCCTCACCTCTCCTTCCAAAGTGACCATCCTATCTCTGGCGCAGCAGATCATGCCATGCCTCTCACCCACCCTCCTATATGGACTAGAGAGCAGAAGAGCTGTGCTGGATCAGGCCAGCACCCCAGATGCCCTGCAGGAAGCCCGAAATCAGGACCCAAGGGCAAGAGCCCTGTCCCTTCCTGCAGTTTCTAGTGACTGGTATTCAAAAACTCACTGCAGGTCCTTTTCATGCAAAGAGATTGCTCCTCAGCTGATTTGCAAACCCACATTTTGTTCTATGGTATTGATTATTGGAGGGGACGCGGGTGGCGCTGTGGGTTAAACCACAGAGCCTAGGACTTGCCAATCAGAACGTCAGTGGTTCGAATCCCCGCGACGGGGTGAGCTCCCGTTGCTCTGCCCCAGCTCCTGCCAACCTAGCAGTTTGAAAGCATGTCAAAGTGCAAGTAGATAAATAGGTACCGCTCCAGCAGGAAGGTAAACGGCGTTTCCGTGCGCTGCTCTGGTTCGCCAGAAGCGGCTTAGTCATGCTGGCCACATGACCCGGAAGCTGTACGCCGGCTCCCTCGGCCAATAAAGCGAGATGAGCGCCGCAACCCCAGAGTCGGCCACGACTGGACCTAATGGTCAGGGGTCCCTTTACCTTTACCTATTGCTTATTGGGTTTCTATCCCACCCTCCCTCCTCAAGGGCCCCTTGTTGGGATCGTGCTCCCAATCCCACCTTCCTCAGCCTCCCCCACCCACCCAGGATGCTCTCTCCAGCGCCCCCTTACTGGTTGTCGCGGGCACCCCCTACGTCACAGTCGCAAGGCCGGCAGCCATGAATGTCAGGGCTCAGAGCCCAGTGCTCCGGCTGAAAAAAAGAGACACAATTATGTGTCAGCCAGTCCGGGGGGGAGGGGGAGAGACACAAGCAAAGGGAAGGGGGGGGAGCAGGGCAGCGTGTTGCTCACCAGGCATTGGTTGCAGCTGCGCCCGGTCACCAAACGTTTGCAGAAGCAGTCGCCTGCGATGGCGTCGCATTGGGGCCCGTCCTGCACTGTGCCTCGGGGGTCACACTGGCAGCCTGGTGGGTTAAAGACAAAAATAACAAGTGCATAGAAGAACAAGCCTTGATGAAGCAGCGCCAGCATGGCTTCTACAAGGGCAAGCCTTCTCTCATGAACCTATTAAGAGTTGAAAGTGCCAGCCAGCCAGCAGAGAGAGAGAGAGAGGGGTGATCCAGTTGACTCTGAGCTCATCCGGTTATTTCTAGGCGCAGATCAGAAAAATCCTGCTGTTTACTGCTGAACTGGAACAAACATCAATCTGTAGAAATACTTACGCACTTACTCAGATTTGTTACATCCAGGGCTTTTTTTTCCAGCTGGAACTCACCGGAACTCAGTTCCGGCACCTCTAAGGTGGGTGCCATTGCCATGATAAGAGAACACAAGAGTTCATGGTGAGTTCCGGCACCTCTTTTTCCAGAAAAACAGCACTGGTTTCATCCCACGCCTCCTTCAAACAGGAGTTCAAGGTTGCCCACAACCAACAGATGAAATGAGATCACGCCTTTAACACTTTTATTGACTTTTGTCCTGAGAGTGAGCTACAGGAATGTGTAGGAATTTGAGCACAGGTCTCCCCAGTCAAAGTCTTGTGCCATCTGTCCCCAACCTGGTGCCATCCAAATTTTTGGACCCATCAGCCCCAGCAAGCCTTTCCAAGAGTCAAGGATGATGGGAGCTGAAGTCTAACCAGCTTGTGGTTAGCCTTTCCTGCACTCTATGCCCGTGGTTCTCTGGGCCACACTTTCAGAATAAAAACTTGCTCATGTCACACCATTTTTTTTATTGATAAGAAATACATTGGAAAATGAAAAGAAACAACTCCTAGCATTGTCCTGGGATCGTCTTCAGTGTCACTTGATGCTCTTGCTCTTATTTTGAAAAGATTTGCAGATCCTCATTTTACATCTGATGGCTTAACCCCCAGATAACCATTGTTCTATACTGATTACCAGTGAAAATACAAGGATTGATCTACTGAGATATTCAACAGTTAGATATTCAGCAGAAAGCTTTGTCTTGTGGTAATAATGAATTATCACAAGGTTTTGAAGAAATACATTACAGAGGACACTTCTTTCAGAAATACCGGAATGTCATAGCTGTTTGATTTTAAAACAATGGAAAATATTTAACCCTTATAATTAACCCCAAAGATGACCAGCAGAAAGGTAAACAAACCATTATTGATGATATCAGAACTATGTATATTTGGGGGAGGGGCTACTGTGTTGTTTTTATTTTGATTTATGTGTTTTGTGGTTTTATATTTTGATTTTATCCTGTGAACCGCCCCGAGACCCCCGGGGTATAGGGTGGTATATAAATTCAATAAAATAAAAAGTGTGCATTGGCAATAAGTTATATGAAATCGAAATATGGAATAGACGGGAGGTTGGGTCTTTAGTGTTAAGACCAATTTATGTCTTATTGTTTGTTAAGAAAATTCTGTATCTATTGTTATTCCTGTGTGTAATTTGGTATTTGCGTTTTCTCTTTTTTTTTCTTTTCTTGCTGTATCAAATAAATAAATAAACAAATACCCTGCAAACTATTTTTTTTTTTAAAAAATACGATATTGCATTACACTGAAATGTTTCTTTGACCAGTGTGGTGCACCACTAACCTTTGAGAACCACCGGTCTATGCGGTGTGCTGCGCTGGCTAAGCAGCCCACCCAGAACCACATCTAAATGGCTCAGAAACGGAACTGGATATGCCCAGGGAAGCCCTATTGGAGATACCTACGTTGGCAGCCTTGGGGGTTCTCCGCGTTGAGTCCGAAGAAGCCGGTCTTGCACTTGTCACAGCGGACTCCCTGCACGTGCTCCTTGCAGCGGCACTGCCCGGCAATCAGCCCCAGCGCCGGGTCGTCGTGGGTGTCGCAGACCCCGCCATCGAGGGTGCCGTCGGGGTCGCAGTCACAGGCTGTGAGGGGAGGGCGCAGAGCAAACCCCAAAATTAAAGGCACAAAGAGAAACCGCTAATCCCTATCTAAACTAGTAAGAAAAGAAAACCATTCCACTTGCTTGGAAGAGATCTGTTCCCTTCTTGGGAAAGCGGGTCTGCTGTGCCGAGCTGCAGTTCTTAAACCATAAACAGATTGCGATTGAATCCTGACAAGACAGAAGTACTGTTTTGGGGGGACAGGGGGCGGTCGGGTGTGGGGGATTCCCTAGTCCTGAATGGGGTAACTGTGCCCCTGAAGGACCAGGTGCGCAGCCTGGGAGTCATTTTGGACTCGCAGCTGTCCATGGAGGCGCAGGTCAATTCTGTGTCAAGGGTGGCTGTCTACCAGCTCCACCTGGTACGCAGGCTGAGATCCTACCTGCTCGCACACTGTCTCACCAGAGTGGTGCATGCTCTGGTTATCTCTTGCTTGGACTATTGCAATGCGCTCTATGTGGGGCTACCTTTGAAGGTGACCCGGAAACTGCAATTAATACAGAATGCGGCAGCTAGACTGGTGACTGGGAGTGGCCGCCGGGACCACATAGCACCGGTTCTTAGAGATCTTCATTGGCTCCCAGTAAGTTTCCGAGCACAATTCAAAGTGTTGGTGCTGACCTTTAAAGCCCTAAACGGCCTCGGTCTTGTATACCTGAAGGAGTGTCTCCACCCCCATCATTCAGCCCGGACACTGAGATCCAGCGCCGAGGGCCTTCTGGCGGTTCCCTCATTGCAAGACGTGAGGTTACAGGGAACCAGACAGAGGGCCTTCTTGGTAGTGGCACCCACCCTGTGGAACACCCTCCCTTCAGACGCGAAGGAAATAAGCAGCTATCCTATCTTTAAAAGACATCTGAAGGCAGCCCTGTTCAGGGAAGTTTTTAATATTTAACGCTGTACTGTTTTTAACACTTGATTGAGAGCCGCCCAGAGTGGCTGGGGAAACTCAGCCAGATGGGCGGGGTGTAATAAATTATATTATTATTATTATTATTATTATTATTATTATGTGAAATCATTTCAGCTCTTAAAGAGAGGGGTTCTAGTCCTCAAGCCTGCCTAGAAACCTTGCCCAAATTAAATCTCAACAAGCTCTGCTGCAACCACACGGCGGTGTCTGTGCAAAGACAACCTCTGCTAACTTGGCAGCAAAGAAAGAGCACTTTGTTTGGAAGCACCCAACCCGCAGGTGCAGAAAGAAAGGGGTCCTGGTGATGCAAAACAGAAGATTTCGGCTTTGGCAACCACGTTAGCTTCCGAAACCGGACTCCAGGCTTGCCACCTTTGCAGATTCTCACGCTCCGCACCGCTGCTGAACAGTGGAGCCTTGAGCTTTTGAGGGAATGTGCCTAGGCCAGGCACAGGCCTTTTAAAAAAAGGCTCTGCTAGCAAAACCCACATGCCAATATTCTTTGCAAGCTGTGGGAACTAGGCAGAGGGCAAAGTTAAGCAGTTAAGTAGAGTCAGGGCATGGGTTGGCAAACTAAGGCCCGGGGGCCGGATCCGGCCCAATCGCCTTATAAATCCGGCCTGTGGATGGTCAGGGAATCAGGGTGTTTTTACATGAGTAGAATTTGTTCTTTTATTTACCATATTTTTTTGCTCTATAAGACTCACTTTTTCCCTCCTAAAAAGTAAGGGGAAATGTGTGTGCGTCTTATGGAGCGAATGCAGGCTGCACAGCTATCCCAGAAGCCAGAACAGCAAGAGGGATTGCTGCTTTCACTGCGCAGCGATCCCTCTTGCTGTTCTGGCTTCTGAGATTCAGAATATTTTTTTTCTTGTTTTCCTCCTCCAAAAACTAGGTGCGTCTTGTGGTCTGGTGCGGCTTATAGAGAGAAAAATACGGTAAAATGCATCTCTGGGTTATTTGTGGGGCCTGCCTGGTGTTTTTACATGAGTAGAATGTGTGCTTTTATTTAAAACACATCTCTGGGTTATTTATGGGGCATAGGAATTTGTTCATTCCCCCCCCCAAAGTATAGTCCAGCCCACCACATGGTCTGAGGGACAGTGGACCGGCCCCCTGCTGAAAAAATTTGCTGACCCCTGAGTCAAGGGGTCTGGCTCAAATGCACCAGGCAAGGAGATAAAGGCAGGGATTGAGGAACTTTTATCAATCCAAGGGCCACATTCCTTAGAGGGCAGCCTCCCAAGAGCCACATGCCAGTGATGCACAGGGCAAAGGATGGGACTCCTGTCCTTAAAACTGTAGGCTATAGTGCAGCCACACGGAAGTCAGGGGTTGAGACGCAGAAGCCTCTCTTTCCAAGGAAAGCAAGAAGAGGCACAAATATGCCCATCACCAAGATGCAGGAGTTGCCAAAGGAGGAGAGGACAGGTGATCCCACCTACTGAGCAATTCCACCTAGCAAGCAAGATTGCTTGCTAAGGAGCAGAAATGCTTCCTGCACTAAGCTGAGCCCACCCCATTCCTATATACAGTGGTACCTCACGTTAAGTACTAAATTCGTTCTGGAGGTCCGTTCTGAACCTGAAACTGTTCTTAACCTGAAGCACCACTTTAACTAATGGGGCCTCCTGCTGCCGACACACAATTTCTGTTCTCATCCTGAAGCAAAGTTCTTAACCCGAGGTACTATTTCTGGGTTAGCGGAGTCTGTAACCTGAAGCGTATGTAACCCAAGGTATCACTGTATGTGGTAAAAAGTAAGGGTTGTCGGTCTCAGATCAATATCTAAAGCTTTGGGGGTTAGACCCCCTGCCTCGGATTGATTATGCATACTGCCTGTTGCATCTTAAGCTAGCAATTTGTATATCCCCCCAGGAAGGGAGAGCTGAACTCTTAGCTGATAAGTACCTACAAATTGCATCTCTGGCAGCCAAATCTACTCTGACAGCTTCGCTCCAGCATTGTAATTTAAATTTTTTATGCTGTAATCTCTATAGCCTTACGCTGTCTGGTTTTAGAGCAGGGGTCAGCAACCTTTTTCAGCCGTGGGCCGGTCCACCATCCCTCAGACCATGTGGTGGGCCGGACTATTTTTTTTTGGGGGGGGGGGGAATGAACGAATTCCTATGCCCCACAAATAACCCAGAGATGTATTTTAAATAAAAGGGTACATTCTACTCATGTAAAAACACGCTGATTCCCGGACTGTCCGCGGGCCGGATTTAGAAGGCGATTGGCCCTCGGGCCTCAGGTTGCCTTCCCCTGTTTTAGAGGAATACCCTGCTTAGGCCCCCTGTTATTCATTGTGAAGGACTTTGGCTATATAAAATAAACTGTTTTTTTTTAATTATCCATCGCAGCAATCTAAACATTTAAAGCCCTCAGGAAGGCTCCTCCTTCAAGTTCCTGTTCTCCAGGAATGGAGAGTCAGGCTAGCCTCAGAAATGCCATCAGCCGATCCAGGCACCTGCACCCTATGAAGCACAAACAGCTACTTTCCCAGCGCTGAAAGAGGGAGCCTTTCCACAAGAAAGGTCCTTCGTCCCTGCAAACATGCAGACCCCAGCCCCATTTCCACCCAGCCACCCGCCCCAATACAGTCGGCAGGCTCTCACCGCGGCACACGCTGGGATCCCGGATGTCTTTGGTGGGGTCCTTGTAGTAGAAGGGCTTGCAGAGCTGGCAGTGGCGGCCCATGGTGTTGTGCTGGCAGTCGTCACAGACCCCGCCGCTGCTGTTGCCCGTGGCCAGGTACACGGCCATGTCGAAGTGGCACTTGTGGGAGTGCTCGTTGCAGTTGCACTCTGTCGAGAGGCGGCAATCACATCCAAAGCCCTGACCTCACCAAGCCCCAAATCCATGTGAATCCCTAAATAACCTCAGCCCCAGGTATCTGAAACAGCATCTCCCTCCCTACGGACCGGCCTGGGAATTAAGATCAGCGGAGAAGACCCTCCTGATGGCTTCACCGCTGTTGGAAATACATGGGGCAGTGGCTCATGAGAGGGCCTTCTCGGTGATGGCCCCGAGAATGCGGAACTCCCTTGCCACAGATGTAAGCCTAGTGCAGCTTTTCAAAATTGAAGAGATGAGCAGGCCTTTTCTGTGGTGGCTCCCTGCCTGTGGAATGCTCTCCCCAGGGAGAGCATTAGCATTATTATTATTATTATTATTATTATTATTATTATCATCAGATTAAAATTACTTCAACTTTCTAAGCATCTGGGTAGGCTTGTCTAAACAATAATGTTTCTAGCAGGGCCGAAAAGGTTACAGTGAAGGCGCCTGCTTGATCACAGAATCATAGAACCATAGAATTTAAGAGTTGGAAGGGACCCAAGGGTCATCTAGTCCAACCCCCTGCAATGATCTCAATAGGCAGGGAGTTCCAAAGTATAGGTGCTGCCACACTAAACAACTGAGCTCTTACAAATGTGGAACGGGCATTATGTGGCACCTGTAGCAGTGGCAATTCCACCAATATATGATGGTGCACAGTCTTTCAAGCAACGCCTTCTATTGGGACTGGCGGTGGAAAAACTCTTTCTCATGGGTTTGTCAGTAGGGTGGCTCTCATTCCCAGCCACGACTGCCCTCTCATGTGGTAACCCTTCACTCCAGCATCAATCCTCCTCCTGGCTTCCCTGTCCCCTCAACACCCACTCCTCAGATACTCACTCTTGCATGCGTTGGTGCGCCGCCCCTCAGCCGGGCGCCAGGGCAGCTCGTGGTAGAAGTTGTCGCACTGCTCACAGTTCAGCCCGTTGGTGTTGTGCTTGCAGACGCAGCGGCCATGCACCTGCGGGCGGAGAAAGGGGGAGACCCAGGCCACGCCCACGGTGAATGGAAGAGGGCGGGTCTTTGCCTGCTCTCCTGCGTTCAGACTGCACACGACCTTCCTACCCTACATCATCATGGGCATGCCGCGCCCTTCCCAGGTACACATCCACAGAAGTTATGCTTGCACCCCACGTAGGGGACAAAGGCCACGTTGGCTATGTATATTTTGAACTAAGTTGGTGCCCCAGTAAGTAGTTGGGTTATGATTCTAGTCCTTAAGATAAACTTGAAAATGCATGTGCTTTTTCACATGGCTGGGGGAAATTATGAATATGTTCCAGTGGTCAGAGGCTAAAACCCCAGAGCTCTGCACAGTTCCTCATTTCTGCCTTTAGCTAGTAAAAAGAGAAATGCTAAAGCAGGCTTCCTTAATCTGGTACCCTTGTTGGACTCCAAGTCCCATCATCCAGGATCGGCAAGCCCAAGAGGCTCAGTGGTTTAGACCATAGCGCCACCCTTCTCTACAGACCAGCCTGGGAATTAAGATCAACGGAGAAAGCCCTCCCAATGGCTTTGCCGCTCTCGGAAATTCGGGTGGCAGCGGCTCATGAGAGGGCCTAGTCAGTGACGGCCCCAAGAATGCAGAACTCCCTTGCCACTGAGGTAAGCCTGGCACCATCTCTTCGCAGTCTTTGAAAATTGAAGAGATGAGTGGGCCTTTTCTGTGGTGGCTCCCTTGCTTCTGGAATGTTCTCCCCAGGGAGACTCGCTTGGTGCCTTCGTTACATATCTTTAGGCGAAAACATTCCTCTTCAACCAGGCCTTTGGCTGATTAATATCCTACAGCCTTTTAAATGCATTTGTGGGAAGGGGGTTATTGTTTTGTTTAATTCTGTTTCAATTATTTATTTGTGCTTTTACAGTGGTACCTCAGGTTACAGACGCTTCAGGTTACAGACTCCGCTAACCCAGAAATAGGACCTCAGGTTAAGAACTTTGCTTCAGGATGAGAACAGAAATCGCGTGGTGGCAGCGGGAGGCCCCATTAGCTAAAGTGGTACCTCAGGTTAAGAACAGTTTCAGGTTAAGAACGGACCTCCGGAACAAATTAAATTCTTAACCCGAGGTACCACTGTATCTTGGTATTTTTATCTTCTGAACCGCCCTGAGATTTTTTGATGGAGGGCGATATATAAACCAAATAAACCAAACAAATAAGTTGTGGGGGGAGTCGGCACGCCTAATCAAGTGCGGTTTGTGCCTATGAGCGTTCCTTGCGCCTTACCATGCCCTCCACGTCAGCAGGGCTACGGGCGAGGGGGGCGCACTCCGAGGCGTGTCCGTAGCAGAAGCAGTTCCCACGCAGCACCATCTCGTACACGGCATAGTAGTACTTCTCCTTGATCTCCCGCCGCGAATCCAGCAGGTCGTCTCCCAGCGTGTGGAGTTTGGTCAAGTTCACCCGCAAGTTGGTGACCTTCAGGAGATCTGGCGGGCAGAGAGGTTGGAGTGGGTGAGAAGGCAGACAGGGAGAGAAGCATCCCCACTGGGAAACAGCTTTCCCGGCTGGGGCTGTGGGTTCGAAAGCTGGGCTACTTGGTGGGCTATGAATATCAGAGTTGTCAACCCCCCGCAAGCTATCGGCCAGGACCAGTCAGAAGTATGCGCACCATGACGAGGGGAGAGGGAACAGATTCCCAGCTGCACACAGAGAGAAAGAGAAAAAGAGAAAGAGCGACAGACAGAGAGAGGCCACAGCTAAATCTAGCAGCAGCCAAAGCAGAAATCTGTCTAGGGCCAAATTTAACCAGCCCCCAAATAGAACTAAAAGGCAGGGCCAGCTGCCGTCCACACTAGGATCCCAGGGAACTGTTTGCTAGCTAGCTATTTGTGTATATGTTTCTCTTTCTTAGGGACTGGGAATCTTGGTTGGGTATGTTTGTCTAGATTTGTGGTCCCCATTGTGGCATCTCTGTGACACCCTCAAACACCCCTTTAGTGTCCACCAACGCCCTCTCCCACTCCTAAATTTTAGTATACAGTGGTACCTCGGGTTACATACGCTTCAGGTTACATACGCTTCAGGTTACACACTCTGCTAACCCAGAAATAGTGCTTCAGGTTAAGAACTTTGCTTCAGGATGAGGACAGAAATCATGCTCCGGCAGCGCGGCAGCAGCAAGAGGCCCCATTAGCTAAAGTGGTGCTTCAGGTTATGAACAGTTTCAGGTTAAGAACGGACCTCCAGAACGAATTAAGTACTTAACCCGAGGTACCACTGTATATATATTTAAGTCAGTGTTTTTCCTTCTTCTGCATTTGTTGATTTGGTTCAGGAGTTGTCGGCCTGCCGTTGCCTTGCGTTTCAATTGTGTAGGAGGGATGTAGGTGTTTTGCAAGTTTTTTTTGGGGGGGGGGAAGGCAACATTCTGAGCTTTGCCGGTTTTTCTTCTGTGAAATCAATGTCTTGCCATGTTCATAATTGTTTGTTATCTCTCCTAACGTGGCCCAGGCCAAAAAAAGTCTCAAAGACAAGGCTCCGTTGTTTGTGAAGAGAAAAGATTGACTCGGCAATTTGGATCTGGTGAAAAGAACCAAATACCTTTTTCAGGAGGAACATTCTCCTTAATTCCCAATGTATGGTCAGAAGGTCCGGGAGACACAGCCTTGCTAAACTTAAGCAGCTCTGGGCCTTATCACTACACAGGAAGGACCATAGCTCAATAGCAGAGCACCCACCTTGCAAGGCAAGGCGCAGTGATAACAGCAAAAACCTTTATTGAACTACAGAACTGAACAACAGGGACAAAGCAACTGCTTATATACATTTCTGAAGGCCTGGGCAACTCCCACTCCCAACGTGATTGGCTGTCTAAACTTCCAAGCTGCGAATCATGACTCAGAGTTTAAGGGCCAATGGCAGAAGCCCAAATCCTGAAATGTTCTGTGACTGGAAATCATGTATCGAATCAGAACACAGGAGCTCAGAATCCTTGGTCCAGACTCAAGCTCAGGCAAACACAGGCCACTGAATACATAGACAATACTGAACTAGATGGACCAGCCATCTGGATCAGTATAAGGCAGCTTCCAATGTTTCTATATGGCCTGGGAACCACACTGGGAACCATGAGACATATAATTAAATGCGCAATGCGCTAATGAGCTGCCGTTTCCCAAACGAGCCCACTAGACTCATCCGTTCATTTCTACCTCGCCCGTCTGCTAAGATGCGTAAGGTAGCTCACAACCTTTTGCACAGTACGAAAGAAGAGCAGAACGACAGAACAGCACCACAACTCCATAAAAAGGCAGAGAAGAGTTCTCACCGAAATGAGAAAATATCCATCTCGACAAAAGCGTTTCCGTCGCCTGTCTGGGAAACAGTGATGGGGCCACGCATACTTCGCCCAGGAAGTAGTTCCAAATCCTGGGCGCCACAACCGAAAAGGCCTTCTCCACGGCACCTGCCCTACACCCACCACATCTCAGGTGGTAGGAAGACCTCCAAACCAGAAGGTCATGGCAGGGGAAGAAGGATTCAGCTCCTGGAATGGGCCAAATAGCCCAGGGTGCGCATGGAATGCCGCTTTTACGACAGTCAATCGCATGGCCTAATAAACATGGGTGTGCAAGTTTCTTGCTTGGTTTGCGCAAGCAATGTTGTGACACATTACTGCTGCAATTTCAGGGCCTGGGTTCGGCCTACGTAATATATATATATAGAGAGAGAGAGAGAGAGCGCATTTATTTATAGTTATATTAAGATGGAAATATTTGGTGAAGCAGAAACGTTCCAAGATTCTACTCCCATTCGGAGGTCAGAATCTCATTCGTCCACTGGGAATCCAACTCCTCTTGGGGGGGGGGGCAAATACACAGTACACCCAGCCTCTCCCTGCCCTAAACCAGCTCCTCCCCCCTCCTCTGGCCCCCTCCCGCAGAGAGACTCACTCAGGACCACCTCTCACACAGAGAGAGACTCACTCTGGATTTTGGGGCTGTACGGGTCACGGATGTGGATAGCTGGATCCAGCACTCTGTAGATTACCTGGAGCAAGGAAGAAAGAGCAGAGGGTCAAGGGGCAACAGCCAGTTTACGGGAAGAGCATAATCCTGCAGCCCTTGGCCTGGGCCTCTGCAAGGAGGCGGCAGTCTGCAGAGACCTAACGTACATAGTGTGTTTGGTTCTGAACCCATCTCTCTACCCCAACATCTGCCGTCAGAGCTGGGTCAGGTGCAGGTCAGCACACAAGATGCAAAGTTTGGCAATGTAGTTTACTTTTTTATTCAAGAAAATGGCATACTGCTCAGCAAGAGGTTTGGCCTCTATAGAGCAGTTTCCAGGATTGGTGGTCTTCTTCTCTGATGGATGTTGCCCAAGTAGCCTCAAACTACAGGGCACCTGTAATCTCTGTTCTGCCCTACACATTGCCCTGGGTGTCCTTGGAGTCAATGAGAGGGGAGCTTGTTGCAGTAGGAGATACAGATTCCTGGAATTCTCCACCAGCGGCTTTCCCTCCCTCCTCTGCTTCAGCCTCTGAGTCTAAGCTGCTCCCTGTCACAGGCTCTCATCGCTCACTAAAGCCTGTTGCTTCTCCAGCATCCAACTATTCCTCTCTGTTTAGGGAAGCTTTTAATGTGTGACAGACTATTGTATTTTAATATTTTGATGGAAGCCGCCCAGAGTGGCTGGGGAAACCCAGCCAGATGGGCGATGTATAAATAATAAATTATTATTATTATTGTTATCTCTCCCCCATACCTCTCCTCAGTGTCCCACCACCAATTCCTGGGCCCTGAGCCTTCCTTTTCTAGTGCTTCAACTTGGGGGTTCCCGGACTTCTACTTCCCACCACTCCTCGTCATCGAGCCCATCCCTGACACCCCCATAGGAGATCCTACTGCTCCAGACGCCCTGCTTTTTTTACTCACCTCCCCCTCGGTAGAGGGCTCAATGTCCGAGTAGCGTGACTCACAGACAACATCGTCCACACGCCGCAAGGGTCCCCGGGAGGCAGATGGGAAGGAGGCGGCGCAGTCGTAGGCAAAGTAGCGGTACACCTGCCAGGTGCGGCCAAAATCTGCCGAACGCTCCACCAACATGGCTGCCGGCCGGAAGGTCTGCAAGGGGTAGAGGAAAATGGGAATCCTTGCATGCGTCCAGAACTATCACCTAGTAAGTCGGGGTGGAATAGGATAGAGCTATGACGCAACCTGTTCGTACGTGGACGTCATCACTTGATGCACCAGTTGCCAAGGGACGAGCGCACATGGGCCCTAGAACAAGGTTGGGAACTCTGTGGCTCTCCAAATGCTATGGGTTGGACTACATCTCCCATCATCTCTGACCAACGGCCTTGCTGGCTGGGGCTCATTGAATCGTTGTAAGGGATCCCAGAGTCATCTAGTCCAACCCCCTGCAATGCAATGCAGGGATCTCAGCTAAAGCATCGATGACAGATGGCCATCCTCTCTCTGCTGAAAAAACTCCAAGGAATCCATCCATGGGATTGGGTGGATTCCAATAGCATAGGGAAGGGTCCCCAATCACCTGGTGCAGATTTGGGGAGGGCGCAGGCAGGAGCGGGGACCCCATTGCACAAGCATTCATCCTCACGCCAACAGGACGCAGTGGTTGGCTACCGCCCTGTCTCTTGGAAGCGAGGACAAATGAGAGCAATAATCACGCGCAAAACGAAGTCGCAGCTGCGTGCGAAGCCGAAATTAAAAGAGCGAGCCGCCCTGCAAATCACTTGTTATGCAGCAAAGCGTTTACGAGCGTATTCTTGGAAATGCCGGTTTAATCATCCCCTCGTTTAATTTAAACACAGCTCATTCCCGCAGGGTGAAAAAAAAGTTTCACAACAACGTCCTCTGATTTTCTCCCCCCATTTGGGGGCGTCGGGAAATAATCGAACATAAAAATCCACCCCTATTCCTCCGCAGCTTCTCTTTCCATTGCGAACAGCTGGCATGTGGGGGGCTGGAATTCCAACTGGGACTGTGGCAAGGGGAAAAGGTTAAAGACTCTTCTTCCCACACCACAGCTGCAAATGGACCCAGCAAGACACACCCTGACGTTGGCTATGTGCATACATTTCTTTTTAATTGCCCGTGCAAGGACAAACCACATGACTAATGTCATATCTGGCCTGGACCTAAGAAGGGCAGCAGATGTTCTCTGATGTGAACATAGAAATATATAGAGTCAGAGCAGCGATCCACCTAGCCCACTGATGCTCACGCTGACTACCGCTAGCTCTTAGGCAGAGGACCTTTTCCATCTCCTTCTACCTGATCACCTGAAGGGGCCAGGAACTGAACCTGAGAGCTTCTGCCTGCAAACCCAGCAGCATGGTGGGGCTTTGGCGTTCACCTGACCTCTGCCTGGCTAAGTTGCTGCAGCAGACCAGGAGGGATGTGGTGGCGGCGAGGTGGGTGTGGTGCAAACACAATCCAGTGCTCCTGCTAGGGCGTTTGCACCGACGCAACCCCCTCTCCATCTCCGTGTGCTGCAGAGACTCAGCCAGACAGAGATTGGGCGAGTCACCCTACGATGCCATCCGCTTCCTTGCAAAGGATGTGCTCCACTGCCAAGCTATACGGCTCCTCCCCCTGTTAGGAAATGAACAGGATGGCAGAGAAGTGCAGAAATCTGCTCCACTTCCCAGTGGGGAGGAGTTGCGGTGGACCGTGTGGCCACCCACTTCTCACCGGAGGCGGGGGACTTTGTCCCCCGTTGCCCAGGGGATCCCGGCCACGTCAGAGCCCAGCCAGCCAATCCACTGGCCGGGGGGTGGGGGGTGGCCAGGTCCGTTTTAATCAGAGGAGCGAGCCAGAGGGCTTCCTCTTTGGCTTGCTTCCTCAATCACCCACCCTCCCTCCCTATTTTGCAGGTTTTAGGCACTGGCCTTGCTATGGTCGCCGTTGAGGGGCCTGGTAGGAATTTTTCCACTTGGCAAATTGGCACTGGCCATTTGGTTTTCACCTACCTCGTAGCAATCATCACAACTTTGTTAGGGCTGCATTGTTTGACCTTGTGATGGGGGAGGGGAGGTGTGGCCATCACCTGCCCCTCCAAGCTCAAGGGTATTCCGTTAAAGGAATCCGGGGGTGTTGATCTTGTCCGAAGCCCGGGTCAGGGGCTAGGGCCATGACACAACCCCAACGGGAACACCAGGGGGAGCTCGAGTTGGTATGCATCGACAGGGCTCCTCCATCCAGTGGTTTACCCTTACCGGACTTACTGCGCATCAGGCAGGAGTCAGATATAGTCAGGTCCAATCAATGCCTAAGCCAATACCGCTCACATTCTGTAATTCAATAAGGTAAGGTAAAGGGTAAAGGGACCCCTGACCATTAGGTCGTCATGACCAACTCTGGGGTTGCGGCGCTCATCTCGCTTTATTGGCCGAGGGAGCCGGCGTACAGCTTCCGGGTCATGTGGCCAGCATGACTAAGCCGCTTCTGGAGAACCAGAGCAGTGCACGGAAACGCCGTTTACCTTCCTGCTGGAGTGGTACCTATTTATCTACTTGCACTTTGACGTGCTTTTGAACTGCTAGGTTGGCAGGAGCAGGGACCGAGCAACGGGAGCTCACCCCGTCACGGGGATTCGAACTGCCGACCTTCTGATTGGCAAGTCCTAGGCTCTGTGGTTTAACCCACAGCACCACCCGCGTCCCTGTAATTCAATAAAGTTGTGGCCAAATTTGCCCAATAACATAAACCCAATATCTGTGTCCTTGTGTGTGTTATTTCCCAACGAGGGGGTGGCTGCGGGGTCTTGACACGCAAACAGACAGTCACTCATGCATCCTGAGGATCTCGTGCTTCGTGGGGGATGGTGGCTAATGTTCAGGATGCTGACCCGTTACGATGGCTGCATTACCTCCATGATCAGAGGCACTATTACGGTTGCTGAGGATCATGGGCAAGAGGGCGTTACTGCTCTCATGTCCCGCTTGCGGGCTTCTCATCTGCATCCCCGCAAGAACACAATGCTGGACTTGACGGTCCTTTGGTCCGACCCAACAAGGTTCTTCTGATGTCCTTGAGGAAGCGTGGATCCCTATCACTGGAGAAGAAGCCCACCTGTTCCCAACCGGGATGTACCTTGAAAGTCATGATGAGGTGAGTGAAGTGGAACTCAGCCTCCAGGTCCAGGCGGATGCTCACCTGCTCCACACCTGGAGAGACAGACACAGACCCCTGTAAACAGTTGAGGACTTAAATGACACTTGTAAGATAACAGAGATAGGGACGCAGGTGGCGCTGTGGGTTAAACCACAGAGCCTAGGACTTGCCGATCAGAAGATCGCCGGTTCGAATCCCTGCGACGGGGTGAGCGCCCTTTGCTCGGTCCCTGCTCCTGCCAACCTAGCAGTTCGAAAGCACATCAAAGTGCAAGTAGATAAATAGGTACCGCTCTGGCGGGAAGGTAAATGGCATTTCCGTGCACTGCTCTGGTTCGCCAGAAGCGGCTTAGTCATGCTGGCCACATGACCCGGAAGCTGAACGCCAGCTCCCTCGGCCAATAAAGCGAGATGAGCGCCACAACCCCAGAGTCGGCCGCAAATGGACCTACTGGTCAGGGGTCCCTTTACCTTTACCTTTTTAAGATAACAGAGACTTAGGATATGGACGTTAAGTGGAATAGAGGATATAAAATATGCAAAAAATAAAATTAAAAAATCCTTCCAGTAGCACCTTAGAGACCAACTAAATTTGTTCTTGGTATGAGCTTTTGTGTGCATGCACACGTCTTCAGATACACTGAAACAGAAGTCACCAGACCCTTAAATCTAGTGAGAGGGTGGGGAGAGGCATTACTCAGAAGGGTGGTAGGAATGGGTGATTGGCTGATAGGTGTGGTAAACCTGTTAACGACTGCAATTGGTCTTACAGGAAAAAGGAAGTGGTGAGATGGCTAAAATAGCTTTATCATGTAAAATGAGATAAAATATGCAGCAAAAAATGTTAAATATGGAAACCATGGAAAGGTGGAGGGAGGTCTAAGGGTACAAGGGAATCTTGTATCTGTCTTTTTCCTCTTTTTTTTTAGTTAATTACATGTGATATTGTTAAAAATAATTGGAAAAATTAATAAAATTTTGTAAAAATAAAACAAAATGGAGAGACAGACACATAGGGAGAGGGGTCGGTGCTAGAGTCCTCAGCAAAACTCCATTCTACAAGGAACCAGTTTTCAAACCGTGCTCAGGAGTTTCTCAGACGCTTCTCAGGGGCTTGTTTCTCAGCGGGAAGATCCCTTAACTCACCGCTACTGATCTTGCTACGCAGAATGTGTTGGGTGCATTTCCAGGGAGCAAGCTTGGCTCATGTAGGAAAAGGAGGGAAACCCAACAAGCCCAGCCAACACCCTGTTAGGCCTAGTGCAAGTACGTGGCAGCTTCAGGCCTCGCCAATCCAATAGGACTCAGCTCTGGGAACTTCTGTTTTAATTGCCCACAATGATACAGAGCAGGGGTAGGGAACCTCAGGCCCAGGGCCAAAATGTGGCCCTCCAGGCCTCTCCCTAGACCACCCCCCTCTCCCAGGCCCACTCTGCACCCTACTCAAGATTAATTAATTTGCAAATCTAACAAAGGGGGGGGGATACTTACAATACATAAAATAAAGAAAAAGTAATATCTGAATATTACTGTTATTATTAATAATAACAACAGTACTACCATGAGCTCACACCGAGGGTGAAATAACCATCAACAGACCCATCTTAAGCTAAACATAAACATTGATATATGCCCTCCAAATAGGTTTCCAAAAAAATTGATGTCTATGTAAAAGTGTGTTCAAATGTAACCAGGGCAGTGAGGTCCTCAGGCCGTCCCATAATAGATGGTGGTTATTTATCCTTCCAGGCACAAATTGACTGCTCACAAAGGGATCTCAAAATCCACTTCTGTTGTCCTGCTGTGAATCCTTGTACTAACAGTGATACAGTTAATGCACTTTAAAATAATATTTCTGCAGCGTGAAGATTCACAGCAGGGCAACAGAATTTGCAAGCCCACTGCAAGCTCAGAGACTTACACTAAGAGACGATGGGCTCACCCAAACCTCCATTCAGACTGCCAATTTCTCTCTGGGGAAACCCACAGTTTAGCGCTGAATCGGGACAAACAGCAATCAGGTTTTTTTGTGGACTGCCATTTGTTCCGATTTAGCACTAAAGAGCAGCGGGGACAAAGGCAAATCTGCTTGGATTCATGCTTTCCAGACCTGGGGCAAGTGGAAGAGTGGATGAGTGCCTATACTTAATATCTGCAAATATCAAGGATTTTGCCAATGCAAAATATGGATGACAACCTCATGCCAAAAAGTATATATCACTGGTTTGGGGCTGCTGGTGGTTGCAGTCGAAACAACGTCTGGAGAGCACCTGGTTGGTGAAGACTGTTCTAGATTAATGCAGAAAACTCTTGTGCAGGTGGTACCAGATTTTAGGGAGGGGGTCCCTAGCAGTGTAAGTGCCATGCGGATGACCCAGGAAGGAAACGGTCAGGCTGCTAGATAGAGCCAAGGCTCCCACAACTGGAAGCAGCACTGTGTTCCTGCAAGTAGCAGGCCCCTCCTCTGTTGTCTCCCGCCCCCGCCTGGCCCAGGTCCAGGAAAGAAGGGACTCTGTTGGGTATGATTCAGCATTTCCTCTGCGTAGGAGAGAAAGGAAAGGAACAGGGCTCTGGGGACACTCTCTCAGCCGTGCCATGTCCCAGACAAAGAGCACTCTCTGCAGGCTCACGTAACCGGGGCACAGCGAGTTCACCCAGCTGTGAGGCGACAGGGCTTGTCACAGGGCCACACACAACCCCGAGAGCAGGAAAGGACACACACACACATGCACAAACTTCCCTCTAAAGAAGGATTGCCTGATGTAGATGGAATTTAATATCCCTGACATGTACCATATAGGGTGGGGTGTGCAGACTTGATGAGAAATGGTAATAATAATAATAATAATAATAATAATAATAATATATTATTTGTACCCCGCCCATCTGGCTGGGTTTCCCCACCCACTCTGGGCGGCTTCCAACAAAGATTAAAGATACATTAAAATGTCACACATTCAAAACTTCCCTGAACAGGGCTGTCTTCAGATGTCTTCTAAATGTCAGGTGGTTGTTTATCTCTCTGACATCTGATGGGAGGGCGTTCCACAGGGCGGGCGCCACTACCGAGAAGGCCCTCTGCCTGGTTCCCTGTAGCTTTGCTTCTCGCAGTGAGGGAACCACCAGAAGGCCCTCGGGCAAATGTAGAAAGAGGAAGAGGAAACATTGTCACAGCCAAAACTGTGGACTTCTGTTTCTAACATGGTGGAGTCCAGTGCGTGAAGTCAAGAATCAAATGTCTCATTTCCGAAAAATTGTGGGACTCAGAGGTGCCCTTCTTCCGACAGAGGAAGATGCTTTCTGGTGAAGGAAGAGAACCTTTGGACCTAAGCCCAAGATTTTAGCCCTCGTGGTTCAGGTTGAAAAGGTTTTTAAAAGTAGCTGAAAGAACCTGCTATGCAAGTAAGCAAAAAATATATACACGTATGCAAGTGAACACACGCTGCACAAAAATCGAATCATGTGATGAAACCCCCGCTCCTTACCATTCTCCGACTGCCACCAGGCCTTCCTGCGGTTGAGAGCAAAGGCAGTGATCACGTTCTCAATGCGGTGGCTGTTAGGATTGGACAAGGCCTGATAGGGCCGGCGTGAGTCGCACACGAAGCACTTTTTCTCGTCCTGCAAGAGAGATACCCGTATGCTGAGCTATGCATGCGCCACATGATCACACTCCTCAGGCGAAGGAGGGGTTTGGTACAGAAAACAGCATCCAAAGAAACTAAACTTTCATCTCTCTCTCTCTCTCTCTCTCTCTCTCTCTCTCTCCTTGAGCAGAGCCAGGTGAAATCTCAGAAGCTAGTGGTACAGGGTGCCAATGACCTGTGGGTTTTTGTATGCGCACGCAAACTTCCATAGAATCTAAGAGCAGGAAGGGACCTCCAAAGTCATCTAGTTCAACCACCAGATCTGCTGTTTTAGCATACCTGATTCAAGAGCCGTCTACACTCTGCTCAATAACCTCTTAAAGGAGAGTCCAGCAGTTCCCAAGTTAGTCTTGTTCCACTCTCAAACAGTTCACGCTGTCAACAAGTTCTTCCTAACGTGCAGTTAAAACTCCCTTTCTTTTCATTTAAGTCCATTGGCTTGGGCCCTACCCTCTTTGTTATTTGTTTTTAGTTATTTATTTTACAATTCAGCCAGCTAGCCCTGGGGATTATCTAACTGATTTTTGAATTTTATTGTTATTCATGTTTTTATACCGTATTTTATGCTGCTTTTATAATTAAGTGTTTTAAAGTGTTTTAAATTTGTTGTTAGCCGCCCTGAGCCCAGTTTTTGAACTGGGAAGGGCAGGGTATAAATAAAAATAGTAAATAACATTATTATTATTATTATTTAAAAAAAACCACACCCAGGCTTTTCTGTGAGGAACTCAGAGAGGCATGCATGTTTTTCCCTTATTCCTGCCTCCTGCAAGGAGTTAGGCTGAGAGAAGGAGTGACCAGGTTGAATTGGGGTCTTCCTGTCTGCAGTTCTCCCAAGAGTAGCAAGAAGCAGACCTGGTCTGCGCTTCTTAAGCATGGACACAAAAGCTTATACCCAGAACAAACTTAGTTGGTCTCTAAGGTGCTACTGGGCAATTTTTTATTTTCTATTTCAACTGCCGCTTCCAGGTAGAGCAGAGGATGCTGTCCTGTTACCAGTGCTGAAGTAAGCATCAGTTGCCAGTTTGGTCGGTGCTCAGTTTTCTAGTGTTTGCTTTTCCCTTATCGAGTCTCTCAGGCTCAGAATAGAGGTCCTTTAAAGAAATAATCTGCCCACCAAGCTTTGCTCTGCAACACTCACCTGCAAATGGCTGACAATGCAGTAGGGCTGGGGACGCCGCAGGCCGCAGGTGGAGGTGGCGAAGAGGCGGTCGGCCCGGCCTACCAGCAGATCTCCCGTGTTTGGGTAGCAGCTGCCTTGGGAACAGCCATGGGGGGGCTCAGGCTCCTGGCAGAGAGCTCCCCCCAGCACTGTGGAGACAGGGAAGGCAGAGAGAGGAGCAGAGAGTACAGAACAAGGGACACTGTGGCTGGGTCCATGAGGTTCGCCTCATCTTACGGGTGATGGATGCAATTACAGTGGTACCTCGCGTTAAGTACTTAATTTGTTTCGGAGGTCCGTTCTTAACCTGAAGCACCACTTTAGCTAATGGGGCCTCCTGCTGCTGCCACGCCACCAGAGCACGATTTCTGTTCTCATCCTGAAGCAAAGTTCTTAACCCGAGGTACTGTTTCTGGGTTAGCGGAGTCTGTAACCTGAAGCGCATGTAACCTGAAGCATATGTAACCCGAGGTACCACTGTATGCTTTTAAATGCTTAAATGTAATAGATATGAGGAGTTTTTGACTGATTCCAGACTGCCGGGGGGGATCCCAGCGCATACCAAAACTTTAAATAGGTAAAAGTACTCCAACATCCTAGTACAGTGGTACCTCAGGTTACAGGTGCTTCAGGTTACAGACTCCGCTAACCCAGAAATAGTACCTCGGGTTAAGAACTTTGCTTCAGGATGAGAACAGAAATCGTGCTCCGGCGGCGCAGCAGCAGCAGGAGGCCCCATTAGTCAAAGTGGTACCTCAGGTTAAGAACAGTTTCAGGTTAAGAACGGACCTCCAGAACGAATGAAGTTCTTAACTCGAAGTACCACTGTACAACAAATCCACCCCTTTAACATAGCTGTCAATGTTTCCCTTTTTTAAAGGGAAATTCCCTTATTCCGAATAGGCTTCCTCGCAAGAAAAGGGAAAAGTTGACAGCTATGCCCTTTAAAGAAATAAACAAACCTGACTTTTTGCGGTTTGGAAAGTGGAGAGGAACTGTCTCAGAAAGTGTGGGGTGACTAAAGGATCAACTGAAAGACATGCAAACAGCCCGTAAACCAGGGGTAACCAACAGGGTGACATACAGGTGTTGTTAGACTACAACTCCCATGATCCCTGACCACTGATCATGATAGCTGGGGCTGATGGGAGTTGGAGTCCGGCAACATCTGTAGAGCAGCACGTTGGCGACCTCTGGACAAATGTCCCTTGTGATATAACCACCTTGTAAACAAATCAAAATGAATGCTCAATAAAGGCCAGGCATAGTCCAACCATAGTGTAAAGTTTGCACAAGCAAATCTGGATGAATACTGAATTTAAAAAAGTTCTCTGGAAGAGTTCCTTCAGCTTGGCATGTAGAGGGATGGTACTTATGTATTAACTGGAGTTCAAGTGCAAATCAGACCCACTAGCTAGACTGCTGTCAGCGGTTGGGTGGCGGAAGATTTGGCATCCATAAAATGGCAAGACAATGGAACTCCACAGTCCAGAGGATTATGATAGGACTTCCAAATATTAGAAAGATATAACTTCAGCATCTGAGGTCATAACAGAGAGAAAGATGGCGCCAATAAGGAGAGGACATAAAATGTAGATTATAGACAATCTCAGCTTTCGTCCATTTTAAAAACCAAGGTTTTAGCTATCATGAGGTACCTTTGAAAGCAAGCAGACAAACTGGAATCAAAAGGCACAGTCTACTCACTGGTGAGCACTTTAAAAGTCCCACTAATTTCAGGGAGAGAGATTTACAGCCCAGTCTTATGCATATCTAGGGACGCGGGTGGCACGTGGGTTACACCACAGAGCCTAGGACTTGCTGATCAGAAGGTTGGCGGTTCAAATCCCCACGACGGGGTGAGCTCCCATTGCTCGGTCCCTGCTCCTGCCAACCTAGCAGTTCGAAAGCACGTCAAAGTGCAAGTAGATAAATAGGTACCACTCCAGCGGGAATGTAAACGGCGTTTCCGTGCGCTGCTCTAGTTTGCCAGAAACGGCTTAGTCATGCTGGTCACATGACCCGGAAGCTGTACGCCGGCTCCCTCGGCCAATAAAGCGAGATGAGCACCGCAACCCCAGAGTTGTCCACGACTGGACCTAATGGTCAGGGGTCCCTTTACCTTTACCTTATGCATATCTACTCAGAAATAAGCCCACAGCACCGCCACTTAAATCAGGAGCGCTCCCAAGAGCTTAATTTAGCTGGATAATGCCCAAATTTAATGAAACGATGTCATCAAGGCACTCTGATTAAGAACTGGATTTCCCCCCACCCTCCAGATTCCTGAGGATGCAGTTTATGCAAAACTATATCCGATTTACTCCATTTGAGGTGATTTTTTTGACAATAAAGGTTTTCCTGTTAAGAGCAGTTTATGGGTGTTCCCATCTGATCTGCTGCTTTGACCGTCTTATTTTCTTTTTCTTGACAATATAAAGGCAGTGATTGGCAAATACACCGAACTCTTGCGCATTCCAGGGCTCTTGCTCGTTTCACTTGGCCTCCAGTCAAGCCCCTTCATGCACACCCCTTCACAGACACCGCCACTTACCCTACCGTCACTATTTACTTTTCCACCCCAAAACAAACCTTTACATACAGAGAGGGGAAAGGGACAACTTGCACTCTTTAGCCTGAGGCAAAGCTCAAGCATTCGTTCAGATTTAACCAGCTCTGTTATACTGTTGCTTCTCAGCATCCTTTGTTTTGAACAGAGAATCTGGGTTTCTTTGGCATCAAAATATTATTTTTGTTCTTCGGTTTATGAGTCAACACAGTAAGGTTGCTTCCAGATGACCTGTTTACTGGGCAGTCGTCTTGATCTGTTTGCAGGGAGATTAGAAAGACACCAGCTACTTATTGAGCATTCATTCTGATTTGTTCATGGGGAGGTCAGACACTTCCCAATGCATCCCCCAGCCACTTTCCTGATCACAAAAAATCTAAGCCTTCGGGGAAATTGGGCTTTTTTCACAAGAAGACCTCCCAGTCAAACATAATGGTGCAACCTGAAATTGCCAATATGTGATTGAATTCCACCCGAAAACAGCAGCAGTCTGTAAGCATCCTGAATTACAGTGGTACCTTGGTTCTCAAACGCCTTGGTACTCAAACAACTAGATACCCAAACACTGCAAACCCGGAAGTAAGTGTTCCGGTTTGCGAACTTTTTTTGGAAGCCGAACGTGCTCCGTTTTGAGTGCAATGCTTCTAATTTGAGTGCCATGCTTCCGTTTTGAGTGTTATGCTGAGGTCTGTCTGTTTTTGCTATTTATTTTGTGTTTTTTGTTTTTGCAGCTCTTTTTGTTTTGTTTTTGTGACTGTGTGGAACCCAGTTCAGCTACTGATGGATTGATTGTGTGACTGCAGTACATTGGTTACTGCTATCATTTTATGGATCGATGGTCTCGTTAGATAGTAAAATTCATGTTACATTGCTGTTTTAGGGGTTGTTTTTAAAAGTCTGGAAGGGATTAATCCGTTTTGCATTACTTTCCATGGGAAAGCGTGCCTTGGTTTTGGAACACTTTGGTTTTGGAACGGACTTCTGGAACGGATTAAGTTTGAGAACCAAGGTACCACTGTATAGCGGCTTTTTTTGCATTGCTGCCCCTCTTGATGTGAAAATCATATAAGCATACCGGTACCTCTTTATTTTGCCCTGTGGGGCAAATAGGCGCTACCAACTCCCATTATTCCAATGGAAGCCACCCAGTCCAGATGGCTACTGTTAAATCTTTTGAAAGCTATTCCTATTTGCAGAGCTCTCGTGTTACACTTGGGGCTCATCCACACTTAACATTTGCTCCATGCTCTCTAGGCACAGGTCTGGGATTTCTACGTCTGCGTCTGAACACAGTTTTGTTTTTTTGTCCTGGCACTTTCCCCAGGAAAATCCACATTTTACTGGTGAATCGGAGCAAATGGCAATAACCGCGGAAAACCCGGTTGCTGTTTGCTCTGATTCAGCAAGTAAAATGCAGGCTTTCCCTGCGCAAAAATTAGAAACTACTCAAACACAGACCTGGAAAGCCTGGAAAACCTAGCAGCTATGGAAGTGTGGCTGAGCCCTTTGTTTAGCCCTGAATAAAAGGATAGGTGGATATCTATGGCATTTGGGAGACAGACGAATGCCAGTTCTTCAGAGTTACCAAAGTGCTTTTAATCATACGAGGGGAGGGGAAGGTCAGTGTGATCCAAACCTCCAGGGACTGTGCTAGAAGTACCACTTCTGTCGAGATAATTGGTGATGCTGCAGATATGCGGACCAAATCACTGCATTGGATGGCAAACCACTCGAGCCCCACAGAAGCCATTCATAGGAAGGGGGAGAATAAATGAAACAAAATGGTAATTGTTATGTACTAAGCTTGGATCCTAGAACAATAGGCAGGTAGGATCCTAGAATGCAACAACTGATTGGCCTATAGGAGCAGCCCAATCAGGCCCCAGGAGGAAGTTAATCGGCCTATCAGGGCGGTAGAATCCTAGAATGGAACAAGTGATTGGCCTGCAGTAGCAGCCCAATCAGGCTCCAGGAGGGAAGCAGAACCAGCCAATCAGACAGGACCCATTGTGTAAATAATGTATATAAAGCCTGAGGTTTGGGGGGAAAATTCAACTTCTGTTCTACGAGCTGCAATAAAGAGCATGAAATCACTACACGACTCCGAGTATATTTCAGTAATCAACCAGAGTTGTTAAAGTCTGGGTTCGGATCCTACTCTCTCTATTGCTCCATTCCTCCTTGAGAAAACAGGGATAGCAGCAACCTATCTAGTCAGTTCACCATAAATAATAATTAATAATAATTTATTATTTATACCTCGCCCATCCGGCTGGGTTTCCCCAGCCACTCTGGGCGCCTTCCATCAATACAAAACAATACAGCATCAGATATTAAAAAATTCCCTAAACAGTTGTCTTTTAAAAGTAAAATAGTTGTTTATTGCCTTGACATCTGGTGGGAGGGACTTCCACTACCAAGAAGGCCCTCTGCCTGGTTCCCTGTAACCTCACATCTCGCAGCGAGGGAACTGCCAGAAGGCCCTCGGCGCTGGACCTCAGTGTCCGGGCTGGATGATGAAGGTGGAGATGCTCCTTCAGGTATACAGGACCGAGGCCATTTAGGGCTTTAAAGGTCAGCATCAACACTTTGAATTGTGCTCGGAAACGTACTGGGAGACAATGAAGGTTGCCCAACCCTATTCAGATTAAAGGGGCACCCCCAGTACGATGGGTCTTTTTGCCATTTTGATCTGGCCACACACCCAGGACTTGGCAGTGCAACAATCCCAGCCCAGTGCAGATAGATAACTGCAGCGCTAGAGATGGAGGTTCCTAGACATCTCCTTTCGCATGCAGCTAGGCATCCGCCACCAGACGCTTCCACCTGTTTCTGCTGCTCACCCTGCAAGGGGGGGGGGGCTGGGGGGGCGTGAAATGCCTCTGCTCGCCTCCTCTGCCCTCAGCAACTACATGGGGCCTGGGAGCGGAAGCCACAGCCCTGCCAGAAATAACCGTGGCAGGGATTGGCTCTGTTGTCCGGCCAGCTTGGCCCCGTGCCAAGGAACGTGGGGGCTGGGGGCCGAAAGCCGTGAAACGATGGCTTTATAAGAGCTCACGTCCATCAGAGAGCCTGCTAAAAAGAGGGAGGCGGAGGCACAGCACCAAGCGGAGATCGCAGCTCGGATAAGTTTGGGTCCCGCTGGATGCCAAGCGGTCTTTGCACACAAACCTTGCCCCTCCACTTCACTGCAAACTGGCAAGGGAAACATGGGATGGGGGGAAGAGAGATGATGGCCCTGCAGCTGAAGAAAACTTCAAGCACCATTCCTTCCTTTGCCAGCACATTCCCAACACTGCGGCACTCGGTACTCGGTACTCCTTCTACAGCTGCTGAGGTGGGGCAAGTGTGGGTCCTTCCTGTTAGCGCCCCCCCCCCCAACCTTCTCACATTGCAAGGCTGCTCCCAGGCTCCATGCCAGCTCTCTGAGCCTCAAATCCCCTGGAGCCAGAGCTTCAAAGGGAGCCAGGGACAAAGACTCCAGCTGGTGGGGCTGGGAGTGCAGCTCCCCCCAACCCAAGGTTGGGTGGGAATGGAGGGTGGGAGTACGCAGACCAGGCGCCCACCCTACTCTGGAGGCAGGAAAGGGGCACGGAGAGACAAAACGATGCAGGTGGGGTGGTTGCAACGCTGCCACCGAAGATGCATGTTTAAAATTCCTCACCCCACATATAGACTGTCTATCGTACTGTTTTAAGTTGAACAAACTGGAATAGCAGGCCGATTCGTGTTTGCAAGCACGGTTTAGGATGCCAACCCAACTCATTACGCACACCCTGAAAGGGCAGGAAGAGCCATCACTTATATATAGTCTTTAGCCATCCTAGTTGCTAAAATGGTGAGGCAACGGCAGTGTGCCAAGCATCAAAGTAGCCCTGAGAATGAACACCTACAGCCGCCCCTTAACATCTCGGAGCCAATGGTGGGTTTCCCTCCCTGCTATTCTTTCAATACACAGCTACTGCCAAGTGAAACGGGAGTTAGTGATGGTAAGAATGAATCAAGGGCAGCTTTCGCAAACCCGGTACCGTCCAGATGTTTTTGACGACGTCCCTATGACCCCCTCCCCAGCCAGCACTGTCATCCAAAACATCCAGAGGGCGCCAGGCTGGTGAAAACTGACCTGGGGGGCAATAATAATTATCCCAAACCACTTAACCCAGAATTAAATTATCAGCCTACTGCTGATAAGCCCCAGTTCAAGAACCAAGGGGAAGGGAGACGAAGTGACTTCTCAGAGGCTGAAACATTTCACTAAAGCCAAATATAGAGGCATCTCTCTTCCATGCATACACACAGACATTATTCACTTACTTACACACACACACACACATTTTTACTCTCCTTCTAATTTTGTCTTTGCTTATTGCCACGACCCCATATGGTTGGTTTCAGCCAAAGCCTAGGCTCCTTACTCTACAAATGTTTAACTTGTTACATCAGCTCTCAGGGTACGCACCCAAGAACACTTGACGCAGATTAGCAACTCCTCGGCGTCGTTCAAATGAATGCTTGTGGTTGCACACCCAGAACCGGAATGGGTTCTTTCCCATTACATATCCGTCGGCAAAGTGGAGGTTTCAACATGCATAAGCGATTGTCCAGCGTGCAGATGGAAGGCACTGACTTCCGATTACTTAACACAAGAGTATGTTGGTGTGATCTTGTGAACGAGACAAAAACAGGTGTCCGCTGGCAGCAGATGGACCATCCAGACATCACCCACATCCTTAGCCTCCGTATGAGACACAAGTAAGGTGCAATCCTATGCAGCTGCTGCTCACAGGGGGTTCCTCCACAACCTCTGAAAGTTTATTCCGTGCAGACCTGCATAGGATTGGGCCGCTTGTCTGAGAGAAGCGGAGGTAGGGCTGCTAAGTGGCAAATCAACAGGTGCAGCCTTCTCCACCATAGAATCTTGTTGTTGGGGGAACATGGCAGTTGCTGGCAACCCTCAAGCAGTGAGGCATTGTAGAATGGGGCAGATAGGACCCCAATATCAGCACACACACACACACACACACACTTTAGCCAATATAATCTAGACCACCGTATGCCCCAAGTAGAAAGTAGGAGTTAAGAATATATGCCCTGCGAGGAAGACCACCAGACGCTATTTATACCATCTTGAAGCCTGTCCTTTGGGGAATCTCAGAGAGGTGCCCCCAACCCTCAAACAGGGCACATCAGGCCAAGCAGAAACCTGGCAGTGCCCCACCAGGATGAGCGGCCACACTGAGGACAACCATCAGGGCATTTGTGTGAGAAGAAAAGGTGATTTCTCTGGTTTGGGCACCCCCCGCAGCCACCCTGAGGGAAGGGCAAGGGTGGCACGGAGGCAGTGGTCTTGAGATGCAGACTCTAGAAAAGATGTAAGAAGCCCTCAAGCCCTCCTCGATTTAAAAAATAGTTTTAAAAGTCACTATCCTGGTACACACACACACACACACCAATTTCAAAAGTGAAGTTCTCCCTCCTTTCAAGCATGAGGCTCCCTATTCTCTGCCTCCCTCCTTCCTGGCCATCCTGCCAGGACTTTGACAGGCAGGTGCCGCGACCCCGATCCTTGGCGGAGACTCACCTGCGAGTAGCAAACCCCACAGCCTCATGGCAGCTCCGTGGATGCCGCGCAGCGGGCGGCTCTTCTTCTGCTGAATTGGGGGCAAAGCCAAAGGGATGGCGAAGAGGACCCCGGCGGCGTGGGCGGCCTGTGGGTCGCTCCGGATGGGGAGGACCCCTTTCCAATGCAGGCCGTTCCCGCCTCCTCCCCGCTGGATGCCTCTGCGCCTTTCCTAACCCGAGCCCCGGCGCCTCCGTCCCGAGAAAACCCTCCTCGCCCCCGTCCTCCCCTTAGGGGGAAAAAAAGAAAAGAAGAAAGAAGAAGTCGCCTCGCGCCGCTCCTCGGCTTGATCCAAAAGCTAAACTTAGTTGGAAAAAGTTAGCAGCGAAAAGGCCAGAGGGAAAGCGCGGGGCGGATTCCGCCGGGATCTGGTGCTGCTGCTGCGTAAAGCCAGCAGCCAGACACATACGCACATCCAGAAGGGGTGGACTTTTCTCTCTTTTAAAAATAAAAATAAATGAGGTGACCGATGTTTATTTAGGAGGTGAGGGGTGTGTGTGTGCATTTTTAGCTGAGGCTCAGTGCCAGGTCTTGAAGCAAATTAAAAAAAACTAAAGCCTTAACATGCATGGATTTATTTGTTTACAAGCCTGTCCTCTCTATATAGCAAACCTCACTTTGCTTGGAAAACGCTCTCAAATGTGGCAAATCTTACGGGTATTTGGCTTTACGGGTATTGCACAACATAATTATATATGTATGTATTATAAAGCCAAATATCCGTAGATATTTCAGTGTATTTTTCAGTTGGCTGCTTACGATATATTTCAGAAGATCTGCTGAGCTTTGAGAAGGGATCCGGCAAAACTGTTTTATTATCCGCATAAAAACAGCCTTTGCTGAGAGGCAGGCGGCATACCATACATCTAAAGCACGTCCCCGCATGGGATTCTGGGAACTGTAGTTTGTTAAGGGCGTTGGGAATTGTAGCTATGTGTGGGGTGAACTATTAGGATTTATGTATGTGTGCTTTCAGTGTATGGTGTATACACAGTCATGGTGGCATTTCTCATTTACATAACTGTTTATACAATTGTTGCCTTAGTCCAGATAGTCAGGATGGGCTATTCCATAGCCTTATTTTATTCACCCAAAACTGCCTATTATGAACCTTTTAAGAAGTGACACACAAAAATAGCCTTTCTTCTTTAAGGCTACACACAAGGGTCAGAGTTGGGCTATTTGTAACTGAATCCTAAAGTCTCTGCTATGTCACATTGATTCTTTTGGTTTTTCTTTTTGAAGGTTTATACTCCACCTTCCAATCAAAATATCCTGAAGGCAGCTTCAGTTGTCACCAGTTGCCACTGCCCAACCCCAAGCAGCTGCTGCCTGAGGCATCTGATTCACTCTTTTAATGTTAGGGTCCATTAGTGGAGTGGAGGGGCATTTGGCCTGGGTCTCAAGCTCAAAAGGGGCCTCAAATTTAGACACACTGGTTATTTTTTTTGGCATTTGGTAAGTTTCACAGCATGCTTTTATGCACATCGGATCAGAATGTGACGCAAACCCTGGACTGGGAGCTGCATATTTAAGCAAATAAGAGATGTGAGTTAGTGAAATCCTTTTTTAAAAAGACAGCTACAGCTTCTTTCATATTAAAAAGTTACAATTTTCATAGAGCAGGTAAAGAATGATCACCGTTCAGCTATGAGACAAGAGTGCCATACTTAAGGTCAAATGTGACATTGCCTGAAAGCTAGATTCGCCCACAATAATTAGTACATTTCCACAGGAAAAGACTAGGAAAGCATTTGTAAAATAAAAAAATAGTAAAATTATGTCCACTCTTTTTGATGTTTTTCTTTCTATTTTTGCCATCACCGTCACCATCATCATATTATTATTAGCCTGATATCTTTTTAATCTCTGAGGAAACCTGCTCACACAAACACGTACAACAGAGCAGACCTTGGTTCTTCTGTGACTGACGGATGGAGTCTGGTTCTGTAGTCTCAGGCCAACTAGTCTTCGGAACAGAGTGTTATTTTCTTGCAGGGAGGGAGAAGTAATTGCAATGATAGTGGGAGTCATTTCTTAAAACAGTCATGAGGAAAAAATTTGCCTGCTCTCAGGAGATAGTCAGCAAGAGACATGATGATAGCCTCAACATCAGGCTACAAGCATCATCTGGCTTTCAAGAGCTGGAAAATATGGCATTCCCATTTGTTTTGAGATGTTGGTCTTCGTGTGAGTCTGACTTGCCATTGTTTTGAGACTTAACTTAAAAGTGAGGCTATCTTTAGGAACGATCACTGGAAAGTGATAGTGCAGCTGCACTGAGATTTGTTCTTGTGAAATATTTCCACTGTAAACAATATGGTTTGTGTGTGTACATGTTTGTGTGTACACATATTAATAACAATGTTCATGGAGGAATTAAATAGACTTTGCCATGATGACATACAGAAATTATTCAGGTGCAGCTTTCCACAGCATAAAGATACAGTGAATAGAAAGCTTTACCTGTTGACTTTTTGTCTATCACATGGCTGTTAAGCACATAGGAAGCCCAACCTCAAATAAGTAAGTAAGTCCCACCAAACTGCTTCTTAGGATCTCATCTGGGATTTTTACAATCAGGTTAGGCCTAATTTCAGAATTACCTAAATCTGCCTTTCGATTTAAAATCAGGACCCCTAATTTGAATAGCTGTGTGTATTTATTTCATTGCTCTGCCTTTTTTTCAAGGAGGGTATGTCTGGAATTCTACATGTGTTGTCTATCACAGGGCACATCATTTGAACGCATCAGAGAATGTAGGTAATCCATCCAAAATTGTATGTTTCCTGTTTAGGAAAGTCTGGGAGAAATGCTTGGAAAGGGGTAGATTCAAGGGTAACCATTTAATGAAGGCGGCGTACAATGGTTAGACTCACAGCATCACAATGAAACTGTAATATCAAACAGCAAATACAGGAAAAACATTATCAACCTGTCAGGTAAAAAGTCTGCAGGAATAATAAAAAAGGAAGATATCATTAAACGGGGAGGGGGGACGGGGGGGGGGACCAGAGCTTCATAAGGTAAGGGGAGGTGGCATTGTAAGCCAAGCCTTCCTTTGCTGTCCTTAGCCTAAGGAAGGCTTCCAAACTGGTAGCAGATGGAGGAAAGGTGAGAGAAAGAATTCACTGCAGTAAGATGTGGCGTTGGCCTCTGGCTTGGAACGTTTGTATAGGAAGGCATACAAACAGATGTTGCAAGTGCCAAACTGAGAATGCCTCTCTGAGGCATATGGTGTGGGCTTGTCCAGTGAGACGTTCCTTTTGGTGTGAAGCTGACACATCAATTTCACAGTGGCGAAATCCTTGATATTTGGAGATGTTTTCATGCTTTTAGACTATATTCCTACAGTAAGGAGATGAAAGGATGGACAACACAGGTTTTGCAAGCTCTTACGGTGGCTAAGATACTTTGATCTTGGGAGGGCAAATATGTATTGTATATTGCACAAAGGTTGGAGGAACTCACTACTCTGGCTACATTCAAACGTACCGTATTTTTCGCTCTATAAGACGCACCAGACCATAAGACGCACCTAGTTTTTGGAGGAGGAAAACAAGAAGAAAAATATTCTGAATCCCAGAAGCCAGAACAGCAAGAGGCTATCCCAAAAGCCCCCAAGAGCTGCACACACGCTCCACGGGGCTCTTTAAAGGGAGTGCTGAGCAGAGCCTCCCGCCTGCATTCACACACATTTCCCCTTACTTTTTAGGAGGGGAAAAGTGCATCTTATAGAGCAAAAAATACGGTATTTTACATGGGCATCAATTTGGACATCTGGAGAGCTTATATTAATTTATATGCTTAATTTCAGATTCACATAGTGATGTGATCTGTTGGTTATCTATCGTTATTTGTATTTTAGTATTTATCATTATTATTGGGGTTTTTTCCCTTTTCTCTCTTTTTGTTTTTTAACAGGATGAATCTGCAGAAAAAGTGCAATATTCCCAGCAGCGTAGAAAGCCAACTGAAATTGTGCTTGAATGTCTTATCAGCATGAGCCACCCATCTGGAAACAGCCCTGATCTGCTTCGATCTGCTAATGTTCGGGTGCTACTGCAAAAGATCTACTGCCACACTAAGGATGCTCAGAATCATATAGGAATAGCATGGCTGGATAATTTGGACATCTTCCAATCCAGGCTAGCAAGAGGCAATATCTCCCTTAAACAACACATTTAAGCCAGGCAAAAACACTCCAGGAGAACATGGAGCAGGGACAGGGAGAGGGGTCATGGTCCTGAGGGCCAGATAAAAAGGTCAGGAGGGCCACATTAGGCCCCTTGGCCTGAGGTTCCCCCACCACTGATGTAGCTCAGTGTTGTCTATAGTGATTGGCAGTGGTTCTCCAGGGTTCCCACGCTACCTTGATATGCAAATGACCCAAACAGAGGTCATTAGCATGCAAAGCATGTGTGCTGTCATCACTGAGTTCTCCATCCCCTTCTGACCTCCATGGCTATTTCTCTTTCCTTTAATAGGAGCTTCTCCTCCTCCTCCTATAAATGTAGAGTTGTACGTTGTCTCTTTAAAACTCAGGAGTCGTCTTTGGGTCAGGACAACCATATATATCTCCTCCAAAATTCTGGACCCCTGGACGGTTAAGTCCAGTCAAAGGCAACTATGCGGTTGTGGCGCTCATCTTGCTTTCAGGCCGAGGGAGCCGGCGTTTGTCCACAGACAGGTTTACAGGGCATGTGTCCAGTATGACTAAACCGCTTCTGGAGCATGGAAACGCCATTTACTTTCCCACCACAGTGGTACCTATTTATCTATTTGCATCGCTGTGCTTTCGAACTGCTAGGTTGGCCGTCGCATGGATTCGAACCACCGACCTTCCGATTGGCAAGCCCAAGAGGCTCAGTGGCTTAGGCCACAGCGCCACCTGCTCCCTCTCTTTTCTGATGCATGCTTGCAGGAATAGGGTTTTGCAAAAAAAAACACACAACCCAACCCTGCCTGCATTACCTGTACAAAAAGAGTATGCTGTTTATTTATTTGAAATATTTTATATATTCAAATAGTTTTTAGAACACTTTTAAAGCTGGGTGAATCAATATGCCTAGAATGTGGCAATCCGCTTCTGGGTTCCACTTTCAGAAGACTGAAAGCTTGGGGCAGGGAAGAAGTCTGTTCCGGTGGCTGTGGACTCTATAGGAACTGGAGCAAACCTCTCTCCTACCCCCAGCATTTAGGGTTCTGAAACCCAGAAGTGAACTGCCACATTAGGGCATTTCATTTTAGGAGGGTGAAACTTAAAATTTTGCAAATTTCTTCAGTGAGGGGGATCTTAAAAATATGTTTTTAAGTGTGAGGAAATCTGCTATTATTGCTGTGATCGGACAACATTTAGCTTGGTAAGTCTACGTTTGATGAAGAAGCATATGAACTGTTTCGGAAAACCAAGTAAGTTTTTAATTTTACCTTCTGATAAAGTCAAGTAATGCTTAATAATAATAATAATAATAATAATAATAAACTGCTAGTACTTGGCAATCATTGGTGATTTCCATGTAATTTTACACACATTTTACTTACCAAAACTAGATCATATCAATTTAACCAAAATAGCTTCCGAATTCCCAGGTTATGTTACAACATTTTGGCACCCCTCATTTTGGGAATTTGAAAGTTGAAAATTCAACATGCTCTTCTGCCACATTCTGTCTCTCTTGAGAGAGAGCCCTGCCGTTCCTTCGAAGCTGTGTGGATATTTCTTGATCATTCTAAATGGGCAGTGTTTTTGCATTCAATGTTTCATCTCCAACATTTGCCAAGACTCAGGGATCGCCAGGCCCCGCATTAAGTCATTGCCGCTGCATGGCACACTACTGCTTTCAAAGTTATTGGAAGAGGAGTAAAATCAGAGAGAGAGAGAGAGAGAGAGAGAGATGGATGTGCAGCATCTTGTTTTTGATGTTTGGATTTGCCAGCATCACATCAGTGCCTCTCTCTCACTGTGGTGGGTGGATGAAGGCTCCCATTCCTGCGAGGACTGAGCATGCTCCAGCTTTTCTCCTGTGCAGAGTGGGCTGGTCCTGTAGCTGGGCTGGAATGTGCCTTTCCTGGCTTGCTCTCTCTTCCATGCAGAGAGAGCCCAACCCACAGCAGACTGACCTGAATTATCCCGCGCTGCTGCTACCCCACTCACCACGAGAACTTCCTTTATTCACGGCTCCTTGCAAGAGATCCCATCAAACCATCTTGCAAACCATCTGCGGGGGGGAGGGGGGGAGGAGGAAGTTCAGAGGAAAACCCTTCTCAGTTGCAGGACAGAGAGACAGGATCAAGCAGCTCAGATGCCAATTGCACTGATGCTACAGGAAGCCAGGGATCCCCACCCAGTTCAAAAGGCTGCCCTCACAGAACACGCACTGCGGCGGATCAAATGTCCAAGCAGTCCAGGGTGGCCAAAAATGCTCCTGTTTTTAAGTGCTGACTCACATTTTAAACATTTCCAGATGGATAGGATGGGCAAAAACAACGACGAGTTGTCGTAGCAAAAAAACGACGAGGAGTCTTGCGGCACCTTACGGTTTATTATGGCATAAGCTTTCAGAGGGCCACAGTGAATCTTGAATTGGCAAACGTATATTCACTACTGTATGTCCCCGTTCCCCGTTCCCATGGGATTGTAAGTGATTCAGCGGCTGAAGTGGACTGTGGCTTAGGAAAGTTTTTGCCACAATAAATGTGCTAGTCTTTAAAGTGTCACAAGATGCCTTGCCATTTTAAGAGGTCGATTCCCAGGCATCACAGAGCCATAGGACGTGATAAATTCATTTGTGTGTGTGTTCCTGGGTGCAAATTCCACATTTGCCAATGAGCCAACGTGTGATGTTGGACGAGTCAGTCCCAGCCAGGGTAACTCTGCATATGCCTTGCTAGCCTTTGTGCAAGGGGAAAGATGTTAAAGCATCACGTTGGCAAACTGCTTCTCCCATTGGGTGTAATTACCGTATTTTTTGCTCTATAAGACTCCTAAAAAGTAAGGAGAAATGTGTGTGCGTCTTATGGAGCGAATGCAGGCTGCACAGCTATCCCAGAAGCCAGAACAGTAAGAGGGATCGCTGTGCAGCGATCCCTCTTGCTGTTCTGGCTTCTGAGATTCAGAATATTTTTTTTCTCGTTTTCCTCCTCCAAAAACTAGGTGCGTCTTATGGTCTGGTGCGTCTTATAGAGCAAATGTACGGTATATGTGGAAGATAGCTGGTTATCATCTGAAAAAACAGGAATTCAGGTTTTTTTGCAATCTTATCAAATTGCATATTATTGAAAGTAATAGTGTTGAGGAGAAGTTGATAAAAGCAGTGTTTTCCCAGTGTCCTTACAGTATATAGAGCATCTCTGGATGTTTGCCCGGTTCACGCAGCAGTGCTTTGACAAAAAACAGCATGTTCCTAATAAAATCTAGGAAGCTGTGCACAGATGGGCGCCTGAGTGTGTCACTACCCATCATGGCCTTGCCAACAGTTGACAACTCAGCTGTGTCGATGACAAAGGAATGTGTAGGTTGTCATGGCCATTTCTTCTTAACTTCCCAGCTCTAGAGCCTGGAAGGAACCGTCAGAAGAGAACATACTGTATGTGACACATTGTTTTCCTCTTTCTGCTAGCAGCTAGGCACAAGGAAATAATGCCCCACACCACCAGCACATGCCATCACCGGGGACCTCATCTGGCTTCCACTATTCACCCACCCTTAATTCTCTGGCTCTGATCAGTGGCTGGGAGAAGTTTGATGTCGAGTCTCATACCGGTTTGTGGACAGAATCCACATTGGAAGGAATAGGAGCCCGTTTTTAGGCTAGGTAGAAACAGGAGCTCCCAAATGCCCTTTGTTAGGACCAAAAGGTATAGCAATAGTTGTCTTTTGTTACTGCTGTTCTGAGGACATGATACCACCACCTTCATCAGTCACAGAGATGCAAACACACACCAGAAAACGAGGAGGGCCAAGGGGTTTATTACTAAAATGAAGGATTGGCTAAACACTCCTCTCTTAAGAGGTGCTGGTCAGGAGGGAAATGTCTGTGGTTGGGCATCACTGTCTTCCCTGATGTGCAACACTTCCCCATATACCTTCTGGATCAACAGGATGGGAGGAGCAGGTCAGGAAGAAAGAGTCATGGTCAACCCTACCATGTTGTGAGGAATCCCACACAACTTATTTGAGGTATAATGAAAAGACAGCAAATTGTTAATTTATTATATTTTTACTGCCAGGCTGGGGGGGGGAAGATGTGCTTGTGGGATTTTTTTTTTATTTTAATTCTCAGTTGCCCAAATAACATGGTGTTTCTTGGGTGCAACGCACCTTCACTTGCTCAAAAGAGTTGACTAATAGCAGTTGACAGACACCTTCTATGGATCTGTGTCATCTTAGAAAACAAACAAACAACTATTGAAAGCTATTTGTGCAATCATTAGTATCCTGAGGCAATTCACATAGGGGAAAGGAAGTGGGAAGAAGGAACCTCCCAATCTTGAGTGGAATAGGAGGGAGCTCTCCGAGGAAGTGCTGAACATCATACCGCTTTTGACTAGAACCATTTTTCGGCGGGAGGGGAAGTGTGACTTCATCCATTTCATAATAAAGGGGGGCAGCTGTGGGGCGTCAAGTCCAGGACTAAATATATTTCTTTGCCGAGGTTAAAGAAACCTCAGGAGGAACTGAAAGCCACAGGCAATTTTCCACTACCCTTGATAAAACAGGTAGAACTCTGCGTCCCTTGTCTATGCCTGAGGCTGCAGGCTGAAGCAGCTGGGTGCTTTGTTTCCACGGCAACAGCAAAAGAGCCCAAGGGCAACGAGAAGTCGCCCAGAGGGGAACTCATCCATTCATTGAGCTGGTGTGGACATATTGGGGCAGATAATCTGCAGGAATAAGGCTTTCTATCCCCCCCCCCCCCCGTTCTGGGACAGCCTATGGACCGAACAGATGCGAGACTTAAGGACAAGTCTCAGGTCTTAAGTCTCAGGGCGAGACTTAAGGACAGAAATCTAGGGAGAATAAGAAAGATAGGCTTATCATAATAAATCTGAAGTGGAATGACAGAGTTAGAAGGAACCTCAAAATGGTAACCGTTACGATTCAGGTAACACCCGTTGCCCTCTAAAGAGAGCGGCCCTGTAAGACAATTACAAAATATAGGAAGCTGCCTTATATTGAACGAGACCGTCGGGCCCATCTGGCACAGTAATGTCAACACGGGCTGGCAGTGGCTTGCCAGGATTTCAGACGCATCTTCCCATCCCTACCTGGAGAATGCTGGGGATTGTGAACCCGGGACCTTCTGCATGCAAAGCAGCGGTTCTACAGTTACGGCCCTTCCCCATTAACCCCAGAGTCTTAACTTACCTAACGGCACCACCGCAACGTAACTGCGTGTCTATGAGATGCTGGCATTGAAATCGCCCTGATATGCCTGATCCCAGGCGGGCCTAACTGGTACAATCAGGTGGAGATTAAAAAGAACAGGGTTACACGAAGGCCCCCAAATCTACAGCTAGGGTCTCAGAGAGAGGAGACGGCCAGAGACATGTATAGGAGGTCCCCATTGTGGCAGAGTCCGGAGCTGGCAGGAATCAGAGCCCCTAGCACGTAGCATAGGCTGTGGCTTTGTCCCGGATGTACTGCAGGAGTTCGGTCACTTGTCCCTCCAGCTTCTGTAGCACGGTTGCTTTCTCCTTCATTTGTTTCTCGTTGGCCTCGAAGCGCCCTTCCAGCTCTGAAAAGAAGAGGCAGGCGTTTTTTTTAAGACGGATCAAGGCCCTGGTGACAACAGTTTTTCATATTCACCCAGTGCTTTTCCAGCTGTACTGGCCCCCAGTGGAGTACAGGGTCAGATTTAAGGTGCTGGTTTTGACCTTTAAAGCCCTTCACGGCCTAGGACCCTCGTACCTACGGGACCGCCTCTCCTGGTATGCCCCACAGAGGAACTTAAGGTCCATAAATAGCAAAACCCTAGAGGTCCCGGGCCCTAAGGAAGTCAGATTAGCCTCAACCAGAGCCAGGGCCTTCTCAACACTGGCTCCGGCCTGGTGGAACGCTCTGTCTCATGAGACCAGGGCCCTGCAGGATCTGATTTCTTTCCGCAGGGCCTGTAAGACAGAGTTGTTCCACCTGGCCTTTGGCTTGGAATCAACTTGATCCCCTCCCCCTCTTTCTTTTTTCCTTTCTTCTTCTGTGATGGAACTTCTAGTTGGGGACTTCCCTGGCTTTTTTCTGGCCCACGTAGGACCAGTCTGGATAGTTGGCCTTGGTGAAGATTTGACGTTTTCATCCCCAAAAAGTTTTTGATTTGAATTTCTACTGAAATGAGGCTGCATTTTAATGTTGTACTTTAATCTTGTTTTTAAGTTGTATTTTAATCAACTGTTTTTATACCTGGTGTCAGCCGCCCTGAGCCCGGTCTCTGCGGAGGGCGGGGTATAAATAAAATTTATTATTATCATTATTAATGGAGAGGGAGTGGAAAAGGATGTGCCAGAGGAGAAAGCACCCATGAAGCTGAGCTATGTACAGTGGTACCTCAGGTTACATACGCTTCAGGTTACATACGCTTCAGGTTACAGACTCCGCTAACCCAGAAATAGTACCTCGGGTTAAGAACTTTGCTTCAGGATGAGAACAGGAATTGTGCTCCGGCGGCCTGGTGGCAGCGGGAGACCCCATTAGCTAGAGTGGTGCTTCAGGTTAAGAACAGTTTCAGGTTAAGAACGGACCTCCGGAGCGAATTAAGTACTTAACCCGAGGTACCACTGTACTGGGTTCAGTCTCAGCCCTGACACATCACCATCTCTCAGTCTCAGCCGCATCCGCAAAACACGGGGGGTAATAATTATGTGTCAGGCTCTCTGAAAACTCCAAACTGCTGTACACATTCCAACTTACTGTTATAGGCAACGACCCATGCGCAAACGTGCGTGCGCGCTGAACCCAGAAGTGACTTTTAAAATGGCAAAAGGCCCCTAAACCAGCCCAGAAGGGGCAAAAAAGGTGCGGGGAAAAGCGCCTAGCAATCCCATGAGCCATTGCACTGACCGTTGAGGAGAGTTGGGGCTTGAGCAAGGAGGTTTGGAGGGAGCGATTGCGGTGGAGTTTGGTGTCTGCTGGTTTTTCAAAGGGGTTTCCAGAGGGTGCTTGCAGGCTTTTCCAATGGTGTTTCGAATACACGTGATTTCACTTGAAGGCGCAGTGCCTCAGAGCGTAACCCCTGCCTAAATGGGGAGTTGCCTGTCTCGTCTTCCTTTGATGCCAAACCTGTGCCCGATGCACTCAGTTGTAACTTCCTGAAAACCTCCAGACACCTTGCTATACAGGCCCCACCTCCCCAAAAACACACATGCCACCTGCTGAAGCATCACACCATCCCTTTCCCAGCTCAGAATGCCTGCGGCTCGACTGGAGCTCTGCTTCTCCTCTCCCTTATTTTGCATACCAAAATAGGACACAGGCTGTGTTCATACAGCGGTGTCAATAAAGGGGGGGAGCCTTTAGAGTAAACATTTCCAACACCAATTTTTAATTTTTTTTAGGGTGGGATCCTGCCCAACCACACCTGTGGTGTTCCTACCTTCCAGCTTTCTCTTGCTGCCCGTGGCCTTGTCCAAGAGATTCTGGGCTTCCTCCCTAAGGTTTTTCAGCCTGAGCATTGCATCTTGAGGCTGCTTGTCCACTTCTTCCTGCAACTTCTGGTATCTCTTCATCACTTTTTCCACCTCCTGGGGACACAAGAGATTGAAGCTCACCACTACAGCAAAGGCTTGGAGGGACGCTAATGAGGTGCTAACTCTCTAGCCAATTATTTGGCTGGATGCCTCTGGTTCACATTAGATTCACTTCAGTTTGGTTCAGTAAGCTACGCCAGCCCAGGACCCACTTTCATTTTAAAGCATTGCATTTGCGGATCCATTCCTTAATATTTTTTTTACTACCATATATTTGTACAGTAGTACAGCTGCAGTTGAAGACTCACCTTAGATCAGGCCATGACACAACCCACCTGTTGAAGGCCAGTGTTTGGTTTAACATTGTTTGCTTTGGTTATCTCCTGCTTGGAGTACTGTGATGCATTCTACATGGGGCTACCTTTGAAGGTGACTCAGAAATGACAACTAATCCAGAATGCGGCTGCCAAACTGGTGACTGGGAGCAGCTGCCAGGACCATATAACACCAGTCATAAAAGATCTCTATTGAGATCTATATTGGCTCCCTGTACATTTCAGAGCACTATTCAAAATGTTGGTGCTGACCTTTAAAGCCTTAAATGGCTTTGGCCCTATATACCCCCCCTCATTCAGCCTGGAAACTGAGGTCCAGCTCCGAGGCCCTTCTGGCGGTTCCCTGATTGTTAGAAGTGAGGTTAACAGGGAACCAGGCAGAGGGCCTTCTCAGTATTTGTGTCCACCCTGTGGAACACCCTCTTGTCAGACATTAAGGAAATAAACAACTATCTGACTTTTAGAAGACATCTGAAGGCAGCCCTGTACAGTCATACCTTGGGTTGCGAATGTGATCCGTGCGGGAAGCACGTTCGCAACCCACAGTGTTCGCAACCCCAGCACCGTCTCTGCGCACGCACCTGATGCGATTCGGCGCTTCTGTGCATAGCATGATATAGTGGTTCTGTGCATGCGCGAGTGCCGAAACCCGGAAGTAACCTGTTCCGGTACTTCCAGGTTTGGCGTGGTCCGTAACCCGAAAACGCGCAACCCACAGCGTTCGCAACCCGAGGTATGACTGTATAGGGAAGTTTTTAATATTTGATGTTGTACTGCGGTTTTATAAATTGTTGGAAGCTGCCCAGAGTGGCTGCGGCAACCCAGGCAGATGGGTAGCATAATAAATAACTTTATTATTATTAAATTGAATTTGGGATTCTAATTTTGGAGGGGGGAATTGCTTTAAAAAAAGTGGTTATGAGGGAAGAGTTGTCATGGAAGAAGGCGGAAGGAATTAATGCTGATGGCAGGCAGGAAAAATGCCAATCTGAGCCATGGAGAGTGTTGGCATCTAGAGTGTTGGCAAGAGACATGTGGGCAAGTTGACACAGTAGCCGTTGACGGCAGTGGTGATCAGAGGGAAGAGGGACGCTCACGTTTTCCAGCCTCCCCGCAGCAGTGGTGGCACGCTCCGCTTTTCCCTTGGCCTCCTGGGCGAGTTTCTGATTGTTCTGCGACTTGTTTTGCAATGCGCTCACGTTCTGCGCCAGACCTTTGAGGCGGCTCTCCAGTTTCGACTCTGCGTCGACCAGTTTCTCGAGCTTGCGTCCGGCCTGAAAGAAAGAAAAACCGCAAGGCGCAGTCAAAACGCTGACTGCTGAGAAAAAGAGGAAAGCCTACCTGGGCAGAACTTTTCACTTCAAGAATCATCAGTGGCAGCCGGTGGGACTGCGAAAGTGGGACTGCATTGCTCTCCTGTTTTCCCAGCACCCGTGTGTTGCAGCTGGTTACAGGGGGAGGAGCAAGACAGGGGGTGGGGCTTGGCACAGAGTTTGGAGCCTCGGATTGGCTCTGCTGCTGTGCCCGCATCATTACCAGTTCCCTGCTGCCTTGGGGAGACCTGAGAGCAAGGCAGCCCCACACCTGGTTCCCAGCCCATCACTTCATAGCATCATGAAGGAAGGGACAATTGCAGGGCACATTTGCACCATCAGTTTTAATACAGCAAGGAAGTTGTTGCAAACCGACTTTTGTTTTGGCCTTGTGTCTGCTCTTTGACTGGCCTGGCATGTCTCTGCCATGGTGGCCACAGTGTGGCATTGCATTGGTTGAAATAAACCGTGGTTTAACGTGGATGAGCAGTGTGCTGCTGCTGCTGCTGCTCTGGAACTGGCCACTGAAAGAGTAGAGGAAAGGTTTAAAGAAGCTTTTCTGGCCACCAGGTGGTTCAATTCATCTCACCTGTCTGACGCGGCCAGTCACAGTCTGGATGGCTTCCTTGGTTTTGTTCATAGCTTGCTCTGCTGCCTCCAGTTTGACCTTTGTTCCATTGAGTGCCGCACGTGTTTCTGTGATGGTTTCTTGCACACCCTCCGCTCGCCCTCTGGGCATAAAGCATAACAGAGAGTTGGAGCACTGAAAAGACTAGCAATCTTACTGCAACACGAGTTTTTGTGGCTTAAGGACAGAAGCATTTTATATGCTTCTTCGTCAAACGTAGACTTACCAAGCTAAGTGTTGTCCAATCACAAAAAATAGCAGATTGGAATTCCTCACACCCAACCCCCCTCCCCCGTATTTTAAAGACCCCCTCACAGAATAAATTTGCAAAAAGTAAGCTTCATCCTCCTAAAATGGCATGCCCTAACAAGCCAAGCTACTATTAATATTAATACTATTTATTTATTAGATTCATTAGTCACTCATTACCCAAAGTTTTCTGAGCAAGTTGTAACATATTTTAAAAACATAAAGATAAATACACGACACCACTGACAAATTCAAACCCAAACACCTATTGTTTTAGGTATTGCTCACAAGTCATGCCAAAACACATTCACATGCACTGCAGAGGAGCTGGCCAGAATTCTTGGGGCTTGTTTTAGCTTTTCCAGGATACAGTTTATATAACACTGCTAAAAACTGGCCCCATTGCCCAGCCAGTTTTTACCAGTAATGACCAGAAGCTGGTGCATACTGCTATGATATCAGGACTTGAACAAATTATGACATTGTGAAATATGCAATTTGATTAACATAAAAAAGCTCAATTAGCAAAAATAAAATCTGTGGGTCCGTCTCCCCCACCGACATAGAGACTCACTTAGCTAGTTCCGCTTTTGCCAAGAGTTCCCTGGTACGGTTCAGGCTGTGCACCGTGTCGTTCAGGATAATGTCCACCCCGTCCAGCTGACTGATTCTATCCCGGATGTCCTTAATCAGGTTGCTGATCTGATCAGGGCTGCTGGGTAGGGAGATGTTGAGGACCTGCTGAGCCACAAGCTCAATGCTCTCAGGATCAGCACCTTCCTCTATGGAGACAAGAACAGGCCTGGAACTATCCATCCTTGTTTCCCATCCACCCATGTAGGCTTTGGCACAGGACCGTCTTTACCTGGAGTGCAAGGGGTGCTGCGCACCCGGGCGCCAGATTCTGGGGGGTGCCAAATGTATACCTACTGTATACCAGTCCCTCTCGATCGGCGGCAGTGAAAAGCAATGGAGCGGAAGTCCCTGCCCCCCCATTACTCTGTTATTCGTAGCATCAAATACTCCCAATGAGTCAGGAAACAAGCATTTTTTCCCGCTGCGTCATTGTTACAGGTGAGCGTTTCCACCCCAAAAAAACTTAACTACCTTGAGTTTGCACCCCCCTAAAAACAGGTCAACAACTTTGGCTTCCCCCCTTGGGGGCGGCTAAACTAAATTTGGGGATGCTGGGCGGATCTTTGCACCCCGGCGGCGCATATGCTAAAGGCAGCCCTGCCTTGGCACACACACACGACCCTAAATCTAGATGTCCAAATGCCAACATTTCACAGCACGACTTAGTGCAACTATGCTTGCCTATACTGTATAACTTGTATATTCCCCCTGCCAACCCTGTTTGTTTTAAAAATGTTTTCAATATTGTGTTTTAATCATTGTAAGCTGCCCTGGGACCTTAGGGCAAAGGGCAGGTGATTAACAACATCACCGCATCCATCCCTTTGCATGTCATATTGGACTGGTGTTGCATGTCACATTGGACTGGTGCTACCTGCTAGGAAGTCCTTTATCCTCTGGATAAATTCCCGCAGCTTGGCCGTCGACTTCTCCACGCGGTTCCGGGCCCCCTGTGCACGGTCCAGAGTGTCCCGAGCATGGCTCCTGGCATTCTGTGCCAAGTCCTGGATTTCTTGCACCTAAGAGTGAACACTGAAGCTTAGTATCCCAAAGCAAACAACCAGGCAATGATAGCTGTGTCAGCTGTGGGGAATGGAGTAGAGCAGAAAAGGGGGAAGGGAAGAGGTTTGGAGAGGATGTGTGCCATCAGGGCCGCCTTAAGTATATCCAGCGCTGTGGTGCAGAGAACCCTCCGGCGCCCCCCCCCCATTTCCGAGAATTAACAACCTTTTTACGACGCTGCCAGCAGCTTTGCGGGGCTGGAGGGCGACTCCTCTGGTGGGGAAGAGGCGGAGCCTCCGGGCGTGGCGCTGTTTCAGTGAGGCGGGTGAGGGCAGCAAGCTGATGCCAGGAGGCGCCGCGTCCAGCCTCCGCCTTTTCCCTGGCACCCTCCAAAACTTGCCGCCCTGGCGCCCCGCACCACTTGCCTCTATGGGCAAGACGCCCCTGTGTGCCATGAAGTTAAAGAAAACCCCCTACCTGCATTATACAGGCAGATTTCAGGGAGGGAAAGGGGGGAAAAGCAAAACACCTTTGCCTTTTCCCACCCTTCGGAAACTTCACCATTCTGCTAGACAGCTCAGGTGTGCAGCTGGGAGTCAGCCCCAAACACTTTAAAGTACAGTGGTGCCTTGCAAGACGAAAAGAATCCGTTCCGGGAGTCTCTTCGTCTTGCGGTTTTTTTCGTCTTGCGAAGCAAGCCCATTAGCGGTTTAGCGGATTAGCGCTATTAGCGGCTTAGCGGATCAGCTGATAAGCGGCTTAGTGGCTTAACGGATCAGCTGTTAAGCGGCTTAGCGGATCAGCTGATAAGCGGCTTAGCAATCAGCTGTTAAGCGGCTTAGCGGCTTAGCGGATCAGCTGATAAGCGGCTTGGGAAAAAGGGGGGGGAGGAAAAAAACCCCGCAGGAACTCGCAAGACATTTTCGTCTTCGAAGCAAGCCCATAGGAAATTCGTTTTGCGAAGCACCTCCAAAACAGAAAACCCTTTCGTCTAGCGGGTTTTCCGTCTTGCGAGGCATTCGTCTTGCAGGGCACCACTGTACTATGTAGCTGAGCAGGAGAAGATCCCAGGAGGGTGGGAAAGGGGAAAAAAAGGCCTTGCTTTTTCTTTCACCCTCCTGAAACTTTCCATCCTTAAGAGAGGCACAAGGTCTCTGTCCCAAGCTGACAGGAGCCCAACCCTTGAATAAATCTGCAGTGAAGTCTTTGCCTCAAGATGAATGGCATTTCTTCTTAACCTGTTTACATACACTTCTGCTGCTACTGTACCTTGCTAGCAATGCTGCTCAGGTGCCTTGCGCTGTTCTCCAGCTGGTGAGAGATGTTCTGAGCTGTAGAGAGGGCCTTCATGGACACAGGCAGCGCTCCAGTGCAGCCGGGGCCCCCGCAGTGCCGCTGACCTAAGCTGTCCCGGCAGGAAGCCCCTCCGCAGGGGGTCTGCTCACAGCCCTCTTCTCCAGAAGCACCGCAGATCTAGAGCAGCAGGAGTCCAAGATCAGTGCAGGGAAACAGGAGTCTGGTGAAAGCCCCCATCCCTTGCATAGAAAAATGGAACGGGAGAAAGTAGGGCCAGAACTGGGGGCAGGAGAAAGTGAGGTTCTCATCTCCCCCCATTTCCACATTTCCACGTTAGCCTGCAAATATTTTTCAAACAATCCCCCATAAAGATTCACCAGCAAATTTTAATGCAAATTTACCCTTATATACAGCATTTTGTATTCTGTTCCCCCCCAATGCAGCAAGTCCCAGAGCAACTTATAATTTATTTTTATTTTTATGTTTATGTTTATTCTTATTCTTATTATTATTGCCCCACCCATCTGGCTGGGTTTCCCCTGCTACTCTGGGCGGCTCCCAACAGAATAATAATAATAATAATAATAATAATAATAATAATAAAGCAATAAAACGTCAAGCATTAAAAACATAACATTATGCAAGTGTTATGTTTCAGGGATCGTGCCTAAAGCCAAAATGGCATAAAGTCAAAATACATTGGGTTCAAGCTCAGGCGGGATGGCCAAAATCATTTTTCCTCGAACCCTGCCCCACTTTCCATTTTATTTTGATTTCCTGCCATGGATGTAAAGCGAAATGCACACTAGTTAAATGTGTGTAAGTTGTGGGCTTACTGTATGCACATCTTTACAAAGCGCCGCTCCCTAATATAATGTGTTTTGTATCTCCTCCCCCCCCCCCACTAACATGCACACTTTATCCTAGCACATGCATCTTTGTACACATGACTTGGCTGGAGAATTATGAGGACGGATTCCAAACAATGGCTCCCATCCTACTACCACCATCCAACCCAGTTTGCATAGTATTTCAGAAAGCGCAAATTAGCCCTTCGATCCAGAATTTCCACTCCATCCCTATCAACCAGGCCACAGCTCTCCTCTCTAACAAACACCTCTCTGCTCCCCTCCGTTCTCTTGCCCCGCACCCTCGCCCTGAACAATAACTCGCCTTCTGGTTGATCCTGCTCAGACTGAGGCTGCCGGCCTTTTTCTGGAGGTCGCGCAAAGACTTCCGCTGAGCAGCTGCCGTCTTGCGGAAAGCATCTCCCTTGCGTCTCAGGAGCTCAACGGTGGCCTGATGCGTGAGCTTGGACTGACCCACCGGGCTCTGAGAGCCGTGGACGGAGCTGTTTGCTTGCTGCTGGGCCAGCTGTGACTCCTGGAAGAATCCCAGGATGCTTTGGAAAGACTCTGCCGGCAGAAGAAGAAGAGAAGAAGAGTTTGGATTTGATATCCCGCCTTTCACTCCCCTTCAGGAGTCTCAAAGCGGCTAACATTCTCCTTTCCCTTCCTCCCCCACAACAAACACTCTGTGAGGTGAGTGGGGCTGAGAGACTTCAAAGAAGTGTGACTGGCCCAAGGTCACCCAGCAGCTGAATGTAGAGGAGCGGGGAAGCGAACCCGGTTCCCCAGATTACGAGACTCCCGCTCTTAACCACTACGCCACACTGGCACAAAAGAGGTACATTTCAGGGGTGGCCCCGTGACCCGTGCCTAGATCCTTCTTCTGCTCGGATACCGCCCCCCACATTTCTTACTGTTGAAGCTGGCGTTTGTCATCCTCTGCAGCTGGCTGTTGAGGTAGCTGATGGTGCGGTTGAGCTCCTCTAGCTCTTGGCTCAGCGCATTCAGACGCCTCTTTTGCCCGCCAGCTTCCTTCTCGGTGCCGTCCAGGTGTGAGTCTGTAGCCTGCAGCTGTTGCCAGAGCTCATCTGTGTCCGCTCTAGTGGTGGGAAGGAATACAGCATGTATGTCCAACTCAGCTGCGGCGCTTGTTGGGCAAAGCGCTATCTCGTAGGCCTACCTACAGAGAGGTTAGGCTGGCCTCAGCTAGAGCCAGGGCTTTTCCGGCTGTGGCTCCGATCTGGTGGAAGGCTCTGTCACAAGAGACTAGGGCCCTGCGGGACTTGACATCTTTCCGCAGGGCCTGCCAGACAGAGCTGTTCCACCAGGCCTTTGGTCAGGGCACATCCTGACTCCCTCCTTTGGCAATCTTCACAGAACTTTAGCGTAATGGTTCCCATCAATTTGAGTTGAACTAATTTTATAATGAAATGATTTTAGAATGTTGTATTATTTTATTGTTGTTAGCCGCCCTGAGCCCGGCTTCGGCTGGGGAGGGCAGGATATAAATAAAATTTATTATGATTATTATTACCTCGCAGGGTTGTCGGGAGTGGGAAAATCAGGATAGAAATAAGGCACGCAAAATGATTCAAGTGCCGCACGTCCCCAAAGCTGGGTGGCAAGGGAGAATACAAGGTGGATAGGACTGCATTACCAAATTTTGTTGGTTTATAGAGCTCTTCCACCACCACGCCTTTTGCCTAATGGTTTTGGGAACTGTAGCGCTGATAACTCTCTAAGCGGGAATGTGCTGATAACTCTCTAAGCTGGAATGTGCGCAGAGGAGGGTGACAAAGACGGTCAAGGGTCTGGAAACCATGCCGTATGAGGAACAGTCGAAGGAGCTGGGTATGTTTAGCTTGGAAAAGAGGAGACTGAGAGGAGATATGATAGCCATGTTCAACTATCTAAAGGGCTGTCACATGGAAGATGGAGCAAGCATGTTTTGCTCTGCTCTGGAGGCTGGGACCCGAACCAATGGCTTCAAGTTACTAGAAAGGAGATTCTGACTAACTACCAGGAAGAACTTTCTGACGGTAAGAGCTGTTTGGCAAAGGAACGGACTCCTTCGGGAGGTGGTAGACTCTTCTTCCTGGGAAGTTTTTTTAAACAGAGGCCAGAGGGCCATCTGTCAGGGATGCTTTAGTTAAGATTCCTGCACCGTAGGACTAGACAACACTTGGGTCCCTTCGAGCTCTACATTTCCATGATTCCGTGATTCTATAACTTCTAGCTCCTTTATCCCCACACCCCAAATTAAGATGTCCAGGAGGGGATGCTTGTTAATTGGTTTTTCAGTCTGGATGTGCCCACAGAGGAAAATGTTGAAGCACAAAGGTTATCATATCCTTCAATTTCTGGCATGCACAAACCGAATAAGACCATTTCACACTTAACAACTTGTTAAGTGTGTAACGACAAAAGAAGTAATTATAATTTATAAGTTTTCATGTTATTTTATTTGTGAAAGCAACTAGAAAAAATATTATGTTGGGAAGATCTCACACAGGTGAAGGGAAGCAGTGGGGAGGAGGGGAGGGTTAGGTTCAATTTGGGAAATAAAATAATATATGGGACAGCAAAGGATATAATAGATTCTTATAGAATAGTAATATATTGTAACCAGAATAGAAGTTCAAAAGGGGAAGTAGATGTATTTTTTAGTATTTTCATTATCGTAATAGTTATTGTCAGTTATTATTATTTCTTATTGATAGAAGGCAATGTTAACTCAGAATTCTTTGTTTTGCTGTCTGTATAATTTTCTTAAGTCAATTAAAAAAGCAACAACAGGGGGCCGCTAGGGGCGCCTTGGAAGATGGCCGACAATACCATCTCTCCAGCTCACACAAGGTAATTAAGGAGATGATGATGGGAGTAAATCAGCCTCCCAAATTCTTCCCGGTGGAAGGGAAGATGCAGCCTCGTCCACGGTTGCCCATAAATCACTCCCGAGTTCGAAAGAAGGAGGGGGTGAAGGCACTGGACGGAAAGCCCTCGAGCAAGCTCAGATCTCCCTGACACTGTCTCTGAGAGCGACTCTAGTTGCATTTCTTAAGATGAAAAATTGGAAATAAGAATTATTGTACATGCTTCAAGCGAAGAAAAGGGTATGTTAGCTGCTAATTAAGCCTGCCACTGAGAAGTTAAGAGTGATGGAATGGACTGGACAGAAGACAACATTAAAGAATAACATCTATGCCGGTATGTTGAAACGGAACGGAAAGGGGGGGGACTTTTTCTTTCTTTTACTACGATATTACCTAACAACCCCTCCCCTAGAAGAACCGTCATACGACTTATAGCAAGTGAGATTGGAAAATAAACTGTGTGGGGAAAAAATATCAACTAAAGCTTTTGTTTTGTGAAAGATTTGGAAAGAAAATAAAAGGCTCTCTTGTGACGCAGTTTTTAATCGGGATCCGCCATTACTAGACAGACTATGTTGCGAGATTAATAGTCAGAGGGGGAGGTGAGCCATTGCTCTGTTATCATGTTTGTATTCTAAGTTCGATGGCAAATCTTCCCTGGAAAGACTGATTTATGGTGCAACTTGTCTGGGAAAATTAATGAGCAGACGCTTAGATTTTATTTCATCGGAACTGAGAAAGATGGCGTCTGCCGCCCAAGCAGGACTTTTGGATCAGCGTGTGAAGATTTATTGCAAACAAAAGACTTACCAGCTTTAAAAAAGGGAGAGCCTTACAAAGTTCACACAGAATCATAATAATGTTTACTTTAACTCGCCTGTGGAAACAACTCAGAGGCTATTAAGAAGAAAAAGGATAACAACAAGAAGATCGAAAGATGAGATTGGTGAATACTAAAAGCAGCAGAAATATGAGATGACTGGACCCTTACTGAACTCGAAGCATGGGAACCCCCAACAAAAATTTATAATTTGGCAAAATATTTGGACTTTATGATATGTAGTGGTATAATTTGGAATAATTAATGTGATATGACTGGATTGTTAAATGGAAGACTTAATAAAAATTATTAAAACAACAACAACAGACCATTCCCCCCTTTTCTGCTTCCCTCCAATTCTACCTCACGTCTCCTTACCTGGTATCTTCCAGAAGGGCACTGAGCTGCCGCAACAGGGGAGTGCTTGGACTGCTGCTGTCCCCAAGGAGCCGCTCGACGTCACCCAGCCTGTCCTCCAGCTTGCGCATGCGGCTGCTGCTGGCCGCAGGGATGGGCCCCCCTTCCTTCAGGGCCTGCACTGTGCCCTGCAGCCGCCGCAGCTGTTCCCAGAGCTGTGCCAGAACTGCGTCCCACTGGCCGAAGCAAGGGTGGCAGGGGGAGCAACGGGGGAAGTTCTGTTGGAAGCCCCGCCGGCACTGGTCGCAGCGCGGCCCCGTGAAGCCACCTCGGCACGGGCAGTGCCCCGTGAGACGGTCACACTGCAGGCTCTCAGACCCCGTGGGGTCACACTCACAAGCTGCAGGGGGCAAAAACGAGAGGTCATTCCCCAAGCAAGCTTTGGCTTTAGTTTGTTTACATACCATTTCATTCCGAACCAGTGCAAAAGCCAGTTGCACCGCATTGAAATACAGTGGTACCTTGGGTTACATATGCTTCAGGTTACATACGCTTCAGGTTACAGACTCCGCTAACCCAGAAATAGTGCTTCAGATTAAGAACTTTGCTTCAGGATAAGAACAGAAATCGGGCTCCGGCGGCAGCAGGAGGCCCCATTAGCTAAAGTGGTGCTTCAGGTTAAGCACAGTTTCAGGTTAAGAACGGACCTCCGGAACGAACTAAGTACTTAACCCAAGGTACCACTGTATAAGCACGCACCATTAAAACACACCTTACAAAACATTACAGAAACACAGTATGAGTGGACTCTCCGTGCCCTTACCACAGCAAAAAGACTGATACTGATAAACTATAAAAATAACAACGCGGCTCCCTAATGTGATTTTATTGGTGTTAGCCGCCCTGAGCCCAGCTCTGGCTGGGGAGGGCGGGGTATAAATAATTTATTATTATTATTATTATTATTATTATTATTATTATTATTATATTCTACAATTGGATTGAAGACTTCTATAAACTCGCAACATATGAACAACTTGCATATAAACGCAGACTTGCCATGGACAAATTCAATGATATTTGGAATCCATTCTTACAAATACTGTAATAGGTTAAGATCTGGTGAAGTACAATAACAAGCTTGTAAAGTATACAGTTTTGAGGGTTTTTGCCCTCCCCCCCTTTATTTCCCCTTCTACACGGGTTCTGTTTCTCTTTTTCTTTCTCTCTCTTTTGTTTATGTCTCACCATGTTTAGTGCACATATAATTATGTACGTTTTGAACTTTTGATAAAGATGTTTAAAACACACACACACGATAGAACCATCACTCTAAAACAACACAGCAATCGTAATAGTTCAATATGCTAAAGATACACAGCCCACGTGTGTTTTTGTGGGAAGACGGGCAAAAGCAGCGGTTATCCCATAAGGTAAAGGTAAAGGGACCCCTGACCATTAGGTCCAGTCGTGGCCGACTTTGGGGTTGTGGCGCTCATCTCACTTTATTGGCCGAGGGAGCTGGTGTACAGCTTCCGGGTCACGTGGCCAGCATGACTAAGCCGCTTCTGGCAAACCAGAGCAGCCCACGGAAACGCCGTTTACCTTCCCGCCGAAGCGGTACCTATTTATCTACTTGCACTTTGACGTGCTTTCGAACTGCTAAGTGAGCAGGAGCAGGGACCGAGCAACGGGAGCTCACCCCGTCGCAGGGATTCGAACCGCCGACCTTCTGATCAGCAAGTCCTAGGCTCTGTGGTTTAACCCACAGCGCCAACCGCGTCATAATAATCATAATCATAATAGTTCAATATGCTAAAGATACACAGCCCACATGTGTTTTTGTGGGAAGACTTGGCAAAAGCAGCGGTTATCCGATAACTCACTTGCAAAGAAAGATCAGCTTGCACAGTTGCCTACCAGTCAATAGACCAGGGGAGGCATTTCTTTAGGGCCAACAATATTGGGGCAACCACCATTAGCAGAGAAGCACAGGGTGCTCAAGTAAGGCATTGTCAGAGAACCTGAGCTTGGAATGCCAGGAGGTGGGGAAACTCATCCAGATCTCCTAACCCTCATGGGCCAAATTTGACAGGTGGGTGGTGTTAGCCATCTGTCAATCACCTGACCTCACAATGCAGCGCCCACGCACAATGTTTGGAGCGGAAGATTCTCGCTTGCACTGTGCACTTGAACTCACCTAGACATTCCCGTTCCGGGTCTCCCCAGTGATCCTCTTGACAGTGGGAACAAACACGGCCCCCAAAGCCCGGCTGGCAGTGGCATTGCCCTGTGAACTGAAGGAAGAGAAAGGTGAGGCGGTGGTAGTAGGGCTGGAACGCTGGTGCACAAGCCGCCCAGGTTCCTCCCCCTCTTAGGCAAACGCTCTCGAGCGCTCGGCCACTTTACCATGTTGCAGTCTGACCGTAACGAATGGGCAGGGTCACAGTTGCACGGCTGACACCCCACGTCACTGCCGAAGCCCCAGAAGTTGGGGGCGCACCTGTCACAGTTCTTATCTACGATGTTGGGGCGGCAGGGGCAATTGCCTGTAGTTCGATCGCAGTGGCAGATGCCTTTGGAGCAGTGCGAGGGCAGCGTGCCCTGTTCGTTGCAGGTACAGCCTTGGGAAAAGAGAATTTATCTGAATGCTGCCAGCGTTTTCAAATGTACACAATTTCCCCCCATACATTCAATCAATGTTTCCCCGTCTTCTCTAAACGTATATTCTTATTGTTCTCTTATTCTACACGTTAAGTCTGCAAGCTGCGCATATTCTGTCAGCTTAATTTGCCATTCTTCTTTAGTTAGGACCTCGCTCGTTTTCCATTTTTGGGCTAACGAAACACAGGCCACAGTCAGGGGTCCCTTTACCACAGTGGTCAGGTAAAGGGACCCCTGACCATTAGGTCCAGTGGCGGACGACTCTGGGGTTGTGGCGCTCATCTTGCTTTACTGGCTAAGGGAGCCAGCGTTTGTCCACAGACAGTTTTTCCGTGTCATGTGGCTAGCATGACTAAGCCGCTTCTGGCTAACCAGAGCAGCGCATGGAAACACCGGTTACCTTCCTGCCGGAGCAGTACCTATTTATCTACTTGCACTTTGACGTGCTTTAGAACTGCTAGGTTGGCAGGCGCAGGGACCGAGCAACGGGAGCTCACCCTGTCGCAGGGATTCGAACCGCTGAGCTGCTGATCGGCAAGTCCTAGGCTCTGTGGTTTAACCCACAGCGCCACCCGTGTCCCTCTGTAGTAGCATACATAAATAACCTTGGAAATTTCAGTCTGAATTATCCCCAACAAAAAGGACTCTGGTTTTTTAGGGGAAAGTACTTTTAAACATTTTTTCAATTCATTATGGAATATTTCCCAGTACTCTTTTACCCTTTTACAAGCCCACCACATGTGAAAGAACGTTCCCTCAACCTCTTTGCATCTCCAGCACTTATCAGATTCAGTCTTATACATTTTAGCAAGCCTACTCAGTGTTAAATACCACCTGTAAATCATTTCCAGGTAGTTCTCCTTCAAAGAATAACATTTTCAATTTCCATCAACCCTGCTCATCTTCACTAGCAAACTCTTATTTGTTCTCTGTTCTCCAGCATCTTGCTGCTGCTTTCTTCACTACCACCTAAAGTGACCACCTCACTCTACCTAATGAAGAAGAAGAAGAAGAGTTTGGATTTGATATCCTGCCTTTCACTCACTTTAAGGAGTCTCAAAGCGGCTAACATTCTCCTTTCCCTTCCTCCCGCTCAACAAACACACTGTGAGGTGAGTGGGGCTGAGAGACTTCACAGAAGTGTGACTGGCCCAAGGTCACCCAGCAGCTGCATGTGGAGGAGCGGGGAAGCGAACCCGGTTCCCCAGATTACGAGACTACCGCTCTTAACCACTACACCACACTGGCTCTCTCTGTTCCATGGACTACAGATCTACTCAAGCCTGCCATACCCTCCTTCCTCTAGCCTGCATGGGCTCCTCCAGCCACAACAAAGCCTGCCAAACACCACTTCTCATTCTCAAATCACAAGTTCCTCCCAGTCATCCTCACAATCCAGGCCCGGCCACCCTACTCACGTCGGCAGCTACGCTGGAAGGCATTGCCGTAGTAGCCAGGCTGGCACTCAGAACAGTGGGGCCCGCCGGTATGGTAAAGGCAGTGAAGGCATTGGCCGCTATGTGGATCACAGGCTTCGGGGTCGCTGGGGTCAATGTTGTTGTTGCACTGGCAGGGGCGGCAGGCTCCACCTTCCTGCTCAGGGGCTCCAAAATAGCCGGGCGAGCAGTGGTCACACCGTGGTCCTGCCAGAGACATGGGGCGTTATTGAGGGGTGGGAGCAGGACATGCAGACCATCACTGCAGTCAAACCAACAATACACTCTTTTCTAGATGGGCACACGAAGGGGTTGTGGCTGGCAGGGCTTTTGCGAGAGAGAACTCGGTGAGATCACTTCCTTTGTTTACCTTGGCAGGAAGCTGCAGCCCTACATATTTCCTTCCTGCCTGGGCAGCCCGTTCTTTCCTCGCCACGCTTCCAAGCTGACCAAACGTATGTGTCTGAGCTCTGCAGCTCAGACACCATTTCTGAACTTGCATTTTGTACTTTTGTGACTTAGATCGTAGTTATAAACCTGCCTTCATTTTGCTTCTGTACCTGCTGCTTCAAGAGCTGGATTATGTAAGTATACAATACTTTTATTTCTTCACAAAACCATGTGTGGTTGTTGTTTTTAAGGGGAAGAAAAGGGGCGACAGTATTCCTTAAAGCATTCTGGATTATTGTTTCTAGAAGGTTAAATCAACCTTGTTTCAGCAAACGATGGCACTCTGCTGATTTCACTCACATGAGCAAGGAAGGGCAGTAACTAAACAATATATCCTCTCCTACTGCCTAAATCCATTCCTACAGAACACACAATTACTTAGTGGTGGCCGTTTCTCCTCTTTTCTCACTATGGCCCAATGGGAAGTGGAACTCTGTTGAACTGTTTTCACTGACTTTTATCATGACAACTAGAAAGGTTGTTGCCAGGTCAGAAAAATTGGGAGCTCCTTCACCTCCTTTTGTGTACCTCTTCACAATCAACCAATTCTGTTGTGTTTCTGGTAAAGGGTAGAGGTGGGTCTGGGAAGGGCAGGGCCATGGAGATGCTAGAATTCAAGGCAAGAAGGAATACTGTACTGCTAGTTAGGTTCAGGGGCTCAGTGGTGCATGTGTTTACATGTGCAGAGAATCAAGAGAAGGGGAGATCGAACCAGGCTGCAGGGCAGGCCTGCACAACTTACAACCCACCAAGCTGAATGCAGTCAACTAGTCACAAATATGAAAGCCTATCAGGGACTCGGTAAATTTGCTGGTTGTGCCACCAGCCTAACATGTGGAATGCCCATCATCTAGCACAGCCTTTCTCAACCTATGGGTCCCCAGATGTTGTTGGACTACAACTCCCATCACCCCTAGCTAGCAAGGCCAGAGCTCACGGATGATGGGAGTTGCAGTCCAACAACATCTGGGGACCCACAGGCTGAGAACTGCTGATCTAGCAGATTATGACCCCTGGGTGGTGGGTGTTCTTTTTTCTGTAAGTCATTGGTTGAACAGGTCATTAATAGCAGGATAATAAGACTGAGTCAGCGCATTAGTCTGTCTAGCTCAGTACTGTTTACTCTGACTGGCAGAAGTTCTGCAGAGTTTCAGGCAGGGGTGTTTCACAGCCCTACGTGGAAATGTCAGGGGTCGAACCCGGGACCTTCTGCATGCAAAGAAGATGCTGTGCAATTGAGTCACGGCCCTTCATGGAGCACAGCGGCAATCTGAAAGGGTGGTGGAGGTGTGCTAGAGGACAGTCTTGCAGAGGCTGTGTTCTCAAAATGGCAACTTATATAACCGCATCCCTTGCCCTTTCGATACGCCTTACCTGTATAGCCAGGAGCACAAAGGCAAACAATCTGATTGGTTTCCCTGTCGGTATGGCAGGAGATGCCGTGATAGTGCCGAGACCCTGGATACCCAGGGCAAGGGCAGGGACGGCACTGTTGCCCTGAGCCCAAGACGGGGTCTCCATAGTAACCATCCAAGCACCTGTGATGGGGTAAAAAAAGGAGAACAGAGGCAGTAAGGGCAACCTTAGGTGGCGGTGGTTGTTAGTAGTAATTTATTAAATGCCCTTCATCCTAATGCCCAGCAATTAAAAACACAATATTAAAAACAATTCAAAACTACTTACAACCACAAAAGTAGGGTGGGTCCTAAAAATATGCACCTCTTATGTCAAATTATCACCCGTTCTTCCTGGCCACTCTTCATCACAGCTGGTTTTGCCCCAGTATAAGCCTTATTAGTATAATCTGACGCTCCATCCCACAGTTTAGCCTCTTTCCAATGCTTCTCGCAGTGTCTCTCTCCTCCAGTAATCTTCCGGTGGAATCTCCCTGTTTCCTCATAAAACAAGCTAAGAGTGCCTGCTCTAATCTTTTCCTTGAAGGCTGGTATCAGGGGGCCAAGCTGCGCTGCCTGATTCAGAAAAAAAGGTATGTCCCCTCTGCCTCTTTCTTTCTTTCTCTCTCTGTGTGTGTGTTTGTGTGTGTGTGTCTGGGCAGAACATCCATGTTTGAGATGGAAAAATGTGGGAAGAGGGGCTGTTTGACTCTGACAAAAAAAGACTGTCGTCTTTTTTCCAACCTGCTGCAATGAAACACTTCAATAAGGGGAATATTTAGTGTTTCTTGTCAAATACCAGCACCAATCTTCCGAAGGAAAGGGACTCTGTCAGTCGATGCTTGTCCACCCCCTCCATCCCATTTTCCAATCCAGAGCCCCCCAGCCATAACGAACTCAGCCCTCCACACTGCAACATTTTATTGCAGTTGGGATCCCGTCACATTTTCCCACGAATCCCACATGCGTACCTCTCACAATGGCGGCCAGCCGTGTAATCGCGGCACCGGAGGCAGGCCCCCGTGTGCAAGTCGCACTCCTCCGAGTGCCCGTTGCAGTGGCAAGGCCGGCAAGTCGGGAAGCCCCACTGGCCTGGTGGGCACTGGTCGCACTGGCGTCCGATGGCACCATGTTGGCACCGGCACTGCCCGCTTACTGGTTCGCAGATCCTGGAGACTGAGCCTTCGGGGGAACAGGCACAGGCTGTGGGGACAAGGGCCAATGCTTTCAGCGTGACAGGTGAGGGCGCATTAAGCATTAGAAATTATGGCACAGTTCTCTGGAAAGTCCCTAATATGGAGATTGCGCCCAATTTCCTGGCACAGGGTATTTTCAGAGAGTTCAACGTGGCAGCTATTGCCAAATCCACAAGACAGGAAGCTCTCCCAAAACACAGCTCCTTAACCTCTAGTAGTAACCACCCAGGCTGAAAGGATAATAGGGGTGGGTGGCAGCAACGTTAAGTGGGTCTAGCTGTGGTCATATTGACCTAGGACCCAGAAGCCCTGGGTTCAAATCTTCACACAGACCCAGGGGTAAAAACACTAAAGTATTGTGGCAACTTAAAGATTAACAATTTCTAGGTACTGGAGAAGGCCTTTGATTGTTTCTGCTGCAAGAGACTAATAAGACAAGGCTGCCCCTTCAGAAATATCTACCTCACAGGGTGGCTGTTAGGAAAAGAGAACCATGCAGGCCGCCCTGAGCTCCTTGGAGAAAAGTTGGGACAATAATAATAATAATAATAATAATAATAATAAATAAATAAATAAATAAATAAAAATAAAATATGAAGATGGTTACTTAATCCCATCTCCTCATCCCAATCTGAAGAGGTTCTCCTTTTTTGAAGGGACTATACATTAAGGTCAGAAAGTGACTCAAATTCACACCATGCTTTTGAAGCACCTTGATAAACATTCCTGCCTTCCGTTAAAGAATCATGGGAGCTGTAGTTTGTTATGGGTGCTGAGAGTTGTGAGGAGACCCCCAGCTCCATTCCCCTCATGGAGCTCCAATTCCCAGAGTGGTTCAAAGATCAAGGACAATTCCCTCTGTGAGGGAAATAGGGAGGGTCTCCTCACAACTCTCAGCAGCCTTAACAAAACTACATTTCCCACAATTCTTTGGGGGAAGTCGTGACTGCTTAAAAGTGGTATCATAGATGTATGGCTTGGATGTGGCTTAGGTTAGTCAGGTTTAACCACTGCCTGGAGTTGTAGGAGCTTGAATAATACCTAAATATATAATAACGATAATCCCAAAGAAGACAATCTGCTCCAGTCCAGTTCTGTTGCTCAACTGAGGCCTCTATGACTGGATGGGGCCTCTCAAGCCACAGAGAATCTGTTCTGGAGCTTAGCACTTGGTCACTGGGGAGCTGAAACTGCTTTTGTAAAGGTAGCTGGTTCCTCAAGGGGATCTAACTCAGGGGTGCCATCTCTGGGTGGCGCCTAGTCAGAGCGGGATCTCCTTCCCCCCTGTGTCAGGATCCCATTTGCTACTCTGAGGATCAGTAATATACATATCTGTCAACCTTCCCTTTTTTGGCAGGAAATTCCCTTATTCCAGCACCTTTTCCGGCTGCTTTCCACTGCTATCCCGCGTTGTTAGATATCCCATAGACTGTCCCCGGGACAGGTGAGGCTGCTGATCCCTTATTTTCGAGGCTGCTGATCCCTTATTTTCAAATCTGAAAGTTGACAACTATGGTAATATAGCCCAGCCACAGGTTTTTTCCCTCCACTCTCAGTGAAAACTAGGCTTAATCAACAGTTGAGGAAAAGACAAGGATGACCATGAGGGAGGCAGTACATGCAGGCCCTGCCTTGATTACTCACGGCTGCAGCCATAGGGTCCGAATCCGTAGGTGCCCGGGACACACTGGTCACAGCGCTGACCCATCACGCTGGGCTTACACTGGCATTGCCCTCCCAGTTTGTGGCAAACACTGCTGGTGGAGCCCTGGGGATCACACTGGCAGGCTGAAGGCGGAAGAAACCACAACGGTTAGGGAAGTAAGCGAGGCGGGGGAAAGACGAGAGGCCCTCACCTCCCCACCCCAATGCCAAGGAGACTGGGGAGAGGGACAAGTGGAGATGCGCTCCAACACACTGAACACAAGCACATTACTCTAGAGCGTATACACACGAGCAAAAGAGGAATATTCCTGCTTGTAGTAATGTGGTAAAATGCAATATACAAGTTCATAGGGTGAGGCCGCAGGTGGCAAAATCGTGCAGGTTACAGTCTAGAACATCCATCAGACAGACAGATGCCACCCAAATCCTGAGAACCTCGGTTTTTGTTATCTTTAAAATTAGCATGTTTCTATGCCCCATTGTAGTCAGAGATACCTGGAAATATTTCACGACGGTGCTAAAAGCTTGTAAAACAGATGCGCTGCACAATTCCCACTGCAGAATTTTTTTTTTGGGGGGGGGGAGTTGTTTACCTCTGAACCGTAGATTCCTCTTCTCATGTTTCCCCAGTCTTTTTACATAAAGGTGAGTTAAACCGGAGGAACTCTCCTCTCCCTACCAACGCTGGGTTTGCTGATTCTAGGCAGCACCTCACCAACATTTGGGCCTTTAATTTCCACAGCCGCAGCTTAGGAACATAGAAGGCTGCCTTACAGTGAGTCAGACCATTGGTTCATCTAGCTCAGTGCTGTCTACACTGGCTGGCAAATGCTGGAGATTGAATCTGGGATCTTCTGCGTGTAAAGCAGACGCTCAGCCATTGAGCCCTTCTACAAACCATCGTCCTAGGCCCTGGCAGTAAACTGAACCACCTAGTTCAAGAAGGCTGCAGCTATGCAGTAAGGTAAAGGTAAAGGGACCCCTAACCATTAGGTCCAGTCGTGGCCGACTCTGGGGTTGCGGCGCTCATCTCGCTTTATTGGCCGAACCAGAGCAGCCCTAGGCTCTGTGGTTCAACCCAAAGCGCCACCCGCGTCCCTTGCAGCTATGCAGTAGCAGCCTTTCAAAATCTGTGGGCAGAGAAATGGGACTATTTCATCATTATTATTTTTTTCCCAAAGGGAGGATAAATTATTCAACAATTTATTGCAGGTGGGGCTCACCATTAGCAGCAGCACAGCTGCTTCCTTTTTTCTTAAGTTGCTTTAAGAGTGCTGCACTGTGGTCTAAACCACAGAGCCTAGGGCTTGCCGATCAGAAGGTCAGTGGTTCAAATCCCCGCAACGGGGTGAGCTCGGTCCCTGCTCCTGCCAACCTAGCAGTTCGAAAGCGCGTTAACGTGCAAGTAGATAAATAGGTACCGCTCCGGCGGGAAGGTAAATGGCGTTTCTGTGCACTGCTCTGGTTCGCCAGAAGCGGCTTAGTCATGCTGGCCACATGACGCAGAAGCTGTACGTCGGCTCCCTCAGCCAACAGAGCAAGATGAGCGCCGCAATCCCAGAGTCGTCTGCGACTGGACCTAACGGTCAGGGGTCCTTTTACCTTTACCTTTAAGTAGCAGCAGCAGCAGCAACAACAACATGAACAACCTGTCCGCCATTTTGCATTCCCCCCCCCCCGTACCCGAGACCATGCATCATTCCAGGACTTTGTGTGTTGGTGGAAATGGCAACCACCAGCACACACACACACACACACACACGAACAAACACAATGGTAGAGACTAGAGAAAAGTATGCAAAGTGGCTTTCTTTCTCAGGTGTAAGAAAGAATCACTCACGCATAGCCCCATCATGCATCAGGGCAGAGATGCTGCACAGCAGGCGGGCACAGGTCTCAGCCAGGTCGGGCATGGTGGCCATGCGGAAAACCTCTAGGCAGGTATAGCGCTCCAACGCTTCCCGGCGCTCCACTGCTGCAGGACTGCTACCATGGAGCCCGGGCAGCTCCGTCACACGGGGCAGAAGAACCAGCTATAGCAAGGAGGGAGACACGTCAGGAAAAGTCTGGCCTGGTTGGGACAAGGACTGAAGTTGGCTCAGCTGCTTATGTAGCACACAAGAGGGGACTTGCTAACTGGGAACGTGTGTAGCAGGTCCAGAAATCTACCTCAGAAGGTGCTGAGACGCATTCCCAGAAAGACTCTGGCAGCTTCTGCAGAATCTCGTTTGCTTGAGTGGGGCTGGACATTGGCATGTCACTGTTTTTTGAGTGTGTGCGTTTGAAGATTTAAAACCTGGTTCTTTCTCACCGAGTCAACGAGGATGAAGGCTGCAGGATGGCGCTGTGCCACCCCTGCCCGCTGGAATCGCACGGTGATCTCATAATGGTTCCTGGGCTCGAAACAGAAGGGCCGTGGCAGGAGCACATACCTGGAAGACAAAGGTGAGAGACGGGGAAAGGCGGAGAACACACAAGGGGTAAGACTAGGCGCAAGAGGGTTGAGGAACCCAGCTCATAAAATGCAGGTGTTTGCAGACTTGGAGAGGGTTGCTGGGATCGTTCTCAGCTGCCTTGAGGAGAAAAATGTGGCTCACTTTCAAAGTTTGATGCTGCGGACCTGGCACATCCACCAGCCTCTGCCATGAAAATTGTGCCTGGATCACATCTGAGGCCCACATCCATATCATCATCACCATCATTTATTATTTGTATCCCACCCATCTGGCTGGGTTTCCCCAGCCACTCTGGGTGGCTTCCAACAGAGATTAAAAATACATTAAAGCATCAGTCATTAAAAACTTCCCTAAACAGGGCTGCCTTAAGATGTCTTCTGAATGTCAGGTAGTTGTTTATCTCTTTGACATCTGATGGAAGGGCGTTCCACAGGGAGGGCGCCACTACCGAGAAGGCCCTCTGCCTGGTTCCCTGTAACTTGGCTTCTCGTAGTGAGGGAACCACCAGAAGGCCCTTGGTGCTGGACCTCTGTGTCCGGGCTGAACAATGGGGGTGGAGATGTTCCTTCTGGTATGTGGGCCGAGACACAGTACATTTGCATCACACTTCCCCCCACCAGCACCACCATAGAACTTCAGGTATACAGTGGTACCTCAGGTTAAGTACTTAATTCATTCCAGAGGTCTGTTCTTAACCTGAAACTGTTCTTAACCTGAAGCACCACTTTAGCTAATGGGGCCTCCTGCTGCCGCCACGCCGCCGGACCACGATTTCTGTTCTCATCCTGAAGCAAAGTTCTTAACCTGAAGCACTATTTCTGGGTTAGCGGAGTCTGTAACCTGAAGCGTATGTAACCTGAAGCGTATGTAACCTGAGGTACCACTGTACTGGGCCGAGGCCGTTTAGCATGCATAACAGAATCTCATCGCCCCCAGCCATGACAAGGATACTGGCTGAGGATGATGGGAGCTGTAGTCCAATCTGGAAGGCACTAGATTGGTGCAGGCTGCCTTAGCCCTTCAGAAGAGACTGACAGCAGCATTCCTGCGCCATTAGAGGGGACTAGAGAGGCAGTTGGCAGATCAAGGAAGGAGAGAGGAAAGTCGGAGAAGGGAAATGAAAGAGAAGCAAAACACAAGATGAAGAGAGGGGCTGGTGGCTGTTATTTATAGCCTCACTATGTATATAAATTAAAAGTCCTCTATATATAATATTAGAAGTTAGAAGTTAGTTACAGAGTGGGTTGCTTACTGAGACAACTGTTGGTGCAATTCTTAAAAAAATATATTAAAGAACAACTCATGGGCCTAGCCAAGAGGGGGCGAGGGGTAGCTGTACCCCCCCAAATCAATAAAAGAGAGAGCCAGTGTGGTGTAGTGGTTAAGAGCGGTAGTCTCCTAATCTGGGGAACCGGGTTCGCGTCTCCGCTCCTCCAAATGCAGCTGCTGGGTGACCTTGGGCCAGTCACACTTCTCTGAAGCCTCTCAGCCCCACTCACCTCACAGAGTGTTTGTTGTGGGGGAGGAAGGGAAAGGAGAATGTTAGCCGCTTTGAGACTCCTGAAGGGGAGTGAAAGGCGGGATATCAAATCCAAACTCTTCTTCTTCTCTTCTAAAAATCAATTCGAATCTGAGGTTCTGCCCTCTGAAAAAAGCCTGCCTCCTCCAAAAACAACAATACAAAATAATAACCTAACAACAAATTCTTTCCCAAGCAAACCCCTTTCTTAACAGTTATGGCAAGCCCAATAATAATAATGGAATAATAATTAAATAAAGCAACAAAACATGCAATGATGCTCATTCGAGCCTCTGATAGTTATCATTACCGATGAGGTGGGCCCCTTTGAATGAAACCCTACTTAGCCATGATATTGTAAAAGGCTTATAATTACTTTCCCCCTGCTTACTGCTCTGAAGTTCCTTAAACTTTCACTAGCCTCATTCAAATTTATCTTCTTTTCCCCATATTTAACCCATAGTATCTTGGTCATTTTAATCAAAGTGGGCATTATACCATTCTCTAATATGCGGGATTTCTCTGCCACCCCCGCCACCCCCAATATCTTGTTTATAGAGTCCTGCTTTGTGCCATTCTTTAAAAAATATTGGCAAGGCTTTTGAGGTTTTTTGTGTGCTCTCTGCCTCTGCCACGAGTCTAAATTATAAATTTTACCTCATCTTATTATCTGAACCTGAATAACTGTCTCTGCCAGGGCGTAACAATAACCAGCCAACCTCTAATAGCTGTCGGGAGGGGGCGGGGACCCTTTGCCTGCAGGCTGCAGTGGGTCTGCTTTGTTCCGCTGCCTTAGATAATCTTTTTCTGAGGGAACAATGAGAGCCGCTTCTTTCATTTCACCAACCTGCCTGCCAGCGATAAAAGAGGGTGGCAATGATTCAAACCATCAAACTGCTTCAGGGGAAACACTTGTATGCCCCATTTCCTTCCTTCCTTCCTTTTCTTTTTAAAACCCAGGAAATGTTCCGAACCATTAGCAAAGAGGGAGAACAAATTTCAAAGAAGATGAAAGGGGATCTTGAAAAGGGGTGGATGAGGAGTAGCCTTTCAGATTTGGGGGCTGAGGGTTTTTTGTTTTCTTGCTTCCCCCTCACTCCCCCAATAGGGCTGCTAGAATACAAATGTGGCGGCCCCAGAAAGAAACAGATACTGAGGTTCTGAAATTGCACAGGCCTGTCAGATAAGAAGTTCGTCTCTCGCCATAATTCGTTCGCCTATTTGTTAACGTCTTATCCCAGCCTTCCTCTAGAGAGCTCAGAGCCGTGTACATTGGTCCTGCCCTCCATGTTATGATCACAGCCTCCCTACAAGGTAGGCCACTCAGTGAGATTGTGGCCTGAGTGGAGATTTGAGACTGGGTCGCCCTAACCCTTGTCTAGCCCTCTAATCGCTACACGTAAGGGATGTGTTGAGAACGGCAGCACAAATGCCTTCTGCACCCCACTAAGAGCTATGGAAGAAGTGTGGATCAGGGGAAGGTGGAATAGGTTCTGTTATGTACTGAAGTTTTCACCCTGGGCCAGGAGGGGGATACTGTAGATAGTTTTCACTCAGGTCCACATATGCAAATAAGGGATCGAAAGTGACGTTCAGTGATTGGATAGTTACAGAAAGTGGTTACTGTTGCGTTGTAGTGGAGCTCTATATAAGCAGGCTGGCTGAACCCTTCAGTTCAGTTCTGTTCTGGCCTGTGAGTAAACAAGAGCTGTTTGAAGAATCGCTGTGTCGTCTGATATGTTCACCCACAACTTAACAGGTTCCATAAAACTAGTTTTTACCCAGAGATGGACTACAGCCCAAAGGGAAGGTTTCCATCTTACCTGTAACCGAAGAATCATGGAGGGCAACCATCTGCTCTCCCCCCTCACAAAAAAAAAAAGAAGGTGCTTCCAGGCTGTGGCTATTTTGAGGTAGGATTCAATCACATACTGGCAAATTCAGGTTTCACAATTAAAGTTAATTTGGAGCTCTTGTGCAACAAACTAGCTTCCCCTCTCTCCTTCAAAAACAACCCCAGACTTTTGTGATATTAAAAGTAACAGGGAAAATGCTCTGGAAAGTGTGGGATAATATTTGCCTGACACAGCATCACCTTCCTCACAAACAAATCAGAACGAACGTGCAGTTAACAGGTTGTTTGTTCAAACTCAAAGATTGTGTCAGCCATTTAAAATTTTCTAGCTGTGCATTTTGCCCCTCCCTTCCTGGGCTAACCACACAAAGGATATGATTTCCGGAGCATACATAAAGTATCTCCCGTCTACCCCCAAATAATTGTAATATACAATTGTCTGTTCATTATAAATCTGATACACAATTGCTAGTGTCAATCGACTAGTTAGTCTCTAGGTTCCATGGGACTTTTTGTGTTCCAACTGAGCAGCTGAGAACTAATGCTATTTTTTATGGAAAATGTCCCCTCTTCACTGGGACACTTAGATATACTTGAATATAGTACACAACAATAGGGTAGGGTTGTTGTTTTTTTGCAGTGCAATGACCTCACATAATCCATACCCTCACAAGCCCATCACACCTGAAAACCCATTCCACAAATGCCTGAGACAAGAGAAGGATGTACCATATTTTTTGCTCTATAAGACGCACCAGACCACAAGACGCACCTAGTTTTTGAGGAGGAAAACAAGAAAAAAATATATTCCGAATCTCAGAAGCCAGAACAGCAAGAGGGATCGCTGCGCAGTGAAAGCAGCAATCCCTCTTGCTGTTCTGGCTTCTGGGATAGCTGCGCAGCCTGCATTCGCTCCATAAGAAGCACACACATTTCCCCTTACTTTTTGGGAGGGAAAAAGTGAGTCTTATAGAGCAAAAAATACAGCACTTTGAAAAACTGGGTATACCTCTCTACAGATAATACAAAACAAAGAGCGGCAAAGTTAGAAGAAATAATAACATGACAAAAAAATTAAACAAAACAAAAAACACTGAAAAGCCGGAGGATAGGAAATCCTACATAAAACGGTCAGATCCCCCAAATACAACATGCTATGTACTTGCGGGAATGGAACTGGTGATTAGTAAGATCCCTGCAAATACTAGTTGTTACACTTACGGGAATGAAACTGGTTATTAGTTATAATGATGTAATACAAATAGACAGACAATAACAGGCTCCAAAAAGGAAACACCAGCGTAAGAAGCTTGGAGTGAGATCAGAGAAGGGAACAGTTGATTGTGCTGTTTCTGTTACATCTTGTAGTACCAAAAGCCACCAGTACGTGTAGAGGGCCCATAGCCAAACCAAAATACCAACTATTTCCTAACCACAAACCCATAAGCTCTCCAGTTAATTATGGTAAAGACTCAGTCAATCCATCAGCAAATACTCAGATAACAGAAAAACCACGTGCTCCGTCAGTTGTGCCAAAGCGCTGCCTGCAACAATCAGGATGTTGAAACAATAAGCATGATTTATTTCTTACAGCTGTAACGTAGAAAGTACAAGTCTACTTGCACTGGTGCTGGGAAGTGTTTTGTAATTTTTGTGTGTGATTTGTGTCTGTAAAGGGACCCCTGACCATTAGGTCCTTTTGTGACCGACTCTGGGGTTGCGGCGCTCATCTCGCTTTATTGGCCGAGGGAGCCGGCGTACAGCTTCCGGGTCAGGTGGCCAGCATGACTAAGCCGCTTCTGGCAAACCAGAGCAGCGCACGGAAACGCCGTTTACCTTCCCGCCGGAGTGGTACCTATTTATCTACTTGCACTTGGATGTGCTTTCGAACTGCTAGGTTGGCAGGAGCAGGGACCGAGCAACGGGAGCTCACCCGGTCGTGGGGATTCGAACCGCCGACCTTCTGATCGGCAAGTCCTAGGCTCTGTGGTTTAACCCACAGCGCCACCCGCGTCCCGTTTTGTGTCTGTGCAGAAGAGTAAATCTTCACTGTTTGCGGGCCTGTAGGAAAAGCAAACACCTGCAGATAAAACTCTTTATAAGTCTGCTAACAGATAATATAGATACATACACACACCTGCATATGCAATTTTATCTAGCCGCTCATGTTACATTTTCAAGGAAAAGGCCAAGCAAGCTGCAAAGCAAAATACACTTCTGGCTCCTGGCTCCTGTTCTGGGAACAAAGTGACTGCAGAGAATACAGTAATTGGCCAAACCCATTTTAGGCTGTCAGCCACACATTATTTTTTAACCCAAGAACCTGAAGTGGTTATTAGTGACTCGAGACATGTAATAAAAATCAGCAATAGCAGACTCCAGTGTGGTAAACAATTTGGAATTGATTTTTTTTAAAAAAAGAGGACATAATCCATGAGGACTTGATTTCCAATAAAACTTCTCACTGACATGCTGTGGGTCTCTCTTGAGTCAAGGAAGCTCCCTCCCCACACTGTGCCCAGTGGGGCTGCTTCTCCTCCCCCTCCTCCTCTCATTCTTACCTGGAACTATGGGGCAGGCTTTCCCGATACATCTGCTCCGAGGGCAGCACGTTGCCGCAGCGAGGGCTCATGGGTAACGCCCGCGAGCTGACGCTGACGACAGCTTCCCAATCCTCTGTGGACTGAGAAGGAGACACAGCAGGTTTAAAGCAGCCGTCCCAGAGAATACAATCCCCACCAGGCCCACCAGGTGGACAGCCTCATAGATAGCCTTGCTGCAAAACGTAATATGGCAAAAAAAACCCTAGCAGTGGATATTCACTATAAGGCTAGAGCAGGGGTCAGCAAACTTTTTCAGCAGGGGGCCAGTCCACTGTCCCTCACACCTTGTGGGGGAGCCAGACTATATTTTGAAAAAATAAATGAACGAATTCCTATGCCCCACAAATAACCCAGAGATGCATTTAAAATAAAAGCACACATTCTACTCATGTAAAAACATGCTGATTCCCGGACCCTCCGCGGGCTGGATTTAGAAGGCGATTGGGCCGGATCCCTTAGTTTGCCTACCCATGGGCTAGAGGAAAAACTTGCTTAAGGACCATTTCTCCCCCGAAAACCCGCCAGCTCTTATCCCTTGCCCTACCAGTGACACCTCCATCCCTGTGCGAAAGGTGGGGAACTTGTTCCTGACTCTTGCCTTGTCATGAATGAGCCATCTCCCAGGGAAGGGTTACTGCCAACTGAAGAACTATCTGTTTGTTTTGACAGTAAAGAATCCTTTTTAATTAACTACGCTCACGGTGTTATCAAGCCAGGAACTGGACTCCTGACATGGCTATACGGACTGTGGCTGATGGGGATTGGAATCCAACAGCATCTGAATGGTCACACTCTTTCCACAATGTGTAATATGGATCAAATCCCCAGTTGATGGGCATAGATTAGACTGGGGCAAATCCTCCTTTCTACTGCTATTTAACCACTCTCCAGCTCCAGAAAGGGTGTGAGTTATAAGTTGGCAAGTCCCTGCTTCAAATCTATCCCATAGTCTCATCCGTCTGTCTGTAATATGGGGGATGGCCTACCTTGCAAGGGTGTTATCAAGCTAATTTTATGCGAAGTGCTCTGAGAACTTCGTTATTATGTAAAGATTAAGCATTATTATGATAAGCATCATGAAAATATTCTCGTTCTCCCAGCTACAGTTCCCCCCCCCTCACAGCAATCAATTTATGATCCAATAATGCAAGCATTCAGGAAAATGCCAGAACTTCTCCCCACAACAACAAGCACCCGCCACGCCCACTCCAGTTCCTTCCACGCACCTCAGGCTCATAGCGCAACAGGATGTCATATTCCATGGGGTAGGGAATGTTGTCGATATGGAAGGATAAACCAGCCCCATCCCTCACGCGTGCAAAGCCGGGGCCGGTCCATGTAATCATGTGACCTGTATGCTCACGTTGCATGACTTCCACATCAGGCTGCGGGGGAAAACATTACATCAGCAAAGCCGCAGGGACATAGGGTGCTGCATTGCACTGAGTCAGACCATTACTCCATCTAGATGTGTATTGCCTATGGACAGTGGCTCTCTAGGGTTTCAGCCAGGGGTCTCTCCCAGCCCTACAAGGAGATGTTGGGGATTGAACCTGGTATCACCTCCTGTGGGTTGGAATCCGCTGGGAGCAGTCAAATACAACATTCCTTGTTTTCCTAGAGTGGACATGCAAGGGAATGTTTGGTCCAGCCAGTTGAAACTTCCTGTTCCTCCTGGCCTGGAGCATCCTTCCTTGAATGTGACTAGTGGGTGTGCGTGACTTTTCCAGACCTGGTAAAAGGTCAAGGCATGCTGCCGCTCTCTCTCTTTTCCATCTTCTTTTCGTCCTGCGAACTTCCTGGACTGCTAACTGCAGTCATTTGGTCAGGAGTTAGCAAACTACGGCCCACAGGCCAGATAAGGCCCGAGGGGGTTGTTAAACGGACTCCCGGCCCTTACCGCCTGCTCAGTTAGTCCCCGCATGGAACTGACACTCCATCTGACACTCCTAGAGGCAGGTTGGGTGCTTTGGGGAAGCTGAGCTGTGAGCAGAATCATCGTGGTTTTTGAAGTCCTCCCACACGACACCACTTAAGTCGCTGCAGGACATTCCTGACCAACAGCAAAGCACCTGAATTCTGCTTGCATAAAATTACGGACACGCACAGCTCATGGAGGATGCCCTTAACAGATTGCAATGACGAAGTGCATAGTGTCTATTCAAGTGTATCTTTTACCTTCTGGCTAAGTGCAAGGCAAAGAATTAACATAGTTGACCAAGAAGACCCAAGTGGCTGCTCCTCAGCTCAGCTTTATGGACCAACAACACCTCTACTGAGCGGCCTGGAGCTCTGGTCCAAACCACCCTTGACCACCCTGGACTTCCTTCCCTGGTTTCCCCCAGCATCCTCTCTCTCCCACCCTATTTCGGTCACCTTCTGCTGAAGTTGCCTGGCTCTTCGGAGCGCCGCTCGCTGCTGCAAGAGTCTGATCGTGCTGTGCTGGCGTCGCAGCCTCACTTTGCGCCCGTTCTGGACCCCGTTGTAATATTCCACACAGTCCACAGGGGCCTCGGGCCGCAAGGCACCCTACAACAAAGCGAGGAATTTTTTTATTTCCAACACCATTGGTTGCTCCTGCTAACCGTTTCCATCCTCAGCCATACAGCAACCAAGGGGCTTTGAAAGGCTCACTGAGGCTGCCAAGGCAAAGAGGGAGCCCATGGAACTACCCTATATTGTATGGTTTGGCCAATGGAGGTTGTCCCATATGGGCAACTGGGGAGTTGCCCCACCAGTCTCATTCGGTCCACACTTGCTTGGCTTTTTACTTAAAAGTGTTGTCCTTCTAGAAGTCAGCAGGGAGGAGAATGGGGACGAAACTAGAATTAGTTGGCTCTGCCTGCCATTGGCTCTGGTTCCACCTATCATTGGCCCTCCTTGCCTTCCATCCTACCAGCCCATGATTGACTGGTTGAGCCACCAGGACAGTTTTAATGAATTTTCTCCTTACCTGCAGATACCTCTGTGGTGATGTGCCTTACATGCTCATGTGCTTCCACATACAAAACATTCTGAATTCATGAATTCATGAATGAATTTGTGGCATGCAAGTGGGTCAGTGTATGCAAAGTTCTGATTTAGGCCAGTAAGTTGGGCTGGGAACTTTTCAGTCCCCATGAAGGTGTGTGTGCCCCAGAGACAACAAGGTCTCTTGGACAACACCCACAAGAAATGCAAGAAATGGACAAGTAACCCGCATTCACTAGCAGTTTTCCAGACACAGCCCCCCTCGCTCTATGTCCCGGGATCTCACGCTCCCCTTTCCCTTCCTCTGTCCCAGTGCACTCACTGGCAGGCCCTGATGGGTTGGTGCAAGTCCTGTGGCATGCTCTGCTTCATACATATAATAGTCCAGGGGCATGCAGAAAAACCCTGGCTGCACTTCATCACACTGACGCCCGATGAGATGGGGCCGACAGGGGCATTGGCCATCATCCATGGAACACCTGGAGAGAGAGAGAGACAGACAGCCAGACAGAGAATGAGAACAATGGCAGAATATTTGAGCCCTGCCGTTGGAGTAGGTTCGGCAAAAGGGGTGCAAAAGAGAGAGGGAGGTTGCACACTCAAGTAAACAGTCTCTTGATTCGCTTTAACCCGCAGCTGGAAAGAAAGAATCGGGAGGGCACTTAAAGAGTGTGCTCCGAATTCTTCCTTATCCATTTGACCCCATGTGTTTACCTGTCCAGTGCTTGGCCTCAGGTAATGGAGAGCTGGGTATGGTTTTGAGCCAAACCACATGGCAGTCAAAATGGGGAGGCCAGGTGGGTCTAATTAGGCCTGCGGGATGGAGTTTCCCTACCACTGTCCTAGACCCAAAAAAAGCCACCATGTGCAGCAATGTGCAAGTATAGCAAGTTATGCTTTTTTTACAATCACAACTCTGCACTACACATTTAAAGCAGTCTTGTGCCATTTTTTTAAAAGTCAAAGCTTCCTTCATAGAATCCAGGGAACGGTAGTTTGTCAAGGGTGTTGAGAAGTTTTAAGAGACCCCCTATTTTCCTCTCGCGCAGCTACAATTCTCAGAGTAGTTTCACAATTCATCCCTCTTCCAGGGAGGGAACTCTAGGAATTGTGGCTCTCTGAGGGGAATACAGATCACCTAAGATCTTGCAGCATAATAATAATAATAATAATAATAATAATAATAGAAACAAACTAGAGTTGTTGGCTGTGGGGGAAGGCATGAGTGTTTAAAGTGATATGATACTGCTTTAAATGTACTGCTCAGATGGGGCCTCACAGAATCACTTACAATTAAAACAAGCTGCAGTTAAGAAGGTTAAAATATGCTTGCATGACCTTCACTGCAAAAGCAACCTTTTTACTTATTTTCCATGCTTCCGTACAGTGCTGCGAAGTGAGAGATGGCGCCAGATGTAGTACAGAGCTTGAACACTCTTCTTCTTTTTTCTTTGGCAATCACTAAGATTGTCTTCCATAAACAGTGAGTCCGTAAGTGACTGTGGAGACCAATTCTGGATCCACACGTCCTTCCACAGTGGGGACATAGGGAGTTGATCACGGTGTGGGTTTGCCAAGCGTGCCTTCCTCTTAGCACGTTTCTCCCTTGTGTCCTGAGTTCGAGTGTCTTCAAAGCCCGTGACACCTTTGGGAAAGGCTGTTCTCCAATTGGAGCGCTAATTCCATCCCCTGGACACCTGACTGGCCCCTGAGAATTTAGAAGTTGGCCACCCCTGCACTCTTCCCTCCCCTTGCCAGCCACGGAGCGCTGTTCCCTCCCTTCCCCTCCCCCAGCCCACCCCATGTCCCTTCCATTCCAACCTGTTGCTGTAGGCACCTCCAAAATCACAAGCACAGCTCCGGCAGCCAGCCATATCATTGCTCAAACCCCAGTATTCAGGCTGTGGAGGAAAAAGACCTCAACTAAAGAAGAAGAAGAGTTTGGATTTGATATCCCGCTTTATCACTACCCCTAAGGAGTCTCAAAGTGGCTCACAATCTCCTTTTCCTTCCTCCCCCACAACAAACACACTTTGAGGTGAGTGGGGCTGAGAGACTTCAGAGAAGTGTGACTAGCCCAAGGTCACCCAGCAGCTGCATGTGGAGGAGCGGGGAATCGAACCCGGTTCACCAGATTACGAGTCCACCGCTCTTAACCACTACACCACACTGGCTCTCTAAAGCATATTCAGGCCTGGAGTATCCGCATCACGCCTTTTAACGGTTCCGCAGCACCCACTCACCAAACATTGGTTGCAGTATCTCCCGGCGACAAATCGCTTGCAGTAGCAGTCGCCACTGATGTGGTCGCAGGGAAGGCTACCTGGGATAATCCCACGAGGGTCACACCTGCAGGCTGAGAACACACATAACTAGCACTTTCCATGGGTTTACATCCGGCTATGCCAGGCACAAGGCTAAGCCATCTCCTGGCCCAGCTCAGCAGGGCTCCAGAGTTCGAGGCAGAATTCTACCCCACCCATTCCCCCTGCAACTGCAAACAACCAGATTCTGCAAGTAGAATACATTAAACCAAATCAGATGTGTCTCCTGAATGCACAGGTTGCATTGCTTTGAGCCACAAGGAACAACTTTTTGAATAATTTAGAATTTTTAATCCCATTGTCTCGGCTGCGGGACAGATGGCTAGAACTCACGAAACACTGGTTATAGGAGAGCAAGAAGTAGGGGGCTTGGGAAAGGCTGGAAACTGTACGAAGCAATGAAATGGAAGTGCCATTCAGATTCCAGACATGTTGGTGCCTGAAGCCGATCAGAAAAAAATCCAAATTGTGGTAGAAGTGTTACTACTGTTGTTCATAAGAATAATAATTTATCCATCGTCCTCTATGCAATCATTTCAAGGCAATGTGCAATAAATTATTTTTAAAACAGCCAATGCATTTAAAACAAAATGATAAGAAAATGAATAAAGGTAAATAGTAAAGGACCCCGGGATGGTTAAATCCAGTCAAAGGCGACTATGGGGTTGTGGCACTCATCTCACTTTCAGGCCGAGGGAGCTGGCGTTTGGCCACAGACAACTTTCCAGGTCATGTGGCCAGCATGACTAAACCGCTTCTGGCGCAACGGGACACAGTGACGGAAGCCAGAGCGCACAGAAACGCCATTTACCTCCCCACCACATCGGTACCTATTTATCTACTTGCACTGGCGTGCTTTTGAGCTGCTAGGTTGGCAGGAGCTGGGGCAGAGCAACGGGAGCTCACCCCATCGCACAGTTTTGAATTGCCGACCTTCTGATCAGCAAGCCCAAGAGGCTCAGTGGTTTAGACCACAGCGCCGCCCATGTCCCTTTTTAATATGAATAGACTCTCATGGCAAAACCCCATCCATCTGGCTGAAACAAAAAACATCTTCATTTATTTATGGAAAGTGCGGAGAGTGGGCCCCTGTTATATCTTGTGAGAAATGTTGTTCCACAGATCAGGGGCAGCCCCCCTAAAACCCCTGCTCCAAGTTACTGTGAAGTAGACTTCTGAGACCTTTGGAACTTGCAGGAGACAGTGGCGGAGCTTCATGCTCCGGCACGGGGGGCGGGGCTGGCGTGTGTCAAGGGGCGTGGCACACGTCCTGGGGGCGTGGCACCCAGTGTGGGCAGGGGGGCAGCTGCGCACTCCTCTTCCTCCGCCAGTGGCAGGAGACACCCTCCCACAGAACACACAAATATACTGGGTGTGTTTCAAGTAGCCTGGTTCTGAGCTGCATAGGGCCTTATACATTAATGACAACACCTTGAACTTGGCCTATCCCCAGATTGCTGCCAGGGCAAATCCCGCTAGCAAGGGGTTAAACGCTGGGGGTGTTTGGCCACCACAAGCAACCTAGCTGCCGCATTTTGCACCGGCCGCTGCCTCTGGAACAACCCAGATATCACGCCCTCCCCCCCCCCCCACACCCTGTATCCATGCTGGCACGACTTGATTCCACACCTGCCCCCACAAAGTCTGGTGACCCCAGACACAGTCACCGATACTAACGCTGGCACCCAAGAGGGTCATTGCGGCTCAGTCCGTAAAAGGCCTCTTTGCAGCTGTCGCAACGCACGCCTTTGACGTTCTCTTTGCAGCGGCACTGCCCAGCGATCATGCCCAGCATCGCATCTGTATGACTGTCACAAACGCCACCGTCCAAGGAGCCCACTGGGGCGCAGTCACATGCTGTGGGACAAAAGAAATTGGATACTGTTCAGGTCCCCTTTACAACTTACATTAAAAGGGACTCTGCCTTTATGTTCCCTTCCAATCACACAAGTTTCATTAAGGAGAAACAAGAAGAGGTAAAGGTAAAGGTAAAGGACCCCAGGACGGTTAAGTCCAGTCAAAGGCGACTATGGGGTTGCTCATCTCGCTTTCAGGCCGAGGGAGCCGGCGTTTGTCCACAGACAGCTTTCCGGGTCATGTGGCCAGCAGGACTAAACAGATACGTGGCTTAAAAAACTTTTGCATTTGCTTTTTTTCATTTTTTTTTATGCTAGCAGGTTCAGCACAGTCTGTTAGTTGTGGAGTATTTCATAATATGTGTTCCTTTTGTTACTTGTTTCATATATAGGTTTCTTCCATTGTGAAAATATTTCATCAAGAGAGAGGGGGCGCCGCTGAAATTTGACAGGCAAAAGTCTGCCAATGTTCTCAATTACGTACTGTTATAAGTGGGGGTTTTTTGGGGGGGGGATTAGGCTGTATGCCTGAGCCCCGCTTCTAATTCCTGGATCCAGCACAGATTCAATTGTCGGAATAGCCAGGCCAGACTGGCAATGGCCCACTTTGCTAATGGAACAAAAAAAGTAGCTCTGTGCCAGAGGTCAAATGGATGGGCCTTCCTCTCTCAACTGTCTACTGCTTATAAAAGCAAAAGGCCAGAGTGGAGAATTGAATGATGTGACCTAGAAGTAAAGCAGCAAGCTAGAGATAGAGCCACGCCTCTCAATCAATTTTTATTATGGCGAAACAGCCGGCACAGAGCCAAGCCTGGTTTCTGCTGCGATCCAAGGCTGTGGCTAAGGGAGAAGCAAGACCGCCTTGGGACTTTAACACGGTCAACCCTTCCGTCGCAGGGCTCAGGTTGTGTATATGTGTAAATGAGCCATCTATCATAAAGACACCACAGTCTCCACTGTGCCTCATTGCAAAGGAAACACGAACCCTGGGTGAGCGCCTGGAATGCCCGGAATCTCACACCACTCAAAAATGGTGTGAAACAATAAAAATCAATACCACAAATAGATCTGGAGATCACAGCCACCGTTTATCTGTATGCTGTCTCCCCACAGTAAACCCTGATCGAGGCGATTCACATCACGATTCATCATCCTCATAATAAAAAGACAGTGGCTGGGACGATAGAAGGACACTCACGGATACACGCCGTGCTGGCCCGGATGTCAGCCAGAGGGTTGCGGTAGTAGAAGGGCTTGCAGAGCTGGCAGTGGCGGCCCATGGTGTTGTGTTCGCACTCGTCGCAGACCCCGCCGCTGGTGTTGCCCGTGGCCAGGTACACGGCCATGTCGAAGTGGCACTTGTGGGAGTGCTCGTTGCAGTTGCACTCTGTGGAGAAGCCAGGGGCAAAGTTAAAGGGTGCCGCAAACTCCTGTGTGGTGTAGTGGTTAAGAGCGGTAGTCTTGTAATCTGGGGATCCAGGTTCGCGTCTCCGCTCCTCCACATGCAGCTGCTGGGTGACCTTGGGCCAGTCACACTTCTTTGAAGTCTCTCAGCCCCACTCACCTCACAGAGTGTTTGTTGTGGGGGAGGAAGGGAAAGGAGAATGTTAGCCGCTTTGAGACTCCTTAAAGGGAGTGAAAGGCGGGATATCAAATCCAAACTCCTCTTCTTCTTCTTCTTCTTATTCCGCTCGCTCCTCCTTTCCTGTGACCTGAATTGCATCCATGTAACAGGATCATAAACCCGTGGGCTAGGCCACCAATGCTGCTATTGCTGAGGCTCTCACCTGCCCCATGTGTTTGCTATTTGTGGCTGCTGCTGCTGCAGGCTTCCTGGTTGGCCACTGTGAGAACAGCATGCGGGACTACACGGGCCATAGGACTGACCCAGCAGAACTCTTCTTAAGTTCTTCTGTAAGAGCCTGCACAACATTGTTTCTTAAAAATGTTAGGCCAGACTAAGGAACCACCAATGCCTGCATACAGAAGCCTTAGAAACGGGAGACTCTTGTTTGGTAGCCTGTCCAGGCCTCCACATACACTTCCGAGCATTTCTTCCACTTGTAAATAAATGGAATCGTGACTGTTTCATAGCCCTCCCATAGTTGATTAGCTTTTCCAGCGCTACCAATCCTCTGCTACCTATCTGCCCAAAGCCAGGGGATGCTGCCATTCCCAAACATGCCAGCCCCCCCTCCCCCAGGGAAAGATCTCCTTCCGTTGACTCCCACTGCTTCGCCACCCAATTCCCCACACCTTCTGGCACGCGCAACAACACACTCACCTTTGCAGGCGTGTGGGTTGTGGGCCTCAGCTGGTCTCCATGGCAACTCCTGGAAGAAGTCCTTGCAGAGCTCGCAGTTGAGGCCCTTGGTGTGGTGCTTGCACACGCATCGTCCGTGGATCTGGGGCAGAGGAGACTGGTGAGAGGGGTATCCAGAGCCTTGGCACAGCCCAGGGAAATGAAAGCAGAGTGCCGCTCAGCATGGAGATATTTATACGAAGGACCTCTTGTGCCTGGGTGCTGCTGAGTAGGCCCCAAGTGACCCGGAGCCCAAGACGTCAAAGCGTGGCTGATGGCCATATAGTCAGAAGCTATGTGAACACAATCCTGTAACAGGTTCTAATAACCCTTGAAGAATACAAGCAGCTTGATTTGTTTTAAGAGCGAGGGTTGCACCCAGCCAAGTGTTGGTGTTGACCTTTAAAGCCCTAAACGGCCTCGGCCCAGTATACCTGAAGCAACGTTTCCCCCTCCCCATTGTTCTGCCTGGACACTGAGGTCCAGTGCTGAGGGCCTTCTGGCGGTTCCCTCACTGCGAGAAGCAAAGCTACAGGGAACCAGGCAGAGGGCCTTCTCGGTAGTGGCACCCGCCCTGTGGAACGCCCTCCCACCAGATGTCAAAGAGATAAAACAACTACCTGACATTTAGAAGACATCATTAAAGTTTTTAATGTGTGACACTTTAATGTATTTTTAATCTTTGTTGGAAGCCGCCCAGAGTGGCTGGGGAAACTTGGCCAGATGGGCGGGGTCAAGGAAAGGGACCCCTGACCGTTAGGTTCAGTTGTGACTAACTCTGGGGTTGTGGCACTCATCTCGCTTTATTGGCCGAGGGAGCTGGTGTACAGCTTCCGGGTCATGTGGCCAGCATGACTAAGCCGCTGCTGGCGAACCAGAGCAGCGCACGGAAACGCTGTTTACCTTCCCACCAGAGCGGTACCTATTTATCTACTTGCACTTTGATGTGCTTTCAAACTGCTAGGTTGGCAGGAGCAGGGACCGAGCAACGGGAGCTCACCCCATCACGGGGATTCAAACCGCCGACCTTCTGAACGGCAAGTCCTAGGCTCTGTGGTTTAACCCACAGCACCACCTGTGGAAGCTGCCCAGAGTGGCTGGGGAAACCTGGCCAGATGGGCGGGGTACAAATAATAAATCCTTATTCTTATTCTTATTCTCCTGTTAGGACAATGACTTCTGCCTGCACAAAGGGACTTCCTCTCCCTCTCCTCTTTCTGTGTCCCCCCCCCCGTGCCTCCCCGCCCCCAACATATCTGTTCTAAGTTCCCGCCCCCCACCAGCCCTCCAGAGCATATGGGGAAGGAGTGCAGGGGGCAAGCATGGAAGAGGAAGTCTCATTGCACTGGCAGAAGTCCTTGCCTTAAGAGCATGACTTCACCGAATACAACCCTAGGTTTCTAGGTCTGATGTTTGTGGAGAACAAATAACCCTGAATAAGGTTTGAGAATTACTCAGACCATTAAAAAAATGTGTCTAGTTGGAATTTCCACTGGGCTGGAAATTTCCCTCTGTATATGCCTTCTCTTTCCATCCCAGAACCCAGCCATACCGGCTCTGCAAGCTTAAGAATGAGGTTTTCTCAAAATGTAAAATGGATTCCAACAAAAGAATCTACACTTCCAGTTGACAGAAATTGTGCTTTTGGTACAATAACGCATGTTCTCTACACACAATTGGGAGTCTGTGTGTCACATTCTCCCGATAGATACAGTAAGCAGAACCACCAAGGTTGTAGCCTCTCTACTACCTGCCAGGTAGTAGATGATATAGATGAATCTGTCAATTTCAGTTTTTTCTAACCTTCAATTCAGTTCTCTACATTTCCACATCCGTTTGTTGTTATTGGGTTGTTTTTTTTACAGGAAGAAGTCCTCATGAAAATTCGTTTTTAGTGTGCATTTTGCCCAATGTGCAAATTTTTGCAAGCAATTTCTCCCACTATGAAGCATGTTACAGTGGTACCTTGGGTTAAGTACTTAATTCGTTCTGGAGGTCTGTTCTTAACTTGAAACTGTTCTTAACCTGAAGCACCACTTTAGCTAATGGGGCCTCCCGCTACCGCCATGCCGCCGGAGGACGATTTCTGTTCTCATCCTGAAGCAAAGTACTTAATCCAAGGTACTATTTCTGGGTTAGTGGAATCTGTAACCTGAAGCGTATGTAACCCGAGGTACCACTGTATTATTTTTACATGTTATTTTCATTTTTAAAGGCATACTTTCCCCTCATAACTGCACACAGTGGGGCCCACATACTCCTAATCTCCCCACACAGTGGGGCCCACATACTCCTAATCTCCCCACACAGTGGGGCCCACATACTCCTAATCTCCCCACACAGTGGGGCCCACATACTCCTAATCTCCCCACACAGTGGGGCCCACATACTCCTAATCAAAAAGCCAAGCCCAGCATGGGAGCTCCGACCACTAAGCGTACCTCCCCCTGCCCTGTCTTCCTGGCTATAGGGCTGCAACCTGAACTCCCCGCCTCAGTCTCCGCTAACACTGATAAGGTCCTTACCATGCCTTCCACTCTGCTTGGCGCTCCAGCCAGGGGGGCACACTCTGAGGCGTGCCCATAGCAGAAGCAGCTTCCACGCAGCACCATCTCGTACACGGCGTAGTAGTATTTCTGCAGCACCTGATGCCGAAAGTCGAGTAGGTTGTCGCCCAGAGTGTGCAGCTTTGTGAAGTTCACCCGCAGGTTGGTGACGCGCAACAGATCTGGTCAGGAGGGAAGGAGATGTTTTGGTGCAGAGCTTTAGCTCCTAGACTCCCTGTAGCCTCAGCCCCACACCCCACCCCAATCTCAGGCTGCTCCCCTGGATTCCACACAGATACATTTCCCCACCTGCAGTAAAAGATGGCTCTGACCTGGTGGAATGCTCTGTCCCATGAGACCAGGGCCCTGCAGGGTTTAACTTCCTTCCGCAGGGCCTGTAAGACAGAGCTATTCCACCTGGCTTTCAATTTGAACTTAGCCTGATCTTTTATTCCCCTTCCTTCCCTTCCCCTCCCCTTTTATGAAGATTTCCTTCTCTGGGATCCCACAGCTAATTCTCCCCTGGTCTCCTCACTGGCCCAAATAGGACTAATTTAGCCAGCTAGCCCTGATCATCTAATGTTTATTGGATGGATTTCCCCCCCTAAATTGATTTTTTAATTCTGAATTTATTGTTATTCACGTTTTATACAGTATTTTATGCTGTTTTTTGTTGCATCAATTACGTGTTTTAAATTTGTTGTTAGCCGCCCTGAGCCTGGTTTTCTGAATCGGGAAGGCCGGGGTATAAATAAAAAATTATTATTATTATTATTATTATTAATCTCCCAAGACAAACGGATGCCAGTAACAACAAGAACGTGTTAGGGCTTCAGCCTTTTATCATTTTAATTGGTAGAGAGCATAGGAGCCAACTGAGGTCCCTTCACCCACCCCCAATAAAATATTTGAGGAGGTGCACCCACCCCCAGTTGATGGACATTGCTATTTAAATGATATATGTGTGCCGCATCTTGTGATTAATTATGCAGAGTGGAGCTTACCTGCCCCCCCCCATTTTATCCAAGTTGGCACCCCCTGGTAAGAGAGCGCTAAGGGCGCAATTGTCTATACAATTGTGTGCTACTGCAAAAGGGATTGAGAAAATAAATAAATAAAGATGGCCTTGCTTTCTAACAATGATTGGTGCCTTTCATTTGTTTTTCTGCGCATAGTTCTATAAATACATACAAATAACAATGTACAGAAGTACAATAACACCATACATATCTTACATTATTCAAGGTCTCTTTGCTTCCTAAATTATTAACTGTTCTTTCTTCTCTAAAACATCTCAAATACTCTTATTATTCCCTGATTCTCCAACAATTCAATCGAATTAATCACAAACCAAACAGGGTTTTTACTGTAATATTCTTGAAATAATTTGTTCCAACTCCTTTTCCTTCCTTTTCTCTGTATTTTATCCAATAAATCACTTTTGCATATTTAACTGAAGTCCAACATTTTGTTTCCCACTGCCTTACTTTTGGTACCCCCCCCCCCTTGTTTCTCCCCATACTGGGCTACTAACATTTTTTGCATGATCATCAGTAAGTGAAATATACATTCTTGTTCCCTCTCAAATCCTTTCCTTTGTCAAACTGTAAAATCTCTCACACTTCAGACACTGAAATTTGTGCTGAGTTTTTGGTAATGCAAAACTTAATTCAAATTAAGCAAATTCATTCATTTGTAAGCAAGAACATGATCAAATAAATACCTTGAGCCAGGTTGCAGCAATAGTACCTACCAATGCTTTATGCCAGAGACAGAGAGCCTGTGGCCCTCAAGATGTTCTTGGACTTCAACTTCCATCATCCCTGAGCATTGGCCATGTTGTCTGGGGCTGATGGGAATTGAAGTCCAACAACAAGCAGAGGCATAGCTGTCAAGTGTCCCTTATTTGAAGGGACAGTCCCTTATTCCAGCGCCATGTCCCGCGGCTGTCCCTTATTGATGGAAGTCCCTTAAATGTCCCTTAAATGATGTCCCTTAAATTTCAAAGGAAGCAGCTCCTCTCCCTCCCTCCCTGCCGGCCAGGGAGGAGGGAGGCTCCAACTGTGTTGCTTGGCTGTGTTGCTCACCCAATAAGAAGTCTAAGAATGACTGGGGGGTGGAGCTTGCATGCCTTGTGTGTGGCTAGTTAATGCAAGCTGAGGGGTTTTTTGAATGCTGGACACTATTTTGTTGCACGTGCTGCTGCAAACTTTGCAGTGCAAAGCCAGGCCGGGGAGCCATCTTAAGTTGAGGCTGCATAGGCCTTGTGGTGCATGTGATTCGGATTCTATTCAGTTGCACCTCTGGCTACAAAGTTGGTTGGACAGTGTTCTCAAAGCTACCAGCATGAGTTTGACCAGACTGCAGGAGGACAGGAAGACTGGAGTGCCTGGAACAGGTGAGGCTGCAGGTCCCTTATTTTGGCTGCTGGTCCCTTATTTTCAAGGCTGCTGGTCCCTTATTTTCAAATCTGTAAGTTGACAGCTATGAGCAGAGGACTACAAGTTGCCTATCCCAGATATTATTCTGTTCTTCTGCATTCGCGATCACTCGTAGCTGAGTAAGATTGTCTTCCTTAAACACGGTTTTAAAAGTGAGTCCATAAGTGACCGTGGAGGCCAGTTCTGGATCTACCCATCCTTCCACAGTGGGGACATAGGTTTCTGGGTGGGAGATGATCATGGTGAGAGTTTGCCAAACGTGCCTTCCTCTTAGCGTGTTAGTTCGAGTGTCTTCAAAGCCTTTGGTAAAGGCCATTCTCCAATTGGAGCGCTCACAGGCCAGTTTTTCCCAGTTGTCAGTGTTTATACTACATTTTTAAATATTTGCCTTGAGAGAGTCTTTGAACCTCTTTTGTTGACCACCGGCGTCACACTTTCCATTTTAAAGTTTGGAATAGAGTAGTTGCTTTGGAAGACGATCATCAGGCATCCACACAACATGACCAGCCCAACAAAGCTGATGTTGAAGAACCATCGCTTCAACACTGGGGATCTTTGCTTCTTCCAGTACACTGGCATTAGTTCACCTGTCTTCCCAAGTGATGTGTAAATTTTTTCGGAGACACCCTCGATGGAATCTTTCGAGGAGTTGGAGATGGCATTTGTAAGTGGTCCACGTTTCACAAGCATACAGTAAGGTTGAACATCTCTGCACATCTAAGCTTTGCTGTTTTGATGTCAGCGGAGTCCCTCCATCTGCAACCTGTCAGTCTCTTTCTGTCTCTCTTTGAGTGCTAATTGCCCTGGTCCTTTCCCTGGTCCTCGGGCATTCACTCCCCGAGGGCTATAGTGACTTTACGATCCCAAACCTCCCAGATGCCATATGTTTGGAATATTTCCCCCAATCTCTGATCGTGCTTATCTCCAATAAAAGTCCCACCTCTAAGGGCCAACCCCTTTCCCTGCTATGGTAGCAGGTGTTGTTGTGGGAGCAGAGTCGCCTACCTGACCTTTTGGTAGGTAGGTCAGATTCTGCTGCTTAAAGGGAGGCGCATGGTACATAGAATTGTAGAGTGGGAAGGAATGGCAAGGGTCACCTAGTAAGAGGTGGATTTAGAAGCATGCAACTGGTGCAGTTGCACTGGGCGCAGCAACTATGATGCAGAATGGAAGACGAAGGAGGGCAAATTTTGGTGTCACACAGGGCGTCACTGAAATTTGAGAGCCCCAAGGTCTGCCACGGATCTAGTCCAGCAATATCAAAAGCAACACAACGGCCAGAAACAATTACAATATGAAAAACTTTATGGAATAATTCAAAACATCAAAACTAACTAACTAAATGTAACTTTTTTACGTTATAGTTTATAATTTCTACGCTATTTGAAGTTGTTGTTATGCATGTGCAGGTCACCGTTTGAATATTTTATTTTCAGTTAATGATTCTCTTTCTACTTTACGAGTGTTGAACTAATTGGCTGATGAAGAATTCAACAAAACAGTAGTTGTTATCCGGAAACACTGGTCAGCAGAGTTCAGAGTTGGACATCGGTATTGGACATTTGCTGATTATACAAAGCTTCACAGCTTGTTCTCCGCAGGGTAAAGTCTGGCACCGTGATTCATTTAAGGACTTTCAGAGACTTTCAGAGACTTCTGTTTGTGTTGCTTTTGATATTGCTGACTCATATTTTGCAACACAGGAGTTTGTTTGTTTACTCACTGATGTAGTCCAGGCACACGGCAGAAGCTGATCCAGCATTCCAACCAGTACCTTTGCACTGCAGTGCACCTCCTCTTCATGGTAAAGGTAAAGGGACCCCTGACCATTAGGTCCAGTCGCGGACGACTCTGGGGTTGCGGTGCTCATCTCGCTTTATTGGCTGAGGGAGCCGGCGTACAGTTTCCGGGTCATGTGGCCAGCATGACTAAGACGCTCCTGGCAAACCAGAGCAGCGCACGGAAACGCCGTTTACCTTCCCGCCAGAGCGGTACCTATTTATCTACTTGCACTGGTGTGCTTTCGAACTGCTAGGTTGGCAGGAGCAGGGACTGAACAACGGGAGCTCACCCCGTCGCAGGGATTCAAACCGCCGACCTTCTGATCGGCAAGTCCTAGGCTCTGTGGTTTAACCCACAGTGCCACCCGCGTCCATTAATTCACCTGCCTGGAGGTCGGGCGAGTGCTTCTCCCCTCACTATGCCATCCCCTGCCGCTCGTAAATTCATACCTTGGATTTCCTGGCTGTATGGGTCCTCAACTTTCACCGCCGGATCCAGCACTTTGAAAATCACCTACAGAGAAAGGTTAAGATGTACATGCAATTTTTACCCTAATGGAATAAATAGCAGCTGGGGGTGGGGGATTTTCATCAGGAAAGTGGGTTGGGAGGAAAGGGTTAAACCCTTCCTCTCCTCCCACAGCTGATATTTGCTACAATTTAAAAACAGAAGATCCGATCATGGATCTCTGCCATTTTGGCCAGTTAGGCCCCAACGCTTGCGTATCCATCTAGCAAAACTGAAAGAGACTATTCCATTATCGCACCCAGCAAAACTTATTTACACTGCTGAATTTATCTTAATGCTGCCAGCGTTTTCAGCCGTACGCAATTATTTCCCATATAGTCAATAAACGTTTTCCAATCCTCTTTAAATGTATGTTCTTCTTGTTCTCTTATTCTATATGTTAGAATATGGCAGAATTGAGCATTTCCCAAATTCATCCCCAGATTAAAAATCTGAATTTGACAAAATTTTGATTAGTATCTGGCCATGAAATGCTAAACCTCATTTTGTTTTGTTTTTGTGGGATTTTTTTTTTGGGGGGGGGAGTAAAGGTGGCTCTGCTCCTTAATCCTACTTTAGCAGGTTAGCACTGACCTCGCCATGGCTGGAGGGCTCAATCTCAGAGTATCGCTGGTCGCAGATCGCCTGGTTGACGTGTGTTGGGACTTGCATGGGGACGCCAGGGAAGAGCTTGGAGCAGTTGAAGGCAAAGTAGCGATAAACCTTCCAGCTGTGCCCGAAATCTGACGAACGTTCAATCAACATGGCCGCTGGGCGGAATGTCTGCATGAGAAAAGGGGAGCAAAGTGGACAGTTGAGTTTCAGTGTTCCTTCTCCAACCAATCTGCCCCCTCAACCACAAAAAGTAACTCTTAAATAAAAACCTAAAACATTTCAGCAAAGCAAGGCAGGTGCTTGTGAACAGGAGAAACTGGGTTTTCTCATTGCAGGTTCGGAGAGTTTTCAGGTGCTCTGCAGATTCCACACGGGCAAGTGGAGGAATGACCGCATTTTACCGTATTTTTTGCTCTATAAGACTCACTTTTTCCCTCCTAAAAAGTAAGGGGAAATGTGTGTGCGTCTTATGGAGCGAATGCAGGCTGCGCAGCTATCCCAGAAGCCAGAACAGCAAGAGGGATCGCTGCTTTCGCTGCTCAGCGATCCCTCTTGCTGTTCTGGCTTCTGAGATTCAGAATATTTTTTTTCTAGTTTTCCTCCTCCAAAAACTAGGTGCGTCTTGTGGTCTGGTGCGTCTTATAGAGCGAAAAATACGGTAATTTGCTTGTGAGCGAATTTTTGCTTCTAGCATCTCAACTCCTCCAGCATTACTCTAGGATTCTGGGACAGGCCTGTCGTGTCATCCAGATCCGGGCTTGTAGTGTTTGTTTCGCTCCAAACTAGCCATCAATGGACGCCAAAGTTTGTTGTTGGTTTACCACCACACTAGACATATCGTGAAACGTGACTTTGCATTTAGCACATAAAATATGCAAATAGCAGCCACTGTGAAAGAGGGAGGGCACTGATAATTATCAGGATTGCTGCAGGGAGCAAGAAGGAATTTAAGGAAGGGCTGTAACTCAATGGTAGAGCATCTGTTTTATATGCACAAGGTCCCAGGTTCCATTCCTGGCCTCTCTAGGTGTGGGCTGGCAGACAGCCATGTTTGAAATTCTGAGAAGCTGCTGCCCATTAGTGTGCTAACAGGACTGAGCTCGATGGCCCAGCAGTCTCACTCAGTAAAAAGCAGCCACCTATATTCCTAACCCTTTTCCCCCACTGCAATCCCAAAGAATATCACTCCACTAATCTGCTATTTGCATCAGCAGCCGATCCCTCCATTGGCACTATTTTAATGCCACACCTAATTAGGTTCAGAGACCCATCCACCTTCGGTGTCACCTGCAGAAAGTCAGGGTACCTACTGAAATACATAAAGAATGCCACCGCTGTCTTAGTATTAGAGGTAAGGTAAAGGGGACCCCTGACCATTAGGTCCAGTCGTGGCCGACTTTGGGGTTGCGGCGCTCATCTCGCTTTAATGGCCGAGGGAGCCGGCGTACAGCTTCCGGGTCATGTGGCCAGCATGACTAAGCCGCTTCTGGCGAACCAGAGCAGCGCACAGAAACGCCGTTTACCTTCCTGCTGGAGTGGTACCTATTTATCTACTTGCACTTTGACGTGCTTTTGAACTGCTAGGTTGGCAGGGGCAGGGACCGAGCAATTGGAGCGGGGATTCGAACCGTTGACCTTCAGATCGGCAAGTCCTAGGCTCTGTGATTTAACCCACAGCACCACCCGCACCCCTAGTATTAGAGGTAGCGGTGCTTATTGGGTATTTCATCAGCAGTGCTCCTGTTAGTTCCTATAAAGGCATCTAGTATTCATTGCACTGCTTCCGCCCATTTGGTAGAGATCTCAGTACCTTAAACTTCATTATGAGGTGAGTAAAGTGGAACTCGGCTTCCAGGTCCAAGGAGATGCTGACCTGCTCTACACCTGTGGAAGTAGTGAGAGAGAAGGACAGAAGTTAGACTAGGAGCACCCCTCATTTAAATACGTTGTGGGAGAGGAAATTTCCCTCGATGCAAGACTTACACGGGTCCCATTTTGGCCTGAAAGGCTGTTTTCCCTAAACCACAGTACAGTGGTACCTCAGGTTACATACGCTTCAGGTTACAGACTCTGCTAACCCAGAAATAGTACCTCGGGTTAAGAACTTTGCCTCAGGATGAGAACAGAAATTGTGCTCCGGCGGCGCGGCAGCAACAGGAGGCCCCATTAGCTAAAGTGGTGCTTCAGGTTAAGAACAGTTTCAGGTTAAGAACGGACCTCCAGAACGAATTAAGTTCTTAACCCAAGGTACCACTGTACCTTACCCACCTGCCCCACACCTGACATCCTATGTCAGCTGCACCACTGAGCTCCCTGTAAGGAACTGACCACATAGTTCCGTGGTGGCCAAACTTGGCCCTCCTGCTGTTTTTGGACTACAACTTCCATCATCCCTAGCTAACAGGACCAGTGGTCAGGGATGATGGGCTCTGTAGTCCCAAAACAGCTGGAAGGCCAAGTTTGGCCACCACTTGCGTAGTTGATCCCTGCAGAAAGCAGTCTTGAAGCTACTTTCTGTCAGCTGATAAGCGGATATCAGTGGCTCTTTGGCAGCACAGGATCTTTGCAAACGCAGCCTGGTGCTTTGAACTCCCAATCATTCTCAACTGATGTGATTGCGATGTCAGGCGATTGACAGGTGGGCAGCCCTGCCCACCTGTCCAATTTGGCCAATGATGGGTATTGGCCTACCAGGCAGATCAAGTAAGGTAAGGTAACTTATGTTCCCGCCTTCCCCTGTAGGTTTGCTCACTCCTATGCCTTGAGTGAGTGAGGCTTGGCTTAGATACATTTGATCACAACCTTGGAAATGGTATAAAAGAGGTTTTATTATTGTTTGTACTTATTCCCCCTGTTTCTCTGCTCTCATTTTCCCCGTTCTGCTTTGGTTTCTGAGTTCTACTTCCTGAGGCTTCAAATCCTGAAAAACCTGTTTAGGAAGAGACCATAGTAGGACCAAAGAAAGAAAGGATATGTGTGCCTGCAGACAAAAACAGCTCTGCCATACTACCTTCAAGGCTCTGAAATAACATCGCCTAGGCTCATAATCTCCTGATAAAAATTGCATGTTATAATAGAGATTTATGAATGCATCTCTGGTTTGGGAATGAGGCACGGGAGCTTAACCCTTTACACTCAAGCCTGTTTCCTGGTTAAACGCCACCCACCTCAGTGTCCAGGCCAAACAATGGGGGTGGAGACGATCCTTCAGGTATACAGGGCTGGAGCCATGTAGGGCTTGAAACCAAAACTTTGAATTGTGCTCGGAAATGTACTGGCCTGCAATGGTAAAGGTAAAGGATTCCTGGATGGTCAAGTCCAGTCAAAGGTGACGATGGGGTTGCGACACTCATCTCGCTTTCAGGCCAAGGGAATTGGCATTGGTCAGCAGACAGCTTTCCGGGTCATGTGGCCAGCATGACTAAACCACTTCTGGCACAACGGAATACTGTGACGAGTGCCAGAGAGAACAAAAATGCTGTTTACCTTCCCGCCACAGCGGTACCTATTTATCTAATTGCACTGGTGTGCTTTCGAACTGCTAGGTTGGCAGGAGCTGGGACAGAGCAACGGGAGCTCACCCCGTCGCATGGATTCAAACCGCCGACCTTCCGATCGGCAAGCCCAAGAGGTTCAGTGGTTTAGACCACAGTGCCACCCGCGTCCCGCCTGCCTGCAGTGATTGGGGCTGGGCATGTTCTGGCCTTATGAACATTAGAGCATATTTGAGTATTTCCACACTAGATATTTAATGTGGACTTGCCATGCTTTCTTCACTTTTTTTTCAGGGCATCCCACACAAAACCATTGTTGAATCATTGTCATCTTGTATTTTCTGTGTGGTTTGTCTTTTACCATGCCACAGGAAGTCCAACATTTTCAGAACAGAAAAGTAACTCAGTCTCCACTGGTGCATTTGGTAAGGTCCAAGGAAAAGGACTCTGAATCTCTTATTATTGACACTTACCATTCTCAGACTGCCACCAGGTCTGCTCACCATCCCGACCACTCAGGTAGATGACATTCTCAATGTGGTGGCTCTCGTGCAGGGACAGGGAGCGTGAGTCACAAAGGAAGCATTTCTCAGAGTCCTGTCAAGAGAGCCATAGTGGATTGAAAATCAACAAAAGCACCATGTAAATCCTCAGAGACAATGTTTGTTTGTTTCTTGTTTCTGTTTTTTTTTTTTTACAAATTCTCTTTGGTCACCAGCTATATATTTTTCAGTGATTGCATTAAACCTATTTGTCTGGACAGTTGTCAGCATTTGGAAATCTTGGTTTTTAAAGGGTGATAGGTCAGTAGGATTCTACTTTAGTTACACTCTTCTTGTTTTGTATTATTATCACTTCCATTTGCTTCTTCCCATGGTTTTTGTTTTGGTAATCTGGTTATCGGGTGTAAGCTAGCATAAGTGAGAAGGAAAATGAAATAAATAATTTTAAAAGAACTCTAAATGCCATTGGTCGGGGGGCGGGGGTGGGGAATCCTCAGAGAATACCCCCCTCCCTCACTGATAGAGTTATTATCACCTATAATTAGAGGAAGACACAAACCACACTTGGTGGACACACTTTACTTTTGCCCAGCTGTTTCCAGGCACAGGTTTGTGCTTAAAAGTTCTGTATCCGAGTGATTTATTGTTTTTAGTTTTTGTTCCGAAGCTTTCCTTTGAAAACCCGCTCTTTAGCGTTCAACCAGAGCAAACGTCAATTTGGATTTTGCGCAGATTGCCATTTGCTCCAATTGAGCTTTAAAGAGCAGACTTCTGCAGGGGAAGTTCCAGAGCAAAAAAAAGGGGGGGCACTCAAACACAGAGCTTTAAAGTGCAGACCATGCCTGGGAAAAGTAGAGTGGATAAGCCCACTGTCTTAAAGACTGAGGACACTCCTGCAACTGTACATTTAAAAAAACATTCTACAATCATTTAAATAATGCCTTCCGCCAAAGAATCTCAGGGAATGTAGTTTTCTCCTCACAGAGCTTGAATGTATTCTAAATGTATGGCGTAGGTGTGACCTGACACCCTGATGTAACCAGGCTTTGAAAATAGACTAGGTTCCGTTGGTTAAACGCTGAGCTATATTCTTAGGAGCTTCTAAGTATTCTAGAACAGAAAACCTTTTGCTCTTTGGGCCGTTGAACATCTTCTCAGGCTCTAGACAGGGCCTGTCCACGCAAGGAGAGTCACTGGGCTTTCCTGGATAGGAAGGGCTATGAATGGCTACTGGAACATTGCCTCAAAAGTCTTTCCGCTCCCTGCAGTTAAAAAATCACAGGGTTTTCCTATTGCTGCAGCAGACCCAACACACCTTTCCTGTAACAATTCTGAAGGTACTGTACACAAACATCCCGGAAATGCAATTGTCCCTCTGGCCAGCAAGTTGACAACTCCTTTTTCATCATCAACTTCTCCCTCCCTGTTCTTTCACCCTTGGCCAACACCCATGTGGCATTACCTGCAAATGGCTGACGATGCAGTACTCCTGAGGCCCCTCCAGGCCACATGTGGATGTGGCGCTCAACCTCTGCGTCCTCCCAATGAGAAGATTCCCTGTGGCTGGATAGCAGCTCCCCTCTGAACAGCCATGGTACAACAGGTCGGGCGATTCTGTGCCCTGAGCATCGGCTAACCGGACTGGCCAGGAAAGAAAGAAAAAGCCCGAGGCTGTTTTAGGGTCTTATGATCTGTCCACTGTCAAAAGTTCCTAAAATAGGTGTCAGGGCTGCATGTAAAAGCTGCACAGAAGGCACCACAGAAATGTCATCCTGTTTTCCTTATGGAAAGAAAAGCCAGTACAGTGGTACCTCGGGTGAAGTACTTAATTCATTCCGGAGGTCTGTTCTTAACCTGAAACTGTTCTTAACCTGAAGCACCACTTTAGCTGATGGGGCCTCCTGCTGCCGCCGCGCCGCCAGGAGCCCAATTTCTGTTCTTATCCTGAAGCAAAGTTCTTAACCTGAAGCACTATTTCTGGGTTAGCAGACTATTTCTGAGTCTGTAACCTGAAGCGTATGTAACCTGAAGCGTTTGTAACCCGAGGTACCATTGTACATCTAACTTTTCCCATCTAAGCAAAGATCTGGAACCTGGTCTATAAAGTAATTGTCTGTGATACCTGCTGTCTCCATATGAAAAGGGGGAGTGGGAGAACCAACTCTGGGAAGGACTGATTGTCCCCCCAGATTCTCATCTCCAAACCACTCATACACTTCAGAGAATCGAAGGCTGTTTGTGGCACGCATTATGTGAAAATTCTAATCTCCCCCACCATTTTGTCTTCAAGATAATGCCCATGGCAGAATGACATGATTGTGGATCTTGAGATTAAATAGTTGAGAGCCTCTAAGCTTTCTTCTCCATTTTTAATTTGATATTCAAACACCTCAGATGATCTCCATGAATACATTTGGGATATTTCAGTAAAACTGAGCAGGCAACTAAGCCCTTAGATTAGGAACACTATTCAAGAGCTCGCGGCCCAAAGCAAGTTTATAATAAGATCAGGAGAACTACTGGGCATCGTATTCTTTCTTTTTCTAAAGTATTTTTTATTGAGTTTGATCCGTATAACCTAAATATTAAAAAAGAACTTCATGAGACAAACACATGAAAACTAAACCAAACCAAACTAAGGCTGGCATGGGATGTTACTATTTTAAAAAAAAAAGTTAAAGCTTGTTTATCATTATTAAGTAGAGAGAATAATGGGCATCCTATTATTGATCCTAGGTGCAAAAGGGGTCCTTTACCTTTACCTTTTTATACAGTGGTACTTCGGGTTACATACGCTTCAGGTTACATACGCTTCAGGTTACACACTCCGCTAACCCAGAAATAGTGCTTCAGGTTAAGAACTTTGCTTCAGGATAAGAACAGAAATCGGACTCCGGCGGCACGGCAGCAGCAGGAGGCCCCATTAGCTAAAGTGGTGCTTCAGGTTAAGAACAGTTTCAGGTTAAGTACGGTCCTCCGGAACAAATTAAGTACTTAACCCGAGGTACCACTGTACTGCTTTAACATTTATGGCTTCCCCCTAAAAAAATCCTGGGCTCTGTATTTTAGTTGAGGGTGCTGAGGTACAGTTCCAGGGTTCTTTAGGGGAAGCAATGGGTGTTAGAGTGGCATAATGGTATGGTATGTTGTGGATGCGTCCTAGCTCTCATCCCAAATATTACATTTCAAAATTGCGAGAAAGATGTGGCACCTGTTCATACCATCCTCTTGTGAGGTGTGTGTGTGTGTGTGTGTGTGTGTGTAAACACTGTAACACTGCACCCCGAGGACCTGACCTAAATCTGTCATGGAAGCTCGCGAGTGGTCCTTCCACCTTTTGATGGTACCCCCCTTTTGTTGCTCACCCAGTCGCATGAAGCAGCACTTGAGACTGGTGAAATAAGAACCCTTCCCTTCCTTGCTACACCTTCTCCTCCTCAGCGTCAGCAGAAAGCGTCCGTCACATGCTGAAGCTTTTAATACCAGAGCACAAAGGGTGCTTGTTAGTACTGGCAGAACACGGGGCTGACCTGCCTACGACCCTGTCAGTCTTCGGATCAGAAAGTGGGGGGGGGGGGGAGAGGAGAGAAGGTCTGCATGTGCCAGGATCCTAGCGCTGATGATGGCGTCAGGAGGACTTTGTCAAAGGAATACTGTTAAGGAGAAAGCGGAAGCAGGCTACGAGTCCCTGATCCGGTCCAAGAGCTACAGCTCTCACAGCAACCGCTGGCGTCTCCTGCGAACGGTCTTGGGAGCAAAGAACAAAACTAGGTTCGCGAAGAAGCTGGATAAATGGATGCTATGATTGCACTTGCATTCAGTGGGCCGGCCCTACCATTAGGCAGAGCAAGGGATGTGGGATGGGCGGCGGCAGTGCACACTCCCCCTTCAACATTTTCCTTGAGACCCCTAAGCTAGCCTTAGGTAAAGGTAAAGGGACCCCTGACCATTAGGTCCAGTCGTGACCGACTGTGGGGTTGCGGCGCTCATCTCGCTTTATTGGCCGAGGGAGCCGGCGTACAGCTTCTGGGTCATGTGGCCAGCATGACTAAGCCGCTTCTGGCAAACCAGAGCAGCGCACGGAAACACATTTACCTTCCCGCCGGAGCGGTACCTATTTATCTACTTGCACTTTGACGTGCTTTTGAACTGCTAGGTTGGCAGGAGCAGGGACTGAGCAACGGGAGCTCACCCCATCACAGGGATTCGAACCGCCAACCTTCTGATCGGAAAGTCCTAGACTCTGTGGTTTAACCCACAGCGCCACCTGCATCCCTAGCTAGCCTGCCCGGTGCCAATTTTGCTGCCTGCTGCCTCAGGTGTGGGGGAAGCTGTTGTTCTTTTACCAGTGTTGAAGGAAGCTTCAATTACCAGTCTGACCTGTGTGTGTGTGTGCTGTATGTCCTTCCTTCAGGCACCAAAATGTCTCGGGCCAGCTTTGGTCATGTGTAAAGCAGTCCCCCAAGCCAGAGGAGCTCTGGAGGACAGGCCTTTGCCCATCCCATGTCAACAAACATGGAGGGTAAGACCACCCATGGCCACCCGCCAAAATGGCCACTAGCCATAGACATCTGGTTTGCCGCTGTGATATCAGGATAGCAGGTGAGGTGGGCCTTTGGCCTGACCCCGCAGGCCTCTCCTTATGTTTATATTCTCATGCACACGTTCCAGCAGGGTGCGGCTGCCCTCCGCTTGCTGCATATCCGGTTCAGTCCAGCAAGCGCTGCCCCTTCTCCTACCCACAACTCCTGCCAATGATTAACCACAAAATATGGCTGTCCAGCCAAAGGCATGTCCTGGAAGCATTCCAAAGCAGCCTCACCTGGGCACACCGTGTAGTTTATTTCTTTAAAAAGACACAAGGTGTATGTGTGTGTCTGTCGGGGTGTGTTTCAAGACTGCCTGCAAGCCACACTTTCTGCCATCGAATGCCTTTCTGCTGGTTCATAGATATGTGTAAATATTAAGTAGGGGAGATTTCTGTTGATAACGACGCTGATGTGAAACGTGTCTCCCGTTTCGTTTCTGCACATGAACTTCAGTGCTGAACAGCTTAGTAAAAAACGTTGGCCACCATGGAGCTAGCTGTGACTAAGGAGGGGAAGGCACTCTGCACATGTTCAATTGCTGCCTTTTCAGTTTATTGCTTTACATGTCCCAGAGTGAAACTCTGATAATGACAGCAAATCTTGGGACTAAACGGAGTATCCTGTTCTTCTGAGCTGCTCTTGAGTGTTATAGATAAACGAATATTACTGAAGAATACTTCATCATAAGGTCCTAGACTAGAGAGATATTGGATTGTGAGATAAGGTGGGAGATGATAGATAGATAGATGATAGATCGATCGATCGATCGATCGATAGATAGATAGATAGATAGATGATCGATAGATGATAGATAGATGATAAATGGATAGATATACCGTATTTTTCGCTCTATAAGATGCACCAGACCACAAGACGCACCTAGTTTTTGGAGGAGGAAAACAAGAAAAAAAATATTCTGAATCTCAGAAGCCAGAACAGCAAGAGGGATCGCTGCGCAGTAAGAACAGCAATCCCTCTTGCTGTTCTGGCTTCTGGGATAGCTGCGCAGCCTACATTCGCTCCATAAGACGCACACACATTTCCCCTTACTTTTGGGGAGGGAAAAAGTGAGTCTTATAGACCAAAAAATACGGTAGATAGCTAGCTAGCTAGCTAGATGATAGATAGATATAGATAGATGATAGAGATAGATAGATAGACAGATAGAGATGAGAGAGAGAGAGAGAGAGAGAGATATAGATAGATAGATGATAGATAGATAGATAGATAGATAGATAGATAGATAGATGATAGATAGATAGATGAAGAAGAGTTTGGATTTGATATCCTGCTTTATCACTACCCTAAGGAGTCTCCAAGCGGCTAACATTCTCCTTTCCCTTCCTCCCCCACAACAAACACTCTGTGAGGTGAGTGAGGCTGAGAGACTTCAGAGAAGTGTGACTGGCCCAAGGTCACCCAGCAGCTGCATGTGGAGGAGCGGGGACGCGAACCCAGTTCACCAGATTATGAGTCTACCACTCTTAACCACTATACCACACTGGCACCACACTGATAGATAGATAGATAGATAGATAGATGATCAAGGAAGCTTGTAGAAGGGCATGAGTTCAGGTACTACCAGCATGACTTTGCCCTGCAACATAGAAAGCAATTGAAAATAATTTGCTTCAACACATGCAGAGTGCCTCTGCCACATGTTAACCACAGTCTAACACCATGCATCTGGGATCATGAATAGGGCTTTAAGGAAGGTTCGAACCCAAGCTTTTTCGGAAATTAGTCATTGATCAATAGGAGTTATACCACCATCACTTGCGCATGCACTGGCTTTTGGGAATATTTCTGGGCACAGGTCGCCACAGGGAGGTGTGGAGCGGAGACTGCAGTAGGTAGAAAGTATCTTTTGTTGCCGAGCTGGTGCAGGTTCGGCCTTGCCTTGTTCCTACCAGTCCCTGATGTGTCTCGTTCAGGATGGGCCTTCCGGCATGTCTTGTGCACAGCACGCGTCTAGGCACGCTGCCACACGCAGGCCCTCACCAAACACTGGCAGAGAATATACACATGCCAGACACAGTCAGTCAAGAAAGCCTATATGGCACATGAGAAACTTGGTGTCTCTACAGAATAAACACACCCTGGCAGGGGTGCCAACTTGAATAAAATATTTTTTGGGGGGAGGGCAAGTAAACAGTGTTCGAAACTCCCATTGTTCCAGGCGCATTTTGCAACAGGGAATTTCATTAGCGCGAGCAGTTTCTGAGCCCTGGGCGCGGTACCGCACCTAAGATTTCAGATTAAAACTGCAGAGGGGAAGGAAAGGAGGACCTTTTTCTGCCTCCCCACTTCCAGCTACTCTCTGAAGACTGGAGAAAAGACCCTCTTAAGAATATTAGGGGGTGGGGTGGACAGGGGAAGGACTAGACCACGTGAAAAATGAACACAATGTTTTAGCTGCAGTTCATTCATTTCCAGCTTCGTATTCTTGTTATACAGTGGTACCTCTGGATGCGAACGGGATCCGTTCCAGAGGCCCATTCGCAACATCAAAAAGAGCGCAACCCGCAGCGGCGTGTCTGCGCATGTGCGGGTTGTGATTCGTCGCTTCCACGCATGCGCGTGACGTCATTTTGCACTTCTGTGCATGCACAAGCGGCGAAACCCAGAAGTAACCCTTTCCAGTACTTCCGGGTCGCCGTGGGACGTAACCTGAAAGAACGTAACATGAAGCGGACGTAACATGAGGTATGACTGTATATTTAAAAAGCACACCTAGCCTTTCCACTGTTGCGCCCATAACCTAGGTTTAAGGAGCCACCTCTAGGATCTCAGGTAAACGTCTTTCTCATCACCTGCTACCTGGTTGGTCTAACTTACGAGATGCCAAGCTTTGAACCTAGGACCTTCCACATGCAAAACAGGTGGAATCCTGGAATCTTAGAACTCCAGCACTGGAAGGGACCACAATGGTCATCTAGTCAAAGCCCCCAGCAATGCAGGAAACTTTTGCCCAACATGGGGCTCAAACCCACAATCCTGAGTTTCATGCTCTACCGACTGAGCTATCCCAGCTGGCTCAGAGCACACCATGCATTTAAAACACATCCATCACAGGTTTAGAACACAGAACTTCCCCCAAAGTATATCAGGAACTGTGACCTCCTTGTAGTTCCCAGCACCCGTAACAATCTACAGTTCCTAAGATTCTTTTGTGTTACAAACCTAGGGTCCCCCAGGGTCCTGCAGGTGCGCAGAATTCAGGATTGTAGCGCTGCAACGGAAGGAGAAATTGCCCCAGCAAAAACAAAACCTTCTTTATAGGCAAATAAGGAGCATGGGAAAGCCCTTTACAGTCATACCTCATGTTACGTCCGCTTCATGTTACGTCCTTTCAGGTTACGTCCCGCGGCAACCCGGAAGTACCAGAAAATGGTTACTTTCGGGTTTCGCCGCTTGCGCATGCGCAGAAGGGCAAAATGACATCACGCACATGTGCAGAAGCGGCGAATCGCAACCCGTGCGTGCGCAGACAAGCCGCTGCAGGTTGCACTCTTTTCATGTTGCGAACGGGCCTCCGGAACAGATCCCGTTCGCAACCAGAGGTACTACTGTATTTGGAAATGTGGTACTCTTGTTCAGTATGTAGTCAATGGAACTGAAACCACCTTCAGATTAGCAGGCAACCGCATGTAAAGAGACTGAGGGCTTGCCCACACTTCCGCTTGTCCCGCTGCTCTCCTCCGGAAAAGCTGATCTTTACTGCCAAATCGCAACAAATATCCATTTGGTTTTCTGCGGAATGGCTTTTGTTCTGATTCAGTGGCAAAGAGAGGGTTTTCCTGGTGAAAGGTGGTGCGGCAAATGGAAAACCACTCAGACCCGTGCTTTCCAGGCAAGGGCCAAAGCAGAACTGTGGACAAGCTGTTACACACCCAGGAATAACAACAACAACAACAACAACCATCCCCACAGGGATGTGTCCCAAGTCTGAGCACTTACCCCACAGAAGCAAGTAGAGAAGCAATGCCATGGGCAGCATGGGAAGTTTCAACCTGAAGAGAGAAAAAAGAAAACAGGTAGCTCAACAGGGTTGTCCCCTTTCTGCCTCCCTCAAAAAACATTGTGGATATATTACATACTAGTGGGAAGGACCTCTGAAGGGCTAGGGCTTCATTCGTGAGGGGGAAATATCAGGCGTACAAATGGCTTGAGCAGGGGTAGGCAACCTAAGGCCCAGGGGCCAGATGCGGCCCAATCACCTTCTCAATCCGGCCTGCGGACGGTCCAGGAATCAGCGTGTTTTTACATGAGTAGAATGTGTCCTTTTATTTAAAATGCATCTCTAGGTTATTTGTGGGGCCTGCCTGGTGTTTTTACATGAATAGAATGTATGCTTTTATTTAAAATGCATCTCTGAGTTACTTGTGGGGCATAGGAATTCGTTCTTCTTCTTTTTTTCAAAATATAGTCCAGCCCCCCACATGGTCTGAGGGACGGTGGTCCGGCCCACGGCTGAAAAAGGTTGCTGACCTTTGGGCTTGAATATAGGATGGGTGGAGTTAGGGTATGAGGCACAGAGCCCAGAAGCAGTCCTTCCCCCAAGCTGGTTCCCCTCCAGATGTTTGGAAGAACATCATCCCCAGTACAGGCAGTGTTTGGGGAAGATAGGTGCTGTAGTGTCCAAAACTTCTGAAGGGCACCAACTGGGCTAAGGGTGGCCCAGAGAAATATCTTCTAGAAGGCCTTGAGGCCTGATCCGGCGGGGGGGGGGGGATCTACCAATCTGGGCCCCATCTGCACTGTAAATCTAATGCAGTATCATACCGCTTTAAACAGTCATGGCTTCCCCCACAAAGAATTCTGGGAACTGTGGTTCGTTAAGGGCACTGTTGAGAGTTATTGGGAGACCCCCCCTTCCCCTCAGAAAGCAACCATTCTCAGAGTGGCTTAAACGGTCAATCCCTCTTCCCAGGGAATTATTGTTTATGTGAGAGGAATGTTTAGGGAAGCTTTTAATGTTTGATGCATTACTGTATTTTAATATTTTGTTGGAAGCCGCCCAGAGTGGCTGGGGAAGCCCAGCCAGATGGGCGGGGTATAAATAAATTATTATTATTATTATTATTATTATTATTATTATTATTATGGGGGTCTCCTAACAAACCCTCAGCATCCTTAGAATTCCCAGGATTCTTTGGGGAAAGTCATGACTACTCAAAGTGATGTCATGGTGCTTTAAATGTGTGGTGCAGATGGGCGCCAGGTTTTTGGGTGGTTGTTTCCTTAACCCGCCTCCCCCCCCCCAAGTTCAGACTAATTCACTGCTGGTCCACACGTGATTTTAAAATCTGTATGGATTTACATAAAGACACCTGCAAATTGTGTCATGTGGGCTTGTTTGTTTGTGCCCTCTGGGGAACAAATTCAGCCGGAATTTTACGTGTGAGAGGTAGAAGAAGAATTTGCAAGGCTGGGTATAAGCGGAAGTGGTCAAAGGAAAAGGCGGTTGTGTGTCCAAGTGTTGAGGGAAGAGAAATCACATGAGAAGAAGGTTGGATCCTGAGGAGGCAACCGAAGAGTAAGGCCGCATACGCAGCATACATTTAAAGCACCAAGAATCCCGGGAACTGTAGTTTGTTAGAGGCGCTGGGGACCGTAGCTCTGTGAGGAGGGATAAACCACCGTTCTCAGGAGGGGAAAGCCATGTGCTTTGAATGTATGACGTATACACAGTTGTGAGGACTTTTTTGGGGGGATGGGGGCAGCTGCAAGTTGTCCCTCTAAACCTGTGGTTCCCAACACGGGGCACATGCCCCACAGTGGGCAATTTGATTTTTAAGGGGGGTAATTCGAGAATGAGTTATTAACAGTGAATGGCCTTTTAGGCTTCCTCCACGTGAATAGGAGTTCACTTTTTGAATAACAAGAATTATACGTCACGGGGAGGGGGGGCACCAGGATTTTAGAGATGCTTGGGAGGGGCATGGCCAAAGAAAAGCTTAGGAACCGCTGCTCTAGACACAGACCCCGCCACTTCCACCTCCAAAATTCCCTGCAGCTTGTGGAAAAAAAACACTCAGGAACTCCCCGACACCAAACTCTACATAGTTCCAAATTTCCACCACACACACAAACACACCCTTTCGAGCTACGTAGAAAGCACACAGCCATCACCTCTGTGACACCCTCGACAGCAGAAACCTCATTCCTCCTGCCCTGGAGGCAGATTTGATGGGGGGGGAATATTGTTCAAGCGGACACAGCGGCCCCCATCCTCCCGGCAGAGCCAGCTTCCTCGAGCTGCTCCTCAGAGATGCCCTTATAATACTCACCTCGGGGCTGGGGCTGCCCTGGCCTCTTCAGGTACTGATGCATCTGCTGCTGCTGCAAATAAGGGGCACGGGAGATTTGGGGAGCGAGAAGCCGGGTCGATGTCTTCCGCTCTCCCTCGCTCGCCCCGACCCACCCACAGCCCTGCAAGAAAGTCCGCTCCTGCCCCGTCGACCAAGAGTCCCAAGTCTGCCGCTGTCCAAGCCGCGTGAGAACTCCGGCCGTGCGAACTTAACTGGCGGTGGGTAAAAATAACCCGGCTCTCCCCCAACCCCTCCTCTCTCAGTGTGGGCAAGCGGGGCTGGAGACTGATTTTTATTCAAATGGAGCCGGGACTCTGAAAGGGACTAACGGTCTCTAAGCTACGGGAATTGTCACAGCCTATTCTTTCTGCTCCGCGGCACACACAGCCTGCCCTGCTGCAAGCACAGGCCCAGGGCCGGCTCGCTGGAAGGGGTGAAAAAGGCTGGAGGATTCTTCCTCGGGGGGGAGACAAAAATACAAGGCCCCAGCGACCCTCCCAGTCCAGCCTCGCCTGCCTTGGGGAGATGGTTGTCTGGGAGGTGAAAGCTAGATACAGGAGGTGCGCGCACACACACACACACACCATACACCCCCCCAAAAAAGGAATCACAAGAACTGTAGTTTACCCTTCAGAGAACTACCATTCCCAGCGCCCTTAACAAAACACGGTTCCAAGGTTCTTGGGGTAGGTGGGTGTGCTTTAAATGTGTGGTGTATATGTAGCTTTTATATGCCTGTTGTCTTTGCCCATGGAGTTTTCTTGGCAGGGATACTGGAGTGGCTTGCCGGTTCCTGCTCCAGGTGGATCACGTTTGGTTGAAACTCTTCACTATGACCTGTCCATCTTGGGTGGAGTGCTCACTGGAAGGACAGATCCTGAAGCTGAGGCTCCAATACTTTGGCCACCTCATGAGAAGAGAAGACTCCCTGGAAAAGACCCTGATGTTGGGAAAGATGGAGAGCACAAGGAGAAGGGGACGACAGAGGACGAGATGGTTGGACAGTGTTCTCGAAGCTACCAGCATGAGTTTGACCAAGCTGTGGGAGGCAGTGGAAGACAGGAGTGCCTGACGTGCTCTGGTCCATGGGGTCACAAAGAGTCGGACACGACTAAACGACTAAACAACAACAATATGTAACTTTAGTCTAAAATCTGACTTTTTCTGGGTGAGGGTTTGGTCTCTCACTGCACCTGCCAGTTGCCACAGCTCTGCTGAGGGAAACTTGCAGATATCAGGAGTGGCTAGAATTGTGCCCATTGCTCATTTCTGCTCCAGTCTGCTCAGCGTAAGAATGAGGGTCAAACTTGATTCGGTTTGCATTTAAAGGAGAACCTACTTCATTTGCAGTTTCTGAAACAATTCGCGAACTGAAACAACCTTCGCCTCGGAAATCCGTATGTCTCCAAATTTTGCAGCTGTCTAGCCAAGGAATACACGGGGGGGGGGGGGCGGGGGCGGGGGGGGAAATGCATGGACTGGGGCAACATGTGCATAAAAATGCATACATACAAAACTAGGGGAAATTGCTTTGCAAAAATGTGTAAAATAGGCACAATTTCACAGGCAAGTATATCAGGATAAATTCGCACTCGAATGCCAATGAATTTTCCCGGGGGCCTTTGAAAGCAAAACAGCAAAGCGTTTTGCAGAACTGAGCTTAAGGCTGGAAAAAACGAAGAAATGAGAGAAACGAAGGTTGACAGATTTACCCATCCCTAGTTCATAGAGAAGCTCACTGCCCCTTGAACGGCATGCTAAACAAGATCAACACCCCAGATTGCCGGTCCCCTGGCTGGGACAAGAGTTCACGGCCTGGTAGCCAAGGGAGCCTGTAGCGGCCGCTGCCGAGAAAAGAAAGCTGAGCACACAGCGCTGGCTTGGCCCGAAATTGGAAGCTGTGGGGACAAAAGAAGTGGCCAAGCCCATGCCTTGCCCAGCCACAGTCCGTTCCCAGGGAGCCTGGCAGCAGCCCGGCAGGAATGCACTTGTTGTGTCTTGCACCAGGCTTTCTCATAAAAGCACCAAGAATAGCTTATCCTCTCCCATTCTAAGCAACTCTCCCTGCCCAGCCTCCCTTCGGCTTTGATGGGATGCTTCCCTTTCACAGAGGGGGCAGGGTGGGAAACAGCCAGTGGCTCCCACCCCCCACCCACCCCTTTACGGCCTTCATCAATGGCTTCTCCAGGCAGAAAAGCAGAGCTATTCCTGAAGCTGGGCTTTTTAAATATATATTCTCCCTTGGCACTGGGTTGCCAGGGGCTATTCCTCCTGCTCTGCACTGAGGATGGGGAGTATAAAGCGTGGAATGGGGGCAAAAGTCCAGAGAGCCAGGAACCATTGCCTCCCCCGAAGACAAAAACAGGGGTTTGGCAATGAACACCGAGAGCAGGCCAAGCCGTCGTGTGGGCTATGCATTTCCACCATGTGAGGGCATGCCTGCGGATCAGGTAGCCAGCTGATGTACTCAGCATCATCATGTGCTCCACCAGCAGAAATTAAATGGACAGGCCCTTTTATTAATGTGTAGCAACAGGATTATCCCCCACCCCCGTTAATGATACAGAAACTCTGCCAGCAATTAAGTGGTGGCCACACCTAAGAGAGGGGGGTCTCAGGTTCTTTTATCTTTTCATTAGTTGTTGCTGCTTACCTGTGAAGGTATGCAAGCAGCCTAGACTCCCTGCCCTGCTGGGCTTCCATCATCATCATCATCATCATCATAATTTATTATTTATACCCCGCCCATCTGGCTGGGTTTCCCCAGCCACTCTGGGCAGCTTCCAACAAAATGCACACGTCCTGATCAACTCAATCATGGACATACCAAAATTATTAGGGTACACTGAGCCAGGTATCTTGATAGCTGAGACATGCTGATTACTGTACTGCAGACACTGCATTTTTACATTTCTCCCCCAAAACGGAGTGTATCCCCCAAGGGTTAAGTTGATCCTACACTAGCTAGATACAGTGGACGCTTGGGTTGCGAATGTGATCCATGCGAGAGGCAAGTTTGAAACCCGCAGTGTTTGCAACCCGCAGCGCCGCGTCTAAGCATGCAAAGCGTGATTTAGCGCTTCTGCGCATGTGCGAGTGCCAAAACCCGGAAGTAACCTGTTCCAGTACTTCTGGGTTTTGGCGCATCCATAAACTGAAAACGTGTAACCCGAAGCGTCTGTAACCCGAGGTATGACTGTAATGGGAAATTTATACCAGAGAAGTCTGGTGTCTGGTTCTATCCTACAAACAGGAGACTCCGAGGATATGGTTAACCTATTTCCAGGCCCCACAAGACAACTGAAATTTCATTACACACGTAGCACGAGACACTCAGGCTGCTAGACTAGGGACTTGGCCACACTTCTGCCTAGAAAGCATGAGTCTGAGTGGTTTTCCATTTGCCCTTGCCACTTTCCCCAGGAAAACCTGCTCTTTGGCGCTGAACTGGAACAAACATCCATCCGCAGGAAAACCAAATGGACGATTGCTCCAATTCAGCAGTAAAGTTCAGGACAAGTATGGATGAGTGCCTAAGTTCAACTCTTCATCCTCTCAACCCGGTGTAAAAAAAAAATCAAATGACTTCATAGACAAAATACATCAAAAGCCGAAGGGCGGAGGGGCAGCTCCTTTTATAATCCATGGCCCAAATTGTCAGATCTGGGTTGTAGAGCCAGAGATTTCATGTAGTCCCAGTCGAGAAGCCCACCTCAAAGTAGGGGGCTGCACATGTTTCTGCACTACAAAAAGAATCTGAACCAACAGAAATGAAATTCAGTGACTCCCATCAATTATACAAATTAAACATAATTGCCCTACTCTTTGAACTGTTTTAAATTGGCTCAGAATGCAACTAATGAAAACTGTAGTTTTAGAAGGGTTTTTTAATTTTATTTTTAAAACTATGATCTGAGACTTTGTCCTTGTAGCAGTGGCTTGGTGAAAAATAGGCCACATTATTATTATTATTATTATTATTATTATTATTATTATTTGCCTTGTCTTCTCTGTGATTGCAACTAAAAATGTTAGATCCACCTCAAGGGGAAAGTCAACTGGTGTGAGTTGCAAGAACTGACTTTCTGCTGTCTTCTTGTGATAGAGTGACTCTTTTAGCAGTGGCAAGATTTGCTTTGGCAGCTTCGAAAAGTCTTTTTTCCCCTTTACTCTTTTATAATGTGATGAACAATATATATATAGAGAGAGAGAGAGAGAGAGAGAGAGAGAGAGAGAGAGAGAGAGAGAGAGAGAGAGAGATAGCATTTTTGGTGTGTGTGATTATTGTTAATGATTGCTTTCTTATTTTCTGTTGTGACCAATGTCTGAAAGAATAAAAGATAGACAGACAGACTGGCCTCTATGTGCTTATTTTGCATAATTTATTCTTTGAGCTGCGGGGCATGGAAAAGAACTATGTAGACTCCTCACACCCCAACTTTTGACAACTGAAAATCTCCAATTTGAGCAGGCACCGCCCAAACACTTGCAAGTCTAACTTCATTGCCTTGAGGGCTAGAAACTTGCTGCCTAAAAAAACACACACACAAAAACTGAAAGCTGAGTTAAGGTTTTTGAATTGCGTGCCAATTTCCAGTTATCGCTGGAACCCTGCATTGTTCTAAAAAGCAGCCTGGTACTTGACTGGGATCCTTACTCTTAATAAGTCCTGAAGGCAAAGTTTAGCTAGAAAAACTCTCTCTCTCTCTCACACACACACACACATGTGTGTCTCTTCCACAGAGCACATCTACTAATATTCTCTCCCTCCCCACTTTTTGGGGCAAACAACCAACACCCACCTTCTCCCATTAAACATGCCAGAATAGAACCATCCCAATTATAGCAAGTGGGGGGTTTTGTGTGTGTGTGTGTCAAACTCAGCTCTTGAGGTCCTCCAAGCAGCTTAGCTGAGCAGAAATCTCAGGATCTGCTGCTTCTTACCCTTCGGCCTATGCTAAGAAACGGATAGTTTGCAAATAAGCTCCCTTTTTTTTTTTGCATTCAGTCAGTCACCTTCCAGCCACCCACCCCGTTGCAAAATAAAATAAAATAACTAGTTACAGGTAGGTAGCCGTGTCAAAACAAAATAAAAAAAATCCTTCCAGTAGCACCTTAGAGACCAACTAAGTTTGTTATTGGCATGAGCTTTCGTGTGCACGCACACTTCTTCAGATCAGAAATAAAATAACTAGACGCCCTTCGCACCCACCCCTCCTTGCCTGGCAGCAGACGGCTGTCTGTTGGGCTTGGAGTGCAGAAGGAAGCCTGGAGTTCTTGCTTGTCAATTTGCCAGGCCTGGGGAATTGGGAGAGAGAAGGGCCCGACTCCTACCTGTTCATGTGTCCCTGCTGCGGTTCTGGGCCTTGGGCAGGCAGCTAGTGGAGTGCTGCACCCCTGGCCAATTTGGGCACATGGGCAGCCCGCACACAAACTCTCCGTGCTCAGTTTCCTTCTCTCTCTCTCTCGCACACATACACACACACACACCTCAAGAGCTGGGCTGTGCTTCCCTGGAGAAAGCTCACAGGCAGCTCCTCCTCCCTTCGTGCGGTGCCAGGCGATGGGAGGGAGAGAGGGGAGGGCTCAGCCCTGCTTTTTGCAGCTCAGCCAAGGTAAGGCAACGGGCCAGGTGGAGGTGCTCCCCTCCCAGCTAGGGAGTGGCGTCATGCCACACAGAAGTATGAGGTGACCTAAGCCAGCGAGGCCCGGCCCGGCTGCTGTAGTCACTGCAGAGAACTCGGGTGGGAGGCAGGTGTGCAGGTGTCTGAGCTGAACTGGGCCCCACGGTGGGCTTGCCCAGCATCCTAAAGCAGTGGATTTGCTTCACAACGCAACAGATATGAAGAGCAGAGCAGGTAGGAGCTCACAGGTTCAGCTCGTGCCCTGCTTGCAGGTTCCAAACAGGCATCGAGTCCAACCCCCTGCCAAACTTGACATGAGCCAACAGTGTGACGCGGCAGCTAAAAAAGCCAATGCAATTCTGGGCTGCATCAATAGGAGTATAGCATCTAGATCAAGGGAAGGAATAGTGCCACTGTATTCTGCTCTGGTCAGACCTCACCTGGAGTACTGTGTCCAGTTCTGGGCACCACAGTTCAAGAAGGACACTGACAAACTGGAACGTGTCCAGAGGAGGGCAACCTAAATGGTCAAAGGCCTGGAAACGATGCCTTATGAGGAATGGCTAAGGGAGCTGGGCATGCTTAGCCTGGAGAAGAGGAGGTTAAGGGGTGATATGATAGCCATGTTCAAATATATAAAAGGATGTCACCTAGAGGAGGGAGAAAGGTTGTTTTCTGCTGCTCCAGAGAAGCGGACACGGAGCAATGGATCCAAACTACAAGAAAGAAGATTCCACCTAAACATTAGGAAGAACTTCCTGACAGTAAGAGCTGTTCGACAGTGGAATTTGCTGCCAAGGAGTGTGGTGGAGTCTCCTTCTTTGGAGGTCTTTAAGCAGAGGCTTGACAACCATATGTCAGGAGTGCTCTGATGGTGTTTCTTGCTTGGCAGGGGGTTGGACTCGATGGCCCTTGTGGTCTCTTCCAACGCTATGATTCTATGATTCTATGATCTGGTTCAACAGGTGCTCAGGACAGTTTCTCTGGCTGGCAAATGGGCCAAACAGTTGGCAAACTCTGGCCTAGGTAAAGGGGTAAAGCGGACCCCTGAACATTAGGTCCAGTCGTGGCCGACTCTGGGGTTGCGGAGCTCATCTCGCTTTATTGGCCGAGCGAGCCAGCATACAGCTTCTGGGTCATGTGGCCAGCATGACTAAGCCGCTTCTGGCGAACCAGAGCAGTGCACAGAAATGCCATTTACCTTCCCGCTGGAGCGGTACCTATTTATCTACTTGCACTTTGACGTGCTTTCGAACTGCTAGGAGGGCAGGAGCAGGGACCGAGCAACGGGAGCTCACCCCGTCGTGGGGATTTGAACCGCCGACCTTCTGATCAGCAAGTCCTAGGCTCTGTGGTTTAACACACAGCACCATCCGCGTCCCTGGCCTACTCACAAACATATTATAGACCAGCCGTTCTCAACCTTGGGTCTTCAGATGCTGTCGGACTACAACTCCCATCATCCCAAGCAAGTTGGACCAGCAGTAAGGGATGAAGGGAGTTATAGTCCGAGAGCGTCCAGGAACCCCCAGGTTATCGAGAAAGTCCGTCCACTCATACATTGGATGTGTGCTGTGAAGCTGAGGTACGTGCATATTACAGTGGTACCTCGGGTTACGCTTCAGGTTACAGATTCCGCTAACCCAGAAATATTACCTCGGGTTAAGAACTTTGCTTCAGGATGAGAACAGAAATCATGCTCTGGTGGCGCAGCGACAGCAGGAGGCCCCATTAGCTAAAGTGGTGCTTCAGGTTAAGAACAGTTTCAGGTTAAGAACAGACTTTCAGAACGAATTAAGTTCTTAACCCGAGGTACCACTGTATCCGGTTACAGGCAACTGCTGCAAAAGCAATTGGGAAACCTGTAACAATTTCCACTGGGCGAGGGCATGTATTGAACCTGTGGCTTTCTGGACCTTCTTGTATACAAAGCGTCTGCTCTGCCGCTGAGATACAGCTCTCCCCTGTATGAGGAAGGCGTTCTTGCTACTGCCAGAAGAGTTTCTTTCTTTACATAACTCACAATGATTAAAGCTGACAAACGGCGGCTGCCATATTCATCATGTAACAGCTCCAAGAAGGTCCAGCCCAGGATATTTCGTTGCCTGGGGTGAGAGACAAGATGGTGCCCGTCCCACAACTCCATGTACAAAACCAGCTTGGCTGGCAACCGACTCCGAAGGCAGCGGGTTAGCTTGGTGGTCACAGGAACAGGCCACATAGAGCCAGTGTGAAGTGACTTACGCAAATCAAGTCAATTTAAATCAGCAAGAGAAAAGGCTGGTTTAAATAAATCAGATTAAATGAACTATTTAAATCAGGTTCCCCACTGATATATTTTCATATGTTACCTAGGCAACGGTGCAGCTATGGCCAGAAAATCACGTTAAGAGTTGCAAGGACACAACTCCTTTTAACGTCAAGGTCAATGCGTTCCCTTGTGGGAAATCTTGAGGGAGGGGTCACATGCCACAAATGGTTGGGTCCAAAGACAAAAAATGGCCACCATCTTATTCTGTCTCTTCTGCCAACCCCTTCTTTCTCAACGTGGTTTTCCACTTCTCTTCCCTGTGTGACAATTTGTGTGAAAGGTACCTCCCTCCCCACCAGGGCCCATCTATCCTACACATATATTCAAAGTAGTATCATGATGCAGTGGTACCTCAGGTTAAGTACTTAATTTGTTCCGGAGATCTGTTCTTAACCTGAAACTGTTCTTAACCTGAAGCACCACTTTAGCTAATAGGGCCTTCCGCTGCTGCCGCACCGCAGGAGCATGATTTCTGTTCTCATCCTGAAGCAAAGTTCTTAATCCGAGGTACTATTTCTGGGTTAGTGGAGTCTGTAACCTGAAGCGTATATAACCTGAAGTGTATGTAACCTGGGGTACAACTGTGCTTTAAATAAGCATGGGGTCCCTCAAAGTTCCCTGGGAACTGAAGTTTGTTAAGGGTGCTGAGAAACCCTCCCATTCCCCTCAGAGGCCGACGATTCTCAAAAACGGTTCAACAACAATTTCCTTTTCCCAAGGAACTCTGGGAATTGTTGTGTTTTAACTTGTTGTGACTCATCTTGCGACCCAAAGGGAAAGGGTAGATAATAAATCAAATCAATAATAATTAATACGAATAGCAGTATTTGCAGTGAAATGCTCACACGCCCCACTCGGTCTCATCTCAGGCTGCAGCCACACAATGCATTCAAAGCATTTTTTAAGCAAAGAGCCTCCAAAGGCTCTTGGGAACTGTAGTTTAACCCTCACACAGAACTACAATTCCTAGCACCCTTAAACTACAGTTCCCAAGGTTCTTCAGGGAAGGGAATGTGCTTTAAATGTGTGGTTTTTACACAGCCCCAGACTGTGCGTATCTCCTTTCATAGGAATGTGCTACAGCTCTGAGCTACTCATTTTAGGCAGCATTAAAAAAAATAATCTTCCATATATACTGAAATTGAGAGTTACTGATAAAAAATATCTTGCAGAAGGGGTAGCTCTGTTAAGCCTCTTGCTGCAAAAATACCACCTTATCAACTAGCAGATTTGTGGCATAAGATTTCATGGACTACAGCCCACTCCCCCTATATCTGATGAAACCTTATGCCACAACGAAACTGGTAGTCCTTAAGGCGCCAGCCACAAGTTCCTTTGTTGACTTTGCTCAAAAACAGCATGTTTACCTTGGAGGTCGAGCACGACAGCTACTTTTTGAGGGCCACCATAAGCAGTATCTCAGCAAAAGGATTGTAGTGAGACGTATAAAGGTAAAGGGACCCCTGACCATTAGGTCCAGTCGTGGCCGACTCTGGGGTTGCGGTGCTCATCTTGCTTTATTGGCCAAGGGAGCCAGCGTACAGCTTCCGGGTCATGTGGCCAGCATGACTAAGCCGCTTCTGGTGAATCAGAGCAGCGCACGGAAACACCGTTTACCTTCCCGCCGGAGTGGTACCTATTTATCTACTTGCACTTTGATGTGCTTTCGAACTGCTAGGTTGGCAGGAGCAGGGATTGAGAAACGGGAGCTCACCCCGTCGCAGGGATTCGAACCGCCGACCTTCCGATCGGCAAGTCCTAGACTCTGTGGTTTAATCCACAGCGCCACCCGTGTCCCTTAAGTATAACTTGGTGCATATGTACTTTTGCACAACACGCGACTCTCTCCATGCAAAGGTGAGCAAGCGAGAGTCTAAACATGTTCACAGGTTGGAAATGTAGTGGTGAAGCAGGTTAGGTGGCTCAGCTTCCAGAGAGCCCCCTTGAGGAATGGCATGGAACTGCACCTGCCTTTCTAGCATACTTCAATGTCAAAGGTCACCCTTTTCTGTATTTCATCAATAAAATTGATCAAAATTCCGCAGCTGGAAAAATACAAATTCTCATATCAGAAAGACTGGAAGATGATTGGCTTTTAACTGTAGCAGCTCTGGAGGAACTTCAATCTGCTTCATTTGAAAATGTTATTCATCCTTCAAGACCCAGATTGCAAATTACATTTTTTGTTTGTAAAGGAAAGGGGAAAGAGAGAAAAACGTATAGCGGGAAATGGATTGGTGACATCTCCAATTTTTCCTCTGCAACCATGAGAGCTAATCAATGCTTTAAAACAGGCTTCCTCAAACTTGGCCCTCCAGATCTTTTGAGACTCCAATTCTCATCATCCCTGACCATTGTTCCTGCTTGCTAGGGATTATGGGAGTTGTTGGCCAAAGACATCTGGGGG